AATAGTCCTGGGATTGCTCAGGTTGAACATAAGATTTCTAGAATTCTTGAGCTATTCCCAGAGTCTAGAAGCTTCTAGGATTGCTCAGATTAATCCCCTGCAAAAACATTTCATTCTCCTTTCTGCTGCCAAAAACTTTCCTCATCAGCCAGGCAGCTTTCACTAGCTTTCACTACACCGATTTTCTTCGGATATGTATCATCATTGCGCAATTTCACTTTTTTAGTTGCCTGCCTGCCCGCAGGCTATTACGCGACGAAAAGTGAAATTTGTTCAGTGAAAACGACGTTTTTTGGGATAAAAAGAGAAAAAGGAGAAAGTCAAGTTTGACCGGCGGCGTGTACGATTTTTGACGATTAATGGTTCTGGTTTTGATGAAATGGAAAATTGAAAGTTTTGCTGGCTGGCTGGCAGGATGATGCAAGAGAGAGGAATTTGGTCAGGAAAGCCTTTAGAATCAAAAAATTCCCAAGAATATCTCAAAAACTTTGCATAGAGAGTATTTTGATTAACCTGAGCAATCCCAGAAATTTTGCAGAGTCAAAAAATAGGCTGAAAATTCTTGAAAACCCCTATCATCATCTTTCTAGCTCTAGAAGATTCTAGAAGATTGTTCCGAGTCTACAGTAACCCAGAAGAGCTACATTACATCGAAATGGTTCCCAACAATTCTGAGGCCGGTTCAAAATGATCTACAGTTTTTGTGAGAATCTACAGTACCAGTTCAAAATGATCTACAGTATCTTTGAGAGCCAACAGTAGAATTCGGGATTTCTTAACCACCTCACATTCTGCTACAGTATCCGAACCCTCAGCTACCTTCCCGAAACCCTTCCCAGATCTCCACTACCTCCCAGAAGCCCTTCCCAGATCCTCAAAAAATCTCACTGATCGCTCTGATGTCTCTCTTACAGTGTGTAATACCAACCTGTCCGAAACTCTCACTTTGCCCATCTCACATTTTTCACTTTCACCATCCTTTCGATTTCAGATATCCCCCCCTCCGGCCCGCCTGTATTCATTTTCACTACTAACTTTCACCAGATCTCCCTCTCTCTCTCTCATTTTCTGCCACGGTGTGTTTGTGTGTGTGTGACCAGTTTTTGGGGGCTGGGGAGGGGCGATTTCACTGTGTGTATATGATGTTTCGCTTGCGTAATCTTTCACTTTTTCATCTTGTTTCACTTTTACGTATGCCGTATATTCATGCCCATTTCACTTGTTTACGCTTTCCATTTTTTGGCTTTTGGGATTTGGCTACTGTATAGGGGTACTGTAGAGCTTGGGGGTACTGTACTGTTGATTTATTGTGCTCAATTTTGTGCTATGCTTTTTTTGCTTCTGAATTGTTTTTTTTTTTGGATTTTTCTGGATTACTGTAGCTAATTCTCTATAATATTTTTTGTAGATCATAATTTCTAATGTTTTTTTCCTGGTTACTGTAGATTAGAGTACTGTAGCTCTAAATAATTCCACAAATATTGTAGATCATTTTTTTTTAAATTTTATTATTATGCTCATGGGTTACTGTAGATTATCTCCAGAGTACTGTGGATCTAGGATATTTTCTGAATTTCTCAAATCTCCCAAGATTACTGTAAGCTACAAAACTACAGTAACCTTGCGGTAAGCTTTCATTTTTTTTTTCTTATTATTCAAGATCTCACAAAATCTCACGTCATTCTGATTTTTACACAAAAAAACATCACAACGTCTATTTTCGAACAAAAGTTCCACCGTTTTTTTCAAAAAAAAAATTATTTGTGATTTTTTGTTTTTTTTTTGTTCAAAACAATGAAAATGTGACTTTTTTTGGCGAGAAAAATGAAAAATAAAAAAATTTCGAAATTTTTGGTCAAAACTGTTTCATCTGGTCATGTTTCTGGCCAAAATAAAAAAAAACGTTTTTTTTTCGAATTTTCTGTACAAAAACAACCCAAATGCCACTTTCTGTCCAGAAAACACCAAAAATTTCGAAATTTCTGGCCAAAACTGTTCCTTCTGGCCACATTTTTGACCATTTTAATCGATTTTTGCAATTTTTTTCCTTCTTTCGTTGTTCTGTTTTTGTGTGTGTGTGTGTCTCTTTTTTTTTGGGAAAATTTTTTTCATATTATTTTTTTCTGCCAGCCAGCCATTATTTGTTGTGTTGTGTGTATGTGTGTTGAAAAAAAACATATAATATTTATTTTTTTTTCGTATTCTTTTTATTTGTTTGTTTTTTGAGCGGGACGCGGTGTGACTTTTCTAGAATTATAGTTTTTTAGTGAATCTGGGAAGCTTCTGGACTCCAGAATCTGGACCTTTTGAGAGCCCTAAAAATGCTCCTAGGCTCATAAAATGGCCCCTGGACCTTCTGAGAGCCCTAAAAATGCTCCTAGGCTCCCCAGAAGCCCAGAAAAATGCTCCTAGGCTTTCCAAGGGCTCAAAAATAGCCCCTGAAGCTTCTGAGAGCCCAAAAAAGCCCTGGTAGATCAAAAATTGAAAACCAGGCTCTTCTGGGAAATTTTCTAAAAATTGAAACATTTTTTTGGAATCTTGTAAAAATCATTGCCTCACGGCCTTCGGGCTTCTCAGGCTTCTCAGGCCCTCCCAGGCCCTCCCTAGACCCCCCCCCCAGTCATTTTTTTCCACCTCCCGCATCATCACTCACACACACACACAGAAACATTTATTTGCGCAGCACACACACACATGAAACTGTCCGTTGCCGCATCATTTTTTGTGCAGCAGCAATATTTGCGCGCGGCGTGTCTACGTCACGCGGAAATGGGCGGAGCTTCCGCGCCCCCCCCGCTACGTGAAAAAAGTCTCTTTTTCCCCCCTCCCTCACCTGGCGATTTTCCCTTCTTGCTTCTGCCCAATTTTTTTGTTGGTCGCGTTGAGAAAATTTGTTATGGTTTTTTTGTTGCTGTTGCTGTGGCGGCCCATTTTCCGGCTGAAAAAATCAATTTTTTCTTTGTTTGTATGCTTTTTGTGTATTTTTTGGGGAGTTTCAGGCTTAAGGTTGAGATTTGGCATAAAATTCAGGCCTTAGAAACTTTAGGGCTTCCAAAATTTCGCAAAATTTTTGTTTTCATTTTGAAAAAAATGTAGATCACAAAAAATAGCCATCTACAGTACCACCCAAAAGCCTACAGTACCTTTGAGAATTTTCAAAAAATCCTAGAGTATTCTAAAATTGATCCACAGTATTCCAGAGAGCTACAGTAACCCAGAATCCCACAGTACTTAAAAAAGTCCTAAATCTTTCTGAATCAGTAAAAAAAATGATCTACAGTACCCCTGGAATCTACAGTACCCCCCAAAAATCCACGATCTTCTCCTTATATCTGAAAACCAAGATTTCTTGACCATTCTCCAATTGTTCTTAAAAAAATCTACAGTACCCCTCTGATTTCCTTGACCACCTTCTGAATTTTTTCCCAAAATTTTGTTCCCAAATTATTTATCACCTCAAAATTGCTATTTTTAGAATTTTTGATACCACTGTCCTTTTTTTGCTCCAAAAAATCAAAAAATTTCCTTTGTCTCCAAAAAAAATTTGATTTTTTTTATTCTTTTTGTTCTTTTCTTCTTATCAGTTATTGTCCATTTTTTCTTTTTTTTTTCAAAAAATTAATTTTTCAATTCAAATTCTAAATTCGAATTTTTGCAGCCCACCAATCAATTTTGTCAAAATCCCGGAACCACGTGGATTTGATGTGTCTTGACACGAAGGTACGGTCATTTTTGGCGCCAAATTCAAAAAAATTCCGAATTTGAATTTCAGGATTCCCCACATATATCTATTCAACATATAATCAATATATAGTGGGCTCAAAAAAATTGCACAAAAAAATTCAAATTCTAACCTAAATTATGAGCGGACGTTCGAAATCACAGGTAATTTTTCCGAAAATTTAATTTCAGTTTTCAAATTTTCGAAATTCAAAATTTCCCAAGCTCCGCCCATTTTTCCATGCTCCAGAAAATGTGATAAGAAAAATTATTCCCAATTTTTGTTTTCCGGATTTTTGATCTACCTCTACTCTAGGTTACTGTAGCCACCTACAGTACCCCTCTAGTTATACTGTAGTAATTTTTACATGCTCAATTTCTGTGTTGCTCGAAAAGCTGAGCAAATAAGGATTTCCGGGGGGATTTGGGGGAAAACACGTGGCAAAATTTTAGGGGTACTGTAGCGCTACAGTAATTCAAATAGACTCAGAAACATAGCTACAGTAATCTACCGTAACCCTCTCTAGATTTTTTTTGTTGAGAATTTATGTTATGAATCCCAAATTTCATGAAAAATACTGACCTACAGTAATCCAAGAGTACTCTTAACTTTCAAGTTTTCACAAAATCTACAGTAATCTCTAGATTCTTCCCTACAGTACCCCAAAGTTTCCAAAAAAAAACTAAGTTACAGTAAGCCTTTCAGTTGTTAAACAAAAAATTCCAAAACTACAGTACCTCGTTACAAGAAACTTATCTCGCTACAGTAACCTTCTAGATCACCTACAGCTCCCTAAATTTTCCCGAATTTAGAATTTGAATAGTTTTTGATCTACAGAAATTCTCCAAGCTACAGTATTCTCTAGATCATCTACAGTACTCCTAAATTTCTCTAGATTCGAAATTGGAACATTTTTGATCTACAGAAATTCCTCAAGCTACAGTAGCCTCTAGATCACCTACAGTACTCTCAAAAATGACCCATGTCATATTTTCTGCCGTTTTCCCCCGTGTCTCTCTATGTTTATTTTGCGACCAGAAAAAGACCATCTCAAAATTTTGCCTGCCATTTTGCCCCCCCGGGGGGTGCTCTATTTACTTTGGTTGAAAAAAGAAAGCAGCGACTAAAAGAGTACTGTATAAACATAGAGAGTTAGCGAAAGTCAGGCGCGCCTCGCGAGAAAAAATCGAAGTCATTTCTCTACTTTTTACTTTTCACTGTTGCTGAGTTACTAAAAATCTACTTGAAATTTCGAAAAATCCAAAAATTCTGGACAAAAATGCTGGCTGCTGTAAGGAATTCTAGAAGGTTGAGATCTTCTAGAAGATCTCAAATATGAGATCTGAAGTCAAAGCCCCCTTCAATTTTAATCTGAGCAATTCCAGACTTTCGAATCGTCCTCTTCAACATCTGGGAGAAGGCGGAAGAAGACGATCAGTGAGGTGGACAGTGCTGGAGAAGAACCGACTAGCAGTAACGCGGATGAGAAGAATAGTGGTGAGGATTCGGAAGTGTTCTGGGGGAAGATCTGGAGCGTTAGAGTATCCTGGGAGAAGATCTGGAGTTCTAGGGGTTTCTGGGAGAAGATCTGAAGCTCTAGAGGCTTCTGGGAGAAGATCTGGAGATCTAGAATATCCTGGGAGAAGATCTGAAGATCTAGAATATCCTGGGAAAAGATCTGGAGCTCTAGAAGCTTCTGAAATTCAAAATCTAGAATTTTGAAGTTTCAGATTTTCGGCTGAGTTTTAGATTCAGATGCTGAAGTTATGAGCTCAAAATTTTCAGCCATATTTCTAGATCTAGAAATTTCAAATTCAGCTTCCAAGTTCCAACATCTAGATCTTGAATCTTCAGAGTTAGATTCTGAATTTCGAAATCTAGAATTTTTATGTTCTGAACTTGAACATTGAATTCTAGATCTTGAAAATTCAAGCTGGGCTTCAGAATTTCACTTTCAGGTTCAACATTTTTGAAACTCACAGATCTTGAAGTTCGAGACTCTTTGAAAGTCCAGAGGAAGCTTCTGAACTTCCTGACCATCTAGAAGGTTCAGAATTTCTAGATCTTTGAACTTCAGTCCCCAGATCCTTCAAAAATCAATAATTATTTTTCAGAACACCGTCTCGAGCTCAAAAAACGTCTAACCACATTTCTGACCAGTAAGTTAGCCTATCTTGGTATTTTTCGAATTTTCACTTTCTCAAGTGTTTTCACACTTACATATCATATCAAAAATTCCCTTCATGATCATATCAAAAACAAACAAAAAAATCTACGTCACACACAAAAAAGTGGGAAAAAAAATGGAAAAACAAACATCAGAGAGAAACATTGTCGTCCGGAAATCCAAACATTCCGCACACACACGGCATTTTACGGCAACGCAAATATTAGCGGAGAGGGGTGCGCGGAAAATGAGATATAATAACATAGACTACATGAGAATTGTGCGATTTTTGGTGACGCAATCAGGAAATTTGGAAAATTTTGGAATTTTTGACACGTGGGGATCTGAATTTTCCACGTGGCACAAATTTTTAAGATTTTTAGGAAGCTATTAGAATTTTACCAGGGGATTATAAATCAAGTAATAACAATTTAAGTGCCACGTGGCAGGAAGAATTTCAGAGAAACACAATTTTCAGACAATTTTTAATGAGGAGCTCCAGAATTCTGAATTGAGGTCAAATTTCACGTGGAAAAATTTTTGATCTACGTAAATTTTTGAGATTTTTTTTTGCCACGTGGCATTTTTGCTGGATTTTGAGATTATTTTCCACGTGGCAAAATTAAGTTACAGAATTCTGGATTCTGAAATTTTGAGCCGAGGATTCCACGTGGCGAAATTCATATTAAGAATCCACGTGGCAAAATCAAGTTACAGAATTCTGGATTCTGAAATTTTGAGCCGAGATCTCCACGTGGCAAAGTTCAGATTAAGAATCCACGTGGAAAAATTCAGCTTCTAAATTCTGGATTCTGATTTTTCAAGCCCAAATACCACGTGGCAAAATTCAGCTTCGAAATTTTTGATTTCCAAAATTTAGGTCTGATTTTACACGTGGCAAAGTTCAGTTTTTAAAAATCTAGATTTCAAGATTCGAGTCAAGAATCCACGTGGCGAAAATCAGTTCCGTAATTCTGGATTCTAAATTTTTAAGTTCAAAATTCCACGCGCCAAACATCAGATTCAGAAAAAATGTTGATCTCCAAAATTTAGGTAAAAAAAAATCCACGTGGAACGCAAGCCTCAACCAATTTTTCTCGATTTTTGCAGACGAGCAACCAATGGCTTCTTCGGATTCCGGCATCGAATCGACCGCCGAAGTCGACTTATCCGAACTCAAAGCCTCCGATTCCCCAATGTCACATCAAGGCGCCGAATCGCCGCGCGACGAAGAAGACGAGCCACGTGGCGATATTTTGGTGTGCGGCGAGTGCCATCACACTTTTGCGCTCACCAATTTCAGCACATTCATCGAGCACAAAATATCGAATTGTGGCGGGAAGTTGACGCCGTCGGATGATTTGTATACCGGATCGGGAAGGTCGCGGAGACGCGCTACAACTTATAATAATTCTGGTGGCGGAAGAGGCGGTGGGGCGAGATCCACGTCAGCAAGTGCTATGATGTTGGGATACAATAATATGGATGTGACGACGGATACCAGTGATTTGGGTAGGTTCTGTGGAGAGCGCAGACAGCTAGGGGCAGCTAGAGATGGATGAGAGACGCAGAAAAACTAGACAGAGAGAGCAGAGAAAATGAAGAGACCAGAGAGCACAGACAGCTAGATAGAGAGAGAGCAGAGAATATGGAGTAGGTTAGAGACGCAGAGAAACTAGACAGCTAGAGAGAGCAGAGAAAATGAAGGGGCTTAGAGATACCAGAGAAACATAGAGAACACAGACATCTAGAGAGAGAGAGAGAGCAGAGACGGTTGAGTAGGTTGAAACAGAGAGAGAGTACAGACAACTAGAGAATGCTAGATAGACAGAGGTAAGTGAGAGACGCAGAGAAACTGAACGTCTAGAGACGCAGAGCAGCCAGAGAGCTTGACATACCAGGAGCCACTAGAGACGCAAAGAAGTTAGAGATACCAGGAGCCGCTAGAGACGCAGAGAAGTTAGAGATACCAGCAACCACTAGAGACGCAGAAAAACCAGACAGCTAGAGTAGGACAGACACGCTACCATATCCACCCCAAGAAAGCTAGAGACGCAGATAGTTTTGACCTCTATATCCTAGATTTCTAGCTCTTTGGTCAGAGTTCAGACAACCAGACACTGTATCTTCCCGGTGGCCAGAGACGCAGTACACTATTTGTCCACAAAGTAATAGTATACTGTATATTTACTTGCTCCACACAAACTTTTCGCCATTTTTCACGTGAGAGTTGTGACAAGTGGACCAGTTTTGACCGATTGTGTCAACTTTTTTTGCGGTTGGTTGCTCGGCGAGCAAATTGCGCAAGAGAGAGAGAGCAGCTCAGCGCCAAAGTAAACTCTTGAAACATATATATGAATAGGGGAAGAGGGGTCGAGTTACGATTCGAGAGGCTTCTGAGGGGAATCTGGAGCTCTGGAGGCTTCTGGGGGAAGATCTGGAGCTCTAGAAGTTTCCTGGAGAAGATCTGGAGCGCTAGAAGCTTCTGGCTAAATATCTGGAGCTCTGAAGGCTTCTGGGTGAAGATCTGGAGCTCTGGAGGCTTCTGGGAGAAGATCAGGAGCTCTAGAAGTTTCCAGGAGAAGATCTAGAGCTCTAGAAGATTCCTAGAGAAGATCTGGAGCTCTGGAATATCCCGGGAGAAACTCATGAGCTCTAGATCTTCTAGACCTCCAAAAGATCCCGCTGAACTTTGATCTACCGAACTTTCACAAATAACATCTCATGACTCACCGTTCACCTGACCTCTCTTCTGTCCAACACAACTACAGTACTCCGCCCCGGGCGCCCCCTAGTAAAAGTCAACAAAAACCCGCCGGCGCCTCATATTTGCCAAGCAAAAAAAACCAATGACCTCAAACTAATGGCAGGACAAACACGGGACTTTGGGCCTCCAAAAATATCGATTTTTTTCTTGCAGCCAATTCCGCCAAGTCGCTGACATGCGCCGCTTGCAAGGAGCGATTCGGAGACATTTGGACGCTGCTGAAACACACCTACGCCATTCATGGAATCCGAATTTGTCAGGAAACGCTTCCGGAATCGGATGTTTCGGTGACGTCAACTTCGTCACCAACATCGCACGATTCGGTGCTGATGCCGTCGAGTTATCGGCCGAATAATGCTGGTGAGTTCTCCCCGTTCAGGATCTATAGAACTTCAGGAACTCTGGCTAGAGCATCTAGAAAGATCGGTGAGCTAGATAGTTAGGAGATCTAGGTCTGAAGCCATTAAGAACATCAGTAGATTTTTGAACCCTAGGAACCCTAGCTTTATATATAAAAGAATTCTGAAATTCCAGGTGGATTTTCAGGTCGAAGATTCTAGCCCTTTTAGAAGGTTGCCACGTGGCATTCAGTTCTGATAATCCAGAAGTGTGGTCACTTCAGTGGAACCCTATCCAGCTAGAACATCTGGAAATCCACGTGGCTTTTTCAAATTTAGATTTTTTGTAGTTTAAAAATCCAGTTTCCACGTGGCATCTAGATGTGTAGTCACTTAAGTAGAACCTGATCAGGTTAGAACATCTGAAAATCCACGTGGCTTTTTCAAATTTAGATTTTTTGTAGCTTCAAAATCCAGTTTCCATGTGGAATCTAGTTCCGATAATTTAGAAGTGTGGTCACTTAAAAAAAACTTCAAAAAAACCTGATCCAGCTGGAACATCTAGAAATCCACGTGGCTTTTCAGATCGAACATTCTAGCCCTGAATTTGAAAAAGATCCTAAATAATAGAGTTCAAAAGGTTGCCACGTGGATCTAGAAGTTCTTCTGAAATTATATCAAAAACGAAAAAAACGATCTGGGAATCCACGTGGATCTATAATTAAAATCCCCAATTTCCAGCCAAAATCATCCACCCAACAACCATCAAGACTGACTCGATCCTCTTCAATAGTTTCTGCTCTGAGAGGCTCAAGGAGATCGCCTCCAAAGCCGGCGAATCGGACGCTGCAAAAGCCCTGCGTCGGCTCGCACCCAGCGACGAAACCGAAGACGAGCAAATCTCCGCGTTCACCTCGACGCTCGCGCAACGTGCCGCCTCCATTCCGCAACCCACAACAACTCATTCCGGCTTCCACAACACATCCGTCACCAACGCCACCACCAACTTTCTGACGCAATCGAATGTGCTTGCCGCAATGCAGGACTACTATGCGCAACAATTGCCGTATATGAGCAATCAGAATGCGGCCGTCGCGTTGCTGAATTTCTCGAACAACTTGCCGCAAGTGGGAGGTGCTCCGCAAGTGGCGCAAGTCGCTGCACCACCGCCTCCTCCGCAAGTTATTCAGAATCAACCGAGTGTTGCGCACACGTTGTTTCAGGGATTGTATAAATTGTGAGTTTTTAACTAGATTAATTAAGCTTAAGGTTCAGAAGTAGATCGATAGAGTTAAGCCTAAGCTATAAGCCTTAGGCTTAGGCTAAGCCTGAGGTATAGGCTAAGCTTAAGGTTTAAGTTAAGCCTAAGGCTTAGGCTAAGCCTACGGTATAGCCTAATGTAAATATTGTGAGCATAAGGTCTAGGCTAAGACTAAGCTCTAAGTTAAGCCTTAGGCTTAGGCTAAGCCTAAGGTCTAGGCTAAGCCTAAGAACTCAGGCTAAGTCTAACGTCTAGGTTAAGCCTAAGGCTAAGGTCTAGGATGAGTCCAGAGTCTAGGTTAATCTTAAGATCTAGGTTAAGCCTGAGGCTTAGGCTAAGCCTAAGGTATATGCTGAGCACACAGTCTAGGTTATGCTTAAGGTCTAGGTTAATCCTAAGGTATATGCTGAGCCCAAAGTCTAGGCTAAGCTTTAGGTCTAGCTTAAGCCTAAGGCTTAGGCTAAGACTAAGGTCTAAGTTAAGCCTGAGGCTTAGGCTGAGCACAAAGTCTAGGTTATGCTTAAGGTCTAGGCTATGTTTAAGGTCTAGGTTAAGCCTAAAGTCCAATTTGAGCCTAATTCTGATCCAGAGCACACATTTCCTAACCCAATAATCTTCCAGAAACTCCAGCCCATCCGACGACACCGCTCCACCATCAGCATTTCAAATCCGCCCCGCTTCCGCAGCCATCCGCCGTCGCCCCTCACCCGACGACACTCCACCTCGCAAACACATCAAACTCGAGGACGAATCCGAGCCGCTGATTGTCGTGGATGATGCGGAACTCGCTGAACCCGCCGCACGTCGGCAAACCAACATCAAGAAGGAGCGATGTCATTATTGTAACAAGGTGTTTACCAATCGATCTAACCTCATTGTTCATTTGCGCAGTCATACCGGCGAGAAGCCGTACAAATGTCAATTGTGTCCGTACGCTTGCGCGCAGAGCAGCAAGCTCACACGGCATATGCGAACTCACGGACAACAGGGCAAGGAAACCTATCACTGTTATATCTGTCGGATGCCATTCTCCGTGCATTCCACACTCGAGAAACATATGCGGAAGTGTGTGGTGAATTCTAGCGGTGCGCAAGGTCGCCTAGAAGAGCTCACCGCAAAGCTGGAAAGACCTCGACCAACCCCGTCAGCTCTTGCGGACGCCACAAGTCTTCTAGCCTTGTCGAATCCTACTTTGGGAGCAAGTGGACAGGCTTCCGCGCAGCCTCCGCAATCCGCCGTCTCGCAATCTAATCAGATTGTGTTGAATTGGTTGCAGGCGTTGAATGCGTCAAATCCGGCGAACACTGCGTCGAGCGGAACAACGATGAAAGAGGATACGATTGAAGCGGATGAGGATATGGAGGAGACCGAGGCGAGCGAGTTGAATGAGAAGATTTTGACGCAGGTTGGTTTAGGGATACTGTAGGGATACTGTAATATGGTTCCGGAAAACCAAAAAGCTTCCTGGGTGCTCTAGATTTACTGTAGATAGTTGAAGGATGGGTAGACGTAGAGCTTTCTTAAATCTCAAGAGCAACTTGCACTGTAGGTATACTGTAGAGCCACGTGGCAAGCTTATCGCTGTGGAACCTCGGAGGTATACTGTAGAAACACCGAGCTTCAAGTAGACTATAGTTACAGAGAACTCTGGCTATACTGTAGTTACACAGGGTTTTGAATATACTGTAGTCACAAAGTGCTTTAGGTATACTGTAGTTACAAAACGCTCTGGGATTACTGCAGTTACAAAGTGCTTTGAGTATACTGTAGAAAAACCAAGCTTCAAGTAGACTATAGTTATAGAGAACTTGGGCTATACTGTAGTTATACAGGGCGCTGGGATAACTGTATTCATAAAGTGCTTTAGGTATACTGTAGATACAGAGCCCTCTGGCTATACTGTAGTCACAAAGAGCTTTCAGTATACTGCAGTTACACAGGGGTTTGGGTATACCGTAGTCACAAAGTGTTTCAGGTATACTGTAGTTACACAGGGCCCTAGAATTACTGTAGTTTTAAAGGGTTCTGGTCATACTGTAGTTAGATGATGAAAACTAAGTCTATCTCAGCCTCTCTGGATTACTGTAGATCAAAAAAATCCACTTGGCAATCCGTAAAATGTGGATTTTCTCCAGTCCGAAGCCCTATAAGCCCCAAAGTCAAGCCCAAATCCAATTATTTCCAGAAAGCCGAAAATCCCGTCACCATGAATCAAGCGCCCACCGCCACAGTCTAATTTTTTCTGATGTTTAATTTTTTTTCCTGAATTTTTTCCCACCCTAAACTTCTAGTCAACATGTGTTAGCATTTTCCCAGATTTTTCCTAGCTTACATCCAGAATCCCCCGGTTAGTTATTTTTTTTTGTATGTGTTTGTGTGTGTGTGTGTGTGTAAAAAATTCTCCTTCTTGAACATACCTTATTTATATTATGGACCCATAGGACTTTCACAACCCCCTCCCCCAATTCTCCCAAGCCTTTTTTCGGGGCTCCCTTGGGGCCTCCCCTAGAAACCCATTATCTTTCCCTTGATTTATTTACACTTCTCAATTAGCTTTAATTAACTTTTTGTTTTTGTGACCCCCCGAAGTTACCCCAACTCCAAATATCCCGTCTTTCTTCTTACAAAATATATAAATATTCCCAATTGCGTAAATAACCCCCGGTGATTTTCAAACTGTACAGACCCCCCTCCCCCCTAGCATATATACGCCCCCCAAATATTTATATGACCCCCCCCCCCAAAATTACATTGTGTCTTAGTTATGCCCCCCACAGTACCCCTCGGTTAGTTTTCTTTCTGATTTATATATGGTGTATTTTTGTGTCCCCAAATTCCCCCGTGTTCCTTTTTTTTTGTACCCTGTGCTCTCCATATTTTTTGAAATACAATAAATGGATTTTTAGAATTCTCACAGGCTTTTTGAAAGGTGCCATGTAGATTTCAGGAAAATTTCTGGTTTAAAAAGGGTACCACGTGGATTACAGTACCAATTTTCAGCTCATAAAATATGCCACGTGGAGGTTACCATTGATTTCAAGAGTTTATGTGTCAAGCATCCACTCCTAGAAAATCCTATTGTCAAGGAGCCACCCCTAGAGATCCATGCTGACTAGGTACGGCGCCTAGCGAGCGTATCGAGAGCCAGTGTGAAAGCGGTTGCTTGCCAGAATGCTTCTCTAGGCGCGGCACCTTGCCTGGGTTGATCTCTAGGCGCGACTCCTTGTGAGAGTGTGTCTCTAGACGCGACTCCTTGCTAGAACGTTTCTCTAGACGCGGACCCTTGTCAGAGCCGACATTCAGCCGAAGCTTCTTAACAGATCCGGCCACTAGCTATTTCTTTAGTCGGCATATTTTGATGACTGCAAATAGGAATCTGATTTTTGAAGTCACTCCGAATTTCAGATTCCTAGGTATCAGCAGCTTCAGGAGCACCCAAATCCCCATACATTTTGCTTTTGGCACCAAAAACCAATCTCCATGTTCTTACCAGCTGCTTTTGCCATTTTGTTTTCTTCCGTTCCACACTCAAAGGTGTTATTTATTATTATATTATACTATTGTTGTGTTTGTTCGCACACAACTATAACAATTGAAACACCGTGCACACTTTTTTCCTGTGTATCATTACGTAATCGAGACTTCCGCACCTACCTATATAAATCAGAAAAAAGTTCAGAAAAACATTGGTATACCGTTTTTTTTTGCTCAAATATAGCTCAGTGGCAGTTCTGGCTTCTGTCAATCTCGAGCTCTCGGGTTCGATCCCCACTGCCCGCTCCTCTCTTTTTATTTTTTTTTGCTCAAATGTCCAGCTCAGAAAATCTTGTTTGCCTTCTTGTTTTGTTTTTCATTCAACACAAAAGTGTCAAAATGTGCACAGTATTTTTCATTTGTTTTTGTGCTTTTTCGCTTTCGCAGAAAATTTTTGTGGTGAATTTGAGAGAATTTACACAGTATTTTGTTACAATTTTCTCACGATGTGCCTATTTTCGCAGGGTTTGTGAGTACTGTATGTATTTTGGTAGATTCCTAAGGCTTCACAAAGCTTCTCAAGGCTTCCAAGGCTCCCCAAAACTTCCCAAGGCTTCCCAAGGCTTCCCAAGCTTCCCAGAGCCCCCTAGCCCCCCTCAAGCCTACCGGAACCCCCCTGGATCAAGTTTTTTTTCTTTCCGCACCGCTCGCGCGCGCGCCCGGCCTAAGAAACCGTTTTTGTTTGCGTTTCGTCTCAATTATTGATATATTTTCATGATTTTGCCACCTTTTTTCCACACATTGTTTATTGTGCCACACACTTTTTAATGTGCTTAATGTTGCTTGGCTTTTTGCGCGCGTTTCCTGGTTGTTTTGGTTAGATCTAGGAGTACTGTAGTGAATGGTTTTGGTGCCAGAATTGATCTACCGGGTTAAAAGTACCTTCTTTAAAGTTTTGGCGGGCAAAAAACTGATCTAGAAGAATAAATTCAAAGATTTTCAGAATAAAAATTTGGGTCTGAAAATCCACGTGGCAAAATGAGTTCAGAAAAATTTTATAAATCTATCAGAAATCCACGTGGCATGAATTTTTGACTAAAAAATTATACATCACAGTTCAGAGTACTGAAAAATTTTGAGCTTGATTTTCAGAGCTTAAGATCTAAAGAGCCTGCTAAAAATCCACGTGGCAGAAATTTTGAGCTCGAGTCTCAGAGCTCAAGTTCTAGCCTGCTAAAAGTCTACGTGGCAAAAATTTTAACCTATATTTTTTGAACCCGAATTTCTCCACGTGGCAAAAATGTTGGACCAAATTTTTAGAAACCCTTGGAGGCGAACTTTTCCAAAGCTCAAAAATGTAAAATTCTGAAATTTGGTGCTAAAAATCCACGTGTCTCAAAAAAATTGCCGTCAAAACCAGTTATCCCTTGCTCAATATTAATATTATTGTTATTATTTGTTATTCTCATTAAAAAAGAGTTGCGTGCTGCTCAAAAAGCTTCTCTCTCTCAACGAAAAAAAAACACGTGAGCCGGTTTTGCTCTTAAGCTCTCAAGCTCCGCCCCTTTTTCTCACGTAACCCTTTTTTCACGCATTTTCATTACTTTACTTACAGATTGCTCATGTTACTCCCAGTATTATTATTCTCATCGATTTTTCTGGGCTCACGGGCTCAACACATGACATTGTGTGACTATTTCGAGAAACTGGGCCTGGCAAAGCCCGAATGTGGACATCAGATTCGACAGCCCGCATTTCACGGATTTGTACCGAATTACGAGGCTCCGAATTACGCCGGAGCTGCGATTCAGACGAATAATTTGAGATTTGGAAGTTATCCCGAAGCGGCTGTGGATAGTAAGTTCTGGGGCCCTTTTTACTCTCAAAATCTCCAAATTTGGAGCATTTTGCGCACAAAAACGTGAAATTTGAAGAATTTTAACCCTGGGACCCCTTAAAAACACCAAAACTAACCTTCTAGCATGTCCACGATCCTTGATTTTATTGATCGATTCTTGAATTTGTTGATCCAACATCCGAATAGTCTGAAAATCCGAAAAAAATCAATAATTTCAGCAAAAAAATCGAGGAAAAAGCACGATTTTTGAGAAAAAAAAATAATAAAAACACTCCGCGTCTTTTCTCAATGGAGCGCATTTTCTCTCCTTCTCTATTTCTCGCTAAACAACAGGCAAGCGCGGAGTGTCGTTGTTTTTTTTTTTGGATTTTCCGCATCCCACACGTATTTGGTATCAAAAAACGCCAAATTCTTCAGCCTCCCAACTCATCCACAATCTTCCGCTTTGCCGCAACTACTTCCATTCGTGCATGTCATCCGACGCGTGCGAATCCGGAACAATTTGCACCAATGGTGTGGAGCAGGGCTCGTGCTGCACCAATCCGCATCGTGCACAATGTCCCACGGTCACCAAAATGCATATTAGTTGCCGCAAGACACGCAGTGTTAATTGGTGAGTTAGCTTAACTTGAAAACAAAAATTTCAAAAAAAAAAACAAAAAGACTAGGGGGCACCCGGATTTGAACCGGGGACCCTTTGATCTGCAATCAAACGCTCTGCCGCTGAGCTATACCCCCTGATGTTAGACATGCTGCAAATTGTCAACACATATTTGGCCTTGGTCTGTTTGTCTGGTCAGCGCTGAGAGTGAGAGAGTGTGGGGGAGGTGAGAGAGTGCAGACAGAGCGACGAGACTGTTTGTGTGTAGTTCTCGAGGAAAATGTGTGTTTTTGTGGTGAAAATGTTGAGAAACCTCTTTCTTTATTGAAATTTGGGCTCAAAATGCTCCAAAACCCTCCAGGAGTAAAAATATGCTCCAAAAACCCTCTCATAGTCAAATTTGAGCTCAAAATGCTCCAAAAACCCTCCTCGAGTCAAAAATGGTCCAAAAATCGTCATAGCTCCAAATTTGAGCTCAAAATGCTCCAAAAACCTTCCCGTAGTCAAAAATTGCTCCAAAAATCCTCCCATGGTAAAATTTGAGCTCAAAATGCTCCAAAAACCCTCCTGGAGTCAAGTAATGCTCCAAAAACCCTCCTGGAGTCAAATAATGCTCTAAAAAATCGTCCCATTTCCAAATTTAAGCTCGAAATTCTCCAAAAACCCTCCCAAATCCAAAAATCCCCAAATTTTCCAGGTGCAACTCCGACATGGATTGTCGCGGCACCTCAACAACCGCCTCAATGTGCTGTCCAACCGGTTGCAACTACAACATGTGCATTCACGTGGGTCAACAGATTTTCCATCCCCGGAGAAGTGTGGTGTTCTCATCGCTGGCCAACACAAATTTAGGCTTAGGCCTAAGCCCGGGCCTAAGCCTAGCCGATCAATGTCCAGATCCTTATCAATTGGACGTGAAATGCGTCGCCACAAAAGGCGCCAACTGGTGTTATACTGACGCGGATTGTCGAAGTGGGCTGTACACAAGGAAATGCTGTGCAACACTTTGCGGATATAATACATGTTTGATGCATTTTAATGATAAGTGGATTATTGCCTAAATTAGGCTGGGCCTAGGCTTTGGCCTAAGCCTAGGCTTAAGAGAAATGTTTGTATATATTTATTGATAAAGATTATATTTTTTCTAGATAGAGTCATTGATGTTTCTAGACCAGATTTCTGTGCTGGAAATGCTGGAATTATTGATTTCTAGCGATTGTCAGTATTTCCAGCAGTTTCAGCGCAAAATTCTGGTCTAAAAGTAATGTTTGGTCTTCTGAAACTTTCTAGAACAAAATTCCAAAATTTTGCTTTTTTCATAAGAAACCGTTTATCAAAAAACCAGAAAGACAATTACATACACACACATAAAAATAAATAGATTATTAACAAGCCTAAACCTAAGGCCCTAAAGCCCTAAGCGCACTGAAACTTTCCATCCACCGAAGCCGGCGATCCATTACAACAACTCTCCGCTCGCGGATACTTGCACACTTCCGCATTGCAAGTTTGCGACGCGGAAGCGTCACCGCTACACGAACAACTCAAAGTTGATGAGATGGTGGATGTTGTGAGGCAGGTTCGTGTGCGCGTCTGTGTTCCGCAACTTCCGCATGTGTCGTTGCAGGTTGTCCAGTCGGACCAGGTGACCCAGGAACACGTCTAGAATTTGGATTAGGCTCCGGGGAATTTTAAACTCGCCACGCCTCTGAAGTTCGAGTCAGAAAATTCGGGTTCCAAAATTTGAGAGACGTGGAATTTCAGCCCTTAACTTAGAGGCTGAAATTCAAGGTTTCAAATTTTGAGACACGTGGATTTCCAGCTTTGAATTCAGGAAGTGAAATTTCAAGTTCTAGATTTTTTCCACGTGGATTTTCAGCCAAAACCAACCTGTGGCTCAATATTGGCAGCCATAAACAAAACCAGCAAAGAAACCGTCAAAAAATGTGTCATAATTGCGAATTTTTAGTGAAAAAAAAATGGCGAACAACACAAAAATCTGTGTCAAAACCGTGGGGATTTTATACGGTTCGGCGGGTTTTTTGCAAAAAAATAGTCAGGGATTAGTGTAGGTGTCGCTGATGTGTTTTGAGTCATAAAATACGCAGTGAGTACGAAAAACAGCCGGCGATGTATGTTCACAGCTGGTGGGGAGTAGACCAATAATTGACCCATGGTTGACCAATCGACAAAATTGGTCAATGGTTGACCAACGATGGGTCAAAAATAGTTCGTTGATCAACGGTGGGTCAATATTATTGGTCAATGATGGGTCAACCATGGCTAGGCTATGAAAAGTCTCGGATTCACGAAAAAAAACATTTTCTTACAATTAAATAGCCTTTTTGTCTTAACTTCAATCAATGTAGTTCTACCATGTTCGCTTTGTTATTGGCAAATCTTGATAAATTTTGTTTTCATACATAAATTTGTTTTTAAATATTGATTCTAATTTACATTTTCCCACAAGAAACCCAGAATAATTAAGAGACATGAAACCTAATGCGATTTGTTTTATATTATTTTATCTCCTCCCAAATTCTTCAAAAAAAAGCAAAAGTTGAGGAAGAAATGTAATACTTTTAAGAAAATAAAACATTCTACAAAATTCATGTTGCCGCAGAACTGAAATTAAAATAAACGATATTTTCAAGAACTTCTCATTGTCAGCAACAAAAAATGGAGAAAAACATCTTTTCAGAAAACACAGAAAATGGGTGATAAATTAAATATTTCATTCTATTTAAAGTTCACTTTTCCATAACAAATTTGGAAATCGTGCAGTTACGTAGAATTTGAAACTTTTATTGAATTTTCATCCATTTTGGTCGTTTTCATGAATCGACTCAGATTCACTAAATTATCAAGAATATTTTTCCGTTTCTTAAATATTGACAAAAAAAGTGCGAATAATTTCAAGTTTTTTGCCAATTTCTCGCATTTTTTAGAAATGATTTTTATAATTTTTAGTAAACGTGAGGTGCATTTTTCAGCCAATTCAATTTAATGATGTTTGTTCCAGAAACAAACAGTGAAAATCATGAAATCTGACGATGGCAAATTTAATTATGGACAGAGGAGTACTGTAGAACAGAAAAGTTCACACACACACACACAGTGTACAATGCACACATGACATTTTGTTTGACGCGCAATTGTTTTTTTTTTCTTGCTCATGTTGTTTTTCTTTTCTGCTTTTCGTTATGTGTTTGGAGAAGTGGTTCTGTGTCGTACAAAGTCAAAAAATGCGAACAATCAATCTATGAATATTGTTTTCAGTGCGTTTTGGTCAGATGCCGCGTCCCCGAATACAGAAAAAGACACGAAAAAGGCTGAGTGAGTGCAAAATTTCTTTTTTTTAAATGCATACTTTTTTTTCAGAAGTGGCCAAAGCATATCCCGCGACCCATCAACAAACATTGGGTGAAAGAGTTGATTATGAATTCGGTGATTGGGATTATGCTGGTGCGTCAAGGAGAAATGATGAAGAAGATTTAGTCGAAATGGAAGAAGGTGAAACATCAAGGAGAAATTATGAAGATTCTGATGAAATTGAAGAATCCGATGATGATCAAGATGATATTGTTGAACCGCATGAAAATGAAGAAGAGCCAGTTTTGTCTCGTTGTGGTCATTCGGTATCTGATGAAGAAGACACCGGATTGTTGCATCAGGAGGAAGATTGTTTTGAGAATTACACCGAACGAGGTGGGTTCAGATTTTATTTGAGGTTTATCGAGAATTGTTGGGGGATTTGAAGGTTTTTGGGGAGTTGTGAGGATTTCAAGGGTTTTCCGGGAGTTTTTTTTGTCGTTTCCGGCGACTGTTGGAGATTTTAAAGCTTTTTGAAGATCTATGGAGTTCCAAAGATATTTCAGCGGATTTTGTTTGGAAATTTCAGAATCACTCAGCGACAAAATTTTAAAATTGTCCGATTCTGGTTTGGTAACGTTGGCTGCTTCGCTAATTGGACACGATAGCCAAACCGATGTACGATTACGGATGATCACACTTGGCGCCACCGTGCGACAGGAAGTTGAGGATATTTATGCATTTTCTCAGAAACTTTTTAAAAATATCAAAATTTGCTCAAAATGTGGTTCAAAAATAATCGCGTCGAAAAACTGGTGAATTTTTTTCCAATTTAAAAGTCATCATGTTTTTTTCTTTCAAGCTGCGGTAAAGTGGGCGTTTTCGTTCTTGCTCCTTTGATTGACCAGCTGACATATTTCGTTGAGAAAAATTTTGATGAGATTTTGGAAACTCGGGAAAGGATTAGATCTGGTGTGTTGCATGGTCACACATTGTCATCAAACTATTTTGAGAAATTCGTTGAAACATCCTCCGATAAACTCAATATTTCTTTAGTTTTAAGCCTGGATGGTGTGTGCCCGAATGGGCATTCTGAGTAAGTTTTGGAATTCTCTTAATTTGCTCGTTTCTATCAACAAATTCAGCCAACATATTTGGCCGTTCACCGGTATGAGTGTTGATTTGAAATTGGGGCACATGTCAAAAGCAACGAATTTACTTCTCTTCGGTTCTTACAATGGACCGTCAAATCCTAATACTCGAGTTATCAATACAATTGTTTCTGAAGTTTTCCCATATATCGAACGATTTAAAATGAATCACCGTGGTCGTGAAGTATCGTTTCGTATTGTGAGCGCCGTCGCCGATCAACCGGTAGTTTTTAATGTAAAATTTTGCAAACATCTACCTATTCATAGGCGAAAAGGGCTCTGTATGGTTTTCGCTCTGTGAATTCCTCATTCAGTTGTTTTTTTTGTCTTTCGAGAGGAACATTCCACAAAACCGATGCGCCCAGCCGTATTTTGAGAGGTGCTGATGATACTCACGAAGACGCTCGAAAAGGAAGGTATGGCTTCGTCAGAGGGGTTATTGCCATTATTCTTCGTTGGATTATGCCTTGGCACGTACTTTTGGACTTGTTCCACGATTTGCATGAAGGATTTTCGGTCACTATTATCAAAGGTGAAACGTGAAAATACACTAAAATGGAAAATATGAAATTTTAGAAGCTTTTCCGACACCAAAGTTCATTCCGAAGTCACAAATATTTGCTTGCGATCGAGATATTTTTTCCGATTTGGCAAAGAAGTTAGAATTACCAAAAAACTTCGAACATTTAGAGAATATGCGAAATGGTTGTACGAAACTAGACGTGAGTTGGACTCCCATTGTAAATACTTGCATCTCTCTTTACAGTACTTCCGTGTTGTTTTTTTCATCAATTCCATTTATTCCGATTGTTTTAAACCGATCGGTAGGATTGTTATTTGTGGTTTTTCTGTGTTGTCTAATCATCTTTTGACAAATGCAACGGTACTTCATGACATGATCACTAATATGTGCGAGAATATGCAAAGTTTGTTGAAAGATAAATATTCTACGTATGTTGTGATGAAATTCCATGTAAGTTTGTTCGAATATTTCTTAATAGAGTAAAAACGTGAATGTTGCAGGAGTTGCTTTTTCATCTTCCGTATGCATACAAGGAATTCGGGAATCCCGCACTTATTTCTACAGCTGGTTTTGAAACGCTATATAGATTTTTGTTATCCGACTACAATGCATCGATCACACGAAACTTCGTGAAAATCGCCAGTTCAAGGTATTCACACTTCCTTCTTTCAATTAATTATTAATGTATTCAGGTTTTTGATAAATGTTGTGGTTCGTGAAGAAATAGTGCGACGAAGTCAGAATGAAATTTTATCGGCTGAATTGAAAGAATTTCTGAAAGTTAAGTCGGATTGGAAGAAATTGCAAATGCATGCTTCGGTTCTTATTGATCAAACTACCATGGATGTAGATGATATGCTCGATGAAAGTGTTGATGAAAGTGTTGATGAAAGTGTTGATGAAAGTGTTGATGGAAGTGTTGATGAAAGTGTTGATGAAAGTGTTGATGGAAGTGTTGATGAAACTATTGATGAAACTGTTGATGTTATTTATTATTCCAAGATAATTTTCTCCTTTGGAACTCTGAACTCATTCATTTATAATACAACCAGCAATTCATATGCGAATAGCATTCTTTTTTACGAGAAAAACGGTGACAAAGCAGGAAGATTCGTTTGCGCCGTGTCTCACCAGGATGAGCTTTTTTTGATCGTTGAACCACTTATCGAGAAAAATCGAAATTTGCATTTCGAAAAATTGGAACATGATATAAGGGCGATCAACAATCAAGATGAAAAGGAATGTGGTCTGGAAATGTTGAAGGAATTGAGAGGTTATAGAGGAATAATTGAGGGATCATGGACTAATGATCGTGACGTCATCCACAGTTCAAACGTAAATGGTGTTGGTGGATTTTTAGAAAAATCCACATTTATAGTATTATTCCAGTTGAATGGATGTCCAGTTCATAAATAATAAATCTTGTGCTGTTTTTATTTCATAAATTATCATTATTTGCATTTTCTCTCATACACTTGTTTTGGGTTTCATTCCCCTTAAAAAAATTATCTGCTGTACTTCACTGTTAAACTAATCGGCGTCTTCAGGGTGAATTATAGGCTGAACTTGTCATGAAATCTTGGTCGAAGGTTAAGCTGGTAAGGTTCTTCTTCCAGGTTGAAAAATGAAAAAATGATATCTTGATTTTCAGGAGTTGGCTTCTATGGAGTCAAATAAAGATGACGGGATGCGCTCAGTTCAAGATGAAATGAAAACACCAAAGACAGGAAAGGTAACAAATTATCTATTTCGTGAGGCGCTCCATTCTAAAATACACACCAAATATTGACTATTTATCGACTATAAAATTATTTATTGAACATTGGCTATGAAAAAGTAGCCAGAAGGATTTTAAAAACTTGAAAAAACAATATTGAAGCTTTTAAAAATCGTTTTTCTGAAAACCCCTCTTTTTCCGTTTAGAGCCGAATTTTCCCCTTAATTCTCCCCAAAAAACTTTTATTTCCAGAAGGGCAAACTTCGACTTCCGAAAATCACTACAAATACCCGAAACGCCAAACGAGAAGAAACAGCCGATGAAGATGCAACAATCACTGATGGAAGGGAAGAGATACCAGAAGAACCGCACAACATTACTCAGCCGACCAAAAAAAGAACGATTTATGTGTCCGAAGACGGCGAGTATCTGCCATTTGAATTGGCTGATAAACTTTTCGGAAAGAACGAATCTCTACAAAAAGATGAGATTGAGGTATATTTTTTTGTTTAATCAATACGATTTCCTTACTTTTTTTCTTTAGATCAACCTCACTAAAGTGAATAATCATATGAAACCTTTGTCGTATCAATCATACATCGACAAAGCAAACGAATCCAAAGATCCAGAATGTAAATCGATCTACAAGCAATTGGCGCTGCAGGCTGTGTTCGTGAGTCGATTTTTCCAGAATTCGCTATATTTTGTAATTCCCACTTTAGAGGTGGAGACTGAGAAAAATAAATCATGTTCATTTGAAACAGAATATTCTAATTAGTACAATCCTCGAAGAATGTTTCTGGAAGCTTCCAAAACATTGATTTAAAAAATTCAAAGTTCAAAAAACAGTTGAACGACGTGTATAAAAGTCTATACGTACAGTATTTCGGATTTAAATGTTTGAGATGCGTCCAGAAAATTTTTTTGAGATTCGTTCTAATTAAAACATGCTATTTCGAATGAGCACAACTTATTTTTCGCTGAGACCCCACCTTTAAACCGTTGATTTATTCGGTCCGCTGGTTTTTATTGATTTTTTAACAGATAAATCGTAAAATGTCATCGTCTGATTTGAATTCTTCAACGAGTGAGAAGAAGAAAACCGCTGTGAGTCATTTATTTTTCGGGTGTGAAACTATATTACGCTTTAAAATTTTTGGTCCTAAAAATTTGAACTTTTGCAAGAATTGAAATACATTGCCCCAACTATTTGAATGTTTGAAAAAAAATTTGAATGTTTGAAAAATTTGAATGTTTGAAAAAAAATTTGAATGTTTGAAAAATTTGAATGTTTGAAAAAAAACTATTTGAATGTTTGAAAAAAAATTCAATTGTTTAAAATTAAATTTGTTCTTTAAAAAAATAACATTTTTGTTTGCGGCAGAAATTCAAGTGTTTTCTGGGGTGAGTCAATTGTATTTTTTGACGATTTATTGACAGAAAATGTGAGTGTTTTTAGTGCGATTTGTTCACGTTTTTGTATACAAAAATGAGGAATTTCAATTTGAAATTCAATTTATTTGACCTCTTTTTTGAAACGTGTCCCAAATTCACTGCTTATTTTTTGAATTCATTTCGAAATGAAAGAAAATTGAGAGAAGACAATTTTTGTTGACAATTCCAACACATATAGGTCACGTTTTAAATACAGGTCAAATAAATTCTATTTTTTATGCAATTAACCGCGTTTTTTACCAAGAAGTGAAAGCGAAGAATTGACAAAAACGTGAAATTAATCGCCCTAAAAGACTCACTTTTTTGTCAATTAATCGCAAAAAACACGTCGATTAATTCTATAGAATGCGATAGATACAAAATTCGATAGAATTAGAATAAAACACTTCGATTTCCGGTGTTTATTCCAAATTCTAATTATTTTTATTTAGCTTTGAACAAAACTTGAATACTTTCTTAGCAGACCCATTTCCTAGAAATAACGAGAATATTATTTTTCTAATTCAATATTACAGCCACTTCGATATATGTATAACTACACTGGAACCAAACATGTTCGTATCAAAACACCCGTGTTAGGAATTTTTGTGAATATTTATGACACATTGACTGATGATTATTGGAAAACATATTCGAATCAAGATTATGATAATGTTTCTCGTGCTGTAGTCAATAGAGTATTGACGACGGTGAGGTGTTTGAAATTCGTATTGAGCAAACAACGAAAATAAATATTAAATTTCATTTTTTTAGGTTTCCTTGTTCGACGACTTCTACTATATTTTCACTGGCCCTGTGAAAAGAAGCGGCAAGTATAGCCCTTTTGATGATGCTTATCTGTTAACAATGGCAGGTAATGTTTTTCAACATATTTGACTCAAATAATTTTATTTCTTCAGAAGTCATCAAAGAAGGGTCGCCGTGCCGTTTCGATTCTCAGGAAGAGGAAGTTCAACACAATTCGAACTTACTCGATGTCATTGCTTCAACTACTTCAGTCCATTTGTGAGTTCCATTTTCCAAAGCGACTTTAAATACGACATTCCACTGCTTGCCAGAAAAAATTAAATATACAAGAAGTTGAAAATCTGACTTATTTTCAACACGTATTCAAAAATAAATTGGATAGTAAAACAAACACTCAAAAATTACGTGTTTCCCATGAAAATTGTTCTATCCAGCCCTGTGCCGGAAAATTGAAACCCGGAAAACAAAGTCAGAAAATTTCTTTATTTTTTTGTAAAGGAAAATCCGAAAAATGTTTCAAGGTCTGAAATTTCGAGTTTCAGCACTCAGTTGGCCCAAAAACTTGTTGCGGGGTTTTCAAAAATTTGGCAATATTGAAGATATCACTATTAAATATCATTTTCCGGATTTTCCGAAAAAATTTTATTCCTTGAAAAAACTGGACATTCGGGAAATTTCTGATTCTATTCTTCTTTTATTAACATTCTTGCAAGGAATAGTTTCAATTCAAAAAATAGTTTCAATTTACAAAAGTCTCTTCAAAATTAATAATTTCAATTTTTCTGACATTTTTGGTAAAATTCGAAAGTATGTATACTTCAGCTCCTAAAAATGTATATTTCCAGCTATAATAGAAGAAAAGAAGCCGTTGATGCCAATCCTGATTTTCAACGCGAAATCAACGAAATGTTGGAATATGTAAAAACCAACTTCTCAAAACCATCCCGAAAATCATCAAAATCGTCAACAAGAAATGATTCGTTTGAAAATTCGAATAAAAATAGTTTGAAGATGGATAAAACGGGAAAACAACAAACTTCGCAGAGAAAACGTGCAATTTTCGAAGATTCGTCTGATGACGAAGAAGAATCCCCGAAATCATCAAAATCGTCAACAAGAAATGATTCGTTTGAAATTTCGAAGAAGAATGGTTTGAAGATAGATAACACAGGAAAACAACAAACTCCGCAAAGAAAACGTGTTATTTTCGAAGATTCGACTGATAACGAAGAAGAAAAAGAAAATGATGCACATCGCGAGGAAAAAAAAGAAAGAAAGAAAAAGAAACAAGTTCAAGAGGAAGAAGAATTATTTGAATAGTTAGTTTTATTTTGTAAATTCCTTGTTGGATTTGTTGTTTTATGATTTTATGTTTTTTCGAATTAATAAAAATTCAATTGTTGTTATTGAGCCATGAAACAACCATAGAACACCCATACCCATGATTGACCAACCATGGGTCTAACCCACTGGTACACTATTGGTCAACGACGGATGAAAATTTATTGATCAACCATGGGTCAATTATTGGTCTACTCCCCACCAGCTGTGGTTGTAGGTCATCAAAACAAAAACGAATTTTGGCAAAGGGAAAAAATATGTGGGTTTTTTATAGGCTCCAAATGTTCAGAAGATCAAAGTAGCTGCACAAAATGCGTCAGCAAAATTTAGGGCTACTGGAAATACGTCAGTGAAGTTTAAAGCTACTGGAAATGCGTCAGCAACGTTCAGAGCTACTAAAACATTTCTAGACCAGATTTCTGTGCTGAAAATTCGGGAATAATTGATTCTCAGCGATTTTCATTATTTCCAGCATTTTCAGCACAAAATTCTGATCTAGAAGACATTGTTGGGGGCTTCTGGAGCTTCCTTCTTCATAAATATTGTAAATCATTAAAAAATACACTTCAAAACATTTCTAGACAAGATTTGTGCGCTGAAAATGCTGGAATTATTGATTTCCAACGATTTTCAGCGATACCAGAATTTTCAGCACAAAATTCTGGTCTAGAAGTGAAAAATTGCGAAAAACGTGATTTTTTTATTTTCAAAAAAGTTAGCATTATCTTAATTACAGTACGCCACAGATTACTGTAGGGCCTACGTCAAACTACACTGAAAAAGTCCATCAACAGAAGCGGGTGCTCCAAAACAGCAGCTCGATTTGGGATAAACGCAAACCTGCGCGTTGCACATTTGAGATTCCGAGGAATTTCTGAAGCAAAATTTTTGGACTACGGTAATTTTTGGCGGCAAAACCAACCCTTGACACGTGGCACACGCGATTGTCGAATTGGCACAAGTTCTGAGCCGCTTCTGAGTTCCACAATTACCGCAATTCTCCGAGCAAGTCGTCCAGGACGACCAATTTGTCCAGGTGCAATTCTAGAAAAAAGGTCACGGGTTCGATTCCCCATGGGCGCTACTTGAAAATTTTTTTTTTGAAAAATCCACTAACCTGCGCCAAAATCACCGCAAAAATCGCGCCGAAAATCAAAAATCCACGCATTTTTTCGAGCAGAGCGAAAATAAATTGCTTTATTTTCTCACAATCAGAAAAAAACAGGAAAAAACCTAATCAAAAAAAATTATGCAATAAATTTGACAAAAAAAATAGAAAAGGAAAAATACACGTCAAAAAACATCAGATATTTACAATAACAATAAAAACGTGAAAATTATCGATTTTTTACGTGAAAACGTGGAAAATTATCGATTTTTCACGTAAAAACGTGGAATTTTCACGTGAAAACGTGAAATTTTCACATTTTCACTCCATTTTAAAGATACTATCATCATTTCCATTGATAGGCGGTGAAAATGTGGTCAAAATGGATTCGATGTGATCCAATGTTTTGCGGCGAGCTTCTGAAATTGGCGTCGTGCCAAAATCGTCAGATTCGAGGGGATTTAGGCCAACTTGGAGGAGGTAGATCACAATTTCGGGCTTGTTTTGGGAGACGGCCTGGAAAAAGCCATATTTAGGCTTGTTTTCAGGCCGAAACAGGATTTTTAAGCTCATTTTGGAAGTAGTTTTCAAGCCTACAAATAGGCCTTTTCAGGCCTAAACCTAGCCATATTTAGGCTCATTTTAATCCAATTTTTCAGGCCAAATTAGGCTTTTCCATCCCAAATTTCCCCAATTTCCCACGAGAAAAAACGCTCACCACATGAAGTGCCGTGCGATTATCATAATCATGTTCATTCATTTGACATCCAGCCGCTTCATAGCACTGCAAAAGATCCAAATCGCCTTGCGCAGCCGCCAAACATAGCTCAACTCCGATTTTCTGCGAATAGGCGTCGATGGATCCGCCGGCGTTTCGAATTGCTCGAACACATTCCAGATTTTTAGCTTTTACTGCGCAGACCAAGGCGTTGTAGCCAAACATATCTCTGGAAATATACGCTTGTTAGGCTTATTTTCAGGCCAAAAACTAGGCCTTTTCAGGCCTAAATATAGGTTTTTTAGGCTCGTTATTAGGCTTGAATATAGGTTCATTTTCAAGGCCAACTCAAGGATCATTCAGGCTCAAAAATCCAGATTTTCAGGCCTAAATCTAGGCTTATTTAGGTTTGTTATTAGGCTTGAATCCAGGCTCATTTTTAGGCCTATTTTCAGCTTAAAAAAAACAAGCCTTATCTAGGCTCAAAAATCCAGATTTTCAGGCCTAACTCTAGCCTTGTTTAGGCCCGTTATTAGGCTTGGATCCAGGATTGCTTATTAGGTTCATTCTAAGCTCCTAACTCTAAAATTTTTGACTTATTTTCGGGCCCAAACCTAGGTTTTTATTTTTAGGCTTATTATTAGGCTTGAATCCAGGATCATTTTCAGGAGAAAAACTAGGCATATTCAGATATGAATTTAGCTCAATATAGGCTAAGTTTTAAGCCTAACTCTAGGCTTTTCTAGGCTCAAAACTCCAGATTTCCAGGCCTAAAACTAGACTTGTTTAGGCTCGTTCTGAGCCCTGAATCTAGGCTAGTTTCCAGGCAGAAACTAGGCCTATTTAACCTCATTTTAAGCTTGAATCTAGGTCCATATTTAGGCTTAAATCTAGGCTAATTTTCAGGCCAAAAACTAGGCCTTTTCAACCCCAAATATAGACTTACTTAGGCTCATATTAAGGCCTAACTCTAGGCTTTTTCAGGATTAAATATTGGCTTTTTCAGGCCTAACTCTAGGCTTTTCTAAGCTCAAAAATCCAGATTTTCAGGCCTAAACCCAGCCTTTCCAGCCCGAAAACCCCCGCTCAAAAACCCACTTCAAATGCACATTCGTTCCAATTGTCAACAAATAATTCACCGCTTCCAAATTTCCATTTGAAGCTGCAACATGCAGTGCAGTTCTTAAATTATAGTCAGGAGCCGAGAAATTGACACCAGATCCTTTGAGTGATTTGAGCAATTTGGGATCATTGGTTTTGGCGGCATTGCAGAAAAGTGGCGGGAGAATGATATCGCGGAGCAGTTGGACTTCTTGAGACGACGAGACGCGGAGTACTTTGGCAATGTGCGGAACTGCAAGAAAATCCGGATTTTTTGGGTTTTACGGCTCAAATTTCATAGATTTTGATGAATTTCTGCATTTTTTGACACCAAATACAGTGTAGATCAGATTTTGGGCACGAAAAACTCACTAATATCCAATTCTCTCATGGCTCCTTGATTGGCAACAGTCATTTCACCTCGCAAATTTGTTTGGAGCATCTGGAAAAAAATTTGAATTAAAAAAAAAGGGTCAAGTGCGCTCCACTGATACTTCTCGAGAAGTACACACTTTTTATCAGAGAAAATGCGCTCTAATGATAATCCAAGAGAACTACACAGTGTTTTTTCAGAAGCAAACGCGCTCTAATGATACTCCTCGATAAGTACACAACCAAAAGCTCAAATTTCACCGGGCTTTTCGAATTTCCGAGAGAAAATGCGCTCTAATGATAGTCCTCGAGTACTACACAATAAAAAGCTCAATTTTCACCGGATTCTCGAATATTCAAGAGAAAACGCGCTCCAATGTACTCCTCGAGAACTACACATCGCTTTTTCTGAAGCAAATGCGCTCTAGTGATAGTCCTCGAGAACTACACAACCTGGGGGTCAAATTTCACTGGATTTTCAAAATTTCAAGAGAAAACTCGCTCCATTGATAATTCTTGAGAAGTACACCGATTTTCAATGAGAAAATGCGCTCTAATGATAATCCTCGAGAACTACACAACCAAAAGCTCAATTTTCACCGGATTTTCAACATTTTGAAGCAAAGCTCCACCGAACTTTTCAAAAATCACTCACCATTCTCTTAGTCATCGCATCCCACTCGTCTTTTCCCAAAACATAGCACAACTTTGCCATGGCGGCTTCCGAAGTCATATCAGATCCCGGAATAACTCCAATATCATACAAGATCTTGCCAGTGGCATAATTCACATCAACTTGTCCCTTTAAACATTGCGAGCAATTGATGACCATAAGTCCGCGCTCGATGGCTTCCTGGAGAGAAAATTGAGGGTTTTTGGGGTGAAAATTGGGGGTTTTCATGATTTTTTGGGCTAAAAACGTGGATTTTCGCTGATTTTTCGCTGGAACTTCAAAAAAAAAATCAATTTTAGACTCTAAAATCATAGATTCCCGAGTTTAACCAACCTTCAAAGCTTCAATAATATCCGATCTTCTAGTTGGCATATTTCCACTGCCAAAAGTCTGCAAAATAACACCCTGAGTTGGCGGCGCCAAAAACGCCTTCACAGATTCAATCGTCATCGATGGAAAGATTCGTAACATTCCAACATGCCGACACAAATTCTCATGAACAGTAAAAGCCGCAATATTATCACTGCGGAAAATCGAATCATAATTGACTTTGATATTAATCGCCATATTTGCCAATGGATGCATATTTGGGCTGTCGAAGGCTTCCAAAGCGGAGTTATCTAATTTAACAGTTCGATTTCCACGCATTAATTTGTTGTTGAAATACACACAGACTTCTGGGATATCAAAGTTTCCCGCTGTTATCAGAGCGCCGATGAGGTTTTCCATACCATCAGATCTGACTTCTGCAACTGGGATCTGACTTCCGGTGATGATCACAGGTTTTCCCAAATTCTCCATCATAAAAGACAGTGCACTGGCTGTATAAGCCAATGTATCAGTTCCATGTAGAACCACAAATCCATCATAATTATGATAAGCCTTTTTGATGTCTGACGCGATTCGAATCCAATCATCAAAGGTCATATCGCATGAATCGAGCAGTGGTTCATACTCGACAATCCAATAGACGACTCGTTTTTTCATGTGTCGAACTGGTGGAAGGGAATAGGGGCGAACGGCGACTTGCGCATAGTTTGCCTCGATGTATTGACGATCATTGAGTGGTGGGATGTCGCGGATCACTTCGGGGAGATAGCCAGCAACCGGGCAATACACTGGAAATTGAAAATTTTGTGAAAAATCTTTGGATTTTGATTGAAAACATGGGAAATGAAAATTTTTCGCGAAAAAAAAAATGAAAAGAAGTCCGAGAGAAGTACACGTCGCGGCGAGACCCATCTGGGAAATTCTGTGCGCCTTGACTTTTTATTTTCATTTTTTTGCATTTTTTGCTTGAGAATTCACGATTTTCAGACGTTTTCTTGTGAAAACACAGGATTTTGCTCGAAAATTTCCATGAGCAAAGAACATTCATGCGCCTTGAATAGCTCTACCGTAATTCAATCATCAATATTTGCTCTACCTATTGAATTCCAATTTAATCGCATTAGCGGATCTTTTCTGCGCAAATATGTGTGTATAAGAAGCCCTGAAGGTGTCAGTAAAATTTTCTCAATTTCAATTTTGAAAAAAATAGTTAAAGGTCAAAATTGATAAGAAGTGCATTTTTGCTTTAAAATTTGAATTTTACCTCCATCCGTAGATTTCATGCCAATAGTTCCACCGGTATATAAAACCAAGACGCGACTTTCAGGAAGTGCTTGCGGTTGACCCAAATGCTTGGCATTTGCTGTAGTTTCCTGCACTTCAAGCACCAATTCCTAGAAAAAAATTACATATTTGTTATCAAAGAACCGCAAATTTTCCCAACCTCAATAGGACCTTTGGCAAAAGTCACAGGATCTTCCACAAAAATCGGGACACTATTAAAAACCGGGTACAAAACACCAGCCGAAGCCATTTTCTTTATGTTAGCAGCAGAACGAAAGCAAAAAACAATATATAGAAAGAAAATGCACTGCGGACAATATGAAAAAATGTGGAGGAGGCGGAGCCTAGTGCACCCTACACATCTCTGCGCTCTCCAAATTTCGTACACTGTTTCGTTGTGAAAGCGCGGGAAAAATGTTTTGCGGATGGTTTTTCGAAATAAAAAATGTCTGCGTCTCTAGAATTCGCGTGCTATCTAGCTAGGAGGCTTGGCTTGCAAGAAATTGAACTTTTGAACTTGTTTGCTTTAAGGTTTTTTGATTGAAAGTTTCGTTGAAACGTGGCAAAAAACTTCCGAAAGTTGGAAAAATGTTTGCCACGTGGATAACGATTTTTCATTCAAAAAATCTCAACGCAGAGCCAATCCTTCTAGCTAGAGAGCACACGTTTTCTAGAGACGCAGACATTTTTTATTTCGAAAAACCTTCCACAAAACGTTTTTCCCGCGCTTTCACGACGAAAGAGCGTACGAAATTTGGAGAGCACAGGTTTCTGATCTCAAAAATCCACGGGTTCTAAAATAGTTTTCGAACCCGCCGTCCATTCCGGGTACACGGTGTGTCGTGTGTTTTTTATGAACCTAATAAAATGTGTCTGCTGGTTAACTTGAAGAAGGCATGTGTTGAATGAATATACCGTATTTCTATGGGTTTTTATGACTTGTGTTAACTCGTTTTTTCGATGATTTTTGCGCATGACGATGAAACCATTTCCTTTGATCGTACGATCTTTTAATTGGATTCGAAAGTGACATTTTGGGTACATTTTTTGAGGTCGGGGAATTCAAATTTTATCCCCAAAAAAAACTTACAGTAGCCGAAATATTGCGCATAAAAGAGCCATCCTCGTGATGATGTTGCACCAATAATTGTTTGGGCAAGTGGAATTCGTCGAGAATTTTTGAGGGTCTTCGTGTGGAAACCGGGGATGCTAGCGCTGAAAATTTGGGAGTTTTGGGCCTAATTTCAGACCTTAAGCCGAGCCTAACTCACCTCCATCACTTGTGCAAGAGCATTTTCGAACAGTATTGATTGGACACGTCGGATTTTCAGACATTTTTTGGAGGACTGAAAATTTTTTAGAATAGAATTTCTGAAATTCCCTTGAAAATCACAAAAGCCCCGATTTCCAATCAAAAATCTTCGAGTTTTCGGCTGGAAATCAAGATTTTTGTGATTTTCAGAGGAATTTCAGCGGAGATGCGGAAGCTATGCCCAAATTTCGAATTTTTAATAAAATTTTGACGAAAAATGATCGAAAATCAATAGTTTTCCCATGAAAATAACCAAAAATCAAACAATTTTTCAACATTCAAAAAGAATTTCTAAAATTTCCTTGAAAATCACAAAATTCCCGACTTCCAGTCAAAAATCTTCGAGTTTTCGGCTGGAAATCAAGCTTTTTGTGATTTTCAGAGAAATTTCAGCGGAGATGCGGAAGCTATGGCCAAATTTTGAATTTTTAATAGAATTTTGACAAAAAAAATTCAAAAATCAACAATTTTTCAAAATTCAAAAAGAATTTCTGAAATTCTTCTGAAAATCACAAAAGTCCTGATTTCCAGTCAAAAATTAAAGGATTTTTGGCTATAAATCGAGGTTTTTGTGATTTTCAGAGGAATTTCAACGGAGATGCGGAAGCTATGACCAAAAATTCAAAATTTGGTCAAAATTCAACAAGAATTTCTGAAATTCCCTTGAAAATCACAAAAATTCCGATTTACAGTCAACAATTCAAGGATTTTTGACTGGAAGTCGAGGCTTTTGTGATTTTCAGAGGAATTTCAGCGGAGATGCGGAAGCTATGCCCAAATTTTGAAAAATTCAAGATGAAAAATCAATAAACCAAAAACTGATCTTCAAACAAAACATTGAAAACGCGACAAAATTTTTTGAATGATCAATAAAAATCAAGTAACAGGTGACACAAAAAGGGGTATTCCCCCAAATTCTTATCTTTTCTCTAACAATAAGTTTTTTCATGATATCATATCAAACAAAAAACCATGAAAAAACCGATTTTCTATAAGAAAAACCAATATTTTCATGAGAAAAAGAGAAAAAAACCACTTTTTTTGCAAAAAAGAAAAAATTTCCTCGTGTTTTTTTTGCGCAGTTTCTCTGGGGCTCTCTCAAGCTCCTGTACTATTTCTCAAAAAAGCATCGAAAAATGTTTTTTTTTTCGTGAACATAGACTAGAAAAATGCGATTTTTCCGGGCAGAAACGACGAAAAACTGAAGAAAATGAGAAAAAATTTCTTATCTTTCTCTCAAAAAAAAGGTTGAGAACAGAAGTTTGTTGTTTCGATGAACTCACAATTTTTGAAAAATCTGGAAAAACTCATTTTTTGCCGGCGCAAAATTTCTAGAAATGAATGGAAATTTGAATTTCACGTCAAAAAAATATTTTTTTTTGGATTTTCAAAAATTTTCCACAGGCAGCGGGAATCGATCCCATGACCTTCTGACTCAGAACTTTCTGAGCTGAAAAGTTGCACCTCCCGGTTCTCCTTTGCTTGATATTGCAAGGAGGTTGACTTCAAAGATGGCAGTGGATTTAAACCACTAGCAAGGAAAAATAACAAAACACGGATTTTAGGCCAAACTTTATGTTTTTTGACCAAAATAAACAATGAAAATACAAATACAACTTCACGAGGAAGTGTATCAATAATAACAAAAGATGAGTTAATTACTTAACACAGAGAATTCCGAGAATTCCCTGTGAAAACAACGAAAAACCTAGAAAACACAAAAACGAAACTAAATATTTTGAAATGCACGTGGAGAGCGCACACACACACAAAATACGTCAATCTTTTACAAGATGGCGCATTTGTGGTGCACATCCTCTTGAGGATGACTTCCCCCCCTCAAGAGGTGCCGCCACGGTACCTATGACAAAACAATTAAAAACCTTGATCGATTGGATGTTGTTTGGAAGAAGCATATATGCCCAATTTGTTTCGCTTCAACATTTGAATATGCTCAATATACTTTGGCGATATGCAACCCTCATAATTTACACTTTTGACATACACCATATTGCAATTCTTCTTCATCTTTCTTTGTCTCTTTCCAGTTTCGGCTTCTTCCAACTCGATCATTCTCTTCTCCATTTCAATTCTTCGAATTTCGGCGAAATTTCTACGAAGGATCATTCCAACACTAATTTCTTCTTTTCCCAATTTTCGATCTTCATCATCATTTTGAACTTTTGCTTTTCCATTTTCATTCGATTTTTTGATCTTCAACTTTCTTCTTATCCGACTTCTCAACTTCAAACAAAGTGTCACAAAGGACATTTCCCATCCAAACTTCATCTTTTTCCAATTTTCCATTTCGATCCTCATCTTCAACTTTTGCCATTTCACTTTCTTCAACTTTTCCAACTTTTCTCTCTTCATTTTCAGATTTTTCGACTCGATCTTCATTTGCCGACGAACCATTTCTGGAAAAATAATCTGATTTCATATAATTTCCCAATTTTCCCTTTTCTTTCAAATCTTTCGCTGCGCCTCTTTCACACTTTTTATCCCAATTTTCCAATTTTTCAACATTTTTCTCATTTTCTCCCATTTTCTTTTTACTATCAAATCTCAAATAAATTCCAAATGTTCCAAAACTTTCCAATCCAAGAATCAACATATCTTCCCAACTTTGAATAACATGAAATTTCACAACTTTCTTCATATTTCTGATCTCAATCTCAATGCTCCAAACTCCAATAACATTCAATCTTTTTCCACTGCAATCATATATTGAACTTTTCGCATTTTCTTCTTTCAAAATGAATCTCTTCCAATTTTCAACATTTCTCTTCAATTTTTCCAACTTTCCCGTTGAAATCACATTAACCATCGCTCCACTATCAATCAAAATTGTCGCATATTTTCCAAATATCTTTACATTTTCCTTCATTTCTTCCCATTTTCTTCCTCTTATGGTGTTCACCTTCTTGGTTCCTGAACATTTTACAGCAATATGTCCCTCTTCACCACATATGAAGCATTTTCTCAAATCTCTTCCATTTTCTGATGCTGATTTTCCATCTTTTTTCTCTTCCGATTTCTTCTTTTCATCCTTGTACTTGTTTCTCTCCAAATCAAATTCAAATTGTAAAGCCGCAGCTTTCAACTTTTCATACTGGAATCCGTCCTTCTCATCATTCTTTTTCACCGCCAAAAGTCCCAATAAAGTCGGATTTCGCTTCGCAGCTTGCAACAACTTCGCCGTTTTGAAAATATCGACTTCCTCTTTCGACGAAGAAAATGCTTCTTTCGCAAGCGAATCAACAACGATAAGATAACCTTGAAGCGACTGATCTTGACGAATTCTCAAATCTTGCCATTTTTCGACTGCTCTTCCTCTTTGACTTGTTCTTGATGCATTCATCGCTTTCTTGAATCTTTCAACAATTTCTTTCCATGTCATTTCTTCTTTCAATTCAATCGTCTCAAATAACTTTTTAGCTTCTCCACGCAAAAATTTTGCCTTCATAACAGCTGCCATTTCCATTGAACTTTCCATATTCTGCTTATATTTCATTTCAAACAAACTCAAAAAAATCCTCCACATTTTCTTGCGGTTTTCCATAATAAATTTCAGGATCTGGCATCGTCGAGATTTTCATAAATCTTGCAACATTCATAAGTTCCTCTCGAACACTTTGTCTCGAACCTGAACTGCTCGATTTTCCCGATTTTTTGCCCCGACTACCCGCTTTTTCAACAATTTCCACTTTTTCATCTCTCAAATTCTCAATATTTCCCGCTTTTTGCTCTTTCACCCATTTTTCAACTCTTTTCTCTTTGACTTCTTCAGTATTATCGCTGCGCGAACTTCCCAAACTTTCTGACTTACAAATTTCCATACTCTTCGTTTCTCTCACAGTTCCTATCTTCAACAAATCTTCAACTTTTCTCAATGTCTCGTCCATTTCATTTCCATTTTCAACAATATCCAAATTTATCATTCGCACACTCGGCGTTGGTGATAATTCTCTCTTCTTCTCATTCTCCATTTTCAATTTCATCATCAATTCATCTTTTTGCTTCATCAAAACCATCATTTCTTCGAATTTCTGCTCATATCTCTTCAATTTCTCGTTTTTCTTCCAAATCTCTTCCTCATTATTCTCCAATTTTCCATTCAACTCTTCAACCTGCAAAATAAACTTTTGTCTTTCTTCCTTGACATTTTTCTCAATGTTTTCAAGTTTCTCACCATTTTCTCTTTCCCAAATAACCAATTCTGTTCCTTTCTCCATCAATTGTGCCAATTTCTTCACATTGGTCTTGTTTCCTCTTCTCAAATATCGCAAACATCTCCACTCATCCCGATTCGGCATTTGCGCCCACTTTTCCTTGACCATCCCGCGCAAATCCTCTACTCGTTGTTCGACTTTCTTCATCAACGGATTCAATACGACATCCGCTTGTCTTTCACTCAATTTCCATTTCTTCGCCTCTTCTCGAGCTTCTTGTGCAATCATAATCCAATCCGCTGCTTTCTCATCAAATATCATATCAATATCCTCCTCATGTCCCGTTGAATCCTCCAATCCACTGCTCACTGATCCAATGTGTTGCATAGTTTCGCTTGCCGCAGCCATTTTCGATGTCGAATTCTCCACTAGTCCAAAATATCCAATATCCTTTTGACAATCGAACAATTCCTTAACTCCAGTCCTGAAACTAGGAAAGGATCACTAGGAACGTGTTCAAAAATCAAAAAAATCGACGAATACACGAAGTTGAATAGATTTGGGGTTGTGGTTGGTTCGGCCCCCAAGTTGCACCTCCCGGTTCTCCTTTGCTTGATATTGCAAGGAGGTTGACTTCAAAGATGGCAGTGGATTTAAACCACTAGCAAGGAAAAATAACGAAACACGGATTTTAGGCCAAACTTTATGTTTTTGACCAAAATAAACAATGAAAATACAAATACAACTTCACGAGGAAGTGTATCAATAATAACAAAAGATGAGTTAATTACTTAACACAGAGAATTCCGAGAATTCCCTGTGAAAACAACGAAAAACCTAGAAAACACAAAAACAAAACTAAATATTTTGAAATGCACGTGGAGAGCGCACACACACACAAAATACGTCAATCTTTTACAAGATGGCGCATTTGTGGTGCACATCCTCTTGAGGATGACTTTCGTGTTTGAAGAAAGCTCTGGAAAAAGATTCGAAAATGTTTAATTTGTTGCAGAAAAAGGATTTTCTAAAAGTGATCAGGTATTTTAGCCTTTTACTAACCTTCATTGGGATTGTATTTGAGCTGCAATTCTTGCATTTGTCTTTGCATGTTGGATGTTGGGATGTTGGATGTTTGTTGATTCTTTGGATGTTGATTCTGCATCATTAGCGAAGGCATTTTGTTGTTGGGCAAGCATTGCTTGTTGCTGTTGTGGATGTGCTACAATTGCTGGTGAAGGAGCTGCTACTGGTGTTGGCACCTTCGATAAAAAAGTTTGAATGATATTCAGAAGTCGTTCAACTTCTTTATTGTGCGCAACGTTTATTTCATCCAATTGTTTCTGAAAACGATCATCGGTGCGACGCAAATCTTCTCGAAGCGCAGCAATCGAACTTTGGTATTCCAGCTGAATTTTAAATTGATTTTGATTTCATAAGCATTTTTTTCGGGAGTCTAACTAACCTTCAAACCATCGATAGCTTTTGACAAATTATCGCAATAAGCAGGTGAAAGCTGGGTAAATGTAACATGAACTGCATTTTTCCTGACGAAAACTGCTCACAACCACAGTTCGCATCATTTTCTATCAACTAAATACACTTCTGAAATTTGAAAACACTTTTTGAGAGCTGAAAATCATGATTTCGTCAGCGCAAAAAGGAAAGGATGACAATGTTTTAAATGAGCGCCACCTAGGGCTCTGTGTTTGTGCGTCGCCGTGTTTGCGGATTTCTTTGTAGTTCTCGAGGAGGATTTTGAAATTGTTTTTTTTTTCTTTTTGAGACTAGAATTCTGTTTGTGTTTTCTATTCTGCAGCTCCTTTTCGCGTCAGCGCGTAGCAAATTTGTTGATCTCCTCTTACCAACAATGTTTTCTATAATATTCCAATTCGTTATCATCGCTTATTATTTCAGGCCAAATGAAAGAAGCAATTGCGATTCAAAGTGTTTCGGGAGAGCAAAAGAGATAAATCGATTCGAATGGTTCATTAGATGAAAAAAGAATTTGAAGAAATTTATGTCACCTACAATTTGGCATATTTGGGAACTCAACAACTTGCGAGTGAAACCGTTCAATTACCACCAACAACTGTTGATAAATGTGTCAAAATTCCAGGTATGTATATTTTTTTCGTTGAACTGTGTGATAGGAAAAAAACGTCACGTGGCAATCAATTTTTCCAGGGATCTATTCACAAGTCGTCAGACTATCCGCAGCCGAACAAAAAACGTATGATGAAATCGAATTCGATGTTGCCGAATTCCGCGATAGTGTTTGTACCAAACATCTTCCAACCGAAGTTAAGAAAACACTTTTGTTGCGTCGTTGGAGAGAACAATCATTGGCGTTGCACGGAATCGAGGAAGCTTTCTATGGATCAGGAAGTTAATGGTAGATTTTGAATTCGAATCGTTCCTCATATGCAACCAAAGATGGAAATTCTGAGCAGATTTTGATGGAAGTGGATTTAATTGGATGGGAGATGCGGGGCCGAATGATCCCGATTTTTTGAAGATATGGAAAACTTTGAAGCGCGAAATATCAAGGATAGACAACTTTGAAGCGCGAAATATCAAGGATGGACAAATTTGAAGCGGGAAATGTCAAGGTGATTTTTTTTTGTTGTCAATTTTTCAAAATAAATAAAAATTATATAATTGTTATAAAATTCATGAAAAATTAGTATTTGAAAAAATGAAAAAAAAATAAAAATTCACAAGTAAAAAGATATAAAAAATAGTTACTTTTCAATTATACCCGCATAAAATTTATCATAAAAATTGGCATCTTGCAAAGTTTCGGAGCAACGGCGAAATCTTCCGAGCTGTTTGAAGATCGTTTTCAGCTCTTTTCTTCTTTTCGGCGTTAGAAGGTTTTTTGGGCAGATCGGCTCCTCAATCAATTTATTTGCCAAATATTCGATCCAATACAAGTTGGTGGTTGGGTGGAAATCTTGCCAATTTCGATTGTTGTTGAACCTCATCCGGCGGTAAACATCAAATTGGAGATCGTTTTGTCCTTCGAAAATTTCCTCATCGTTTTCCAAGTTAAAAAAGACGGTTGTTCCATCTTTTTTGATTCGACTGAGGGTGAAGTCGATAATATTCGTCTTGATGCCGAATGAGTTGATTGAAATCGGATTCGCATTCAGTTTATATTCCAATTTGTCAGTTTTTTCAACTTTTTCAATAAGAACATTGCCCAAATGCAAATCGCGATGTTCAAATTCCAACTCATTTTCGGCAACAATGAGTGACAACATAAGTTGACACAATATTGATCGAACTTCATTTTCTGTGGACACAATAAACGATTCCAAATCACTTCCGCCATTTGCCGTCACGAATGCTATATATAGTTGTTTGTCCGTGGAATATCCAGCTGGTCGATCGTTCAACGATTCTTTCATATCAGCATACATATCCCAGGCTTTTGTCAATCCAGTTGGATATTTTCCACGAACCATATAACAATCGACGACGGTGATGAAGTTCGGCGTGGAATTGTTTGAAGTTGGGTTGTTGAGTTTGGAAAGTTCTTTCAGAACTACAACTTCGGGCAAAACCAGCGCACAACTTGGCATCTTTCCACCATTGTATTGGCCATTGAATAATGGCTTCGCTTCATCGGCCTCGATCGGCACGATCTTGATTGCCACCCTTCTTCCCTTCATAACCGTTGCGTAGACTTCGCCATATGCTCCTTCTCCCAGCTTCTTGACATTGGTCGCGGTAAATGTCCTGGAAAATTTGAATTTTTTGATAATCAAAACTTTGCAAAAAACGTACCCTCTCGGAAATTGAGTCCATTTCTTCGGTTCCGTCTGGCCAACAACATGTAACAACTGATCAAAGGGCGATGAATCTGATCCGAGTGTTAAATTCGCCATATAAAATGGAAGATCATCTTCATCATCCATATGAACAGTCATCGCAGTCGTTGGCCTTGACGGCCCCTCCAAACATGGATCAAAATCATTAACCGCTCCCAAATGTCCATCATCATCCTCTTCATCATCAATAATGGCAGCCAGGACAACCGGTTGTTTTTTCGGTCGCCCTGACTGCTTTCCACTCCACACTGGCAACACATCCTTTCTCCTGGTGGTAATATTAACTGTCGATTGAAATGTGTTAGTAGTCATTTTTTGTCTCAATGACACACGTTCCCCATTCACTCCTTCTTCATGGGTCAATTGAATATTTTCCTGAAAAAAAACCATTGATGCAGAATTCTCACGTTGAAAAAAGAGCCTACCGGGGTTATTTCGATTTCGCGCCCTCTTCGCTTTTGTGTTGTTTTTGGTGGAGGCGGGTTCTTGCGCGGCATCTGAAAAAAAAACAATTAGAAATTAGAAATATCTTGAGCATACATGTTTTTGGTCCGGAAAAGTATAAAATAGGGTCGTTAACTTTTTTATTTTTCATGAAAAATAGGTCCTTAACTTTTTAGAAAAAAATTATTATTAATTTCTCAAGTCATCAAAATTACCTCTGCATCAGCTTCTTCTTTCAAAGAGGAGCAGGGTTTCCACAAAAATTTCGCCTTCTTTCATTCTGCATCACGCGAAATATTTCAATATCTCTCAACGCCGACAGTTCGCTGGTAGCGCCACACACCATATCTCTCATTGCAGCTGGCTCCGCCCACTTTTCTTTTCTTTTGTTTTTCTTTTTTTTTTCGCAGAAAATTCAAATCAAAAGCAAAACTTAACAGCTTAACGGCAACCAAATGAGCTAAAAATTTTCACAGCTCTACTTCAAGATATTTCGCAGGGTTCGAAAACCTAAAATCCTCCAATAAAGACCGTTTTAAGGGAAATAAAGACCTATCCGGAAAAGTATAGGATGACACTATACTTTTCCGGATAGGTCTTTATTTCCCCTTAAAACGGTCTTTATTGGAGGATTTTAGGTTTTCGAACCCTGCGAAATATCTTGAAGTAGAGCTGTGAAAATTTTTAGCTCATTTGGTTGCCGTTAAGCTGTTAAGTTTTGCTTTTGATTTGAATTGTCTGTGAAAAAAAAACGAAAAAAAAAGAAAAAAGATGAGTACGTGTGTTGCATAACAAGGGAAAACAAAGGAGGAGAAAACAACGGGAGCAGAGCAGTCGGTTAGCCTCGCGCTTTCTAATCCAGCTACAAAGGTACGGTTCTGAGCTAGATCTTTTACTTTGATTTTTGGAAGTATTTCTGTTCTTCATTTTTCCGGTGGAGGGTCTTTAACTTTTTCATTTTTGACAAAAAGGGGTCCTTAACCCGAAGGGCCTTCCGGATAGAAAAACATGTATGATCTTGAGCCATTTTTATATCATTAGAAAGTTTTTCCGGGCTCCAAAAAAATTACAAATTTCCTGAGCCATTTTTATTTCATTTGAAAAGTTTTCCGGGCTCCAAAAAAAATACAAATTTCCTGAGCCATTTTTTTATCATTTGAAAGTTTTTCCGGGTTCCAAAAAAAAATACAAATATCTTGAGCCATTTTTTTATCATTTGAAAGTTTTTCCGTGCTCCAAAAAAAATACAAATTTCCTGACATGGAATGCTATCCAAAATTCCCCCCTGAAAATTCCTGTTATTATGCGGATTTTTTAGGTCCTGGTAGGTTATGAAAAATCCCAAAGGGATTTTGTCTACAAAAATTTCTAACAAAAGTTTCTGGGGGTCGAAATTTTTTGGGACCCAAAAAATTTTTTTCACCTTAAAAAATTCGTAACTTGGTTCAAACTCAACTATTTTGGTCGATCAAAAACGCATTCTAAAGCTAAAACCATGATATTTAATAAAAAATTAGACCTACTAACATATATTTTGATTTTCACATCGAAAGTGACCAAAAATTGAGGTCACCTCAAAAAAAAATTTCCAAGTTCGGCATGATAGGGCAAAAATCAGAATGTCTAGTGTGATTTTTCGAACTCCTCGCACAAAGTTACGTATATGGACATATTAAAATCATATGGTCCCGCACCTCCGAGAGGCATTTTATTATCGATTTTGTGTTTTTTCTCTTAAAAAAGTGCGTTTTAGCAAGGCGAACTTACTGGTTAAGTTGCAGATGCATAGGTTATTGGTCAGAAGGCCACAGGTTCGATCCCCGTAGCCAACATTTTTTTTATTTTCAAAAAAAAATTATTTTTTGTTTCGAGATAGCCACACTACCAAAAATCATCTAGGAATTTTTTAAGTTTCCTGGAAGTCGGGGACCATTACTAAAAATCATACGTTAGTTTATAAATTTTATGAGAGGCCCGCCTCCTTGACATTAATGGCATCAAGACGCAGAATCGTTGTATAAATGATCTCAAGGCGCGCAACTTCTTGAAATAAAAAACCTGGAAGCGGAACCATCCTTGAAATGAATTATCTAAAGTCGCGGCTCCTTGGATGAAAAGTTTCAAGACGCTGGGTCTCTACATAAATTATTTCAAGACGCTGCTGCTCAACATAAAAGGTTCCCAAGGCCCTTACTGTTTCTTGTGTCTCGGTGAAGGTGCTATGCCTTCAGATCATTCATGCCAAGGAGGCGGGCCTCTCATAAAATTTATAAACTAACGTATGATTTTTAGTAATGGTCCCCGACTTCCAGGAAACTTAAAAAATTCCTAGATGATTTTTGGTAGTGTGGCTATCTCGAAACAAAAAATAATTTTTTTTTGAAAATAAAAAAAATGTTGGCTACGGGGATCGAACCTGTGGCCTTCTGACCAATAACCTATGCATCTGCAACTTAACCAGTAAGTTCGCCTTGCTAAAACGCACTTTTTTAAGAGAAAAAACACAAAATCGATAATAAAATGCCTCTCGGAGGTGCGGGACCATATGATTTTAATATGTCCATATACGTAACTTTGTGCGAGGAGTTCGAAAAATCACACTAGACATTCTGATTTTTGCCCTATCATGCCGAACTTGGAAATTTTTTTTTGAGGTGACCTCAATTTTTGGTCACTTTCGATGTGAAAATCAAAATATATGTTAGTAGGTCTAATTTTTTATTAAATATCATGGTTTTAGCTTTAGAATGCGTTTTTGATCGACCAAAATAGTTGAGTTTGAACCAAGTTACGAATTTTTTAAGGTGAAAAAAATTTTTTGGGTCCCAAAAATTTCGACCCCCAGAAACTTTTGTTAGAAATTTTTGTAGACAAAATCCCTTTGGGATTTTTCATAACCTACCAGGACCTAAAAAATCCGCATAATAACAGGAATTTTCAGGGGGGAATTTTGGATAGCATTCCATGTCAGAGAAAATGCGCTCTAATGATAATCCTCGAGAAGTACACAGCGTTTTTCTGAAACAAACACGCTCTAATGATAAATCTCGAGAACTACACAACCAAAAGCTCAATTTTCGTCGGATTTTCAAAATTTCAAGACAAAATACGCTCCAATGTACTCAGAGAGAACTACACAGCGCTTTTCTGAAGCAAACACGTTCTAATGATAGTCCTCGAGAAGTACATAGTGTTTTTCCGAGGAAATTCGCTCCATTGATAATCCTCGAGACTACCAAACCTTGGGGTCATTTTTCACCGAATTTTCAAAATTCCTGAGAGAAAACGCGCTCTAATGATAGTCCTCGAGAAGTACACAACCAAAAGCTCAATTTTCACCGGATTTTCAACATTTTTAAGCAAACGCGCTCCACCGAACTCACCATTCTCTTAGTCATCGCATCCCACTCGTCTTTTCCCAAAACATAGCACAACTTCGCCATGGCGGTTCCGAAGTCATATCAGATCCCGGAATAACTCCAATATCATACAAGATTTTGCCAGTCGCGTAATTCACATCGACTTGTCCCTTTAAACATTGCGAGCAATTGATGACCATAAGTCCGCGCTCGATGGCTTCCTGGAGAGAAAATTGAGGGTTTTTGGGGTGGAAAATAGAGGTTTTCATGGTTTTTTGGGCTAGAAACGTGGATTTTCGCTAAATTTCTTTGAAAATTCAGAAAAAAATCAATTTTGGACTGTAAAATCATAGATTTCTCAGCTTAACCAACCTTCAAAGCTTCAATAATATCCGATCTTCTAGTGGGCATATTTCCACTGCCAAAAGTCTGCAAAATAACACCCTGAGTTGGCGGAGCCAAAAACGCCTTCACAGATTCAATCGTCATCGATGGAAAGATTCGTAACATTCCAACATGCCGACACAAATTCTCATGAACAGTAAAAGCCGCAATATTATCACTGCGGAAAATCGAATCATAATTCACTTTGATATTAATCGCCATATTTGCCAAAGGATGCATATTTGGGCTGTCGAAGGCTTCTAAAGCGGAATTATCCAATTTAACAGTTCGATTTCCACGCATTAATTTGTTGTTGAAATACACACAGACTTCTGGGATATCAAAGTTTCCCGCTGTTATCAGCGCGCCGATGAGGTTTTCCATACCATCAGATCTGACTTCTGCAACTGGGATTTGACTTCCGGTGATGATCACAGGTTTTCCCAAATTCTCCATCATAAAAGACAGTGCGCTGGCTGTATAAGCCAATGTATCAGTTCCATGTAGAACCACAAATCCATCATAATTATGATAAGCCTTTTTGATGTCTGACGCGATTCGAATCCAATCATCAAAAGTCATATCGCACGAATCGAGCAGTGGTTCATACTCGACAATCCAATAGACGACTCGTTTTTTCATGTGTCGAACTGGTGGAAGGGAATAGGGACGAACGGCGACTTGCGCATAGTTTGCCTCGATGTATTGACGATCATTGAGTGGCGGGATGTCGCGGATCACTTCGGGGAGATAGCCAGCAACCGGGCAATAAACTGGAAATTGAAAATTTTGTGAGAAAACTAGAGATTTTAATTCAAAACATGGGTTTTTGCGCGGAAAATGAAAATTTTTCGCGAAAAAAAAATGAAAAGAAGTCCGAGAGAAGTACACGTCGCGGCGAGACCCATTCGGGAAATTCTGTGCGCCTTGATTTTTATTTTCATTTTTTTGCATTTTTCGCCTGAAAATTCACGATTTTCAGACATTTTCTTGTGAAAAAAGCCATTTTCAAAAGAAAACACGGAATTTCGCTCGAAAATTTCCATGAGCAAAGAACATCCATGCGCCTTGAATAGTTCTACCGTAATTCAATCATCAATATTTGCTCTACCTATTGAATTCCAATTTAATCGCATTAGCGGATCTTTTCTGCGCAAATATGTGTGTATGAGAAGCTCTGAAGGTGTCACTAAAACTTTCTCAATTTCAATTTTGAAAAAAAACAGTTAAATTTTTAAAGGTCAAAATTGATAAGAAGTGCATTTTTGCATTTAAATTTGAAATTTACCTCCATCCGTAGATTTCATGCCAATAGTTCCACCGGTATATAAAACCAATACACGACTTTCAGGAAGTGCTTGCGGTTGACCCAAATGCTTGGCATTTGCTGTAGTTTCCTGCACTTCAAGCACCAATTCCTAGAAAAAAATTACATATTTGTTATCAAAAAACCGCAAATTTTCCCAACCTCAATAGGACCTTTGGCAAAAGTCACAGGATCTTCCACAAAAATCGGGACACTATTAAAAACCGGGTACAAAACACCAGCCGAAGCCATTTTCTCTAGCAGCAGAACGAAAGCGAAAAAAAAAACAATATATAGAAAGAAAATGCACTGCGGACAATATGAAAAAAATGTGGGGAGGAGGCGGAGCCTAGTGCACCCTACACATCTCTGCGCTCTCCAAATTTCGTGCACTCTTTCGTTGTGAAAGCGCGGGAAAAATGTTTTGCGGATGGTTTTTCGAAATAAAAAATGTCTGCGTCTCTAGAAATCGTGTGCTATTATTGAATTAAAAACACGTGAGAAATAAAAAAGTAGGTCAAGTGACGTGGATTTAAAAACAGTATAGGTAGCCATGTCGTCAATTGCGATGCGGTTCTGCGTTGCGTGTTGCCCTCGATATTTTCCATTGGATTTTCCAAATTTTCATTTCTAAAAACGTGTCGCTCACACGCATCGCAATTGACGACATGGCTACCTATACTGTTTTTAAATCCACGTCACTTGACCTAGTTTTTTATTTCTCACGTGTTTTTAATTCAATAATATCTAGCTAGGAGGATTGGCTTGCAAGAAATTGAACTTTTGAACTTGTTTGCTTTGAGATTTTTTATTGAAAATTCGTTGAAATGATCCTTCACAAAGTTGGAAAAATGTTTTTTCAACGATTTTTCATTCAAAAAACCTCAACGCAGAGCCAATCCTTCTAGCTAGAGAGCACACGATTTCTAGAGACGCAGACATTTTTCCCGCGCTTTCACGACGAAAGAGCGTACGAAATTTGGAGAGCACAGATTTCTGATCTCAAAAAAATCCACGGGTTCTAAAATAGTTTTTGAACCCGCCGTCCATTCCGGGTACACGGTGTGTCGTGTCGTGTGTTTTTTTTTATGAACCTAAATGGGTGTCATAAAATGTGTCTGCTGGTTAACTTGAAGAAGGCATGTGTTGAATGAATTTCCCTATTTTATGACTTGTGTTAACTCGTTTTTTGATGATTTTTGCGCATGACGATGAAACCATTTCCTTTGATCGTACGATCTTTTAATTGGATTCGAAAAAATCAAAGTGACATTTTGGGTACATTTTTTGAGGTCGGGGAATTCGGCAAACTGCATTTTATCCCTAAAAAACTTACAGTAGCCGAAATATTGCGCATAAAAGAGCCATCTTCGTGATGATGTTGCACCAATAATTGTTTGGGCAAGTGGAATTCGTCGAGAATTTTTGAGGGTCTTCGTGTGGAAACCGGGGATGCTAGGGCTGAAAATTTGAGAGTTTTGGGCCTTAGACCTTAAGCCCGAGCCTAACTCACCTCCATCACTTGTGCAAGAGCATTTTCGAACAGTATTGATTGGACACGTCGGATTTTCAGACATCTTTTGGAGAACTGAAAAAATTTTAGAATAGAATTTCTGAAATTCCCCTGAAAATCACAAAAGTCCCGACTTCCAGTGAGAAATTCGCAAGTTTTTGACTAGAAATCGAGGCTTTTGTGATTTTCAGAGAAATTTCAGCGGAGATGCGGAAGCTATGCCCAAATTTTGACGAAAAATAATCAAAAATCAACAATTTTTCAAAATTCAAAAACAATCTCTGAAATTCCTCTGAAAATCACGAAAACCCCGACTTACAGTGGGAAATTTGCTAGTTTTTGACTGGAAATCGCGGCTTTTGTGATTTTCAGAGGAATTTCAGCGGAGATGCGGAAGCTATGCTCAAATTTTGAATTTTAAATAAAATTCTGACGAAAAATAATCAAAAATCAATAGTTTTCCCATAAAAATAATCAAACATTCACGAAAAAAAAGCAAAAATCAACAATTTTTCAAAATTCAAATAGAATTTCTGAAATTCCCCTGAAAATCACAAAAATTCCGATTTCCAATCAAAAATCTTCGAGTTTTCGGCTGGAAATCAAGATTTTTGTGATTTTCAGAGAAATTTCAGCGGAGATGCGGAAGCTATGCCCAAATTTTGACGAAAAATAATCAAAAATCAACAATTTTTCAAAATTCAACAAGAATTTCTGAAATTCCCCTGAAAATCACAAAAATTCTGATTTCCAGTCAAAAATCTTCGAGTTTTCGGTTGGAAATCAAGATTTTTGTGATTTTCAGAGAAATTTCAGCGGAGATGCGGAAGCTATGTCCAAATTTTGAATTTTTAATAAAATTTTGACGAAAAATAATCAAAAATCAATAGTTTTCCCATAAAAATAATCAAACATTCACGAAAAAAAAGCAAAAATCAACAATTTTTCAAAATTCAAATAGAATTTCTGAAATTCCCCTGAAAATCACAAAAATTCCGATTTCCAATCAAAAATCTTCGAGTTTTCGGCTGGAAATCAAGATTTTTGTGATTTTCAGAGAAATTTCAGCGGAGATGCGGAAGCTATGCCCAAATTTTGACGAAAAATAATCAAAAATCAACAATTTTTCAAAATTCAAAAACAATCTCTGAAATTCCTCTGAAAATCACGAAAACCCCGACTTACAGTGGGAAATTTGCTAGTTTTTGACTGGAAATCGCGGCTTTTGTGATTTTCAGAGGAATTTCAGCGGAGATGCGGAAGCTATGCTCAAATTTTGAATTTTAAATAAAATTCTGACGAAAAATAATCAAAAATCAATAGTTTTCCCATGAAAATAACCAAAAATCAACAATTTTTCAAAATTCAACAAGAATTTCTGAAATTCTTCTGAAAATCACAAAAATTCCGATTTCCAGTCAACAATTCAAGGATTTTTGACTAGAAATCGAGGCTTTTGTGATTTTCAGAGAAATTTCAGCGGAGATGCCACTGTATTTTTTCTTGCCAGTTCTGAGAGACGCAGACTTTAACGTGGGCAGACAAATCTCTCGCCGAAAAAGGGAGAGAAATAGTGTGTGGCAGACACACATCGTGTCGAGACCAGCCTCTTTCTCTCTCTGTCTGCGTCTCCTCGGAATTGCATTTTTCTATTAGAAAAAAACACAGTGATGCGGAAGCTATGTCCAAATTTTGAATTTTTAATAAAATTTTGACGAAAAATAATCAAAAATCAATAGTTTTCCCATAAAAATAATCAAACATTCACGAAAAAAAAGCAAAAATCAACAATTTTTCAAAATTCAAATAGAATTTCTGAAATTCCCCTGAAAATCACAAAAATTCCGATTTCCAATCAAAAATCTTCGAGTTTTCGGCTGGAAATCAAGATTTTTGTGATTTTCAGAGGAATTTCAGCGGAGATGCGGAAGCTATGCCCAAATTTTGACGAAAAATAATCAAAAATCAACAATTTTTCAAAATTCAAAAACAATCTCTGAAATTCCTCTGAAAATCACGAAAACCCCGACTTACAGTGGGAAATTTGCTAGTTTTTGACTGGAAATCGCGGCTTTTGTGATTTTCAGAGGAATTTCAGCGGAGATGCGGAAGCTATGCTCAAATTTTGAATTTTAAATAAAATTCTGACGAAAAATAATCAAAAATCAATAGTTTTCCCATAAAAATAATCAAACATTCACGAAAAAAAAGCAAAAATCAACAATTTTTCAAAATTCAAATAGAATTTCTGAAATTCCCCTGAAAATCACAAAAATTCCGATTTCCAATCAAAAATCTTCGAGTTTTCGGTTGGAAATCAAGATTTTTGTGATTTTCAGAGAAATTTCAGCGGAGATGCGGAAGCTATGCCCAAATTTTGACGAAAAATAATCAAAAATCAACAATTTTTCAAAATTCAAAAACAATCTCTGAAATTCCTCTGAAAATCACGAAAACCCCGACTTACAGTGGGAAATTTGCTAGTTTTTGACTGGAAATCGCGGCTTTTGTGATTTTCAGAGGAATTTCAGCGGAGATGCGGAAGCTATGCTCAAATTTTGAATTTTAAATAAAATTCTGACGAAAAATAATCAAAAATCAATAGTTTTCCCATAAAAATAATCAAACATTCACGAAAAAAAGCAAAAATCAACAATTTTTCAAAATTCAAATAGAATTTCTGAAATTCCCCTGAAAATCACAAAAATTCCGATTTCCAATCAAAAATCTTCGAGTTTTCGGTTGGAAATCAAGATTTTTGTGATTTTCAGAGAAATTTCAGCGGAGATGCGGAAGCTATGCCCAAATTTTGACGAAAAATAATCAAAAATCAACAATTTTTCAAAATTCAAAAACAATCTCTGAAATTCCTCTGAAAATCACGAAAACCCCGACTTACAGTGGGAAATTTGCTAGTTTTTGACTGGAAATCGCGGCTTTTGTGATTTTCAGAGGAATTTCAGCGGAGATGCGGAAGCTATGCTCAAATTTTGAATTTTAAATAAAATTCTGACGAAAAATAATCAAAAATCAATAGTTTTCCCATGAAAATAACCAAAAATCAACAATTTTTCAAAATTCAACAAGAATTTCTGAAATTCTTCTGAAAATCACAAAAATTCCGATTTCCAGTCAACAATTCAAGGATTTTTGACTAGAAATCGAGGCTTTTGTGATTTTCAGAGAAATTTCAGCGGAGATGCCACTGTATTTTTTCTTGCCAGTTCTGAGAGACGCAGACTTTAACGTGGGCAGACAAATCTCTCGCCGAAAAAGGGAGAGAAATAGTGTGTGGCAGACACACATCGTGTCGAGACCAGCCTCTTTCTCTCTCTGTCTGCGTCTCCTCGGAATTGCATTTTTCTATTAGAAAAAAACACAGTGATGCGGAAGCTATGTCCAAATTTTGAATTTTTAATAAAATTTTGACGAAAAATAATCAAAAATCAATAGTTTTCCCATAAAAATAATCAAACATTCACGAAAAAAAAGCAAAAATCAACAATTTTTCAAAATTCAAATAGAATTTCTGAAATTCCCCTGAAAATCACAAAAATTCCGATTTCCAATCAAAAATCTTCGAGTTTTCGGCTGGAAATCAAGATTTTTGTGATTTTCAGAGGAATTTCAGCGGAGATGCGGAAGCTATGCCCAAATTTTGACGAAAAATAATCAAAAATCAACAATTTTTCAAAATTCAAAAACAATCTCTGAAATTCCTCTGAAAATCACGAAAACCCCGACTTACAGTGGGAAATTTGCTAGTTTTTGACTAGAAATCGAGGCTTTTGTGATTTTCAGAGGAATTTCAGCGGAGATGCGGAAGCTATGCGCAAATTTTGAAAAATTCAAGATGAAAAATCAATAAACCAAAAACTGATCTTCAAACAAGACATTGAAAACGCGACAAAATTTTTTGAATGATCAATAAAAATCAAGTAACAGGTGACACAAAAAGGGGTATTCCCCCAAATTCTTATCTTTTCTCTAACAATAAGTTTTTTCATGATATCATATCAAACAAAAAACCATGAAAAACCGATTTTCTATAAGAAAAAACCAATATTTTCATGAGAAAAAAGGAAAAAAACCACTTTTTTGCAAAAAGGAAAAAATTTCCTCGTGTTTTTTTTGCGCAGTTTCTCTGGGACTCTCTCAAGCTCCTGTACTATTTCTCAAAAAAGCATCGAAAAATGTTTTTTTTCGTGAACATAGACTAGAAAATGCGATTTTTCCGGGCAGAAACGACGAAAAATTGAAGAAAATGAGAAAAATGTCTTATCTTTCTCTCTCAAAAAAAGGTTGAGAACAGAAGTTTGTTGTTTCGATGAACTCACAATTTTTGAAAAATCTGGAAAAACTCATTTTTTGCCAGCCCAAAATTTCTAGAAATGAATGGAAAAAATTTTTTTTCACGTAAAAAAATATTTAAATTTTTTGGATTTCAAAAATTTTCTGCAGGCAACGGGAATCGATCCCCTGGCCTTATGAGCTGAAATTTCAATCTGAAAAAAACTATGACACGTGGAAAAAAAAAATTCTCCGCAGGCAACGGGAATCGATCCCCTGACCTTCTGACTCAAAATTTTCAGTTCCAAAATCGAATTTTCTCCTGAACACTTATGATAAGTTTTTCAGTCAAATTTTAAATTTGACTGAAAAATCGGAGTTTTTGAACCAGAATTTATTAGCTGTAAAAATCCACAAATTTTTGGGCGCTAGTTTGATCCAAATAATGAAGATGAATTCAAGCTATTTCGAAGAAATGAAAATTAACAGTATTTAAAACTTTATGTACATATATTGTAAATCAATTGTTTGGAGGTGGAACAGAAGGAGCAGGATTCATATTTTGTCTTGTTGTGCTCATAAATTGCAAAGATCGATCACTTATCCGATTTTCTCTTCTAAAACAAGGGATTTTTTCAAATAAAATCCTTATTCGTTTGAAATTGGCAACTGTATAAGTAGTTGGAAAAATGAAATTAATGCTTGTTAGAGAATTGCACAAAAAACTTTTGAAAATCTTATCTCGACTATCATTTTCGACTCGAATAAAAAGAATCACCAAAGTTGCAAAATATTTGAAAGTAAACGCAAAAATAAGTGTTAAATTCTGATAAATAATAGATAACTCGGCTTTTTTTCGAGTTTCTGTTAAAATATGGCGGTTTTTATGAATCTTGAGGAGCGTTAGAACAAACAAAAATATTGCGATTGATAAATTTAGTGGTTCAGAAAAAACACCCAAATATAAACTTGTTTCGTCTGATATATAAGTACTGTTACAGTGCTCATAAGTGCCGGAAATTAGTAGAAAAATTGGGCATTGGCCGGTATCGCAACTGTAAATATATATAACTTTTACAGCCGAATGCAACCAGATACTTGGCAAAAAAAACTGCCCAAAATGTACAAGGTAGTTTTTAAAAAAGCCCAATTTTTCTTGTACAATTTGAACAGGTTTTATTTTTGGCAAGTATCCGGCGAATTTGCATTTACCTGTTTCTCAAATTTTGAAGAAAAATAGTTTGAATATAATTGAGAATAAGAAGACGAAATAACCATTTTCCTTGGACAAATTTAACAAATCGTTGAATATCCGTAATTATAACGAATCTCTGAATTGCTATTAATAATATAAATCCACTTTCGGAAAAATATATTGGTAATGAAAAAACCCAGAAGATAATTTGTATAGCTGTATGTGGATAGAGCATAAAACATAAATAAGCAATACATGAAACAAAAAAAGCCAGTGTGGTGGTGATAATATAAACAAAAATCCATTTATAAATTGGATAAATCAATGATTTTTTCTCTTCTTCTAAAGTTGTTAGAAATAAATAAATGTATGGAATATACATTAAACATAAAAAGTATACATAAAACGAATATATCGGGTTATTGTCAAATTTTTGGGCTTCGAACATGAATAGGAAAACCATTTTGCTGCAAAAAACAGCAAATTTTAAATCTGAGAACTTTTTTTTAATGAATAGTTTGAAGCTTTCTTCTTAAATGCCAATGAATCAAACTCTGTGTTTTTAAATGTCATATGATTTTTGGGCTCTATCGCAATATAAGGGTCCCATGGAAATATAAGGGTCCGTAAAAAATATAGGGGTCCGTAATTTTGTTCAAGGGTCCCAAAAAATATAAGGGTCCGTTATTTTTTTTGAGAGTCCATCAAAAAAAAATATTTTTTCTAATCTCAATTATTTATTTTTGGTGATTTTTTGTATTTTTTTCACATTTTTTTTAGCCAGTCAGTATTTTTACCTGATTGTAAGGTTTTTGTGAAAAAAATTGCAAAAAAATCAGCAGGTCTGCTCAAAAATTTTATGCATTTGGACACTCTCTAACGGCGTTATTTAGTGACTTATCCAAATCCATTAATTTTTCCCAAGAAAAAAAAAACAAACACAATCTGACCTTAATTTTCTCTGCACTCTCTCATTTCCGCACACTCTCTCACTCTCTTTTCTCTCGGATTTCTGAAGAGAAGTTTATCAAGGTTAGTTAGGTTAAATTCGCGCACGGACACATTTTCTGTTTTTGTACAAAATTTTTGGAAAATGTTCAATTTTTCGCTGATTTTTGCGGTTTTTGGTGAGTTTTTTGAAATTTTTCGCAAAAAAATTCCGCGGGAAGCGGGAATCGATCCCCAGACCTTCTGAGCCGCATGTTTTTCCAGGATTTTCAGCAGTTTTTTCGGCTGAAACTGCTCCAGATGAAATTTCACCGTGCCTCAAAAAATGCCTAACTCCAATGGCCAAACTAGAGCGTAGTTTCTCCTACATTTTCAATAATTTCGAAAAAGCCTGCGATTTGCTGGAGGACACGGCATTTTGTGCAAGGAAATGCGAGAAGGAGGATCAAACGAAATTTTATCAGTACACCACGTTTTACCGAATTCATTGTATTGATTATCAGGAAGGTGAGTACTGTAGGGGTACTGTAGGATTTTTGGCGGGAAAATTTGGAGCATTTTGAGACCAAATAAGCCTAGACTTGGGTACTGTAGCTACGTTTTTCGAGCACTAAAGAACCTCGAAGATACTGTAGAATTTCGCGCGAAAATCTACAGTAATCCTGAACTGAGAATTTTTTTAAAGTTAAAATGTCCCTTTTCGCGGCCAAAATAATGTGTACTTTTATTTTTTTTTCCCCATTCAAAAAAAAAAAACAAAAGCTTTTTTTTGGCCAATTTCCCAAGGTCGTAAATATTTACATTTTCCCATTGTCTAGAGATCTACAGTACTCCAGACATGTTTTCTTTTGAGAAAAAATTAGACAAAAACAACTACAGTACTCTCTATAATTACAGTAATTTTTCAGACCTCGAAGAACATATTCCATGTATAGCTGCAGCCGCAAAAGAGGCTGACGATGGTAATTTTTTTTTCAAAAAAAAAAAAAAACAAATAATTTTTAAATTACAGTATGCCGTGATAAATGTAAACACGCTCACAAAGTGATGAAAAATGCGGAAAAAGAGGAAAAAATGAAGAGTGAATGCAGGTATGCACCTTTAAAGTACTGTAGATATTGAAAAACCGCGAATTTTTAGGACTTTGGAGTGTTCTACAATTTGCTACTTTGATGAATTGACTGAAAGCTGTCCGGAGGCTAAGGATATTCTGCTGAAAATCAATTTAGGACAAATTCACTCGATTTCTAACTCGATTCATCCAGCAAATATGGATAAAATGATCAAAGAATGCAGGCAAATTCATGATATCGAGTATATGCGTGCAAAATTGCTTGCGTCAACTCAAAGTTTGATGTTGGATCATTCAGGAGTTCAAGAAGAGCAAGAAAATCCTGAAAATTAGAAAAATTTTGAAGAAAAATAAATTATTTACTACTGTAGTTTCAAGGAACACACAAAAATTTGTGCTTTGGGTCTTGCAGCGCCGATGTGCGTCGCTCATTTTCAAAAAAAAAATTTTTGTTTTTTTTTTCGTTTTTTCTGGGTTTGGCGGGTTTTTGGGGTGTTTCGGGTGAATTTTTTGAGTGGAATTGATGGAAATTGTGCTCTAGATGTAGCTTTCCGTATGGAGAATTAGGAAAACTTGAAAAATTCCAAGTTTTTCAAGCTTTAGAGGTTCGGGAGTGAGAAACAAAGTTTTTCCTAATGAAAAATGCTGTTTCTCGTTTTTTCCTCCGTTTTTTAACCATAAATTAGACGAAGTTTGATGCGAAAACCCTGATTTTAAGGTTTTCAAATCAAAAAATCGACATTTTCCAAGTTTCCCAGGAAAAATGACTCATAAATTGCCACGTCATAGTTCACGTCTTCCTTTCTATTGAAAACCCCATTTATTTGTTTTCTTTTCAACAAAAATGTGACGAAAAATAATTGTTCTGTGTCCCCTCGATGTCAAATCAAATTCCAATCAAAAATATTGATATTTTCATTATTAATAATGAAGCAAAATATGTTTGATCGGTCAAAAACATATCAAATTGCTGCTCATTTTCCCCTTCTCCCCCTTTCCCTAACCTTTTGCTTTTTGTTTAAAATTTCTTTCGTCAAATGAGCAACATTATAATTGTTTGCTCTTCGCTCTCTCCCTCTTTAAACATACACCTTTTCGCCCGTGTTTACCCCCAAATTTTCAAAAAATGTTAAAAGAAGAGGCGAAATTCGAGACGATTTGTTAATTTCGGAAGGAGATGGGGAAGAATTAAATAAACTTTGGCCGAAATCGTTTGCTTGGGAAAAAGTTAAAAACTGTTTGGACAGGAAACAAAAAAGAAAAATGACGAATTTTTGACCCGAAAAGTTGTTTCTCTCTCAAAAATCGTAAAATTCAATTACCTACGATTTTGGATGGGTTTTTATCAAATTTTCTTGCAAAAAGTTGGTATTTGCATTCAGAATAGGCTTTCGTGCTAAAAATTCAGGTTTTTCGTGCCAAGTCGATGTTTTTTGGTACGAAATATATCGTGCAACGATATTTTTCTTTATTTTCGTGTCAAAACCACAGTTATTGATCTCGAATCAATCGTAAATTTCGAAACCTTGTTTTCTCGCAAAAATCAGTGTTTTTGGTCCTAAAACGACCATACAACTCGAAATCCCGAGTTTCCCGCCAAAAATCCATAGTTTCCATCCCCACAACTCATTTCCCTCTTCAAAAAACAAATTTTCTTTGCTCCCCCTTAGCTACTAAAAGCTCTTTCCTCAAAAATGCAGAAAAAACTCCATCTTTCCCTTTTTTGCTCGATCCTGGTCCCACAACGTCATCGTCTGTCGAGCTCTCCTCATTTCCCGCACTCTCTCATCGCCGCTGGCAGAAGCTGGCAACAAGACGAGAGAGCACGTATTACGAGGAGACGTAGACGCGCGCGGCTCTCTTCCATCGATTTGTGTGTTATTTTGCAGTCGCTATGTGCTGTGTGCATTACGCCCAGGCTCCGCCTCCAATTTTTTCGGGCGCCCCTAAAAGTTTTTCTTCGCTGTCTGTTGATTTTTTTTCGTCTCGTCTTCGTCTTATTTTTAGTAGCAAAGCACACTGTAGATTGTACATTTGCCTGGTTTCCGCCAACATTTAATTTCATTTTTCCTTATCATTTATCAGCTCCTCTTTCGCTTTTGACGTTGGTTTGGGGCGTTTTATTTGAAATTGAGAATTTGATAAGATTTTTTATTGTTGCCTGGTGCCATATTGTGATGCAAAGAAGCATTTATTGGAATTTGAAGTTTTTCCGAAAGTTTATTTGTTTTGCGCTCTGAAAATTGTCTGAAATCTGTTGGAGGGGAATTTTTGGGCTCCTAGAGCATCTAAAAATCGAGCAAGAGCCCGCATTTGGCTCTAGAACTATTTTTAGATGTTCAAACCTTCTTCTGCTGAAAATTCTGATGTTTGTTGTCTGAAATTGTTTGAAATTTGTCAAATAGTAGATTCTAGTTGTTTTTGAGCTCCTGAAGCATCTGAAAATCGAGCAAGAGCCTTAATTTGGCTCTAGAACTATTTTTAGATATTCAAGACTGAAAATTACTTTGGTTTTGCTCAGAAATTATCTGAAATCCGTTGAATACTAGCTCTGAGGCATTTTTGAGCTCCTGGGGCATCTGAAGATCGAGTGAGAGTCAAAATTTAGCTATTGTGAACTCGAAAAACCTAGTTCCAGCTGTTTTCTTCATCAGGCTGAAAAAACATACCAAAATTCAAATTTCCACCTCGACATTCCTATCACGTGAAGCTTTTCCAAGAAATGCTGAATCCATCAAAAAATTATAAATTCTCAAGAATTTTTAATTGTGAAACGTGAACTTCCGTTTTTGTGAGAAATGTGGCAGATGTTATTTTATTTCTCGAATAATTTTCATTCCCAAATGTCGTCGTTTTTAGGTTAGTTTTCAAAATTCCCTAGAATTTAATACAGGACGTTTACATAGCGCAACATTTCAAAGTATGACCTTCAAAAATCGTCTAAAACTAAAAATAGTTCATCTTCTTCCGTCCCCCATTAAATTTTTCGTTTTTCAAAAAATGGACGAGTAAAAAACTAGACAAGATCAAAAAACCCAACGAGAATCGATCGTTTTATTTACCTGTCAACATGAAAGGGGGAGAGAACAACAAAAATTCGCCCTTGAAACTTGTTTTCATCTAACTACTGCGTCCGCCCAAAATTGAATTGAAATCGACACACACAAGTTAACTTTTTTGAAAAATAAAAAGTTACTTTCCTAGTCTATTTCCACTAAATAATATTTTGTCTGGGAGCGGAAGAAGAAGAAGCTTATTTATTATATTAATATTTGACCGGTCAGCTTTCTGAGAAAGCTGCGCAAGACGACGAAAAATGTAAGCGGGTTTTGCAAAAAGAGAGGCTTTTGTTTATTTTTCTCGTTTTTTTCATGGAAATTCGCGGTTTTTCGTGGATTTGGACGAGAAAATTTAAATTTTAAAGTAGATTTGCTAGTTTTCTCTGGTTTCCGACCGGAACATCGAATTTTCAGCCAGTTTCCTGGTTTCGAACGAAAATTCATCATTTTCAGTAGATTGTTCAAGCTTCTAGACAAAAGTTAGGCTCTGAAATCATTTCCGACGTGTTTTCATGCTAAATTCACGAGATTTGGTTGAAAATCTAAGTTTTCAGCTAGATTTCCCAGGTTTCGTGTCAAAAATTGGCTTAGGCTTATCGAAAATCATAATTTTCTGGATTTCTGGCTGAAAATTCGAAATTTTTGAAAATTACAGTCAAAATCTAAATGCGTTGCGTATGCGTCGCGGTCTAGTATTTCACTAGAACCGTGACGCAACCGCAACGCTTGCTGAAAATTGAAATTTTCTATCGTATTTAGCGTCTTTCTATTTTTCATTATGAAAACCTTTGAAAAATATCGAATTTTTCAGGGAAGACATGGGGAAAAAGGACAAAAAATCGGAGTTAAATGACCTCAAGCAGGAGGTCAAAATGGACGAGCACACGATTCCCATCGAGGAACTCGTGACTCGTCTCGGCTCAAACCTCGAAACCGGTTTGACACGCGCCAAAGCCGCCGAAGTGCTCCAAAAGAACGGACCCAACGCATTGTCGCCACCAGAAACCACGCCAGAATGGATCAAATTCTGCAAGAATTTGTTCGGCGGTTTCGCCATGTTGTTGTGGGTTGGAGCGATTTTGTGCTATATAGCGTATTCTGTCGATTATTTCACCATGGAATATCCAAGCAAGGATAATGTGAGTTTGAAGCAAAAAATGCTCGAAAATTCGATCTGAGAGTCGTAAAAATCGATAATTTTGGTCCTCCATGTCTAAAATTCAAAAAAATTTACCTGAATTTAAATATAGGACGAAAAAGAACCTGTGAGCGAAGATCTAAAGCTTCAAAATTGGAATAATCAATAATTTTGACTCAAAAATGATTTTTTTTTTGAAAAATCAAGCTTCAGAAAATCGGTTTTCAGTAAATCAAACAGAAGAATCATTTTCTGAAGCTAGATTTTTCAAAAAACATTTTTTGGTCAACATTATCGATTATTCTAATTTTCAAGCTTCATATCTTTGCTCACAGGTCCATTTTCGCTCTATATTTAAATTCAGGTAACTTTTTCGAATTTTATCCCAAAATTATCAATTTTTTGCCCTACAAGCCCATCAGGCCCCTTTAAAAAATCCAAATTTTCCAGTTGTACCTCGGTATTGTACTTATGACTGTCGTTATCATTACCGGATGCTTCCAATACTATCAAGAAAGCAAATCGTCGAAAATTATGGACTCTTTCAAAAACATGGTTCCAACTGTGAGTTTTATATCAATTCTGGAGATTTTTTGAACTGGAGGACTAGAAATTTTTTTGGCTTTCTAGGCCATGAAAAATCAAATCTAGATTTCTAGGCCACTTCAAAATCATAATCTATTTTCCAGTTCGCCATCGTTCACCGTGACGGACAAAAACAACAAATCCGTACCGAAGAATTGGTAGTTGGAGACATCGTCGAAGTCAAAGGTGGAGATCGTGTTCCAGCCGATATTCGTGTCATCTCAGCCTTCGGATTCAAAGTCGATAATTCCTCATTGACCGGAGAATCGGAACCACAATCCAGATCACCAGATTGCACCAACGAGAATCCATTAGAAACCAGAAACATTGCATTCTTCTCAACAAATGCTGTTGAAGGAACTGCTAAGGGAATTGTCATCTACACTGGTGACAATACTGTTATGGGAAGAATTGCTCATTTGGGTGAGTTTTGACAGAAAAATGGTGGATTTTGAGCTCTAAACCTTGATTTTTGAAAAATAATCTGAGAATTTTATTCAAATGTTGAATTAAAATTGTACACAAATTTCATAAGCTTTTTGAAACAGTATAAATTTTATTCAGAAAAGAAAGACAAAAGTTTTTTTGAAAATCTGAAATTCATCTCACAAGTCTGAGGCCAGAAAATTTTATGATTTTTTGAAAAATCTGAAAATTTTACTCAAATTTTCAACCAAAAAATTGAACTTCAAAGAAATTTCTCTGAAAATCCAATCAAAATCTCGAAATTTCAGCCTCTGGACTTGACACTGGAATGACACCAATCGCCCGTGAAATCGAACATTTCATCCATTTGATTACCGGAGTCGCTGTCTTCCTCGGAATCTCATTCTTCATCATTGCTTTCATTTTGGGTTATCACTGGCTTACAGCTGTCGTTTTCTTGATTGGTATTATTGTCGCAAATGTACCAGAAGGACTTATCGCAACTGTTACCGTATGCTTGACATTGACTGCCAAAAGAATGGCCAGCAAAAATTGTTTGGTCAAAAATTTGGAGGCTGTTGAGACACTTGGATCAACATCCACAATTTGCTCTGATAAGACTGGAACTTTGACACAAAATCGAATGACTGTTGCTCATATGTGGTATGATCAAGTGATTCATGAGTGTGATACAACTGAGACTCAAACTAGTCAAGAAAAGAGAACTGGAGAAAGCTTTGAGGTGAGAAATTCGGGGTTTTTTGAGCTAGAACAAGGAAAATTTGGATAATCTTGAAGTTTTGACCAGAAATTTGAGAAATTCGGGATTTTTTGACCCAGAAATAAGAAAATATTGGAGTTTCCGAGTTTTTAAAGCAAAAATTTTAGGGTTTCATAAAATTTGCGCTTTTTTTTAATTTTTAGATTTTTCTGGAGTTCCTGACCCGAAATTCGGGATTTTTTTTGACTCAAGAATGTGAAAAGCTGGAAAATTCCGGCTAATTCGCTATTTTTGAACCAAGTTTTCAGATTTTTGGTAAAATTTGAGCTAACATAAGTTGCAATTTTTTAACTGATTGTGAAATATGGAATTTTCAGCTTTTTCTAGATTTTCTGACTTAAAATTCGAAAAATTCGGAATTTTTAGACCCAGGAATAGGAAAAGCTGGAAAATACTGAAAATTTCGCTATTTTTGAACCAAGTTTTGAGATTTTTGGTAAAATTTGAGCTAAGTTGCAATCTTTAAACTGAAATCTGGAATTTTCAGCTTTTTCTAGATTTTCTGACTTGAAATTCGGGATTTTTTGATTCTTGAATTTAATGAAAGTTCTTATTTTTCTAAAAATTTCTTAAAAATGTAGGAACTTACTGAAAGTCAGTTAAAAGTGTCTCGAAAAGAAAAATTCCGGAGTTCCGCGCTCTACCGCAAGCCTCTCAACTCTTTTTTATTTCCAGGCCCTTGTCCGCATCGCCTCATTGTGTAACCGTGCCGAATTCAAAGTCGGTCAACAAGACACCCCAATTCTTCGTCGTGATTGCACTGGTGACGCCTCCGAAATTGCTCTTTTGAAATTCACCGAACTCACCCAAGGAAACGTCATCGCGTTCCGTGAACGTCATCCAAAAATCGCCGAAATTCCCTTCAACTCCACAAACAAATATCAAGTCTCGATTCATGATAACGGAGATCAATATTTGTTGGTAATGAAAGGAGCTCCTGAACGAATTCTCGATGTTTGCTCGACGATTTTGTTGAACGGCAAAGAAGTTCCACTTGACGAGAAATTGAGAAACGACTTCAATACCGCTTATTTGGAATTGGGAGGAATGGGAGAAAGAGTTTTGGGATTCTGCGATTTCGTATTGCCAAGTTCCGAATTCCCAAAAGGCTTCAAATTCGATGTCGAAGAGGTTAATTTCCCATTGAAGAACTTGAGATTTGTTGGACTTATGTCTATGATTGACCCTCCAAGAGCTGCTGTCCCAGACGCTGTTGCCAAATGCCGAAGTGCTGGAATTAAAGTAGTCATGGTAACTGGAGATCACCCGATTACAGCCAAAGCTATTGCCAAATCTGTTGGAATTATCAGCGAGGGAACTGAAACTGTTGAAGATATTGCGATTCGCAAAGGTGTTGCTGTTGATCAAGTTGATCCAAGAGAAGCGAAAGCTGCGGTTATTCATGGATCTGATCTCCGTGAGATGTCTGAAGATCAATTGGCTGATATTATTCGTCACCACAGTGAAATTGTTTTCGCTAGAACTTCGCCACAACAAAAATTGATGATTGTTGAAGGATTCCAAAAGCAAGGTGAGCTGAGATTTTGAAAATTCGAAAATGTTCACTCGAAAGCTGAAAATCTATGTTTTTCATAAAATTGTATATTCCAAAAAGATCTAGATCGAAATTTGGCTGGTTTTCTTTCGAGTCCAGACATAACCAGAATTTTTCAGTTTTTCATGAAATTCTGAATTTTTTGAGTCAAAATTTTCGTTGATCAGTCAAGCAACCGGAAAATTTGGATTTTTAATGAAATTTCGGAATTTTGGAGTCTAAATTTGCCTTGAAACCTGGAAATTTGGATATTTCTCGAAATTTTGAATTTTTCACCCCCGAAGCCTGAAAATTCGAATTTTTAACTTTAGCTGAAAAATGACGGCTTTTAAACCTAAATATAGCCTAATTGTTTACTCTAGAACCCTAAAAACTTTCTGGAAATTTTTGATTTTTCAAAATTTAACAAAATTCAGCAGTGCAATATTTAGACTCGAAATAACGCTCTTAACATGAGCAATACCAAATTTGGACTAAAAATGAAGCCCAGGCTTATCCAGTCTCAAAAAATTCTATTTTTTTCAGGTCAAATCGTCGCCGTAACAGGAGATGGTGTCAATGATTCGCCAGCTTTGAAGAGAGCCGATATTGGAGTTGCAATGGGTATTGCTGGATCAGATGTTTCGAAACAAGCCGCTGATATGATCCTTTTGGATGATAACTTTGCCTCAATTGTTGTTGGAGTTGAAGAAGGAAGATTGATTTTCGATAACTTGAAAAAATCCATCGCCTACACCTTGACCTCAAATATCCCAGAAATCTCACCATTCTTGACATATATCTTGTTCGGAATTCCATTGCCACTCGGAACTGTTACTATTTTGTGTATTGATTTGGGAACTGATATGGTTCCAGCTATTTCATTGGCTTACGAAGAAGCTGAATCGGATATCATGAAACGTCAACCACGTGATCCACTCCATGATAAACTTGTGAATGAAAGATTGATTTCGTTGGCTTATGGTCAAATTGGTATGATTCAAGCGTCGGCTGGATTCTTTACCTATTTCTGGATTATGGCTGATAATGGATTTATGCCATGGGATTTGTACCAACTTCGTGCTCAATGGGATTCGAGAGCTTATAACAATGTTTTGGATTCGTATGGACAAGAATGGGTGAGTTTTTGCTGATTTTTTGAGACCAAATGTGCCTTGAAACCTGAAGAATTGAATAATTCATGAAATTTTGAATTTTTCGAGTCTGAACATGGCTAAAACCCCTGAAATTTTTGGATTTTTAATGAAATTCTGGATTTTTAGACAAGTTTTAATCCAAAAAACATAGAATTTTAGAAAAATTGCTCAAAATTTAAAATCTCTAGTTTTCAAGGCAAACGAAAAATTCAGAATTAAAAAAAAATCAGATTCTATGCATATTTTGCATCCAAATATTCAGAATAAGACAAGAATTCCAAATTTTCATCAAGATTTCATTAAAAAATCCAATTTTCATAATTTTCCAGACCTATGCCAACCGTAAAATCCTCGAATACACTTGCCAAACCGCCTACTTCGTCTCAATCGTCGTTGTCCAATGGGCCGATTTGATCATCTCAAAAACCCGTAGAAACTCATTGGTCCAACAAGGAATGTCCAACTGGACCTTGAACTTTGGTCTTGTCTTCGAAACCGCTTTGGCCTGGTTCATGTGCTATTGTCCAGGATTGGATAACGGTCTCCGAATGTACGGCTTGAGATTCTCATGGTGGTTCTGCGCTTTGCCATTCTCCATCTTGATCTTTGTTTATGATGAAGTTCGTCGTTATTTGATCAGAAGATATCCAGGAGGATGGGTTGAACGTGAGACCTATTATTAAATTGCCTAATTTTGGCTGAAATTTACCGATCTACAGCATTTTTTTATCCCCATGAACACTCCCGTAGTTTTTTGCTTTTTTTGAATGAGTTCTTGCAACTTTTTGATTTTTGGACATGTTTTAAGGTAGATTAATAAATTTTGGAGTGGAAATTCCCCTGTTTTTTTTCAGAGAAAATTTCAGATTTTTCATGAAACTTCCATTTGAATTTTTACAAAAAGTACTGCAGCACAAGGTTAAAAACACGTTTTCCAATGAAAAACCGCTGCTGCAGTAAAAATTCAACCCTCGCTCAAAGTTGGAGGGTTGGGCCAAAATGGCAAGGTTCACACGCTTTTTATGGGTAGATAAAAAAAAATTGTGAGTCGGAAACTCACAAAAAGTTTGAAAATTTCAAGATTTTCTTTTAGGAAAACGCGTACCATTTTTACCCTTGTATCTGGTTTTTTTCTGAAAAACAATTTTTTTTGTTTTTTTCTTTTCAAGTTTTGTTTTTTTAGACTACAATTCTTCATTATTTTCCAGAAATCATAAATTTTCAGTGAAATTTACAGTTACAGGAACTTCAAGCTCGTTGATCAGAAGAAGACGTGTCTTGAGCAACACGTGCTCGTTTTTTCCAAAAGCAAATGATATTGAAAAGCGAAGTTCGGAATTCGGGAAGAAAAAAGATGATTGCCATTGGATCGACGAATGGGAATATTGAGATGGCCATTGCGGCATAGTTGTTGAGGCTGGAATTTTCGGAGATTTCTGGAGTGTAGATATGACTAGGTTCGGAAAATTCTATAAATTACAGAAACTCACGTTTTTGAATCGATGTGTAAAAGTGGAACAGTCCATGTTATAGTACACGGTAAGTAACTTATAACAAATGGAATGAAAGTTTGAACAGCTAAGGAGCGAAGCAGGTTTCGATGCATTTTCTTGGTATTTTCTGACATTTGGACAACTGCCAACTTCTTGTGGATCTGAAAATCGATGCTTGAATTTGCGATCTTTATGAATCTCGATGTTCTTACCGTCCATCCAACCCAAATACAAAATATAATCGTAAAGCAAGAAATCGAAGTAATAATAATAATCCCGATAGATGTTCTAACAATAAGTCCAGTCGATGCTCCCCAATAAGTGCTTCCTAGAATCGGGATCTTATAAACATCCACACCATACGTTCTACGAAGTGGTTCTGCTAAATAAGATCGCATTTCATCGTCACCTTTCAGAAGAATGAAAACAGCGCAGAACCAAAGAGTGCCCTGTGTGAGGATGCCGAGGATTATGAGGGTGATCCATTTTGGATCGGTGAAACATGGAAGATAATAGGGCTTGACGAGGGCGATATAGCGATAGATGAAATGGACTTCGAGGATACCGTAGCTTAGGCTGACGAATGCACAACGGATGCAGAGAGCGGTGAAACCGGTTTCGATTTCCTGAAATGTACGAAAAAGGTTTCGACTTTCTGAAATATACGAAAAAGGTTTCTACTTCCTGAAATGTACAAAAAAATTGAAATGTACGAAAAAAATTTTTTTGACTCTGTTTACTGGAAAATTGAACTATTGAATAGTCAGTCATACCTATCAATTATGATTGTATTATAATTTACTCATGTGCTTGATGTTAAAATGATCAGAAACATCAATGTTCTCTCTTGTATGTATGTAACTCACATTAATAAACGGACCATCACTGATAAAAAGGCAAAAAGTATTTCCCTCGGAATGTGAACCCATTACAACGAGCATATCGATTGCCGAGTAGGCCATATCAAAAGCGCCAAACATGGCAAGCATATATTTATAGGAACCCATTGGACGAGTGCATTTTAAGCAGATGTAGATGAAGAGAAGGTTAGCGATGTAGCTGAGATAGCCGAAGATTTGAGGGAAATAGTGATGGACGAAGCCGGTGTCCATTCTGCGAGAAATTTTGGGATTTTAAGAGGCAAATGTGACCGGAGTCGATCAAGGTTAAATTTAAGATTTTAAATTTAAGAGAATCTGACAAGAGCTAGGAGCAAATAAAAACAATATTCAAAAAAAAATGAAATTTTCACCAAGTTGAGTATTGAACAATCAGAAAGTATAATTTTCTAACACGGCGTCCCGAACTCAATTCAGACAGAAAGCGAACATGTAATTTGTGAGAACTTGAAATTATAGAGTTTCATATGTTTACCATTTGCAATAAAATTTGTTTACGAAAGTAGCTTTTTTGAACCTGAAATTCAGCTTCTCAAAAATTGAATTTTTGAGCTACAGTATCCCTGATATTTTTCCACGTGTCAAGTTCAAATTTGGAAATTTTTTTAAAAATTAACAAACAATTCAAGAAAGTTTTCAGATTACTGTAAAAAAACACCCAGATGTTCTGAAAATCCCAGATTACTGTAGAAGATTCCAGAGCTCCCCTGTCTTAAAATTAGGTCCAAAAAATTCCGAATTTTTCAAATTAAGATTCAGAAACCCTCATTTTTATCAAAAATATAGCAAAACATCATTTATTCTGACACAATCCACGAAAAATTGCACGAATTTTCAAGTACTCGAGATTGTGGCTGGTTGTCCGCAAGCATACGAAACAACTTGATCAGTCATATTACACGGTGCGTCGCCAAGACTTCCGGGTGCCAAATTCTGTCCAGAAAGATATGACGAACTCGCTGAAACCAGCGCTAAACAATTTTGATTATATGCCAAGTTATTTGGCTGCGGATCGGTGAAAATGAAACCATCGGTTCCAACTGTGAAACCATCTGTCCATCTGGAAAAAATGCGATTTTCTAGAAGCCTAGGAATGTTTTGAGAACCTGAAACTTGCAGTTTTCAGTGGTTGGCACGCATAATCCGCGAAATTTTCACCATAACACGCCGCCAACCTTTGCGCACCAACCCAGCACCATCCCTCAGTTGAAGTTGCCGTCAAAGATAATTCCAAAATCAAATTTGCTTCGTCGGGGCTTTCGATACTTGCTAAAACTGAATTCTCGGTTTGACAATCTGCTTCAGCTCCAAAAGTGTCTAAACTTCCGGCTTTGACTTTTATGCAATATTCTCCCATTGTTCTGGTCACTTTTGTATAACTTTCTGGGCATGTGTAATTGTCGACAGAGAAAAGACACTGAAACTTCGATTTTCGAGGGGATCTCAAAAACATTATCGATCAACTCACATCTTCAATCTGACAATTTCCACCAAAAACTACAGTAAACGAAAAGAATTCCAGAAAAAGTACAAAAATTTGAATAAACATAATTATTGTTTGCAAAAGAAAATTGATGTTTTTCATACCTTTTTATACAATTTTGTATCTTCCTGCATAAATTTTCTTTGGGAAAATTTTTACTTTTTTGGAGCTTTTTCGAATCATGAGATACGAAAAATCAAATTTTTCTACTTCCAAGAAATCAAACTTGATAACATCAACAACTATTTTTTCATCAAACTCTAAATTAGCGAAAGCACCCCTGGGGAATAAAAATGAGTATTATTAGTAATCAGAAAAAAGCTAATTTGTGTTATAAATTCATCATAGAATAAAAATCTAGTTTGCTTGGATAATTGAAAAATTTTCTGGATTTTTGTGTGAACCTCCTAAACTTATGTAATCCTGAACAGCCCTATGCTATTAGATTTTCATGAAAATAATTTTTAAGGCAAAATCTGACTCTCCGAATTCCCGATTTTTTCTAATTTTTGAACTTTGACACATCATAACTCATGTTAGGAGTTGAGTTCTGCAATTTGAGTTGGCGGAATCGTAATCAGCTTGTCCCTTTCATATTATTTTCTCACAAATCGATGTAACCTTCTCCAAAAAGATGAAGCATTGATGACAAAAAAACGAGCTCCAACCTAGCAATTATCAATTATTTTTCAGTCGAAATTATCATCATTTCCACAAGTCCCTCCCTAAATTTTCCATTTTCGCATTTTTCTCAACTAAATTTCAGCACCGAAATTTTTGAAAAATGCTTTCCGATGTTGTGTATCGCAAGACCACGAATTGGGCTTATGGTTCAGCCGATGTTAAAGCTGCGAGCTTCACCATCATCCCATATGTGATTAGTGTTATCGTATTGATTATCGCGTTACAAGGCACAACAAAGGTTGATGTACTGAATAAAGCTCGCTTAGGACATCTAGTCAAGAATCAAATTGTACATCGATCCCTCTCTTGTTTTATTACGGCAAGTTTCTACATCGCTGTTTTATTGTGAGTTTTTTTTGTTGTGAAATTATGATCCAGAACTCTAATTAAAGGAACATCGAAACAATCGTCGATTCTCAAAAAATCTCCGGCATCATTTTCACAATCCTCCAATTTGTCAACACATTTTCCTACTTTGCAACGGTTTTCGAAAGATACTGTTGTCTGGTTCGTCGATATTATCATCCATATCTCATTAATAATCAACTTCTTTTGAAATATCTTGGGTTTGGTTGGGGATTTTCGATCGTCTACACGTTGTTCTTCAGTTTTCTATGTAAGTTTCCTTCCACCTAGCAACAAAATGTTCTTATTTCAGTCGAATGCGATTCCCAATTCTACCACTATGGCTGGATTTTGACTGATATCCCAAACACTACATGCCCTAAAGTCTATTTCACCCCATTCCATTGGATTCATTTCATTGTTGGCTTCATTGCATTCATCATGATTTCTGATATTTTCATCGCGATTAATTTCAAAAATGTAGGCTTGATAAGTGATCAGAATTTTTATTACCCAATTTTTCCAGGCTTTTCTGGCAAACACCAGCTTGGTGAATCGTAGACGCGAAACAAATCAAGCCAAACTTGTCGCCATCCAAGGTCTAGTTTTGATGATTTACGGATTGTTCTATCTGCTTGCCAAGCGATTTTTCCCCGATGAATCGCTTGAGGAATGGGCAATTTTTTGGACCTTCACGTTTTCCTACAGTCTCTTTCACCTTGTCGACAGGTTGGTACATAAATATAGATTTTATTGTGAGAAACAATTTTATTCCAGCGTCATCTTGTTTTTCTATAAAAGTGATCTTATCAATAAGACAACAATTTTAACTCCTGTAAACTCGGTGAGCAGGAATTATTGAGCACATGTTTTTTTTTGTTAAAGGGGGAGGCCCCTCGCCTCTCCCTTTAAATGCACCTTTACTTATACCTCCCCAAGGAGCTATAAAATATTATTGTTAATCTATGTATATATTTTATGTTAACCTATGTTGAATAAATGAAATTAAAAAATCATTTTTTTCTGAATTCTTCAGAAAGCCCGCAAAATTGGAAAAATTATACAACCAAACTACAATTTTATTCTATGATGAATTTATAACACAAGTTTTATTCTGATTACTAATCATACTCATTTTCATTCCCCAGGGTTAGGAATAAATGAAGGGGTTATTCTAACGATGCTTTGAATTTTTTATAAATAATATTTTGTATACCTCACCCAATTTCATAAATAATTGCTCGCCAGATTTCGTGAAAACTCGAAAATCACTAATTTTTTCAACCGGATCAATAATTTGTACATATCTTTCTCTCTCTAACGCTCTCTCCATTTCCCACACTCTCATAAAAAAAACAAAAGAAAAACACGCTAAACAACGCGCACGCGGAGTATCGTTGTTTTGCTTTTATTTTTTTTTGTTGCGCGACATTTTTATTTTTTGCTTTTTTTCTGTGAGTTTTTTTGTTATCGAATCAATATTTCTCTGCGTCTCTCCCAAACCCCACACTCTCTCGCTGATTCGATTTTCCCCGCTATCAAAATCAAATCATATCAAAAAAAATGTACATCCTATTGATTTTCCTCCTCTTCCTCTACCCAAAACTCATCTATCCGGCCCAACTTCGGGCCCAAATCGGCCTCGGATCTATAGAAGGCCGTTTCTGGAACATCTCACTGAATCCATTTGCGGATCCCAGTGAGAAGCCGGAAAATCGGAGGGTTCCCGTGAGCTCGGCGATTGTTTTCCTGGGCATTCCTTTCCTGGAGCCACCGGTGGGCGAGCTGCGATTTGAAGAGCCTCGGGTGCTCAGGAGAAGCTGGAGGGGAGTTCGAGCAACTAAGGAGTTCAGCAAGGCTTGTTGGGCAAAGAAGTAGTGAGTTATGGGAACTCTGGGAGAAGGGTTAGGCTTAGATAAATTGTTAGACTTAGGCTTAGCAAAAATGTTAGGCTTAGCAGAAATGTTAGGCTTAGCAAAAATGTTAGGCTTAGCAGAAATGTTAGGCTTAGCAAAAATGTTAGGCTTAGCAGAAATATTAGGCTTACCAAAAATGTTAGGCTTAGTAAAAATGTTAGGCTTAGGCTTAGCAAAAATGTTAGGCTTAGCAAAAATGTTAGGCTTAGGCTTAGCAAAAATGTTAGGCTTAGCAAAAATGTTATGCTCCTGGGCTTGAAATCGTCCAAATTTCATGATTTCTACCTTGAAATCGGTAATTTTCTCAATTTTCAAGCTCCTGGGCTCAAAATTGTCAAATTTCCTTAATTTCTAGCTCAAAATTGTCCAATTCTGACTCATTTTTCAGCGAGGTGCCTGTTGCAAGATCGGAAGATTGTCTCTACATGAATGTGTTCACCAATGAGTACTGTATGAAAAAGGTATGGGCCCCCGGGGCCCTGCTCTTTTCAGGGCTCATCAAAAATCCTTCCAGAAGAACTGCCACGTCATGGTCATCGTGCACTACGGTCAAATGTACCGCTTCTCGCCGCAAGCCGTGCGTCATGACGTCATCATCCAGGAATACGTGGCAGCGAATATCATTGTGGTGATTCCGCCATTCCGCATGGGAATTTTCGGATTCCCGAACTTCGGGGCGAATCGGAATCTGGGATTGCTAGACCTGATCGAGGGATTCAAATGGGTTCAGCGGGAGATCGGGAACTTCGGAGGTGATCGGGGAAAAGTGACAGCTCATGGCTATAGCTCGGGTGCATTGCTCATCGCAATCTTGAGCACCCTTCCCGAAACCAGGGGGCTCTACGGGAGACAGGTTATAATGAGCCCCGCCGTTTTTACCCTGCTCAGCTCTGGGGGAAGCGTCAAGGTTACCAGGAGGATTGCGGAAAAGGCAGGGTGCCCTATGTTGGACCCGGTAACCTGCTTGCGGAAGATTTCCGCGCGGCAACTTTACAATATCCAGGAGGACACCTATTACAATGAGCAATATCTGCCAAATCGCCCGTTTATTGATGGGAAATTGGTGCGCGGAAGTGTTGCGGAAATGATCGCGCGGAAGGATTTTGCGAAGCGGCACACATTTATTGGAGCGGTGCGGCAGGAGTTTTATACTACGCTGGATTGTGAGGATCGGGATGGAAATGCGATTTTGGGGAGGTGGGAAAGTGTAGTTTGATCTTGAGATTTTCTAGTTTGGTTTTTTGAGAATGTAGTTTGATCTTCGAAAAATGTAGTCTGAGCTTCTGAAAATGTAGGGTGACCCTAAGGTTCTCTAGTTTGATCTCAAAATTTTCTAGTTTGATCTTTTGAAAATGTAGTTTGACATCGAGATTCTCTAGTCTGACCCCTACATTTTCTAGTTTGATCCTTGGATTATCTGGTTTGATTTTCTGAAAATGTGGTTTGATCCCCAGATTTTCTAGTTTAATTTTGAAAATGTGTAGTTTACTCTTCATATTCTCTAGTTTGATCTCAAAATTTTCTAGTTTGATGTTTAGGCTTCTCTACATAGTTTCACCCTTAAATTTTCTAGTTTGGCTTCTGGTTTTTCTAGTTTGGTTTTCTAAAAATGTAGTTTGATCTTCAGGCTTCTCTAGTTTGATCCCAAGATTTTCTAGTTTTATCCTTGGATTTTCTAGTTTGACATCTGGTTTTTCTAGTTTGGTTTTCTCAAAATGTAGTTTGAGCTCAGGGTTTTCTAGTTTGATCTTCAGACTTCTCTAGTTTGATCTCAAAATGTTCTAGTTTAACCTCTAGAACTGGAGATTCTCTAGTCTAACTCTCTTCATCTCCTCTGCGTCTCTAACCCTCCCACACTCTCTAACCCTCTCTATTTCCAGTCTTCGACAAACCTGCCGACTTCTAGCCCTAGAGTACGGTTATCAAACTCAAGCCATCCAAAAATGCGTGGATTTTTATTCGAGAAGTACGGTAGAGAGTACTGTAGATCTCTAGTTTACTAATGCACCTTTAATTCTAGAAAACTACGCAAAAATGCTGACAGACGATTTTTTGAGCTTCATCCCTATTCTCGAATTTGCCAACGCGAATTATTCACCTGAAAATCGAAGCCACGTGTATTTATATAGCTATAGCTACAGTAATCTGAAAATTTTGGATGAGGATTTCGTGCCAAGACCCTCACACGGCCACGATTCCACGTTTCTCTACGCTAGAACCCGCGCGAAATTTGAAAACGTCACCAGGGATACGGTAGTCGCGCGAGCTTATAATGGATTTGCTAGGGATTTTGTGAAATCCAGATCACCCTGGCTACCGTATGAGCCCCAAAAAATGCGATTTTTCGAATTCAAATCTGAAAATTTTGCTGAAAATTCGATGCGTGAGAGGTTTCATGGAGAAGCTTGGGAATTCTGGAGGAGTTTGGATAAGTTCAGAAAAAAATCTGAAATTTCCAGACATTCGGAGAGTTTTGATATGAACATTCTACATTTTTATGGGTATTTTAAAAGTGAGTTAGGCTAAGTCCTGGAAAAGACCTGAAAATTTCCGATTTTCAGCCAAGCTCATCTATCAAAGCTTTAAAGACAAATCGGCACCGGCTATCAAAATCCTGCTGGCTGAAACTGAAAATCATCTGGAATCTCAAAAACCTTCGAGATTTCCAGTTTTTCTGATTCTTCTTGCTGTATTTTTTGTGTTTTTGTACAATTCTATGAGAGAAATGATTTTCTAGGTGCCAGCCCTTGTCAGATGTGTTTTCTAGGAGTCATCCCTTGTCAGATAGGTTTTCAAGGAGCCAGCCCTTGTCATCTAGCTTCCATAGGAGCCAGCCCTTCTCAGATAGGTTTTCAAGGAGCCAGCCCTTGTTAGCTATGTTTTCAAGGCGCTAGCCCTTGTCACATGTGTTTTCTAGGAGCCATCCCTTGTCAATTATCTTTTCAAGGAGCCATCCCTTGTCATCTACGTTCTCAAGGTGCTGGCCCTTGACAAGTAGGTTTTCTAGGAGTCATCCCTTGTCAGCATGGTTTTCTAGAGGCCAACCCTTGTCAGCTATGGTTTATAGGAATCATCCTTTGTCATATGTGTTCTCTAGGCCCCATCCCTTGATAACTAGGTTCTCTAGGAGCCAGCCCTTGTCATCTAGGTTTTCTAGGAGTCATCCCTTGCCAGCTGCGTTTTCAAGGCGCCATCCCTTGTCAGCTAGGGTTTCTAGAATCCAACCCTTGCCGAAGTCTAACCCAAGTCAAATGCGATATCAAAATGATCAGAAAACTGAGCCTAAGCCGAAAAATCTGAAATTTTCAAAATTTTATTCAACATTTCTCAACAATTCCTCCAATTTTCGCATTCTCTCCACAAATTCCGATGTTTGCATTGAACCCGAATTTTCCTCGAATCCAAAAACCTCCAAATCATCGCCAATTTCCCGCCATTCACCACCAGGTTCACCGCATTTCACAAAATTCACCAGATATTCTGCGGCGTTGCGCACACGCCGCGCGTCTTCCGCATTTCCGCCGCCAACCGCGCGCATATAATTGGCGTCGAAAAAATAGGTCAAATCTGTGGTGTGTGGCGCCTGGGAATGGCGCGAAAATGCGCAGAGCTCCCCACAATTTCGAACTCTGATAGTTGAATGTGTAGGCGAAGATTTCGCGATTCTGCTCCATTTTTTTGTAGATTCCGTGATTCACAAAGAGGTCTGACGTCAAATTCACAAAATTTTCGGGATTCTGAAGATCACCGTAGATTTTTTCGATAATATTTTTGATTTTTGAGAGATCCAGGTTTGATTGGCGAGCGATTTCCTAAAAAAAATGATGCTAAAAACTACAGTACCCCTGGATTACTGTAGCTCATTTTGTAGGGAGTTTGAAGGGCTACAAAATCTTATGAAAATTAGAGGGTTTTTTGGAGCTCAGAAACTACAGTACCCCTGGATTACTGTAACACAATTTCTAGTAAATTTCAAGAGGTACAAAATGAAACTACAAAACTACAGTACCCCTGGATTACAGTAGCTCATTTTGTAGAAAATTTCAAGAGGAATAAAATACTGTGAAAATTAGAGGGTTTTTGGAGCTCAGAAACTACAGTACCCCTGGATTACTGTACCTCCAACAAATTTTCCACCTGCTTCTTGGTCCCCCTCAACTTGGGCCAATAAATCGCATGAAACAGTAGACTCTCATATTTTCCGCCTCCGATTATTTGCGGAACACGCGGAGCGGTCTTCCGCAACACATCGATGTCTTGCGGAAAAAAATCGCCGTCATCTGAGACGGGTCCCACAGCGAAATGACATTTGGCCGGGAAGTCCGAGTTGAGCAACATTGTTGAGGCGAGTCTGAAAGGGTACTGTGGGTTTTGGCGCGAAAAGGGTTACTGTAGAGAGAAATCCACGTTTTTTGAGTCTAAATAAGCCTAGGGTTACTGTATGATCTACCGTAGGCTTATTTGGTGTCAAAAAATCTGGAATTTCTAGCAGCTAGGAATAATGTAGGCTCCCAGTTCTAAACTCACTTTTCCGCATCGATCCGCATCAAAAACCCGGCCAACTCTTCCGCGTTCCGCTTCCATCCAATTCTCTCTGCCCATTTTTCACAATACTCATCAACCTCTTCGCTTTTCCGCGTCGCCCAACGACACTCCGCAGTTCCGCCCATCAAAATCTTGCGCGCAAATAGTCCGGAAGCATGCGGAGAGAGTGAGAGCTGATCCGCGGCTACGGCACCCGCGGAATGTCCGCAGATCGTAATGTTTTCCGCGTCGCCTCCAAAAGCTCCGATATTTTCATGAGTCCACTTCAACGCCTCTAATTGATCCCATAGGCCCAGATTTTTTGGGCCCGGTCCGGCAAAGCCTAGAAGCCCAAGCCTGTAGTGAAATGTGACAACGATGATCCGCTTTGACACGAGTTGCGGGCAGATTTTGGCGGGAAACAAGATCTGCGGGGAATCCATGATGAAACCGCCGCCATGGATGAAGAAGAGCACGGGGAGCCCGGATTTTGTGGGGCCTGCAAGATAGGGCTTTGAGTAAGCCTAAGTTTCAGGCCCGGTTGGAGGCCGCGGCCTGGTTTTCTGATCATTTTGATACCCAATATGGCCTGGGTTGGGAAAATTCGAATTTTCAGATTTTTGAAAAATCTGAAATTTTCGTCTGGAAAAATGTCACGTGGCAATTTTTCAGCAAAAATTCTGAATTCTGAATATTTTGAAAACTCAAAAATTTTGAAAAATCTGAAATTTTCGACTGAAAAATGCCACGTGGATTTTTTCAGCAGAAAATACTGAATTCTGAAATTTTTGACTGAGATTTGAAAATTTGAAATTTCAGATTTTTGAAAAAAAAATTGAAGGATCTGAAAATTTTCGAATAAAAAATGCCACGTGGATTTTTTCAGCACAAAATTTTGAATTTTTAAATTTTTGACTGAAAAATGAAAATTCGAATTTTCAGATTTTCAGATTTTCAAAAAAAATTTTGAATAATCTGAAAATTTTTGAATGAAAATATTTTAATTTAAATTTGACATTCAGAAGTTCAAAATTTTAGATTTTTGAAAAAAATTTTCTGTTTCTCTCAATTTTGACTGAAAATGCAACGTGGCACAAAATTCGGAATTTTCAGGTTTTTCGGTATTAAAATGATCCGAAAACCCTTGCGAATCTCAAAAAATTCACCTTGATTCTCAATTTTCGGCGCAAAAATATTCAAATACAGGCAATCCTCGCTGGTTTTCGAGCCCCGAACAAATCTTTCCCACAAAATCTCCTTGTAAACACTGCGATTCGGATATTTTTGACATTTCACCGGATTTTCCGTGATTTCCTGTATTTTTTCAGGCTTTTTGAAGCGACGGCCTGAAATTGGGGGCCGGGCATAGGGTAGGCCGAGGAATACGTCGAATTCCGGGCCGAACTTGAGGCCCTCGTATTTTTGGCCTGACAAGATTTGGATAACCTGAAATTTCAACCTGAAAATTATTTTGTGGTGCCACGTGGCAAACAAAAAACTCACCGGATTCTCAGAATCGATTTTTGAACTAGAATTTGAGCAGCCCATTTTTTTTTGAAATAAAAAGTTAATCAAAAATATTTTCACCTGCTCAGTGAAAAAGCAGCGAAAATTTGGCTCCGCCCATTTTTTTGTGCAAAAATTCTTTGCTCAAAAATTGGCTCAATAAAAATGTTTGTTTTTTTCTGTAAACAACAACAAATTATTCTGTTTTGGATCATTTTTGCTCAAAAATTTCAGAATTTCAGTCAGAAATCCAGAAAAAGCTTATTTTCTAGCTTAGGAAGACTTAGAATTAATTCTAGGACTTCAAACTAGATTCTAGGCTAATTTTTTGGATATCAGAGATGTTTCATATCAAAATTTTCAGAAAATCGAGAAAATTTGAAATTTGAGAGCTTCCAGGTTCAAAATTTTCAGAAAATCAAGAAAATTTGAAATTTGAGACCATCCAGGTTCAAAATTTTCAGAAAATCAAGAAAATTTCGAATTTAAGAGCTTCCAGATTCAAAATTTTCCGAAAATCGAGAAAATTTAAAATTTAAGAGCTTCCAGATTCAAAATTTTCCGAAAATCGAGAAAATTTCAATGTTAAGAGCTTCTAGGTTCAAAATTTTCAAAAAATCAAGAAAATTTCAATTTTAAGAGCTTCCAGATTCAAAATTTTCAGAAAATTGAGAAAATTTCAAATTTGAGAGCTTCCAGATTCAAAATTTTCCGAAAATCGAGAAAATTTCAAATTTGAGAGCTTCCAGATTCAAAATTTTCCGAAAATCGAGAAAATTTAAAATTTAAGAGCTTCCAGATTCAAAATTTTTCCAGATTTCACTGAAAAATCCCACATTTCCCCCCAGGTTTTTGTCCCCGCACAAACAAGTTTTTTTCACTTTTATCGATTTTTGGGGAACTTGAATTTTTTTTTTTTGGAACTATTGTTTTATTTATTTTTGAGACAATGAAAAGTTTTTGTGTCTTCTGCTAACTTTTTTTTCCTTTCTTATCAATTTCAGGTTACTTTTGAGAAAAAATGGGTTTTTATCTGGGTTTTAGGGTCAAAATTGGGCTTTTCTGGGCTTCAGGCCTGAAAAATAGGCTCACAATCAGTTTTTGGGCCTTAAAAAACGTGAAATTTCCACAGATTACTGTATGTACCTTTAAATTCCAGAAAATGCCCACCATTGCTCATATTAAACCTCACCTAACCTTCCGACTTCTGCTAACTTCCATAATCTCAACTTTTGCCGGTGGAATTCATTTTGGCTATCAATTATCGGTTCTCAATCCGATTTCCGAGATTTTAAAAGATTTTTTGGAGGAGAATTTGAGAAGGTGAGTGGGCCTGAAAAGCCTGAATGGCCTGAAATTGCACATTTTTTGAGTCTAGATAAGCCCAGATCTGAAAATTGCGAATTTTTCGAGTCTAGATAAGCCTGGGCTTGAAACAAGGCCTTCTAGGCTAATTTGGTATCAAAAAACGTGAAATTTCGAGCTTAGCATGAGCAATGCTTGCCACGTGTCAAAATTTTTTGTCTTCAGAAAATACAATGTGATTTTGTCGCTGGAGCAGCTCGACACAATTTGGTCGTTTTTGGTGGGCTCAATTTTCCTGGGAGCTCTCGCCGGCTCCTCATTTGCCACGTGGTTTTTGACGCGGATTGGCGCGCGGAAAACATTGCTGGTGGCGGCTGTGGTGAGTTTTTTGCGGTTTTTTTTAGGTATTGCTCATGTTAGGCTTCAAATTTCACGTTTTTTGATACCAAATTAGGCTACAAGGCCTTTTTCAAGCCCAGGCCTATTTAGGCTCAAAAATCCGCAAATTTTCAAGCATTGCTCATATTAGGCCTGAAAATTTCACGTTTTTTGATACCAAATTAGCCTAGAGGGCCTTTAGGCTTATCTAGACTCAAAAATCTGCAAATTTCTAGGCATTGCTCATGTTAAGCTTCAATTTTCCCGTTTTTTGATACCAAATTAGCCTAGAGGGCCTATTTTCAAGCCCAGGCTTATCTAGGCTCAAAAAAAACGCAAATTTTCTAGGCATTGCTCATATCAACACCCCTTTTCGGCCTGGCTTATCCATTCGCGGCCCCCGAACTTCTTCTAATCTCCAGGCTTCTCTCAGGCTTTGCAATCGGGCTTGGTTGCACGGCCCAATCGATTTTCCTGGTCCAAAACTCGCCCGTGGAATTTCGCGGCGTCACAAATTCGATAAGCGGCGTCGCCTCAAACTCGGCCTTCTTCCTGGGCTCATTTCTAGGCCTTCCGGGCTTTCTGGGCCGGCCCGATTTGTGGCCTTTTATTTTCTACGTGGAAATTGGGCCGTGTTTGGTGCATTTGTTGGTGAATTTGGTGTATTTTGAAGAGAAACCGGAGAAATGCCACGTGGCAAAGAATTCAGAAGCGGAGCTGGGGCTGCTCGCAATTCTGAAATGCCGTGTTGGATTTCGAGCCCTGAGCTTGGCTGGAGCTCTCAATTTCGCAGTGGCTTTTAGGTAACAAACATTTTCAATCATTGCTCATGTTAAGCTTCAAATTTCACGTTTTTTGGTACCAAATTAGCCTAGGGGGCCTTTTTTTCAAGCCCAGGCTTATCTAGGCTAAAAAAATCCGAAAATTTTCAAGCATTGCTCATATTAGGCTTCGAATTTCACGCCTTTTGATACAAAATTAGCCTAGAGGGCCTTTTTTCAAGCCCAGGCTTATCTAGGCTCAAAAAATTGCAAATTTTCGCGCTAAAACCCTGCCACGTGGCAAATTGTTTCAGCGGCATCACAGCGCTCTCATTTTTCGGTGCAACTTTGTTGCGCCAAGTCGGATTTGATGACGTGGATTCGAAACTCATCAATTGTCTCTCCGTTATTCCAACAATCATTTCATCACTTATCGCAACTCTGATTATCGATCGAGTGAGTTTTGGGGGGCCTGGAAAAAGGCCAGGCCTGAAATTCCAGGATTTTTCAAGTCTAGATAAGGGCCAGGCCTGAAAATTTGGGATTTTTTGAGTCTAAACATGTCTAGACCCAAAAAACGTGGAATTTTCGAGCCTAGGCTTATCTGGGCTCAAAAAATCCCAAATTTTCAGGCCTGGCCTTTCTCGGGCCCCCCAAAAAATCCCAAACCCAATTTCAGATCTCTCGTCGCACTTTGCTCATCTCTTCCCTTCTAATTCTGGCCATTCTGAACACATTGCTCATGTTAATCATCATTTTTTCCGATGTTTTTTATACGGCTCTCGCCTGGATATTTGTGGCCATTTTTATTCTCTTTATTTTCATATTCAGGTAGGGTTACTGTAGCTAGAACTGCAAGAACTACTGTAGTTGAAAAACTCCGACTGCAAGGATTACTGTAGCTGGAACTGCAAGGATTACTGTAGTTGAAAATCTCATTCTGCAAGGACTACTGTAGCTAAAACTGCAAGAATTACTGTAGCTAGAACTGCAAGAATTACTGTAGCTAGAACTGAAAGGATTACTGTACCTAAGACTGCATGGATTACTGTAGTTGAAAACCTCAGACTGCAATGATTACTGTAGCTAGAACTGCAAGGATTACTGTAGTTGAAAACCTCGGGTAGATTTAGTTCTAGGGTTACTGTAATTCTCGAACTGCAAGGATTACTGTACCAAAATGCTTATGGCTAAGCCTAAAAAAGTAAGCCTAAAAAAAAGCCTAAGCCTAATCCTTCCAGCATCGCAATTGCGCCAATCTCATTCTTCCTTGGCGCAGAACTTGCACCCACCCAAATGACGTCACAAATTCAATCGATATCCATCGGAATACAGTACCTGGGCTCATTTCTGAGCCCAATTTTCTATATGAAATTGCATTTTTTGATGGGACCAAGTGCTTTTTTGATTTTCATTGTTCCACTTTTGGTGACCGCCGTGTATTTTTACTTGTAAGTTTTTTTTCGGCCCAAAAAATCCACGTTTTTTGAGCCTAGTCATGTTTAGGCTCAAAAAACCCCAAATTTCAGGCCTGGCCCATTTAGGCCCCCAAAATTCGAAATTTTCCAGCTATCTTCCGGAATCTCGCGGAAAAACGTCACAACAAATCAGTGAGCTGCTGAGCAAATAATTTTTGATTTTTTTTTTAAATTTCAGGATGCAATTAATAAAGCTTTAATCGCAATAAATAATTTATTTACATATTTTTAAAAGAATCCCACTCACTTTTGCTGAATCTGAATATGAAATTTGGTAGCCGGCAAGCTTTCAACAGTCGGTGTAACAATAGCTCGAATATTCAACGCGGAAAGTGCGCCGCGGATTAATCCGCAAGGCAACGCGAGGAAATATGCACTGTCTTTGATGAATTGTGTGCCTTCGGGGAAGGTGCGAAGAGTTGTGAAGCGACTGTCTTGCACCACGTAGACACCCTGGAAAAATTGGGATTTTTTCGAGTATAGATAGGCCTAGGCTTGAAATTTGGGGATTTTTAAAACCCGGATAAGCCTAGGCTTGAAATTTGGGATTTTTTCGAGTCTAAATAAGCCTAGGCTTCGAATACTGTAGATTTTCTGGCATGAAAACTGTAAAATTTGAATTTTCAAGGATTTTTTCGCGCGAAAAGTTTGAAATTCAAATTTTCATGATTTTTATCGCGCGAAAACTTTGAAATTTGAATTTTCAGAGATTTTTCCGCCACGTGGCAACTTTGAAGCCTAAATTTATCGATTTTTTTTTTTGAAATTTCATCAAAATCTGGAATTTTGAAGCAGTTCCATTCGAAATTATCGTTTTTTTGCCACGTGGCGATTTTGGCTTAAAAATTTTATGTTTTTATTGATTTTTCACGAGAAAACGCGAATTTTCAAGCAAAATCCACAATTTTTATGAAAAATTATGGATTTTCAAGCAAAATCCACGTATTTCATTCAAATTTTCAAATTTCCCGCCCAAAAACCGCTATACCTGATGATTAGTTCTCAAATTATCCACTTGTTTCCCAAAAACCGAAACCCAAAACTCTTTGCAAATAAATTTGACAATTTCCAATTCGGTGACCAATTTCGGCGAATCTCTCGCCACTTTTTCCACCAAACTTCGTCCAACTCGAAATCCGATCGTCTCTAGTTTGGTCTCGGCGTTGGTGTGCAAAAATGCCTTTTGTATTAGGCCGTCTTCGATGTGCTCCAAGTTGAGTCCGTTGAAAACCTCGTGAAATTCGGATTTTGCGGCGCTTCGTTGTTTTTCGGATTCGAGAGCGGTGCGGATCAATTCGGCGTGTAGAATATCAAACGGAAATGCCATCTGCAACAAAAAAATCATGAAAAACACTGGAAAATGCGGCAAAAATCGATAAAAACGGTTGAAAATGAGAAAAAAACAAAAGTAAAAAAGTTGTCTGCACACACCGAACTTGACGCGCAAACACTTTTCCTGGGCGTTTTAGGGCTGAAATTCTATAATATATATCTATCAAACCTGGGTCTCTCTACATCACTTTGTAGAGAATTTCAAGGGCTACAAGATGATATACAGAAATCTTGAATGTGAGTTATTTTCCCTCAGGTTTTTGAGAAAATGCGAAATTTTCAGTGAAAAAACAAAAAAAAATCAATTTCGCGTGACATTTGATGATCTGAAAATTGATGTTATCTATAAAACGTGAGAAAAATCAATAAAAATGGCCAAAAATGAAGGAAACCGCAGAAAACAGCGAACAAATAAACAAAAGTAAAAAAAGTGTGTGCACACACCGAACTTGACGCGCAACTCGTATTTCGCATATGATTCATTGCTCATATTATGTCGTTGGAAGCGCAATTTCGAAATCTACAACTAGCACCGTCTTCTAAATGGTATCCACGACCCACTGAAAAATGCAGCGGCGAATTCTACACCGAAAAACAAAAGTTGCTGGTGAATTGGTTCCGATTGGCGAAAAATTGCACGGGAAAACTGATTTTCGAGTATAAAGTGGAGGTTTTGAAGGAGGTTGGCAGGAAAGAAGTTCCAGTGCAGGCGTGAGTTTTTTTGGGGCTGAAAATGCCACGTGGCTGAAATTTGACTGAAAATTGATGGAAAACGTGGATTTTCGGGTCCTAGGCTCAAAAAACGTGAATTTCTGGTTGCTAAGCAGGTTTAGGGCCAAAAAACGTGGATTTTGGAGTTCTAGGCCAAAAAAAAGTGGATTTTCTGATCCTGGGCTCAGAAAAACGAGGAATTTTGAGTGCTAGGCTCAGAAAAACGTGGATTTTCTGATCCTAGGCTCACAAAACGTGGATTTTTGGTCCTAGGCTCAAAAAACCTGAATTTTCTGGTTCTAGGCTCAAAAATTGCGGATTTTTTGAGTTCTAGGCCAAAAAACGTGGATTTTTTGGTCCTAGGCTCAAAAAACGTGGATTTTCTGGTCCTAGGCTAAAAAAACGTGGATTTTCTGGTCCTAGGCTCAAAAAACGTGGATTTTTTGGTCCCAGGCCCAAAAAACGTGGATTTTTTGGTCCTGGGCTCAAAAAACGTGGATTTTTTTGGTCCAGGGCTCAGAAAAACGTGGATTTTTGGGTCCTAGTCTCAAAAATCATGGATTTTCTGGTCCCAGGCTCAAAAAAACGTGGATTTTTAAGTGCTAGGCTCAAAAATCATGGATTTTCTGGTCTTAGGCTCAAAAATTGCGGGTTTTTGGTCCCAGGCTGAGAAAACGTGGATTTTTTGTCCTAGGCTCAAAAATTGCGGATTTTTTGGTCCTAGGCTCAGCAAAACGTGGATATTTGGTCCTAGGCTCAAAAAATCTGAAATTTTTGCTATTTAGACCCAAAAAAACGTGAATTTTCCAGCTCTAGACTTATCCCAACTCAAAAAATACCAAACATTTTCAGAAAAAATCGCGTCAAACTCTTCTGGACACTCTGCCGAAACGGCGATTTCCCCGTGCAAAAATTGGTCTACGATGATTTCGAGACTGTGTACAGTCATGAGCAATTTCCCCAGGAGAAGTATGTGTATAAGATGAAAAATGTGCCGGAGGCTGGAAATTCGAGAAGACCTGATGTCTATGTGCTCAAAATCTCCTACCTCAACAATTTCAAGCTCGGATTTTCGCGCAGAAATCCAGAAGCCGATGACGAGATCGCAAATCGCTCGCAAAAATTCCTCAAATGCCTGTTCACCCAGAAATTCCGCTACTCGCCAAGCGACGCCGAAAATCCGGCGTTCTTCCGCGATTTCACCAATGATCGAAATTCGATCATTCACATTCCGACTATTGATTTGAGGCCGAAATTCGAGGTGGCACCGGGAATTGGCGCGTGGATGGGTATTTATTTTGCGGTTAGGGAGACCGATAAATATGAACCGGTGTTGAATTTTGGATGTGAGTTGGGGGGCCTGGGATTAGGCCTAGGGAGGCCTAGGCTCATTTCGACTCTTGGTCTACACTCGCGCAGAGCGCTCGGAAAGCCTAGGCCTGGTTTTGATGAAATTTGACCTAAAATTCGATTTTTAACCTAAATTTGATGAAAATCAAGAAAATTCCAATTTTTTCTATTTTTGCTCACATTTTTTTGTTTGGTTCTTCAAAATGAAAAAAGTATAACAATTTTTGGCCATTTTTGAAATTTTTCAGTGAAAATGTTGATTTTTTTGACCAAAAATTGCGAAAATTGCTGAAAATCCCTAAAATTACTATTTTTCTATTATAAAACTAAAAAAAAACAGAAAATTTTTGATGAATAGCCAAAATTAAAGAGAATAATGGAATTTGTGATTTTTGATTGAATTTTTGCAGTAAAAATGGATTTTTAGCTGGAAATACTGAAAATTTGATGAAAAATCTGAAAATTCTTATTCTTAGACCTGAAATTTGATGAAAAATTGAGAAATTCAGCTCACAAGACTAGATTTTCATGAAACATCCAAATTTCTGGTCAAAAATCTGACAAATTGGGTCCCAAAACTAGATTTTTATGTTAAATCTTACTTGCAAGCTAAAAATTCAGAATTTTTGCTTCTAGACCGAAAATAACACAAAAATGGCCAGAAGTGATGTTTTTAGCTTGAAAATGGCCAAAAATTCTGTTTTAAGCCTGAAAATGTCCAAAAATCCTGTTTTCAAGCTAAAATTTCTGAATTTTCACTTCTAGACCTTAAAAATCATGAAAAATTCAATTTTTTTGTGAAAAATCGATAAAATTCGCACCATTCAGAGAAGCCTGTTAAACAAATATGCCACGTGGCAAGGCTCGAGCGCTCTGCGCGAGTGTAAACCGCAAGCTTCCGCGTAGCGGCTAGGCCTATATTCCGCGAGTCCGCCAGCTTCCGCGTCGCCTTCCGCACCCCCAAAAATCCCGTTTTTTGCAGTGGTCCACAAGCTCTTCTACAGTATTCCTCGAATGAATCTTCTCGACTACATGCTCATTTTAATCGACGAAAAAACCCATCAAAATGATGAGCTCCGTGAAAATTACAAGCTGAAAATCCAGAAAAACGAATTTGGAATGAGCCAAACACAACGAGATCGAGCACGACATTTGCTCAAAGACCTGCGGTTGAAAGCGGAAAATGTTCCGGATAGGCATCAGAAATTTGTGGAGCGGCATGTTAGTTTTATCGAGTTTACCGAGCAAATTGCGCAGAATTATGTGCTCCGCGAGATTCACGGAACTCCGACGATGCTCGAGTATTATGCACATTTCAGGTTGGTGCGCGGAAGCTTGCGGAAGGCCGCTTCGCGGAATTTTCCGCCTACAGAGCGCTCGAGATCAAGTTTTGATAGACCTAAGCCTAGGCGTTGCCGCTTCGCGGTAGCTTGCGGTTTACACTTGCGCAGAGCGCTCGAGGCTTCTAGAACTGGGCGTGGCCGCTACGCGGAAGATAGTGCCGCTTCGCGGAAGCTTGCGGAAAACAAAAATAGCAAGTGCGCTCTAATGAGAAGCCCCAATTTTTGGAGAAAAATTCAAATTTTCAGGTTGAAAAATAGCAACTGCGCTCTAATGAGAACCTCCAGTTTTTGGAGAAAAATTCAAATTTTCCGATGAAAAATAGCATAAGCTGGAGAAAAATTCAAATTTTCCACCAAAAAGGCAACTGCGCTCTAATAAGAATCCCCAAAAATTCAAATTTTCATCTCGGAAAAGCAACTGCGCTCTAATGAGAACCTCCAATTTTTGGAGAAAAATTCAAATTTTCTGGTTGAAAAATAGCATGTGCGCTCTAATGAGAAGCCCCAAAAATCCTCAAAAAATTCAAATTTTTCGCAGACTTCCGCTTCGATTTCCCGCCTTTCCGCTTGCCCTCTGCAAATCCGGAAAAAAAGAGCTCCTACTTCCGATCGAGATCTTATTCATCCACGAAACCGGCCAACGCTTCAAAAATCATCTCGACTTCAATATGCGCACACAATTTGTCCGTGGAGCAACTTTGCCACCGCAAGAGCACAAAAAGAGCATTGAGGCGATGTTGGAGAAGTTTGATTTTGGTCCGGAAGGCGGCGCGGATCTTCCGCTTCCGCTTCCGCACTTCCTACGCAGTTTCGATGTGTCGCCAAAATTGGAAATGATCGAATGCGTGGGCAAAGTGCTCAAAGAGCCCCAACTTGTCAATCGCGAAAATCAGCGGATCGAAATGACGCAAGACGTGCGCGGTTTCCGCGAGAAGGTGCTCAATATTGTTCCGCGCGGCAAACTCGCCGTCGGATTGATTGTTTTACGCGAAGACGGAAAGGAGGCGGCATGTGTGAATGAGAGGGATTTGCAAGAGTTCTATACGCTTCTCATGGATGTTTGTATTGAAAGAGGATTGCCGATTGAGGAGAATGAAAATCGCGGAAATCGATCGCTTTTTAGAGGTAGGCGGAATGGGACGCGGAAGGGTGCGGAATAGAATATTTTTGGCTTCTAGACCTCAAAATTTTAGGATTTTTGAGGCTAATCTGAGCAATCCTATGAAATGTTTGGATTTTTTGAGGATAATATGAGCAATCTTATGAAATTTCTAGATTTTTAAAGCTAATCTGAGCAATCCTATGAAAATTTTGGATTTTTGAGAGTAATATGAGCAATCCTATGAAATTTTTGAGTTTTCAAAGCTAATCTGAGCAATCATATGAAAGTTTTGAATTTTCGAAGCTAATCTGAGCAATCCTATGAAATTTTTGGATTTTTGAGGCTAATCTGAGCAATTCAATGAAAATTTTGGATTTTTGAGGATAATATGAGCAATCCTATGAAATTTTTACATTTTTAAGGCTAATCTGAGCAATTCTATGAAATTTTTGAATTTTTATAGCTAATCTGAGCAATCCTATGAAATTTTAAGATTTTTAAAGCTATTCTGAGAAATCCTATGAAATTTTTGAATTTTTGAGGCTAATCTGAGCAATCTTTTAAAATTTTTGGATTTTTGAGGATAATCTGAGCAATCCTATGAAATTTTTGTTGGAAAAAATAATTCTGGAAAAAAATCATTTCAAACAACGTTTTTTCAGCCAAAAAAACAGGAAAAAAGAAATTTTTGAAAAAAAAAATCAATAGTTGTCCGAGAGAAATACACAAATGTGTGTTTGGTTTTCTCGGCCACGGCCACCACATTTTTTCATTGTTTTTTTCAAAATGTTCGGTTTTTCATGCGAAAAACACGTTTTGAAATAAGAATTACATTAAAATTTTATATTTTCTTGAGAAAATGTGAAAATTATTGATTTTTCAACCTATTTTCCAGTTTTCTCCAATGTCGCCTGCTTCAATGGTCCCGAAAACTTCCAAACCGCAATTCACCACACAATTCATCAATTCAATCAACTCCCCGAGCCCGAAAAAGCCCAAAAAAGCCTATTTTTCCTGATTATCCACAAAAAATCCTACGAAGCTTATGGAAGAATCAAATTCATATGTGATACTGAAATCGGTGTGGCAAATCAGGTTATTGATGAGACTACGGTTAGAAAAGCGATCCGGGAAGCCCAGGAAGGGCCTGAAAGCGGCCTGAAAGCCTCCAAGAAGATCTTTTATAATATAGCACTGAAAATCAATGCGAAATTGGGCGGAGTGAATCAGGAAATTGGGTTTAGCGAGGATTTTGAGATGAGTCCTGAGGAAAAAGAAAAACGAGAAAAAGAGCCGCTGATTATGTATGTTGGAATTGATGTGACTCATCCCACAGAGGGAAGTGGTATTGATTTTTCGATTGCTGGAATTGTGGCGAGTATTAATCGAGGAGCGACGAGGTTTGGGAGGTTTTGGGGTGTTTTTGAGCCAAAAATCGTGAATTTTGAGCATTTTTCAGTTGAAAATCATGAATTTCGAGCATTTTTCAGCTGAAAATCGTGAATTTTGAGCATTTTGAAATGTAAATCGTGAATTTCGAGCAATGTTAAGCTGAAAATCCTGAATTTTGAACATTTTGAGCTGAAAATCATGAATTTTGAGCATTTTCAGCTGAAATTCATGAATTTTGAGCATTTTCAGCTGAAAATCATGAATTTTGAGCATTTTCAGCTGAAATTCATGAATTTTGAGCATTTTCAGCTGAAAATCGTGAATTTTAAGCTGAAAATCATGAATTTTGAGCATTTTCAAATGAAAGTCATGAATTTTGAGCCTAAAAACGTGAATTTTCAGCAATTTCAAGTGAAAATGCTCAATTTGAGTATCCATTGCTCAGGTTAGGTGAAGTTTGTTCATTTTAAGTCAAAATTGCTAAAATTTAGTATCCATTGCTCAAGTTAAGTCGAAATTTCTCATTTTTCAATTGACATTTCTAAAAATGGCTCGGATTGCTCATGTTAACTGAAAAATGCTCAATTTTTAGCGTCAATTGCTGATTTTAAGTAAAAATTGCTCATGTTAGGTGAAAATTGCTCAGTTTTCAATTTAAATGTTCAATATTGAGCCAAAACAAAATTTTGAACGCTTTTTTAGTTTAATATGAGTAATCCTATGAAATTTTTGGATTTTTTAAAGCTAATCTGAGAAATCCTTTGATTTTTGTGTAAAAAATGATCTTTTTGACTATAATATGAGCAATCTTCTGAAATTTTAGGGTTTTTGAGGCTAATATGAGCGAGTCTATCAAATTTTCTACTAATTTTTGTTCGAATTCAAAACTTGAATTTTGCAGATACATCCCAGCAGTTGTGGCTCAAATGGAAAAGAATCCGGACGTGCGGAAAGCGGAAAAAGGCCAGCCAAATCTGAAAAAATCGCGAGAAATCACGGATATTTTGGAGGGAAAATTTGTGGCAATCCTACAGAAATTTGCCGAAACAAATCGAAATCGATTACCCGACAAAATTGTGATTTTAAGAGATGGAATTTCGGACTCGGAAATGCTCGAAAATGCACATTTCGAGCTGAAATCGCTGCGAAATGAGGTGGCGATTTTTATGGGAAATCGAGAAAATTCCACGGAAAAGGAGCCGGAATATACGTATATTGTGGTGCAAAAACGGCATAAGACGAGATTTTATCGGGTTTCGGAAGAGAATTTGGAGAAGAGCACCGGGTAAGGGTTTTGAGGCCTGAAAAGCCTAGAAAATGGGCCTTTAAAAGCCTGGAAAATATGCTCCCAACTGCTTATTTAAAGGCTATGAAAATAGGCCTTAAAATAGGCCTTAAATAGGCCCATGAAAAAAATAGGCCTTAAAACTAGCAAGAAATGGGCCTAGAAAGCCTAGAAAATGGGCCTTTAAAAGCCTGGAAAATGAGTCTTTAAAAATGAGTCGTAAACCTTTGAATCTCTTTGATTTTGGCCTCAAAAGGCTAGGAAAAGGGGCCTTAGAAGCCTATTTAAAGATTCCTTAAAAATTAGCACTAAAAGGGCCCAAAAAGCCTAGAAAAATAGGCTTGAAAATGTGGGGAATAGGCTCTCCAAAGCTTATTTAAAGGCTTCTAAAAGCCCAGGAAAGGCTTCTAAAAGCCCAGGAAAATAGGCCTTAAAATCAGCACTAAAAGGGCCCAAAAAGCCTAGAAAATGGGCCTGAAAAGCCCTAAAAGCCTATTTTCTACCCTAAAACCCACTTTTTCCAGAATTCTCAACCCAAAATCCGGTACGGTAGCCGACAAGACTGTAGTCTCACCCTACAAATTCGATTTTTGGCTAACTTCCCAACATGGAGCACTGGGAACTTCGAGACCCGGACACTATACTGTACTTTTTGATAATTCCGGAATGACCAAGGATCAGGTTTATGTGAGTTTTTTCGGAGCATTTTGAGCCAAAAATCGTAAAATTTGGAGCATTTTGAGCTGAAACTCAGGATTTTTGACAAATTTTGGAGCGAAAATCAGCATTTTTGGCATACAGTACCTCTGGATTACTGTACCTCATTTTGTAGGGAATTTCAAGAGCTACAAATTGATTCCAAATTTGACACCAATACTACAGTACTCCTGGATTACTGTAGCTCATTTTGTGGAGAATTTCAAGAGCTAAAAATTGATTCTAAAATTTGACGCCAAAACTACAGTACCCCTGGATTACTGTATCTCATTTTATAGAGAATTTCAAGAGCTACAAATTGATTCCAAATTTGACACCAAAACTACAGTACTCTTGGATTACTGTACCTCATTTCGCAGAGTATTTCAAGAGCTATAAAATTAACCAAAATTTGACGCCAAAACTACAGTACTCCTGGATTACTGTAACTCAGTTTGTAGAGAATTTTAAGAGCTACAAATTGATTTTAAATTCGGCCTCAGAAACTACAGTACTCCTGGATTACTGTAGCTCATTTTGTAGAGAATTTCAAGAGCTACAAAACTACAGTACTCCTGGATTACTGTAGGTCTCCAAAAAACATCCAAATTTCACCAAAAAAACTCGATTTTTGCTCAGAATTTTGCGATTTTTTCAAATTTCTCACCCAAAATCCACCAAAAATCCCAAATTTTTTGCAGAAAATGTGCTACGAACTGTCATTTCTCTCGGCCCGTTGTCGAAAACCCATCTCAATTCCGGCTCCAATCCACTACGCACATTTGACGTGCGAAAAAGCCAAAGAAATCTTCAAGGCCACCAAAAAAGGCCTGGCGAGACCCGAAAAAGAGCGAATGATGATTGAGCAAGTCTTGCAACCCAACCGCTGTTATCCCGGAATGTCGTTTGTGTAAATTTGTGAGTTTTCTGTGATTTTTTATTGATAAATGCTTGTAGCCCTTGAAATTCTCTTCAAAATGAGCTACAGTAAGCCAGGGGTACTGTAGTTTTGGCATCATTTTGTTCCTCTTGAAATTTGCTACAAAATGAGGTACAGTAATCCAGGAGTACTGTAGTTTTTGGCTCCGAAAAAACCCTCTAATTTTCATAGTAATTTGTTCCTCTTGAAATTCGCTAGAAAATGAGGTACAGTAATCCAGGGGTACTGTAGTTTTTGGCTTCATTTTGAAGCTCTTGAAATTTGCTACAAAATGAGATATTGCTCATATTAACATTTTTTGAGCGGAAAAATGTGAATGAATTAACGTTTATTCCCCCAAAACCTCCAAAATTTTTTAAATATAATTAGTAATAGTCGGTTTCTTTCCGCAAGCGTATCCGCGCATGCAGTTCAGCGGAAAATCGTTGAACTTGGCATTCGGGCCGGCATCCTCCAAATCTCCCGGCAAAGTTCCACCCGATCCAACTTTTCCGTCAACAATCAGCATGCAGATGCGATCTTGAACGTTTCTGTAAACATGTCAGCTAGCACGCGGAAGGCTTGCGGAACCCGCGCGGACTCACTTATAATAATCCGGTTGAGTGGTTCTCCATTTGTGCAACATCGTTTTGCCGGTGGTGAACCCGTCGGTCCACTCAAAGGCATTTGGGACCCATGGAACACAGCCGGTGGCATTTGTGTTGGGAGCAAGACAGGGGACACGACGGCGGCCACCGAGCCAGATTGAACCCTCGCGTTTCGAGACTGAGCGGATGATTTTGACACCGGCGGCTGGAAGATTTGGGTTTAGGCAAAAGGTTTAGGGCTAGAAGCCTCGAGCGCTCTGCGCGAGTGTAGACCACAAGCTTCCGCGGAGCGGCCTGGGTTCAGGCTTAGGCCCAGACACCTAAGCCTAAGCCTAGCAGCCTCGAGCCTGGGAGCCTCGAGCCTAGAAGCCTCGAGCCTAGAAGCCTCGAGCCTAGAAGCCTCGAGCCTAGAAGCCTCGAGCCTAGAAGCCTCGAGCCTAGAAGCCTCGAGCCTAGAAGCCTCGAGCCTAGAAGCCTCGAGCCTAGGAGCCTCGAGCCTAGAAGCCTCGAGCCTAGAAGCCTCGAGCCTAGAAGCCTCGAGCCTAGAAGCTTCGAGCCTAGAAGCCTCGAGCCTAGGAGCCTCGAGCCTAGAAGCCTCGAGCCTAGAAGCCTCGAGCCTAGAAGCCTCGAGCCTAGAAGCCTCGAGCCTAGAAGCCTCGAGCCTAGGAGCCTCGAGCCTAGGAGCCTCGAGCCTAGAAGCCTCAAGCCTAGAAGCCCGAGCGCTCTGCGCGAGTGTAGACCGCAAGCTTCCGCGCAGCGGCCAGGTATCCCTAAGGTTCAGGCTTAAGCCCAGTCCAGAGCAAAGCTCAACCTGCGCCTGTCCTCCAGCCTAGAAGCCTCGAGCCTAGCATCCTCGCGTCTAGAAGCCTCAAGCCTAGAAGCCTCGAGCCTAGAAGCCCGAGCGTAGACCACTATCTACCGCGAAGCGGCCAGGGTCAGGTTTAGGCCCAGACACCTAACAAGCCTCGAGCCAAGAAGCCCGAGCGCTCTGCGCGAGTGTAGACCGCAAGCTTCCGCGTAGCGGCACTGTCTACCGCGAAGCGGCCAGCCTGGAGGCTTCTAGGCTTCTAGGCTTTTAGGCTTCAGCCTTCAGGCCTTGAAGCCCAAGCCCAACCCACCAAGAATCAACTGTTTCTCGGCCTCATTCTCCATCCCCGTCAAAACGGCTCCCTGTTCACGGCATTTCTGATCAGCCTCTCGAACATTCACCGTCCCCGCAAACACCTGAATACACCAATTGCCCATCGTCCGCTTCACCATCGTCCAACCCGATGGGCAATTTTCGGTGGACATTTCGGCCAAAACGCACGAAGTTAGGAGAAGTCCAAGGAAGAGCTTCATTTTTGAATGATGATTTTTGGGAGGAAATTGGAGGGCTTTTATAGTTCCCTTAAGTTCCCAGGGTGGAATTTTTGATGTGTTCGGAAAAATCGTAAATTGTGCGAACATTTTCCATGGAAATTTTATGGATTGCTCATATTACAGGGTGCCTCCTTTAAGGAAACATTAGTATGAGCAATGCTTTATTAAAACTTGAAAACAAAAAGAGAAAATTAGAACTTCAACAAATCCCGATGATTTTTGGTGTTTCTCAAAACCGCCGTCAAAAACTCGAGGCGACCCTCCTGGAAACTTTGACGCATTTCACACTCGGGCAGTGTAATTCGGTAGTGTTGTTCGGGATTTGAGGATTTGGTGAGGGGAGACCAGTCGAAACTTCCAGCTTCATTGGGATTTCTGGAACGAATTTTGAAAAAAATTTGATAGAAAGTACAAATGCGCTCTATTGAACAATAAGATTTTATGGGGGAAATTTCAAAAAATTTTTTTTAATTAAGAAAAATAGCCATATTTGATATCAAAATGCTGCAAATTTCGAGAAAATCAAAAAAAATTGGTTTAAAATTTAGCAAATGCGCTCTGTTGAACAATAAGTTTTTATGGAGAATTTTCAAATTTTTTTTTTTTTGGAATTGAGAAAAATAGTCATATTTGATATGAAAATACTCACATTCAGAATTCAGTGAAAATCGAGAAAATTTCAATTTAAAGTGCAGTCATCCTCAAGAGGATGTGCACCACAAATGCGCCATCTTGTAAAAGATTGACGTATTTTGTGTGTGTGTGCGCTCTCCACGTGCATTTCAAAATATTTTAGTTTCGTTTTTGTGTTTTTGTGTTTTTCTAGGTTTTCGTTGTTTTCACAGGGAATTCTCGGAATTCTCTGTGTTAATTAATTAACTCATCATTTGTTATTATTGATACACTTCCTCGTGAAGTTGTATCTGTATTTTCATTGTTTATTTTGGTCAAAAACATAAAGTTTGGCCTAAAATCCGTGTTTTGTTATTTTTCCTTGCTAGTGGTTTAAATCCACTGCCATCTTTGACGTCTACCTCCTTGCAATATCAAGCAAAGGAGAACCGGGAGGTGCAACTTGGGGGCCGAACCAACCACAACCCCAAATTCATTCAACTTCGTGCATTCGTCGATTTTTTTTGATTTTTGAACACGTTCCTAGTGATCCTTTCCTAGTTTCAGGACTGGAGTTAAGGAATTGTTCGATTGTCAAAAGGATATTGGATATTTTGGACTAGTGGAGAATTCGACAGCGAAAATGGCTACGGCAAGTGAAAATATGCAGAATATCGGATCAGTGAGCAGTGGATTGGAGGATTCAACGGGACATGAAGAAGATATTGGTATGATGTTTGATGAGAAAGCAGCGGATTGGATTATGATTGCACAAGAAGCTCGAGAAGATGCGAAGAAATGGAAATTGAGTGAAAGACAAGCGGATGTCGTATTGAATCCGTTGATGAAGAAAGTCGAACAACGAGTAGAGGATTTGCGCGGGATGGTCAAGGAAAAGTGGGCGCAAATGCCGAATCGGGATGAGTGGAGATGTTTGCGATATTTGAGAAGAGGAAACAAGACCAATGTGAAGAAATTGGCACAATTGATGGAGAAAGGAACAGAATTGGTTATTTGGGAAAGAGAAAATGGTGAGAAGCTTGAAAATATTGAGAAAAAGGTCAATGAAGAAAGACAAACGTTTATTTTGCAGGTTGATGAATTGAATGGAAAGTTGAAGAATAATGAGGAAGAGATTTGGAAGAAAAACGAAAAATTGAAGAGATATGAGCAGAAATTCGAAGAGATGATGGTATTGATGAAACAAAAAGATGAATTGATGATGAAGATGAAAATGGAAAATGAAAAGAAGAGAGAATTATCACCAACGCCGAGTGTGCGAATGATAAATTTGGATATTGTTGAAAATGGAAATGAAATGGACGAGACATTGAGAAAAGTTGAAGATTTGTTGAAGATGGAAACTCTGAGAGAAACGAAGAGTATGGAAATATGTAAGTCGGAAAGTTTGGGAAGTTCGCGCAGCGATAATACTGAAGAAGTCAAAGAGAAAAGAGTTGAAAAATGGGTGAAAGAGCAAAAAGCGGGAAATATTGAGAATTTGAGAGATGAAAAAGTGGAAATTGTTGAAAAAGCGGGTAGTCGGGGCAAAAAATCGGGAAAATCGAGCAGTTCAGGTTCAAGACAAAGCGTTCGAGAAGAACTTATGAACGTGGCAAGATTTATGAAGATCTCGACGATGCCAGATCCTGAAATTTATTATGGAAAACCGCAAGAAAATGTGGAGGATTTTTTGAGTTTGTTTGAAATGAAATATAAGCAGAATATGGAAAGTTCAATGGAAATGGCAGCTGTTATGAAGGCAAAATTTTTGCGTGGAGAAGCGAAGAAGTTATTTGAGACGATTGAGTTGAAAGAAGAATTGACATGGAGAGAAATTGTTGAGAAGTTCAAGAAAGCGATGAATGCATCAAGAACAAGTCAAAGAGGAAGAGCAGTCGAAAAATGGCAAGATTTGAGAATTCGTCAAGATCAGTCGCTCCAAAATTTCCTTATCGTTGTTGATTCGCTTGCGAGAGAAGCATTTGCGTCGTCGAAAGAAGAAGTTGATATTTTCAAAACGGCGAAGTTATTGCAAGCTGCGAAGCGAAATCCGACTTTATTGGGACTTTTGGCGGTGAAAAAGAATGATGAGAAGGACGGATTCCAGTATGAAAAGTTGAAAGCTGCGGCTTTACAATTTGAATTTGATTTGGAGAGAAATAAGTATAAGGATGAAAAGAAGAAATCGGAAGAGAAAAAAGATGGAAAATCAGCATCAGAAAATGGAAAAGATTTGAGAAAATGTTTCATATGTGGTGAAGAGGGACATATTGCTGTGAAATGTTCAGGAACCAAGAAGGTGAACACCATAAGAGGAAGAAAATGGGAAGATATGAAGGAAAATGTGAAGATTTTTGGAAAATATGCGACAATTTTGATTGATAGTGGAGCAATGGTTAATGTTATTTCAACGGGAAAATTGGAAAAATTGAAGAGAAATGTTGGAAATTGGAAGAAATTCATTTTGAAAGAAGAAAATGCGAAAAGTTCAATATATGATTGCAGTGGAAAAAGATTGAATGTTATTGGAGTTTGGAGCATTGAGATTGAGATCAGAAATATGAAGAAAGTTGTGAAATTCCATATTATTCAAAGTTGGGAAGATATGTTGATTCTTGGATTGGAAAGTTTTGGAACATTTGGAATTCATTTGAGATTTGATAGTGAAAAGAAAATGGGAGAAAATGAGAAAAATGTTGAAAAATTGGAAAATTGGGATAAAAAGTGTGAAACAGGCGCAGCGAAAGATTTGAAAGAAAAAGGAAAATTGGGAAATTATATGAAATCAGATTATTTTTCCAGAAATGGTTCGTCGGCAATTGAAGATCGAGTCGAAAAATCTGAAAATGAAGAGAGAAAAGATGGAAAAGTTGAAGAAAATGAAATGGCAAAAGTTGAAAATGATGATCGAAATGGAAAATTGGAAAAAGATGAAGGTTGGATGGGAAATGTCCTTTGTGACACTTTGTTTGAAGTTGAGAAGTCGGATAAGAAGAAAGTTGAAGATCAAAAATCGAATGAAAATGGAAAAGCAAAGGTTGAAAATGGTTATGAAGATCGAAAATTGGGAAAAGAAGAAATTAGTGTTGGAATGATCCTTCGTAGAAATTTCGCTGAAATTCGAAGAATTGAAATGGAGAAGAGAATGATCGAGTTGGAAGAAGCTGAAACTGGAAAGAGACAAAGAAAGATCAAGAATAAGTGCAACATGGTTTATGTCAAAAGTGTAGATTATGAGGGTTGCATATCGCCAAAGTATATTGAGCATATTCAAATGTTGAAGCGAAACAAATTGGGCATATATGCTTCTTCCAAACAACATCCAATCGATCAAGGTTTTTAATTGTTATTTTGTCATAGGTACCGTGGCGGCACCTCTTGAGGGGGGGAAGTCATCCTCAAGAGGATGTGCACCACAAATGCGCCATCTTGTAAAAGATTGACGTATTTTGTGTGTGTGTGCGCTCTCCACGTGCATTTCAAAATATTTTAGTTTCGTTTTTGTGTTTTTGTGTTTTTCTAGGTTTTCGTTGTTTTCACAGGGAATTCTCGGAATTCTCTGTGTTAATTAATTAACTCATCATTTGTTATTATTGATACACTTCCTCGTGAAGTTGTATCTGTATTTTCATTGTTTATTTTGGTCAAAAACATAAAGTTTGGCCTAAAATCCGTGTTTTGTTATTTTTCCTTGCTAGTGGTTTAAATCCACTGCCATCTTTGACGTCTACCTCCTTGCAATATCAAGCAAAGGAGAACCGGGAGGTGCAACTGTGCGAAATGCGCTCTATTGAACAACATGATTTTATGGGGAATTTTCAAATTTTTATTTTTTTTTTGAATTATTACGAAAATAGTGATATTTGGTGTCAAAATGCTCCGAATTTCGAGAAAATCAAGAAAATTCGATTGAAAATGCGAAATGCGCTCTATTGAACAATAAGATTTTATGGAGAATTTTCAAATTTTTATTTTTTTTTGAATTACGAAAAATAGTCATATTTGATATGAAAATGCTGCAAATCTTCAGACCTACCCATATTTCGCAAAATTCCCAAAAAATCTGCCCATCCGCTCCATAACCTCCCGATCTTCCGCACTCAACTCCCCAAACGCCGTGTAAATCCCATCCCCCAGCAAATATCGCAAGTCCGTGCAGTGCGTCGCGGCATTTTTGAACGGCAAAATGTGTTGGAGCGCACCGTACTCCGCTTCCGCGTTGTGATATTCGAAACTGTAGACGTAGACGTCGTTTCCGCATCGCGCCGCGTTCCGCGCCGCTTCGAAAATTCCCGTGTTGAAGATTTGATCGCCGATGAAGTTGACGAGCGCTTTCCGCAGCGCGTCTTTTGTCTCCGGAAGTGATTCCGCGTGTGTAGAAGGCGTAGACTTTTTCACGCATTGCTGAAGGATCTTCTGGAAGATTTTTGAGCTCGGGATCGATTTTTCGAGCTCTGAAGCTTGAAAATATGCTCCAGACCTCAAAAATTGACTGAAAATCGATTTTTTGTGCTCTGAAGCTTGAAAATATGCTCCAGAACTGAAAATCTGGCTGAAAATCGATTTTTTGTGCTCTGAAGCTTGAAAATATGCTCCAGAACTGAAAATTTGACTGAAAATCGATTTTTTGAGCTCTGGAGCCCCCAAAAACTCACCAATACAATTATCCTCATTATAAAACCTCTCCAATTGCTCGCGGAAACCCTGTTCCGGATCCGGATGCGCGGCATGCGTCGCAAACAACAATCCCTCATATTCGCAGAGCCCGAAAATCGCCGGTTTCTTCCGCGCGTCTTTCCGCAACGCTCCCAAAGGTTGCGGAAAGAAATCGCCATCGAAAGTCGGTCCGAAAATCAGATCTCCACTATATTTGAAGTCCTTGATGGCCTTCTTGATGTCCGAAGTGCTCTGGGCTTCGAAGAACTCTACCAGGCCTTCCGGGCCGCCCGGAAAGCCTAGGCTTTCCGCGAGGCTTTGGTAGTTCTTCATGGCTACCGGAAATTTCCGCATCGAGAAATGACACATTGCCGCACCTGACATCGGAATCCACTTGTGAAACAGGTCACGGGATTTTGGACTTAGGCTAAGTAGATCAACACTTCCGCCACCGGCACTTTGCCCGAAAATTGTCACATTTCCCGGGTTGCCGCCGAAACTTGCGATGTGTTTTTGGACCCATTCGAGAGCCAGGGTTTGATCCCAGAGAGCAAGATTTCCTGAAAAAAAAAATTTTTTTGAGACTAGATTTGATTGTGCTGAAAATTTCCGATTTTTTGACACTAAATAAGCCTGGGGTTACTGTAGAGAAGCATGTGCGCTCTAATGAGAATCCAGAAAATTTGTCAAAAATTTGAATTTTTAAATTTTTTTCAAGTGCGCTCTAATGAGAATCTCAAAAAATTCATAAATTTTCTATCAAAATAGCAAGTGCGCTCTAATGAGAATCCAGAAAATGTGACAAAAATTTGAATTTTTCAATTTTTTTTCAAGTGCGCTCTAATGAGAATCCAGAAAATGTGACAAAAATTTGAATTTTCAGAAATTTTTTCAGAAAAATTTTCAGAAATTTCTTTCAAAATGGCAATTGCGCTCTATTGATAACTTGGAAAAATTGTCAAAATTTCAAATTTTCAGATGTTTTTTCAAGTGCGCTCTAATGATAATCTCAAAAAATTCAAAATTTTCTATCGAAAAAAAGCATGTACGCTCTAATGATAACTTGGAAAAATTAACAAAAATTTGAATGTTCAAAATTTGTTCAAGTGCGCTCTGATGAGAATATCAAAAATTCAAACTTTTCCATTAAAATAGCATGTGCGCTCTAATGATAACTGGGAAAAATTAACAAAAATTCAAATTTTCAAAATTTTTTGCAAGTGCCCTCCAATGCTAATTCAACCAACCCGGATACTTTTTCGACCCATCCGTCAAAAATCCAAAAAGTCCCACGCGATAATTAATGGTCACCAGAATAATGTCGCGGAGCGGAAGCGACGCGGAAAGCGAATAATCGTCGAAGCTGGCGGATGTTCCGCATTCGAACGCTCCGCCGTGGATGAAAACCATGACCGGACGGCCCGATTTGGCCTGGAATTGAAGTTGGTAGACCAGAACGCTTTCTGAGCCCCAGAAAGGCTCCCCGAGCCCGAAAAAGGCTCCCCGAGCCCCAAAAAGGCTTCCCGAGCCCCAAAAAGGCTTCCCGAGCCCCCGAAAGGCTTCCAAAGCCCCAAAAAGGCTCCCCGAGCCCCATAAAGCCCCCCGCAAACTCACAAATTCCTCACTCTTCCACCGCGGTGCAAAAACATTCAAATTCAAACATTTCTCATCGTCAACCTCGAACTTCTCAAATTGTTTCTGAACCATTTCCATCTCGGAAAATGTGCCAAATTGTGAGCAAATCGGTCCGTATTTTGTGCAATCTCGCGGCTCCAACCACAAATCGGCCATTTGGGCTTTTTGGAATTTGCGCACCGGATTTGCATAGGGGATTCCGAGGTAGCCGTCGACGACGATTTTTCCAGAGTCCTGGAATTGAACCTTAATCTTAATCACCTTAAAAATGTATTTTAAACTTTGGGGGGATTCTCAAAATTGTTTAAGTAACCTTAAGAGTCTTTAAAATGCTCTTAAGGACCTTAAAAATCTTTTTTAAAAACCTTAAGAGCATCGGATACCTTAAGAATGTTCTGAATAACCTTAAGCACCTTAAATTACCATAAAATTTCTTAATAAATTTTAAGAGCCCTAAAAATGTTCCGAACAACCCTAAGATCCTTTAAAATGTTCCGAACAACCTTAAAAGCCTTAAAAATGTTCTTAACTCACATGTCTTAACTCACATTGGTCCAAACAACCCTAAGATCCTTAAAAATGCTTCTAAGAACCTCAATGACCCTAAAAATGTCCAGAACAACCTTAAGGACCTTAAAAAACTTCCCAAAACTCACATGTCTATACTCATTGCCCTTAATTGGACCAGCCGAAGTTTCGAGAATTTCAGAATGTTGCTCAGGTTTGAGATGCGATAAGTGACCGCCCATTTTTGGCTGAAAATCTGAAATTTTCAGCCCAGTTTTATAGCGAAAAATAGTTGAGTCATAAAAAAAGCGGTTTTTTGGAATAATTTTCGTGTTTTCTAGACTACACTGTAGCCTAGCCGCTAGACAAAATAAAAAATGAACTTTAAAAACTAAAAAAAATTTGTTTTATCTCAAAAATTGTTTGCTCAAAAAAAAGTACACACAGAAAATTGATAAATAAATAGAAAAAAAAAAAATGAAAAAATGTGTTTTTTCTGTGGTTTCTGAATGTTTGACTACAAAACTAGAGGAAAATGGGCTTCAGGGGGCTTCAGAAGGCTTCAGGAGGCTTCAGGGGGCCTCTGAAGCCTTCTCAAGCCTTCTGGAGTCTTCTGAAGCCTTCTGAAGCCTTCTGAAGCCCCCTGAAGCTTCCTAGAGGCTTCTGAAGCCCCCAGAAGCCTCCTGAAGCCCTCTGAAGCTTTTTGAAGCCTTCTGAAGCCCCCTGAAGACTTCTGAAGCCTTCTCAAGCCTCCTAAAAGCTTCTAAAGCCTTCTGAAGCCCTTTGAAGCCTTCTGAAGCCTTCTGAAGCCCTTTAAAGCCCCCTGAAGCCCCCCGAAGCCTCCTGAAGGCTTCTGAAGGCTTCTGAAGGCTTCTGAAGCCCCCGAAGCCTTCTCAAGCCTCCTGAAGCCTCCTGAAGCCCCCCGAAGCCCCCTGAAGCTTCTGGAAATCTAGCTGAAAATCTAAAAAGCCATGTTTTTCAAAATTTTATTTTCATTTTCATTTTCAAACAAAAAAAATAAAAAAATATTTTCGACCCGCTCAAAAACAAACAATAAAAATGTGTGACAGAAAAAAGAGAGAAAAAATCAATTTTTTCCACAAAAAAACATGAAAAGTTACATAATATTTGGCAAGAGATTAGAGATCAGATGAAAAAATTCGGAAAAAAATGGATCTAGCTCATGTTCAGTGTTAAAAATCGCGAAAATTTCAGATTTTCAGCCAAAAATCACGCTAGAAAATCGCGAAAATCCCAAAAATCCACCCTAAACATTGGAAGGTCTTGAAGCGAATCGACTGTGTTCGACCATACTTCGTTCGGTTTCGATTCGAGACATTCGACTGCATCGCATTCCGGCCTGCGAGAAATAGGCTTTTCGTTTGGTTTCGTCGGTTTGCATGAGAGCCTGGAAATATTTGGATAGGAATTTCAGAAAATTTGGGCTCTGTTAGGTTGGTTAGGCTCTGCAAGGCTGTGTTAAGCTCTGAAAAGGTTTGACAAGGCTGGTTTAGGCTCTGCGAGAGTCCTGCAAGGCTTATTCAAGGCTAATTTAGGCTCTGTCGAGGCTCGCCAAGGCTGTTCTAGGCTGGTTTAGGCTCGGCGAGGTTCTGCAAGACTGTTTTAGGCTCTGCAAGGTCTGTTTTAGGCTCTGCAAGGTCTGTTTTAGGCGCTTTGGAGGCTCTTCAAAGCTTGGAAAAGGCTCGACAAGGCTGTTTCAGGCTCTGCAAGGCTCGACAAAGGCTCGACAAAGGCTCTGCAAGGCTGTTTTAGGCTCTGCAAGGCTCGACAAGGCTGTTTCAGGCTCTGCAAGGCTCGACAAAGGCTCGACAAAGGCTCTGCAAGGCTGTTTTAGGCTCTGCAAAGGCTCTGTCAGGCTCGACAGGGCTTGACAGGGCTCGACGAGGCTTGACAAGACTGTTTTAGGCTCTGTAAAGTCTCTCCAAAGCTTGGAAAAGGCTCGACAGTACTCGACAAGGCTGTTACAGGCTCTGCAAAACTCGACAAAGGCTCTGCAAGGCTGTTTTAGGCTCTGCGAAGGCTTGACAAGGCTCGACAAGCCTGTCTTGGGCTCGACAAGGCCCCCTCAAAAGCCCCTACCTTAATATACATAACAGTCATATGTCGGAATTGCTCGTTATACATCAAAAACACGAAAAACGGAATTGTCGCATTCACCAGACACAACAAATTGTTACTGTGATTTATCACACACATCATATAGCTCACTTCGGTTTTCTGTAATGAAAAATCGATAGCTTTTCGCGCCAAATTCAAAATCCACGTGGAATTCGGAGCGTTTTGAGACCCGACATGGCCAAAAACTCACCTCAACCGCGCTGACGACGTGCGAAATCGTGGCGGGACCCTCGAGGAGCAGGTGTAGAAGTGTGGTGGCCACCGTCATTCGGATCACACATTTTCGACGTTGCGAGAAGGCTTCGCCGAGGTTCTGAAAATTAAAGGGACATACAGTAACCTGCTCTGAGGTCTCCCGAGGTCTTCCGAGGGCTCCCGAGGTCTCCCGAGGTCTCCCGGGGTCTCCCGAGGTCTTTCGAGGTCTCCCGAAGTCTCCCGAGGTCTCCCAAGGTCTCCCGAGGTCTCCCGAGGTCTCCCGATGGCTCCCAAGGTCTCCCGGGGTCTCCCGAGGTCTCCCGAGGCCCTACAGTACCCCTACCTTAAACGTGAATTGCTTAATGATCAAAATAGTGCAGACCAACATCGCGATAGTCGGGAGAACAATCGAAACAGCCATCGTGGTTGTGATCAGAATTCGACGCAGAAAATCGAATTCGGGTCGATTGAACAGTCGAAATGACGACTCCAAATACCAACATGTGGAATCTTGGGGTTCGGGGAGCTGTAAATGCGGAGTGTCGTTTAAAGGTGTGAACCCGGAGCGTCGTTTGGAAGCCCAAAGTCAAAGATGTAAACCTGGAGCATCGTTTGACAGCTCAAATTCAAAGGTGTAAACCCGGAGCATCGTTGGGAAGCTCAGATTTGAAGGTGTAAACCCGGGGCATCGTTTGGAAGCTCAAATTCAAAGGTGTAAACCTGGAGCATCGTTGGGAAGCCCAAATTCAAAGGTGTAAGCCTGGAGCATCGTTTGAATGCCCAAATTTGAAGGTGTAAACCTGGAGCATCGTTTGAAAGCTCAAATTCAAAGGTGTAAACCTGGAGCATCGTTTGGAAGCTCAAATATAAAGGTGTAAACCCGGAGCATCGTTTGGAAGCTCAAATTCAAAGGTGTGAACCTGGAGCATCGTTTGGAAGCCAAAATTCAAAAGTGTAAACCTGGAGCATCGTTTGGAAGCCCAAATTTAAAGGTGTAAACCCGTAGCCTCGTACTCACCGTATAATTAGCCACATGAATCCTCTCCTCAACATCCACCGTCATCAAAAGTGTGCTCATCAAAAGTGTGGCCGCCAAAAGCGACAAAATCAAAAAAATCCACGTCACCCGCTTCGTACAGTACTTGCGAAACACAAACGGCCACATAATACACATGACAGTCTCCATGGTTACCATAAGTGTTAGCCACGTCGACATAGTTCCACTGATGTTCGAGATCCACATCAGATAGGGTTTGGTGGACCAGAAGAAGGGCTCGAGCCAATCGAATGGGTCCAACGGGGGGCTTGAGGCGTGGAGCACTTCGATGACTCTTGAAAAGACGAAGATCATGTTGAAGACGGCCTTGGCTCGCAGGAAATGCACACTTGATGAGCCGTCGAAGTAGGGGGAGACCGTAGATGAGAAGGTTCAGCATGTTGCCGATGAAGCAGAGGATCATTAGGGGTGGGACCAGGTATTGCAGGTATACTGGAAAAACATTGGAGGGTTTTAAGGATGGAGAGGGCTTTGAAGGGCTTTGGAGGGCTTTACAGGGCTTGAGAGGGCATTACAGGGCTCTGGAGGGCTCTAGAGAGCTTCAGAGGGCTCTAAAGGGCTATAATGGGCTTCACAGGGCTTTAGAGGGCTTGAGAGGGCTTCAGAGGGCTTTACAGATTTTCACAAGGCTTTACAGGGCTCTGGAGGGCTTTATAGGCTTCAGAGGGCTCTAGAGGGCTTTACAGGGCTTCACGAGGCTTTTCAGGGCTCTGAAGCCCTCTGAAGCCCTCCCTGAAGCCCTCTGAAGCCCTCTGAAGCCCTCCCGAGATCTCTAAAGCCCTCTGAAGCCCTCCCAAGCCCTCTGAAGCCCTGTAAGGTAATTTACGGTGTTATTTTTGACATCCTCATATTGAGGCTGTCAAAAATCCTAGCATATTTTCCCTACTCTCTGGAAAATTTCCAGGCTGTCAAAAATCCTGCCATATTTTCCCTACTCCCCGAAAATTTCTAGAGGTTGTCAAAAATCTCACTGCCCAACTCCTACCGGAAAATCCTGGGGTTGTCAAAAATCCTAGCATATTTTCCCTACTCTTTGAAAATTCCTTGAGGCTGTCAAAAATCCTAGCCTACTTTCCCTACCCCAAAATATTCAAAAATGCTCCGCGTAAACGCGGAGCCTCGTTGTTTCACTCACAAATCTCCACATAATCACAGCCCGTCAGAAATTTGATCGAATGGCGGTAGAGCGGAAGGCTCCGCGCGGTATCCGCGCCGCATTCCGCAACGCCCCATTCTTCGGCCTTCTCCACTGCCATCATTAATCTGAAACGTGTTTTTTGAGGGTACTGTAGAGGGGGAGTACTGTAGGGGTACTGTAGATTACCGTAGGCATGGAATAAAACTCAAATTTTTGCCATAATTCAAAAAACAGTTCCGAATTACGAGTTCTTCGTTGAAATTCACCACATTGCTCAGATTAGCCATGAAATCTGAAAAAAAGCATTGCTCAGGTTAAAGAAAATATTGCTCAGGTTGAAGAAGAGATTGCTCAGGTTAAAGAAAAAATATTATTCGTCAAAAAATTGCGGAGGTTGAAAAAAATATTTTTTATTTTTCAACAGCTGAAAATTTTCAGAGTTTTTCGGTGAAATCAGAAAATATGGGCGGTCGCGAAAAAATCCGAAAAAATTGGGAGGAAAAAGGTCAGGGGATCGAACCCCGGTGCCTGCGAAAATTTTGTTTTTTTGAAAATTATCGCTCAAAAGGTCAGGGGATCGATCCCCGTTGCCTGCAAATTTTTTTTTTTTTGAAAATCACGAAGAAAAAGGTCAGGGGATCAATTCCCAGTGCCTGCGTGGTGTTTTTTTTTTCAAAAACGTGTTGTTTTCAACAACAAAAATGACAAAGTGCATCTTTAAAGGCTAATTATCCAAAACTAATTATAAAGGAGTTAAGAAAATGGTGAAATGAGCTGAAAAAAAGGGAAAAACATTTTTTTTCGAGGGAAAAATGGAATAATTTTGAAGAAAAAAGTTCGTCATTCTATTTGTGGTCGCATAAATTTTGCGGGTTTGACGCAAATTGCAAAAAAAAAATTATGCAGGCACCGGGGATTGATCCCCTGACCTTTTGAGCCATAATTTTCAAAAGAAAAAATTATCGCGGGCAGCGGGGATTGATCCCCTGACCTTCTGAGCCAAATTCAAAAAAAAATAAAAAATTCGCAGGCACCGGGGATCGATCCCCTGACCTTCTGAGCCATATTTTTCCCAAAAAATGTATAAAATAGCTGAAAAAATGCACAATTTTCAGCATTTTCAGCCCTAAAAATCATGATTTTCAGCAAAGCTGAAATTGATGTTTGAACTCGGTTGGAAAATAATTTCAGAGTCATTTTTTTCCAGCAAAAAAAAATATTTTTCAGCCATTAAAAATATAATTGTTTGCAGGGAAAATGGGTGGGAAAACAGGAGAATTAGGAAGCAGAAGGTCAGGGGATCAATTCCTGCTGCCTGCGGATTTTTTAAAGTTTTGAAAATTATGGCTCAGAAGGTCAGGGGATCGATTCCTGCTGCCTGCAAAATTTTTTTTTTCAAAAAAAAAAAAAAGATTTCTGAACTCGATTAAAAAAGCTTTTTTCCGGATCAGATTAATTTTTCAAAGAAAATTTTATTTTTAGCCTCGAAAAAAACGTGATTTTTCCAAGAAAAAGGTCGAGGGATCGATTCCCGCTGCCTGCGGAACTTTTTCAGCCAAATTTTTGGCTGAAAAAATTAATTTTCATCAAATTCTGCAGGAAAAATGAGAAAAACAGCAAAAAGCGACAAGAATCTCCTTTTCTAATGAATAATTTCTCCTTTTTGCTTTGGCGAGCAAAAAAAGCATTTTTCTGAGCACGATAAAAATTTATAGGGAATTTTTGATTTGAAAAAAATGTGTGTGCGGGCGGCGGGGGTCGATCCCCTGACCTTCTGAGCCATAATTTTCAAAAGAAAAAAATTATCGCAGGCAGCGGGGATCGATCCCCTGACCTTCTGACTCAAAAATTCCCGCCAAAATCTACAGTAACCCTGGGAAACTCATGATCTACAGAAAATTCGGATTTTTTGCCACTTTTTTTTTGAAATACAGTAGTTTCCTGGGTTACTGTAGCCGTATTTTTGGCGGGAAAAATTCGTGATTCAAAAATTCAAATAAACTTTTCACAAATCAAAAAAAAATATTAAAAATTATAGGGTTTAAAATTTTAAAGTTCAAAAAATCTCGTGATTTTTCAAATTTTTTTCGCGCGCGCAAAAAAAAATTTGGCGGGAAAAAAATTTAATTTGGAAAAATATCTCTTTTTTTCATTGTGAGCCAGGCAAAACAACGCGATTTTCCGAGAAAAAAGCTGGAATTTTGGCGGGAAAATTCAGGGATTTCAAAAAAATTGGCGGGAAAATTTGATCTACCGCGAAAATTTCACTTTTTAGACACCAAATAAGCCTAGAAACTTGAAAGTTATGGCTCAGAAGGTCAAGGGATCGAACCCCGCTGCCTGCGATAATTTTTTTCTGTTGAAAATTATGGCTCAGAAGGTCGGGGGATCGAACCCCGCTGCCTGCGAAGATTTTTTTTTCAAATTTTGGCCTGTTTTCAGACAAAAATAACTAATTTTCCTGGAAAAATTTCAGAAAAAAATCAAATTATACTCCAATTTTCAGTCTGAAAATTACGGCTGAAAATCAATTTTCAAAAAAAAAACTTTTTACGAGCAAGCAACAAAAAAAAATGAGCAAAAATTAATAATTTTTGGGTCCCCTGGGGACCTAAAAAAATATGATGTGCACATTTTTTTTGCACAAAAAAATGAGCGGAAATTGATTTTTGAACATCTATTTTTGGGGGCAAAATTCGGAATTCAAATTTTTATTTTCAAAAACGGAATTCAAATTTTTATTTTCAAAAATTAGAGCATTGCTCAGGTTAAGATATTTTTTTTCAAAATTTCTAGATTTTTTTTAAAATCTGAGTTTCGGCGCCAAAAATCAAAGTTTCAAAAAATTTTCCCAGGAGCTATAAAACTTCTGGAACAAAAAAAAAATTTTTTTTTTGGTAGATCAAAGATTTTGGCGCCAAAAAGGCATAAATTTTCATGAGCCAATAAAAAAAATTTTTTTTTTTCGAAAAATAAAAAAAAATAATAATTTTCTATAGAAAATCAAGGAAAATTCTAGGAAAAAAATAGTTTTTCAGATTTTTTTTCTCAAAAAAAATTTTTCCCGAAAAAAAAACGTAAATATTTGGAAAAAGTGCAAAACTCTCGAAAAAATAGCCCAAATTATTTTTTTTTTCGACAAAAACATCAAAAAACATTGAAAATTAGGGGTTTTCATGGAAAAATCGAGAAAATTTAGTAATCTGAAGGTCAGGGGATCAATCCCCGCTGCCTGCGAAATTTTTTTTCTTTTGAAAATTATGGCTCAGAAGGTCAGGGGATCAATCCCCGCTGCCTGCGAAAAATTTTTCTTTTGAAAAATATGGCTTAGAAGGTCAGGGGATCAATCCCCGCTGCCTGCGGGAAATTTTTTCTTTTGAAAATTATGGCTCAAAAGGTCAGGGGATCGATCCCCGCTGCCTGCGGGAATTTTTTTCTTGGAAAATTATGGCTCAGAAAGGTCAGGGGATCGATCCCCGGGGCCTGCGAAAATTTTTTTTTCCTAGAAAAATCTCATGTCTGGCTCAAAAATGATGTTTTTTCTCGTATTTTTAATTGCTCCAAGACACGCGCCAATGAAAAAGTGAGCATAGATCAAAAATTTGAATATTTTATTCAAATTCAAATTTTTTTTTGTTTTTTTTCGGCGCCAAAAATAGAGAGAAATGGGACCAAAAAGCGGGGTGAAATTAACGGAGAAATAAATGAGGAAAATTCTTCTGACTCATTTATTTTTGGGGTGGACCCCGTCTTAATTAAAAACATGGAGAAAAATGAGCTTTCCGGGGGGCTCTCATAGACTTTATGAGGATTTTTCGCGCGGCGCGAAATTGAATTTGAAAAAATTCAAATTTAAATTTAAATTAGAAAAAAAAGAGGGAAAAAGTGGTTTTTCCTGGCGAAATGACGAATTTTTGAGATTAAGGGGTGCAAAAAACATTTCCGCAGGCACCGGGGATCGATCCCCTGACCTTCTGGGCAATAATTTTCAAAAGAAAAAATTATCGCAGGCAGTGGGGATCGATCCCCTGACCTTCTGAGCCAAAATTTTCAAATAAAAAAATTACTGCAGGCAGCGGGGATTGATCCCCTGACCTTTAGATTACCAAAAATGGGAAAAAAAGTGCATGGAAATTTCTCGTGACCGAAAAAAAACTTTGAATAATTGAGTGTTTTGAACTATTTTGTGGAAAAGGAAAACAAGGAAAAATTGAGGGCTACCAGAAATGCGCCAGCAAAAAAATGGCGCGAAAATAGTAGATCACGAGATTTTTTTTTTCAAGAGTTTTGTTTTTTTGCACACCGTGTTTTGTGGGGTCACAAAAAATGTGAGAAAAAAAAATTTTTTTTTCAAAAAAAAATTTTTTTCTCGGAAAATTATACTTGTTTTTAAGCACGGATGATTTGGGATAATCTAAGAATCGAAAAAATTCACGAAAAAAAACATTTTTTGATCCATAAATTTTGTGAAAAAATATGGCTCAGAAGGTCAGGGGATCGAACCCCGCTGCCTGCGAGAATTTTTTTTATTTTTTTCGAGAAAATAAATATTTGAACTCTCAAAAATCGGAAAATTTTGAGAGGCTATATCAAATTTCAGGTAAATAACTTTTTGAGCACAAAAATCATTCTTCCGGACTGCAAAAATGATCTAGAACTGGAAAAAAAAGTGATCTACAGTAGCCCGGACTGCAAAAAATCTAGCTACAGTACTTCTGGATTGCAAAAAAAAAAACGATCGAGAACTGCAAAAAATGACCTAGAACTGCAAAAATTGGGCTACAGTACTCCCAGACTGCAAAAATCAGCTACAGTACTTCCGAACTGCTAAAAATGATCTAGAACTGCAAAAATTACGCTACAGTAACCCGAACTTCAAAAAAACGATCTAGAACTGCAAAAAATGATCTAGAACTGCAAAAATCTAGCTACAGTACTCTTCGAACTGCAAAAATTCAGCTACAGTACTCTTCGAACTGCAAAAAATGATATAGAACTGCAAAAAAGTGAGCTACAGTAACCCGAACTGGAAAAAACTTGTCTAGAACTGCAAAAAATTCAGCTACAGTACTCCCGGACTGCAAAAAACTCGTCTAGAACTGCAAAAAATGATCTAGAACTGCAAAAGTGAGCCACAGTAATCCAGACTGCAAAAAATGATCTAGAACTGCAAAAAAGTGAACTACAGTAACCCGGACTGTGAAAAAAATGATCTAGAACTGCAAAAATTCAGCTACAGTACTCCCGGACTGCAAAAAAACGATCTAGAACTGCAAAAAATGATCTAGAACTGCAAAATTTAAGCTACAATAACCCGGACTGCAATAATTGAGCTACAGTACTCCCGGACTGCAAAAAAAACGATCGAGAACTGCGAAAACAGTGAGCTACAGTACTCCCGGACTGCAAAAACCTAGCTACAGTACTCCCGGACTACAAAATATGATCTAGAACTGCAAAAAAATGAGATACAGTAACCCGGACTGCAAAAATTCCAAAAAAACGTGTTTGGATTCAAAAAATCAGAAAATTCCACGAAAATCCAAAAAAAAATCACATTTTTTTCCGAAAAAAATCCGAAAAATCAGAAAAAAGTGCCACTAATCCCAGGAAACTTGAGAGCAGCTTAATCTTTTCAAAAAAAAAATGAAAAATTATGAAAAAAACTGAAAAATTGCGTGTGGAGCTCTCGAAAAACAACAAAAATAATTACATTTATGTTTGCCTTCGCATTTTTTTTGAGCGAAAAATAAATAGGAAAAGCTAAAAAAAAAAAGAAAACAATAGAAAAAACCGGACAAAAACACAATTTTCAGGTGGTTAAGTGGTTTTGCAGAACAAAAAAAAAATGTCTGGGAAAATTTGGCTTTTTGAGGCCCTTAGGGCCCTTTAAAGGCTTCCTGAGACATCTGAAGCCCTCTAAAGCTCCCTAAGGCCATTGAAGGGCTCCCTAATGCCTCTGAAGCCCTTTAAAACCTCCTAAGGCCTTTTAAGGCTTCCTAAGCTCCCTAAAGCCATTTAGAGGCTCCCTAAGGCCTTCTAAAGCCTCTCAAGGCCCTTTAAAGGCTTCCTAAGGCCCATTAAAGGCTTCCTAAGTCTTCTAAAGCCCTCTGAAGTCTTCTGAAGTCTCCTAAGGCCCTTTAAAGCCCTCTAAAGCCATTTAAAGGCTTCCTAAAGCTCTTTAAGGGCTTCCAAAGCCCTTTAAAGGCTTCCTAAGGCTTCAAAAGCCCTTTCTCTCCAATTTTTTTCTGAAAATCGCTCTGAAAAGGGGGCGTGGCTTAGGGTCTGAAAATGCTCGCCCACCTGAAAATCAAATAAAAAAACCTAATTTTAATAACAGGTTATAGAAGTGTGCCTATTTTTTGCCGTCACGCGAGCAAAAAAAAATAAAAAAAATAATAATTTCATTTTTTTTCCATTCTTGGCTGAAAAATTCGATTTTTTGCCGTCTCGAACAATAAAAACAACAATTATTTGTGTTCGGCTCATTGAAAATGAGAATGAGCACAAAAATGGGGTGGGCTCCGAAAAAAAGTGTCGAGTTACTGACTTTTCCCCCGGAAAAAACGAGGTAAACACCTTTTTTGGCGGGAAAAAGTAAAAAAAAGTGCACCGGAATTGTGTCAAGCTACCGAAATTGCGTCAGTGAACCTTCTAGAAGCTTCTAGAAATGCGTCAGCAAATTTAGAAGCTTCTAGAAATGCGTCAGCAAATTTAGAAGCTTCTAGAAATGCGTCAGCAAATTTAGAAGCTTCTAGAAATGCGTCAGCAAATTTAGAAGCTTCTAGAAATGCGTCAGCAAATATACAAGCTTCTAGAAATGCGTCAGCAAATTTAAAAGCTTTTAGAAATGCGTCAAGCTACAAAAATTGCGTCAGCAACACTCCAAACTACAAAAAAAACACGTCATGAAATGCAAATTTTTGCAAACGACACACCCAATTAAACTTCACATGACTAATTTTTTTTTCAAAAAAAAAAATAAAATAAAATAGGAAAAAAAAATAATTAGAGCAAGTTTCGATTTCCTGCTCGTGACACCAATTAAAAATTTTTCGAAAATTTCAAAAAAAAAAAATTTTTTTTCCTCGAGATTCAAGATTATTTGAAGAAAATAACATGGTAAAACAAAAAAAAATGATTTTTTTTTCGAAAAAAAAATCTGGAAAAACGAGGATCGCATAAAAATAATGTTATATTTTCACATAAACATTGAATTGGAGTATTGCTGACGCGTTTTTTGTAGCTTGACACATTTCTAGAAGCTTCTAAATTTGCTGACGCACTTCTAGTACCTCAAAACCCCTAAGAAACATACAAAAAACTAAAAAAAACATATTTCAAGACCAAATTTGGTGCTGAAAATGCTGGAAATACACAAAATCGTCTTGAAACTGTTGGAAAAATGCAAAATCCTGGTATTTACACCAAAAACCGAGAGAAAACGCGAAAAAACATTTGAAAATGATTTGTTTGTCTCTTGCAGCGATTTACGCTAAACAACGGGCATAGCGGAGTCTCGTTGTTTTACTTTTGTTTTTTCGTTTTTTTTTCGGGGAAAAACATGTTTTCGGGTGGAAATTGATGATTTTAAGAGAAGGTTGGTTGAAATTTTGATAAATTTCAAAGAAAACTAGTTATTTTTTAGGTTTCGCGTGGGTTTATAGATTGGTACTTACTTTGATACTTTGATAGTCCATTATTCGAGCGTGTAGCTGTGGACTAGATGTTTCCAGGAACTTCTTGATCTCGCCAATCGTGACCAGGGCCATTTTATTGGAGATTAGCCCGATCCTTCTTCTTCCGCCTCCACCGAGGCCTTGTAAATTTATATTGTGTTGGTGCACTTTGACTTCACTTTGAATATCATCCGACCATCTTTCGAAAATGCCTCTCGGTCTCCCTCTTCTTCTTTTGACGCCGTTTGGTGGTTCCCAGATGGTTATGATTCTGCATAATCTTCTTTGTGGCAGCCGGACTACGTGTCCTGCCCATCTCAACTTCGACTTCATTATGTGGGTTTCTATATTTGGTGGTTTACCAGCTTGAGCTTGATCCCAGATATAATTCACACTTCTTTGGATTCTCTTCACATCTTCCACCTTGGTATTCCATGTTTCACATCCATAAGTTATTGCTCCAATTACACATGATTTGAGGAAGTGGTTCTTCTCTTTTTCTGGAAGTTCTGAGATGGCGGTCGCGATGTTGTGATATGACGCCCAACCCGATCTTATTCGGTTGTTCACTTCCGCATCCAGTAGTCCATCTTTTTTGAAGATTCTGCCAAGATATTTGATTTGATTCACCTCTTCCAATGGGATTCCATTAACTCGAACCAGACTTGTGGATCCTAGATCAAAACAGACAGGATTTTTTCGAAGAAAACACGTATTTGAGAGAAAATCGATGATTTTAAGGCAGTTTGGTTGAAAATTCGATATAATTCATTGAAAATTTATAGTTTGCAGCTGGAAAATCCGTTGATCGATTGAAAATTCAAAAAATTTCACAAAAAAAGAAGAAAATCGCCGAAAATATAGTTTTGACGTGATGACATGAAGATAAGGATCTTTTTCGAACAAAAAAACAAGAAGTCAAGTCAGTTCTAGAAATGCGAAAGCTGCTTTTTGCTCTACTCTCATTCCTGCTCATCAAATTGAGCCACGAAGTTCACGACGAAAGTTTTGTCAAATTTTGCACAAATGTCAGAGGTTCTTATATGAAAAGCACATCCGAATGGGATTCTGGTGATGAATGCAAAGTAATTTGGCCGATTCCAAGTTCATCGAATTCCGAAGCCAAAAGATATTGTAAAAATTGGGGAGCTTATCCGGTGAAACATTCGAGAAAAAGTGATAATGGACAAACTGAATGTGTTTATGAAAATGTATTGGAATGTCGAAATGATTATACATTGATTAATGGAGAATGTTATCGATTTGTTGAACAAAATAAATTTGTGAATTATAAGGATGCGGTGAAATTGTGTGAAAAAGAGAAATTTAAGACGAAGGATTTGAAACCGATTACTTATAAACCAAAAGTTATTCGATTTTTTGATAAGAGTTTGATCAGATGGTTCAAAGGTAAATAAGCACGAGTGTATTTCCCTCTGCGTCTCTGACTTCTCTATGATCTCTAGCTTCTCTACCTCTCTAACCACCCCCTCCAATTTCCAGCCTACTTCACCAATCTCCGCTCAATCTTCGTCCTCCAAGATGCCCAACTCTCCCAAATCATCTCAAAAGACCTTGGCGGCTCAAACTTTGCAATAGTCTACGGAATGTCTGTCCACTACAAATCCCCGCCAAATTCCCTCGTAAAACTTCCGAAAAATGCGCAAGCTCAAGTAATGTGCTCCTACAAACCAGTCAATACTGTTTTGAGTTTTGGATACAAGGCAAAAATGATTGCACCATATTATTATCCGATTGGAACCAAAGGAATTGTCACCGCTTGGCGAACTTCGAGTCATTCGAGCTATTTGAAATCGACTGTTCCTGAAGCCAAGATTTGTGAAGCCTCTTTGAAGGCTATTGTTGGAGATACCAAGGCTGAAGCTTTTGATCCAAGAGAAGAGAATACTAAACCATTTTCTGCTGATTTCCGCAATGGATTTGTGATCTCACGAGCTGCTGTGATTCGTTGCTGTTATTCAAAAGACGGTAATAATTATAAAATTGCTGGACAAGTTTTTCGCGGAAAATGTAAAAGTCATGATTATGTTATTCAACACGTTGTCGATAGGGAAGATTCACAGGTTTATTTTTGATTTGCGGAATTTTCCGCGCGTGTCTTTCCGCGCCTCTCACAAATCTTTTGTTTTCAGCACAATTGCGCTGAACTGCCCAGTGTCGATGAGAACTACTACAAGATCAACACTCTACCACACGATTTCAACAAAAATGTGGAGACGACGATTTTGTTCACCGCCGGCAATGTGTAGGTTTTTGTCCGCGCGATGCGCTCCGGAATCTTCCGCGCAAGCGGTTCGAGTGTATTTCCCTCTAGCTGTCAAGACCATACCTGTATTTTTTGCAGCGACGGAAAATACGACATAGTCTCGCGTCAAGTTGCCGTCGAAGCCCCGCTCTTCTGCAGTCTCTACATTCCGCAACCCGACCGCGCCACCGAAAAAGACTGTCCAACCGGTTACACTGGAATCACACGAACCGGCACTCTGCAAACCGTCTGTCATCGTTGGATTAATACATGGAACACGTATGAAGAAGCCATCGAATATTGTAAGAAACACGGGGGTGGCGAATTGTCGACGTTTACCGATCAACGAGAATTGGATTTGATCAATAGATTGAATCAGGTGAACAATAATTTTTGGATTGGATTGGCGATCAAGAAAGAGTGTGACCGTGTTGATGAGAATCGTGATGGGCAATGTTCGAAGAGAAATGTAAGATAGCATTAGAAGAGACGCAGAGAGGATCGATAGCTAGAGATCATAGGATTTAAATAGACACAGAGGGAAATACACTCGCTACGCTCGAGCCGCTCACGCGGAAGATTCCGGGGCGCTTCGCGCAAGCTTGCAGTAGAACAAAATCGAAATTTGTACTGCAAGCTTGCGCGAAGCGCCCCGGAATCTTCCGCGTGAGCGGCTCGAGCGTAGCGAGTGTATTTCCCTCTGCGTCTCTGCCTTCCCTATGTTCTCTAGCTGTCTAGTTTCTCTGCGTATCTTGAAAGCTCTCTCTCTCTCTCTCTCTAATCATACCCTTCGACAGCTCTGGAAATTCACTGGCAGCATCACTCGAGACACCAAAATAGCTCGTGATTTTGTCGGAACACGATGGTCAAACGGTGAGCCGAATAATTGGAGAAATAGCCAAGAAGCGTGTATCGAACTGCAAACCAATGGACTTATGAATGATCAATCGTGTTCATCGAAACGACTAACAAGTTGTATGGTTGCGCCGAAAAAGGAGAAGGCGACTGAGGCGGATTGTGAGCCGGGATGGCATCCGTATACTCGAAAATTGAGCAATGGCGAGACTGTTGTTATGTGCCATTTTATGAGTAATATTTGGGTGAGTTTGAGCGGAGCGAGCCGCAAGCTTCCGCGCAGCGGCACTGTCTTCCGCTTTAGCGGCCACGCGGAGGCTTGTTGTTCCTTCGAGCGGAGCGAGTGTAAACCGCAAGCTTCCGCGCAGCGGCACTATCTTCCGCTACGCGGAGGCTTGTTGTTCCTTCGCTCTAATTCTGCCATTTTTCAGGGAAATTATTGGAAGGTTGAAAAAGGATGTAAAGAAGAGTTTGATGGTGCGATATTATCAACATTTACCACTGAAAAAGAATATCAACTTCTACAAAAGTTGATCAATAATAGACATGATCAATGGTCGGGTTATCAATTCTTCATTGGCTATTATAAAACACCCGAATGTCATTGGGCTAATGTTCGACGTTCCAACCAAAATGGATGCACTTTGGAGAATTGTTTTTATGATTATGAGCCGGGCACTGAAATCACGCCAGCAGTTCGTAAATTGGTTGCGTCGAAATTCAAACTCACTGAACCGGATGGTTCTGGACAGGCATTGAGTGTGTATAGAGGTGTGATTTGGGATGAGTTTTCGGCGGGAAAGACGGAGAAACAAGAGGGATATGCGATGTGTATGAAGAAGGCGCAGAAAAAATAGAGAGTTATACTTGAATTATTGTATTGAAATGAGAAATGAAGAGTTTTTGTAGAGATGTGTTTACAAAATGTTTACTATTAGCCAGAAATAACTTGTTTTCAATAAAATTTATCAAGTTTTCAACCAAAAAATCTTTAGAATCATCAATTTCCAGCCGAAAACATGTTTTTCCCCGAAAAAAAAACGAAAAAACAAAAGTAAAACAACGAGACTCCGCTTTGCCTGATGTTTAGCGTAAATCGGTGCAAGAGACAAAATTCATTATTTTTTCTTGTCTTGCCTCATTTTTGATGCAAAATACAGGGTTTCGGAGCAATTTTTTGTAATTTTCGTGGCAAATAAGGACAAGATTCAAAATTCAACGCATTTTATTCAAGTAAAAGTAAAAAACACCAATATATTCAAGTACTCTTCTTCTTCTTCTCCGCCTTCTTCATACACATCCCATATCCATTCACATGATTCACTTGCTCATCCAAAATCTTTCCCTCAAACACACCCAACGCTTGTCCCGAACCATCCGGTTCAGTATGTCTGAACTTCGACGCAACCAATTTACGAACTTCCGGTGTGATTTCATCACTACCCGGCTCATACGAATAGAAACAATTCTCCAAAGTGCATCCATTTTCGTTGGAAGTTCGAACAGCAATCCACTCACAAGCACGTGTTTTATAATAACCAATGAAGAATCGATAGCCCTTGTAGTTGTCTGGTCGATTATTTGTCAAATTCACGAGAATATCGTATTCTTCTTCGGTGGTGAATGTTGAGATGACTGCATTGTGTTCTTCTCTACATCTTCTACGAACAGTATCGAATTGTCCCTGTAAAATTGATATCCACGTCATAGCATTCCGCGTGGCCGCTAAAGCGGAAGCTTGCGGTTTACACTCGAAGAAACAGCAAGCCTCCGCGTGGCCGCTAAAGCGGAAGATAGTGCCGCTGCGCGGAAGCTTGCGGTTTACACTCGCTGCGCTCGAACTCACCCAAATATCAGTCATAAAATGACACATCACCACATTTTCTCCATTTTTCGATGTTCTTGTATAGGGAACCCATCCCGGTTCACAAACTGCTTCCTTCCCAGATTCCTCCACCTCCGTCGCATTTCCCTCCAATTGTTGGCTCAAATTGATGAGCAAGAAGAGCAGGGCAAAAAGAAGCTTTTGCATATTGCAAGAACTGATGATTTCCTTGCATTTTTGTAGCCTTTTTATACGTCTTGCCACGTCATTTTCTCCAGCTCACTGTCGGGTCAGGTCATGACGTGGAAAATTGATTTTTCCTCGAATTTCCAATCATTTTGCACCCTGAAATTACTAATTTTTCAAAAAATTTATCAAATTTTCGTCGATTTTCAGCCAAAAACAGTTTCTTCACGAAAAATGGTGTTTTTTCAAATTTCGAATTGATAACCCCATGTTTTACCCTGAAACCAATCATTTTTCGATAAATCTATCAAAATTTCAATCAAACTTGCCTTGAAATCATCGAATTCCACCCGAAAACATGTTTTTCCCCGAAAAAAAACGAAAAACGAAAGTAAAACAACGAGACTCCGCTTTGCCCGTTGTTTAGCGTAAATCGCTGCAAGAGACAAAAATCATTATTTTTTCTCGTTTTTCCTCATTTTTGGTGCAAAATACAGGATTCTGGCGAAAATACAAAACTGAAGAAGAAAAAGGACCTCAAAAACCATGACTGACAATGATAATTCAAGTCTTCTCCGGCAAAAAAAGATGATGACGTCAAAAATAAACGAAAAAAGTGTTGACCTCGAACTAACTACGTGGAGTTGTCCATAAAATGTCGACATGTCAAAAGACAAGTATTGTTGGATAGCTTTGAAATATGAAATTGTGAGTTTTCTTGAAAATAATAGCAGGGAAAATTATTGATTTTTTTGCAGTAAGTCCAAGAAGCCGAAGTCTAACACTAAGACCAAAACCAAGACCAAAACTGATACGAAGTCGAAGTCGAAGACGAAAACGAAGACAAGCAAGACTAAAACCAAGTCCCAATCAAAAGATTCGACCAAAAAACCTGGGAAGAAATTTGGAAAATTGACTTTTGGGAAACACAAGAAACCTGAAGGGACCAAATCGAAAACTGCAGAATCAAAAACACAATCAAAAGAATCTGTGAAAAATCGCAAATCGAAAGATCCGAAGAAGAAGCGAAGATGGGTGAAGTTCATTCTTCTTGCTCTTGGAGCATTTGTTATTTTGGCAACTATCATCGCGATTATCATGTTTTTCGTACTTTCTGGAGCAAATGAAGGTTCGAAAAAAGGCGATGAAGCTTCGAAAAATGAGCCAATAATTGAAGAAGTTTGCACAACTCAATCATGCAAACAATTATCGGCGAAAATGCTGAAATATATGGATGACAGTGTGAAGCCTTGCGATGATTTCTATAAATATACCTGCGGAAAGTATACAATAGTTAAAAGCGAACTTTTTGAAATGGCAGAGGACAAAGAAGTGGAGCTTTTCAAATATTTCGAGAAATACGTGCCGAAAACAAGATCTGAACGAATTGCAAAAGTGCTTTTTGACAAGTGTAAACTTCTCAAACCTGGTGAAGAGTATAAAAATCTAAACGTGTGGAGTAGATCAGATTTGACGGATGTGTTGATTGAAATGGCAAAATTGTTTCCAATTCATACGAGATTTTTCCATAATGCTGTTGTTTCCGATGAACTTGTTGATGGGAAAAGAGTTCTTAGACTTGTTGTTCTAAATGATCTTTATCCAACAGCAGTTTCTCAAAGTGCGGAAGTGAGTTTAGCCAACCCCCCCCCTCCTCCTGAAAATACATTATATTTTCAGCACTTGTATTATGCATATCGCTCAGTATTCATACAGAATGTGGCATTGCAAACTGAAAATTTAGTGACAAATAATGGAGATAGAAATCATATCAAATTGAAGAATATCAATTTGCAAAAATATTTTCTTGGTCTTTTACCCGAAGAAATACGAGCATCGAATCCAGATTTTCAAGTGACTTATGACAAAAATGCAATGTTGATATTGGACAAAGTTGTTGATAAACTTGATGGTCAACAAGGTACAATAAAACATCTTGCAGCTGTATATCAATCGGATATGAGATCAGTATTTTACCATGCAAATTACTATGATACCCCAACTACAAAAATGATTGAATGCTATGGTGTTGTTAGGAAAATGTTTCCTGGAACATTTGGAATGATTTATATCAAACAATATGTGAAACAAGGAAATGTTGAGATTGCTGACAAATTATTGGAAGAGATTAAAGATGTATTCAATGAAATGATTGATGAGAATAGTTGGATTGATTCTGGATTGAAACAGGCGCTGAAAAAGGAATTGAAATTGTTGAAAGGTTCGATTGGAACACCAGATGAGCATGAGAATTCGGCGAATATTGATCGAATGTACTCGAGAGTTGAGAGATCGAAAAGGGCGGAAGATCAGTCGTGTTTTGAATTGGTGAGAAATATAATGGCGATGAATAGCGAGGAGACTTTTGCGCGGGTTTTCAAAAAGGAACAGGTCACATATGCGGTGAATCCAATGGAAGCGTCACCTAATTTTAATGGAGCATCACATCGGACTTGTGAGTTGCAAGAGATTTAAATCAAATCTAGTTTACTGACAGCCCAACCTCGATTAATTTTTGCAGCTTTCCCGGCGGTTCTGATGAATTTCCCATATATCGATAAAGATCTACCCGAATGGAATAAAGTTGCATCAATCGGATTTCTAATGGCACACGAAGTTGGACACGCATTCGATGCCCAAAGATTCCCATTAACCGGTGCATTATTGAATCATCAGATGAATTCGGGAACTCGCGGTGAATTTGAGAAGCGTGTCAAATGTATAGTCGATAAATACTCGAATTATAAATTTGATAATGGTGTAAAATCGAATGGTGCAAGAACAAAAGATGAAGATACGGCTGATAAAATTGGATTTGATCTATCTTATCGGCTTTTCAAAAAATTACGAAATTATCAGAGATTGCCTGGATTTGAGAATGTCACCATTGAACAACAATATTTTCAAAGAATGGCAATGGTAAGATTTAGAATATTGTATTGAAATAATGTTTTGTTTTTTTTTTAGGATTGGTGCAGAAAAATGCCATTGCCAACGGAGGTTCGTGATTTTTATATCAACAAGGATGATCATACTGCAGATATGTTTAGAGTTAATGGAATTATGTCGAATTCGGAAGCGTTTGCCAAAGCTTATGGTTGTCCAGTGAATTCAAAGATGAATCCGACGCAGAAATGTCCGATGTTTTGAGGGATACTTGTGTGATTGATACTTGTGAAAATAAATACTTTTTTTTGAGAACTATGTTTTTTTTTGTTGCCGCACAGTTTTTTGTGTTTTTTTGTCTGCAAACACCGATGCATACCGTATCACGGTAACAGAAAAACACTTTTTTTTAGCTGTGGTTAGCCGCTCCGCGGAAGCTTGCGGACTACACTCGCGGCATCGCCGCTCAAGCTAAAGCATAGGCGTAGCCGCTTCGCGGAAGATTGTGCCGCTCCGCGGAAGCTTGCGGTCGATTTTTCTCGGATTTCCAATCGATAAGTCCATGTGCTACCCTGAAATCTTCAATTTTTCAATAAATTTATCAAATTTTCAATCAAACTTGCCTTAAAATCATCGATTTTCAGCCAAAAGCATGTTTTTCCCGAAAAAACGTGTTTTTTTGAGTTTCCAATCGATAAACCCATTCTCAACCTGGAAAATAACTTATTTTCAATAAATTTATCGAATTTTTAACCAAACTTGCCTTGAAATAATTGAATTCCAGCCAAAAACACTTTTTCCCCGAAAAAAAAACGAAAAAACAAAAGTAAAACAACGAGACTCCGCTTTGCCTGATGTTTAGCGTAAATCGCTGCAAGAGACAAAAAATCATTATTTTTTCTCGTTTTCCTTCATTTTTGATGCAAAAACCGGGATTTTTGCGCAAACTTTACCATTTTTTCAATAATCTCTTATTTTTTTGGCATTGCTCATGTTAACTGTCTCAAAATCCGGGTTTTGGGAAGCGCGAAATGTTAAATTTTGCCAATTTTGACGGTTTTTTGAAACTTTTTTCAATGAAATTTGGTATTTTCAAACCTCAAAGTGCAAAAAACCAAAAATTTTTCACATTTATGCAAATTTCTCCTCCAAAATACGGAAAACTATCGAATCGGGTATTAAAAAGTGGGAAATGTTCGCGGAAATTGTCATTTTCGAAAATTTCCCGCCAAAAAATGTCGGTGCTGAAAAAAACCGACTGGAAATCGATGTGGATTTCGATTTTCCTCCAATTTTTAGTCGGTGTTCAGATTTCTGTGTATTATATGTCAATGTGGCCGTATTTGAGTGGGGTAAGCTACTTTTGGCGGGAAAATTTGGAAAATTTGAATTTTTTTTAGCTGGATTCTACGGCTGATATGGATTTTTTGGGATGGATTGTGGCGGCTTGCAGTATTGGAGCGACTATTGTGAGTTAAGGGAAGTATGGACTGAAATTTTGCGCTGAAAACGGTGGAAATACTGAAAATCGCTGAAAATCAATAATTCCAGCATTTTCAGCACAAAATTGTAGTCTAGAAACATTTTTGAATGAAAAATGTGACCCCCTCCCCTTACCATAAGGGGGGGGGGTCACTTTTTCTCTTACTGATAGAAATTATATTTCTAGATCAGAATTTTGTGCTGAAAACGCTGGAAATACTGAAAATCACTGAAAATCATAAATTCCAGCATTTTTAGCACAAAATTCTGATCTAGAAAGTTATTTTTCTAAAGCAATCTGGTTGATCCATTTTTTCGGAATTTTTGGCACAATTTTCTACAGTAGCTTTTGAAAAGAGTTTCTAGGCTAAAATTTTGTGCTGAAAATGCTGGAATTACTGAAAATCGCTGGAAATCATGAATTCCAACGCTTTCAGCACAAAATTTGAGTCTAGAAGTGATTTTTGGGATCCGGAAAGTTTCCGGAGGCCTCCGGAAGCTCTCTAGAGGTTCCGAAAGCCCACTAAAACCCCCAAATCTTCCAGTCCACCCCCATCTACGGCTACTGGAATCAAAAAACCATGTCTGTCAAATACCCAGCCATCACCGGTTTCATCATCGCCGCTCTCGGTCAACTCTGGTACGGTCTTCTCTACCTCTTCCCAACCCATACAAAATGGATAATGCTCTCCGCGCGGCTTCTAACCGGCCTTGGCGTCGGCAACATTTCCGCAATCCGCGTCTACGCAGCCACCGCGTCAACGGAAGAAGACCGCATGCGTGCGATATCCTTCGGTACCGCCGGTTTTGTATCCGGAGTCTCGTTTGGACCGGTCATCTCAGCCGTCTTCACCCCGCTTGGTGAGACAGGTACCGTAGTACTATCTGTCCCTTTAAATATGTATACGGTAGTCGCATTCCTCATGTTCACTGTCTCTCTCGCCGTCTGCGCTCTCGTTTATTTCTGCTTCGAGGAATCGTACCCCGGAATTTATGACGAGGCGGAAAAAGCGCGCGAAAATATTGTGGTCCCGAAATTTGACAAAACCTCAGCGGCAATTTGCATCTACCTCTTCACAATTATCAACATTATCGCCACAAATATTGAAGTTATGTCAACTCCCCTAACTACAGTACTCTATGATTGGAAAGATTCCGATGCGATTTTGTACAATGGAATTATTGTGTTTTTGAGTTGTGCGGTGTCGGTGGCGTTTAATATGACACAAGGAATGACGAGATTGGGAGATGTGTGAGTGTTTTTGGCTGGAAATGCTGATTTTCAGCGTTTTCAGCACAAAATTCTGATCTAGACCGAAAAATGTGACCCCCCCCTGGCCTCTTGGGGGGTGTACTTTCTTCAAAAAATGTTCCCCCGCTCAAATTTCTTGCTGAAAACGCTGGAATTTATGATTCCCAGTGATTTTGAGGATTTTCAGCATTTTCAGCACAAAATTCTGATCTAGAGAAGTATTTTTCACAGAAATCCGGTTGATCCATTTTTTCGGAATTTTTGGCACAATTTTCTACAGTAGCTTTTGAAGAGTTTCTAAACTAGAATTTTGTGCTGAAAATGCTGGAAATCCTCAAAATCGCTGAAAATCAATAATTCCAGCATTTACAGCACAAAATTTCAGATCTAGAAGTGGTTTTCGGCTCCTGGAACTATCTATAAAAATATCCAAACTTTTTCAAACTCATAAGTTCAAAATTTTCTAGACCGAAATTTTATGCTGAATACGGTGGAATTATTGATTTTCAGCGATTTTCAGTAAATCCAGCATTTTTAGCACAAAATTCTGATCTAGAAAAATATTTTTCACAGAAATCCGGTTGATCCATTTTTTCGGAATTTTCGACACAATTTTAGACAGTAGCTTTTCAAGAGTTTCTAAACTAGAATTTTGTGCTGAAAATGCTGGAAATCCTCAAAATCGCTGAAAATCAATAATTCCAGCATTTACAGCACAAAATTTCAGATCTAGAAGTGGTTTTCGGCTCCTGGAACTATCTATAAAAATATCCAAACTTTTTCAAACTCATAAGTTCAAAATTTTCTAGACCGAAATTTTATGCTGAATACGGTGGAATTATTGATTTTCAGCGATTTTCAGTAAATCCAGCATTTTTAGCACAAAATTCTGATCTAGAGAAGTATTTTTCACAAAAATCTGGTTGATCCATTTTTTCGGAATTTTTGGCACAATTTTCTACAGTACCTTTTGACGAGTTTCTAGGCTCAAATTTTGTGCTGAAAATGCTGGGACTACTGAAAATCGCTGAAAATCAATATTTCCAGAATTTTCAGCACAAAATTCGAGCCCAGAATCATTTTTTGGGCTTCTGGAACATTCTGGAAAAATTCCAAATTTTGTAGATCATAAAAAATATTCCAAAACTTATCTAGACCGAAATTTCGTGCTGAAAATGGTGGAATCTATGATTTTCAGTGATTTTGAGGATTTTCAGCATTTTTTTCGAGCGCCAGAGGCGCGAGTGTAAACCGCAAGCTTCCGCGAAGCGGCCGGGAATCTTCCGCGTAGCGGCCACGTCTAGGCGCAATCCGCAAGTTTCTGCATCCGCTTCCGCTCCCCCCCCCAAATTCTAATTTTCCAGCGACAAGCGTATTCAAATGCTTTTGGGCACCTCAATCTTCCTCCTCTACAATCTCTTCATGTATCCCTGGCCTATAATCTATGAAGGTCCCCTGAATTTCATTCCTCGAAATGAAACCAGTATGACAATCGGAGGATGTCTCGAAACCTACACTTGGTGCAATTCCACCACCCGTGTCCCTCAAAATGTCTATATTTTCTGTTTTATCGTCTTTTTCGGGCTCGCCTTCCCATTCATCGAAGCCCCTTCAGCAGCTTTATACTCAGAGGTCTTGGGCCCCAGAAAACAGGGAACAATGCAGGGAATATTCTCGATGGTCGGAAATTTCGCGCCAGTTATCGGAAGTCTTGTGTCCACTAGTCTTTTTCAACACACTGGTTATAAATATGTGATTTTATTTCAGACTGTGATTTTGTTAATTGGAGCTGGACTTATTTTTGGGTTTTATAGGAGACTTGTACCTTTGAAAGTTGTTAGGAATTCGAATTTTAGTGATGTTGCAAAGTTTTGAATGAATTTGTTAACTGTGTCATCTAGCTAGCGTCTAAGCTTTGACTGAACCCTAGCCGCTTCGCGGAAGATTCCGGTTTACACTCGCGCCTCTGGCGCTCGAAAATCCATTCTAGACCAAAATTTTGAGCTGAAAACGCTGGAAATACTCAAAATCGCTAAAAATCATGAATTCCAGCGTTTTCAGCGCAAAATTCTTGTCTAGAAAAATATTTTTTTCACAGAAATCCGGTTGATCCATTTTTTTGGAATTTTTGGCACAATTTTTTACAGAAGCAATTGAAGAGTTTCTAGACCCAAAGTTTACGCTGAAAACGCTGAAAATACTGAAAATCGCTGAAAATCATGAATTCCAGCGTTTTCAGCACAAAATCCTGGTCCAGAAAAAATAAAATTTCAAAAAAAAAATATGCAAACGTGACATTTGAAATGCCAGCTCATTTTTCGAGCCTATAAAAAGCCGGCGCCGCCCAGAAATCGCCATTTCTTTAGAAAACCCGGGGCAATCTTTAAAGAGGTGAGTTTAGGGCCTAAAAGGGCCTGAAAAGCCTAGTATTGGGCCTAAAAAAGCCTAGAGGGGCCAATTTTTGGTCTGAAAAGGCCTAAAACCTAGCCTAAACTCCAAATTTTCAGTACATTTAATCATCTGAAAAATGAAGAAGGGCACAAAGGGAAAATCGAGTGTAAATCGAAGCAAAAAAGAGCGAAGCGACTACAAAACCAACAGTAATGAGGAGTATACTGTTTTTCGATGTGATAGAAATCGTAAAAAAGGTGGAGGGGTATTGATTATGTGTAAAAAACATTTTAATAGTCGTCTTATTTTCAAAGAAACTAGAACAAATGGTTATGAAGTTATTATTGTTGATTTTGATTTTACTACTCATAAGATCAGACTCATTTGTGTATATAGAAGCCCTTCGTGTGAATTGAGATATAATTATAAATTATTAAATATTTTAAGTGATCATTTGGGTATTAACTATCAATCAATTATTGTAGGCGATATTAATTTTCCTGAAATCTCTTGGTTAGATACTCCTCCTATTACTAATTCTAAATTAGGTAAAGATTTTTTGAACTTTTGTCAAGCCCATCAACTAACTCAATTCGTTAAAGTCCCGACTAGAAAAAATAATATTTTAGATCTAGTTCTGTCAAATTCAGCTTTAGAAAATTTAGAAGTGGGTTCCCCGGTAGGTAATTCAGACCATAATAGGATATCTTTCAAATTTCCATCTTTCAAAATTGAGCCATCTCCAAAAATTCTATTTCATAATTATCGTAAAATTAATTGGGACCTCATCAGTCAATATTTAGTAAATGCAGATTGGGATTTTATTTTTTGGGAGTAGAAATGACATTTCCACGATGTACGAAAATTTCACGTCTTATTTAAAAAATTTATTTTTAATTTCGATTCCGGTAGAAGAAGTCTCTATAAATAAATATACTCTTCCTAATTATCTCAAATCTATGTATTCTTTCAAAGAAATTCTCTGGAAATCTGTTGTTGATTCCAGAACTCCAGAAAATATTATCAAATTTCAAGAATTTAGTAAAAAACTCAATAAAAAGGTTGAGAAATATAATAGAAATTTCGAACGATGTCTTATAAAAAACAACAAATACAATAAGCTCACTCAAAAAGTCAAAACTATTTTCAAACCTAACTCCAATTCTATTCCAGCTTTCTCAGATAAAAACGGGAATATTATTTTTGATAATTGTGATAAAGCACAATGCCTAGCTGATTATTTTGAAGACCAATACGAAAAAGATTCTAGTAACAAATTCTCTCCTTCTCTTTTATCAAATTCTACAATGTCTATCCCTTGGGTTCTAGAAGACGAAGTCCTAAAAATTATCAAAAAATCTAAATCTAGTACTTCAGAAACTTCGGATGGTGTACCTTTTAAATTTATAAAAATCATAGCAAATTTTATAGTCTCTCCTATCACCCAAATATTTAATTTTTCCATGATGTCTTCAACAGTACCTATTCAATGGAAAAAATCAGTGGTAATTCCTATACCGAAAATCACAACACCAGAAAATGTTACGCACTTTAGGCCAATTAGTTTAACTTCTCATTTATGTAGAATTTATGAAAAATGTTTAAAAACTAGGATCATTGATCATTTGAATTCTGTTAACTTTTGGTCTGACAGCCAACATGGCTTTCGTCCAAAAAGATCAACAGTATCTCAAATGGTTGATGTTTTAGATGATTGGACTCTCGCATTAGATAGTAAAAAACAAGTAGATGTGATTTATTTTGATTATGCGAAAGCTTTTGATAAAGTTAATCATAATAAACTTCTAGAAAAATTAACATTATTTGGTCTTAATGATTATTTGGTTAAGTGGATACAAAGTTTTTTAGGTAATCGTACATTTAGGGTAAAAATAGTAGACAAATTTTCTTCTGATAAGTACTGTTATAGTGGAGTTCCCCAAGGTGGAGTTCTTTCACCTATTCTGTTTGCCATTTTTGTAAATGACATAAACTCGGTAATTCTTCCTGGTGTGAAATGTAAACAATTTGCTGATGACTTAAAAATTTATTCCACAATAAGTAATAATACATCTTGTTCACATCTTCAAGAAGTCATAGATAATATTAACAATTGGAGTAAAAATAATATGCTAGTTCTGAATTCTTCTAAAACTCAATTTACATCTTTAGGGTCTAGAAGGGTAATCTTTAACTATACAATTGAATCAAATACCATAAAGTTCGAAAAAAATATTAGGGATCTAGGATTTATAATATCAAAAAAGTTAGATTTTGAGGAACATTGGAAAAAATCTGTTTCTAAGGCCAATTATATGACGTATCAAATTTTTAAGACTTTTGAAAGCAATAATATCAAGTTTATGATTAATTTGTATAAAACTTTCGTAAGACCTTTATTAGAATATGGAACAGTAGTAACATCGCCGTCTACGAAAAAATTGAAACAAATTATAGAAAGTGCCCAAAACAACTTCACTAGAAAATTATTTTTCAGAATTAAAGGGAGATATATTAGATCAGATGAGAAGGATTACAAATTTAATGAAACTAGAAATACTGAGTTTGGTCTTATGAGTCTTGAAAATCGTAGAATGAAAATTGACAAGATATTTTTACATAAACTTAATACAAATAAAATTGATCTGGTTTATGGTAAACTCTTCACCGTAGAAGCGGATTCTAAAACTCGTAGTAAAATCAGATATCATTACAAAGTCCCAAAAACAAATATTCGCAAAAACTTCTTCACTAATCGCACTTGCTCTTTACAAATTTCAGATTCACCAAATAATTAACCGGATTCAGTATAAATACCAGCGCATTCTCAACCCCCGGGTTATAACTCGTAAGCCCTGTCTTTCTTTTATTTCTTTTTCATGTATTATTATTATTATTGTACTTGTCGTCACGTTGTCCCACAACGTATTGAATAAATAAATAAAATAAATAAATAAATAAATAAATTCCAGCGTTTTCAGCACAAAATCCTGGTCCAGAAAAATAAAATTTCAAAAAAAAAATATGCAAACGTGACATTTGAAATGCCAGCTCATTTTTCGAGCCTATAAAAAGCCGGCGCCGCCCAGAAATCGCCATTTCTTTAGAAAACCCGGGGCAATCTTTAAAGAGGTGAGTTTAGGGCCTAAAAGGGCCTGAAAAGCCTAGTATTGGGCCTAAAAAAGCCTAGAGGGGCCAATTTTTGGTCTGAAAAGGCCTAAAACCTAGCCTAAACTCCAAATTTTCAGTACATTTAATCATCTGAAAAATGAAGAAGGGCACAAAGGGAAAATCGAGTGTAAATCGAAGCAAAAAAGAGCGAAGCGACTACAAAACCAACAGTAATGAGGAGCAGCCGCCGAAAAAATCGAGTGCTATGGACAAAAACACCAAGAGAAAGGCGTCGAAGTGAGTTTTTGCGCGGCGAATTTGCCGCATTTTGACATCAAACACGCCATATTTTCACACAGAGGAGCCGAAACACCCACAAAATCCACGCCGATTTCTGCGGAGCCACCGAAAAAAGAGGAGAAGAAGAAGTTGAGCGCGGAAAAGGTTGCGGAAAAGGTTTCCGCGCGGCCTGGAAAAGCGGAAGATGCCCAGAAAGAGGTTCAGAAGGAGGAGAAGCCGAAAGAGGATAAAGGGAAGAAGACGCCGAGTAAAGAGGAGAAGGTGAGCCTGAGAACGGGCCTGAGAGGCCTGAGGGCCTCGAATAGGCCTAGAGCTAAGCCTGAAATCGACTTAAGCTAGGCTCAGGGCTCTAAGGCCTTAATTAGCCCAAGTTAAGGCCTTAAATAGGTCCTAAATGAGCCTGAAACTTAGCCTAACTCCCAAATGTTTTCCAGAAAACCACCCCACTACCACAATCGCTTAAAATCAGAGAGCCACAAAGCATCTCGAAAGATCCGGAAGATCAAAATCAGAAGAAACCCGTCAAAATGGACGATGGATATGAGGATTTTGGACCCGGAGCATAACTCGAGTTTTGGTGGCCCGAATGATGAAGAATAAACTTGTTGGGTTGTGGGCTGAATTTGCGATTTTTTGAGTCTAGATAAGCCTGGGATTAGGCTTGAAATTGAGGATTTAATTTTGGGCTTGAAATTAGGTTATGAAATTTAGAACTAAAATTAAGGGTTTAAATTTAGGTTTGAAATTCAGCCTTGAAATTTGGGCTTGAATTTAGGGATTCAAATTTAGGATTTAGATTCAGGCTTGAAATTTAGGACTAAAATTAAGGATTTAAATTTAGGCTTGAATATAATGTGAGAGACGCAGAGAGGTTAGAGACAGCTAGAAAGCACTGGATTTGAAAAGAAGTTAGACAGTTAGACAGCTAGACAGCTAGACAGCTAGACAGCTAGTGATGAATATAATGTGAGAGACGCAGAGAAGCTAGACGGCTAGAGGAATAGGATTTTTAGAGAGTGCAGAGAAGCTAGATAGCTAGACAGCTAGACATCTAGAGATCAAGATAATGTGAGAGAGACGCAGAGAAGCTAGACAGCTAGAAAGCAAATTATTTTTAGAGAGTGCAGATGGCTAGAGACGCAGAGAGGCTAGATAGCTAGAGAACACATGATTTGAAGAGAAGCTAGACAGCTAGAGATCAAGATACTATGAGAGAGACGCGGAGAGTTTAGAGGCAGCTAGAGATGAATATAATGTGAGAGACATAGAGAAGCTAGACAGCTAGAGACGCAGAGAAAAATACACTTTATTGATTATATTGTTTAACAATAGCTTTCAACATATAAATCGCAGCTTCCGGTGTATCATAAGCCACCATATGTCCAGCCCGCAAAATCCACCAAAACTGGAAATTCTGGTGGGTTTTGTGATAGCCGGCCAACGGGAAACTTTTGGTGCCAAAATGGTGTCGAACTGTGGTGTTGTCATCCACTACGTGTGAAAAATTTGTCATTCTCTCTTCTCTTCCTCTTACTATTATTATATGTAGTCGTTTGATTCAATAAATGTATATATATATATAAATTCATTGTTATTACATCCCACTCCAAGCCTAACATGTAAAAATTGAAATAAAACCAGAATTAAGAAAAAACAGATTTTGAATTGAAAAAATGGTCTGTCTTCAAATGGCATCAGCACCTTTCATTCTGCACCGATCTTCATCGTTGAGGTCTCAAAAAAATTCTAATGTGATTTTCTATCTCGCATACTCCTTAAGAACATGTGAAAAACACCCATCAACTCGTAAATCTCTTCGAAACTTGAAAAAAACGTTTTTTGCAATAGAAAAAAAAGTCGATGTTGAATGTGCGCTCTATTGATAAAAATTGAAATGCGCCAGCGCCCGCGCGATTCAAAAATATGTAGTCTTCGCACCCCTGTGAGTTCTCAAAAAAAGTATTCATTTTCACAAGTATCCCTCAAAACATCGGACATTTCTGCGTCGGATTCATCTTCGAATTCACCGGACAATCATAAGCTTTGGCAAACGCTTCCGAATTCGACATAACTCCATGAATTCTAAACGTAAATGCACTATGAACATCCGTATGGATAAAATAGTCACGAGCATTCGTTGAAAATGGTGTTTTTGCACACCAATCCAGTGCCATTCTTTGAAAATATTGTTGTTCAATGGTGACATTCTCAAATCCAGGCAATCTCTGATAATTTCGCAATTTTTTGAAAAGCCGATAAGTTAGATCAAATCCAATTTTATCAGCCGTATCTTCATCTTTTGTTCTTGCACCATTCGATTTTACACCATTATCAAATGCATAATTCGAGTATTTATTGACTATACATTTGACACGCTTCTCAAATTCACCGCGAGTTCCCGAATTCATCTGATGATTCAATAATGCACCGGTTAATGGGAAACTTTGGGCATCGAATGCGTGTCCAACTTCGTGTGCCATTAGAAAACCGATCGACGCAACTTTATTCCATTCGGGTAGATCTTTATCGATATATGGGAAATCCATCAGAACCGCCGGGAATGCTGCAAAATTTGATATAAACTTCAGGTTCTATCGAAATCAGTCCAAAAAACGTTGAAACTGTGACATTTTGAGCTAGAAACCTTGAAATTCGCATTTTTTTTAAGGAAAAAAGGCTTTCAAGGCTTTCAAGGCTTCTTTAGGCTAAGGCTTAGGCTTCTTCAGAGTTTCTAGGCTTAAGGCTTCTAAGGGCTTTTAATGCAGTGATTCACGAAATAAAAAAAACGTTTTTTAACGTTAAAAAACCAAAAAAGTGATTCACGAACGGTATTTTTATTCATTTTTGAACGTACTGAAAAAAGTGAAGCTAAAACGCATTTTAGTGTCTAGAAATGTCATCCCCAACCTCTTTCAATGAATCTTAAAGACAAATGAAGCGTTCAAAATCAAATTGTTGATTTTCAAGGCTTGATTTGTCGTTAAGGCTATTCAGAAGGTCTTGAAATAGCATTTCTGGACACCGAAATGCGTTTTAGCTTCACTTCATTCAGTTTGTTAAGAAAATGGTAAAAAATGAATAAAAATACCGTTTGTGAATCATTTTTTTGGTTTTTTAACCTTTTTATTTCGTGACTTACTGCATAACGTTGCTAGAAAAAATCAATAAAACTAAATAAATAACTCACTAGTCGTATGCGACACTCCCATAAAATTCGGCGACATTTCCAGTGGATCGGCCGCATATGTAATCTGTTCCTTTTTAAAAACCCTCGCAAAAGTCTCCTCACTATTCATCGCCAATATATTCGTCAACAATTCCGAGAACTTTTGATTTTCCGCCCTTTTCAATCTCTCAACTTTCGCATACATTCGATCAATATTCGCCGAATTCTCATGCTCATCTGGTGTTCCAATCGAACCTTTCAACAATTTCAATTCCTTTTTCAGCGCCTGTTTCAATCCAGAATCAATCCAACTATTCTCATCAATCATTTCATTGAATACATCTTTAATCTCCTCCAATAACTTGTCAGCAATCTCAACATTTCCTTTTTTCACATACTGTTTGATATACATCATTCCCAAAGTTCCCGGAAAAATCTTCTTAACAACATCATAGCACTTCACTCTTCTATCACTATCACCTGTATTTGTACGTCTAATAGGCATCCAATAATCAAACTGTTTATCGATAAAAGTTGAACGAAGTAGATGTTTGGTTTGGGCCACTCCAAGTTCATCCACAACTTTGTCAAGTGCCACAATTTTATTCTCATCAATATTCACTTGCCAATCGGGATTTTTCGAGCGAATTTCATCGGGCAACAAGCCTAGGAAATATTTTCGCAAATTGATGTGTCTCAACGTGTTCACAGCTCCATTCGTTTTCACACTTTTTTTAGTTTTCAGATGTGGGTTATTGTTGAGAACTTTCTCATAGGCATCTTTCAAATCCTGCAAAAATAGTACTTGTCTATAACACTGCTAGAGAGCATTAGAGAGTACAGAGAAACTAGACGGCTAGAGAGCAGTCAGAGACGCAGAGGGAAATACACTCGCTGCGCTCGAGAGCATACGATTATGAGAGACGCAGAGAAGCTAGACAGCTAAAGATGCAGAGGGAAGGCAGAGACGAAGAGGGAATAATACACTCGCTGCGCTCGAGAGCATACGATTATGAGAGACGCAGAGAAGCTAGACAGCTAAAGATGCAGAGGGAAGGCAGAGACGAAGAGGGAATAATACACTCGCTGCGCTCGAGAGCATACGATTATGAGAGACGCAGAGAAGCTAGACAGCTAAAGATGCAGAGGGAAGGCAGAGACGAAGAGGGAATAATACACTCGCTGCGCTCGAGAGCATACGATTATAGGAGACGCAGAGAAGCTAGACAGCTAGAGAACATAGGGAAGGCAGAGGCGCGGAGGGAATAATACACTCGCTGCGCTCGAGCCGCTGACGCGGAAGATTCCGGGGCGCTTCGCGCAAGCTTGCGGTACAATTTAGACTTTTGTTCAAGCCTGAAATACCGCAAGCTCGCGCGAAGCGCCGCGGAATTTTCCGCGTCAGCGGCTCGAGCGTAGCGAGTGTATCGTTCCCTCTGCGTCTCTGCCCCCCCCCCCCTATGTTCTCTAGCTGTCTGACCTCTCTGCGTCTCTTATAATCGTATGCTCTCGAGCGCAGCGAGTGTATTTCCCTCCGCATCTTTCTAATCAAGTAACTCACACTATTATAAATATCACTTTCAACACGAAGTGCAAGAACAAGCAAATCGCCCTTAACCTCTTCCGGCATCACATTATTCATCAAAAATCCCGGTTTATTCGCATCCAATTTGGCCATCTCAATCAGCATATCTGTGATATCTTGTCCGTCCCAAACTGTAGTCCAATAACTGGCAAACGTCACAATAGCGATGCATTTGCTCAGCAAAAGTTTTGCATATCGTTCCGGTCTCGTTTTCGCCACATAATTCTCGAAATTCGCATGAACCTTTTTCGCTTTCTCCTCTGCCATTACCGAAATTTCCACGTCATCTTTTGTGTATTTTCCGCAGGCGAATTTATAGAAATCATCGCAAGGTTCCACACTGTCATCCATGTATTTTAGCATTTTTGCCGATAATTGTTTGCATGATTGAGTTGTGCAAACTTCTTCAATTATTGGCTCATCGGCTTTTTTCGAAGCTTCATTTGCTGCAGAAAGTACGAAAAACATGATAATAGCGATGATAGTTGCCAAAATAACAAATGCTCCAAGAGCAAGAAGAATGAACTTCACCCATCTTCGCTTTTTCTTCTTCGGATCTTTCGATTTGGCATTTTTCACAGATTCTTTTGATTGTGTTTTCGATTGGGTTCCTTCAGGTTTCTTGTGTTTCCCAAAAGTCAATTTTCCAAATTTCTTCCCAGGTTTTTTGGTCGAATCTTTTGATTGAGTCTTGGTTTTAGTCTTGCTTGTCTTCGTTTTCGTCTTCGACTTTGTATCAGTTTTGGTCTTTGTTTTGGTTTTGCTTTTGGTCTTAGGCTTCTTGGACTTTCTGCAAAAAAAATCAATAATTTTCCCCGCAAGCTATACATTTTTTTTCAGGAAAACTCACAATTTCATATTTCAAAGCTATCCAACAATACTTGCCTGTCAGCATTTTATGAGACAATTCCACGTAGTTAGTTCGAGGTCAACACTTTTTTCCGTTAATTTTTGACGTCATCATCTTTTTTTGCTGGAAAACACTTCGAATAGCGAAAATTTGCACCAAAAACGAGGAAAAACAAAAAAAATATATTCGAAAATGATTTGTTTGTCTCTTGCAGCGATTTACGCTAAACAACGGGCAAAGCGGAGTCTCGTTGTTTTACTTTTGTTTTTTCGTTTTTTTCGGGGAAAAACATGTTTTTGACTGGAATTCGATGATTTTAAGGCAAGTGTGTATGAAATTTTGATAGATTTATTGAAATTGTTGAAATTTAGGGTATGAATTTGGTTTATCGAATGGAAATTTGAGGAAAAATCGATTTTTTGAAGAATCGAATCGAAAATGCAAGAAAAATCATAAAAATTAAATTTTTCGGGGTTTTTTTTGCACTATTAAGGTTTGAAAATGACAAGTTTCAAAAAGGTTAGAGACGCACAGAAGCTAGAGATAAATATAATGTGAAAGACGCAGAGAAGCTAGACAGCTTAAGAGCACTAGATTTGTAGAGACGCAGAGAGGCTAGATGGCTAGACAGCTAGAGATCAAGATACTGTGAGAGAGGTTAGACAGCTAGAGAACACAGAATTTGAAGAGAAGCTAGACAGCTAGAGATCGAGATATTGTGAGAGAGGTTAGGCAGCTAGAGAAAACAGAATTTGAAGAGAAGCTAGACAGCCAGACAACTAGAGACGCAGAGAAAAATAAACTTTATTGATTATACTGTTTAACAATAGCTTTCAACATATAAATCGCAGCTTCCGGTGTATCGTAAGCCACCATATGTCCAGCCCTCAAAATCCACCAAAACTGGAAATTCGCATGAGTTTTATGATAGCCGGCCAACGGGAAGCTTTTGGTGCCAAAATGGTGTCGAACTGTGGTGTTGAATGAGATCATGCCATCCCACGTGAGTCGATTGACCCAGGCGGCGGTGCCTGTGGGAAAAATTTGAATTTGGCGCGAAATTTGGAGCATTTTGATATCCCACAAGGTTACTGTAGAGTTTTTTGGCGCCAAAAAGTACAGTAGGGCATGTGGGGTATCAAAATTCATCAAATTTTAAGCTTATGATTATGGTAGATCAAATTTTGGCGCCAAAAAGTACAGTAGGGCATGTGGGGTATCAAAATTCATCAAATTTTAAGCTTATGATTACTGTAGATCAAATTTTGTCGCCAAAAAGTACGGTAGGCCATGTGGGATATCAAAATACATCAAATTTTAAGCCTATGATTACTGTAGATCAAGTTTTGGCGCCAAAAAGTACGGTAGACACCGGGGATATCAAAATTCATCAAATTCTAAGCCTATGATTACTGTAGATCAAATTTTGGCCCCAAAAAGTACAGTAGGCATGTGGGATATCAAAATTCATCAAATTTTAAGCTTATGATTACGGTAGATCAAATTTTGCCGCCAAAAACTACAGTAGGGCATGTGGGATATCAAAATGCATCAAATTTTGAGCCTAAGATTACTGTAGATCAAATTTTGGCGCCAAAAAGTACAGTAGGGCATGTGGGATATCAAAGTTCATCAAATTTTGTGCCCAGATCAAAAATTTTCCCGCCAAATCGATCTACAGTACCCTCCCCTACAGTACTCACCCATCGTATTACAAATCAAATCCTCATTCCCATTAAAAACCACAACATTATAACCATCCTTCAACAATTCCTCTACAGTACCCCAAATCGGTGTCATAAAATCGTCGGCTTGCGCGTTGAAAACCGCTCCGCCTTGCGCACCGAACCGCACCGCGTCCGGAATAATACCGAGCTTCTGGCGGACTACGGTATTCATGTAGTCGGCCATGGAATCCAAGTTTTGGGGGCGGACGTGGCGGTCGAAGAGACGAGCTGCAAAAAATTGGGTTACTGTAGGTTTTGGCGGCAAAAATCCACGTTTTTAGACACCAAACACGCCCGGGTTACTGTAGATGATTGCCACGTGGAAAATAAAACCTACAGTAGGCTCATGGGATATCAAAATGCTCCAAATTTCACGCGAAAACCTACAGTAACCTACAGTAGGCTTATGGGATATCAAAATGCTCCAAATTTCGCGCCAAAACCTACAGTAACCTTCCCTAGAGCTTATGGTATATCAAAATGCTCCAAATCTCCCGCCAAAACCTACAGTAACCTACAGTAGGCTTATGGGATATCAAAATGCTCCAAATTTTGCTCCAAATCCTTACCAAGTGGACTCTTAATACGATTATCGATTTTCTGAGCCGCACTCGAGCTCCAATCATCAGTTCCACCCTGTTTCAGAATATTATACCATGACACGTCATTCGTCTCGGCTCCAATCAATTCTTCCATGTTTCCCCAACAATTTGTGGCCTGCGTCCATTTTTGTTGATCAACCAGAGATTGACAATGACTGGCCTGGGTTTGGACGACGTGGAGTTGATGATCGTCGAGATAGGACTGCAATAAAAATGCTCCAAAATGAGCCCGAACATGCCTATACTCTTTTGAAGCACAGAAAAGTGGGCGGAGCTTGAAAAATGCTCCAAAATGAGCCCAAATATGCCTATGCTCCTTTAAATCACAGAAAAATTGTAGTTTTGCCAGGTGGCATTTCAAAAAATTCTGAAACTCATCAATTTTCATCCAAAAAAACCACAAAAAAATCAATTTTCCAACGACACTCCGCAAAATGACGGCTTGCCCGTTGTTTAGCGCGGGTTTTTCGAATTTTTCTGAGGTTAAATCACTGAAAATTGGAAAAATAATAGTGAATTCGGATTCTACGTGAAAAATTGGCCAGGAAACTTTTTGAGGCGCGCGAAATTTGAAAAAAATTCGATTTTCCATACCAAAATGTGTAGTTCTCGAGGAGAATCGCCCAGAATTTTCCATACCAAATTTTCCATACCAAAATTAAAATTTTTCGTATGGAAAATTGCTCTTGTCCGCGAGAATTACAAATTTTGGTATGGAAAATCGCATTTTGTCAAATTTTCGTATTTTCGCGCCCCCAAAAGAACTACAGTAACCTAGATACAGTACCCCACTCACATTAGCATACAAATATGGTCCCCAAGTGTTGACATAATCCATTGCGGAAATCCACGAGTCACCAAGCGCCACGGCGCGGAAATTCAAAATCAAACTCGACGATTTCACGGCGTCCGTAATCACTTTCGCAAATTGCGTACTCATTTTTCCACCGTAACTCTCGCAGAAAATATAGAAGGGGCGAGTACGGTATTCGCTGTGTAGAGCCAGGAATTTGCGGAGCCAAACTAGCAAATCGTCACCGATTTGAGTGATGTTTGTGGTGAGGGCGGAGCTGTCATCCACGTATGAGAAACCGGTGCCAACTGGATTGTCCACGTACACAATGTCAGCTACTTGAAGCTGCAAAAAAACACGTTTTTGGCTGGAATTTTGTGCTGAAAACGAAGATTTTCAGCAATTTCCAGCGTTTTCAGCACAAAAATTTGATCCGGGGAACATTTTTGGAAACAAGTGACCCCCCCCCCTGCATGACGTCAGAGGGGGGTCACCTTTTTTGGTCTAGGCTCGAATTTCGAGCTCAAAATGCTGAAAATACTGAAAATTAGTGAAAATCATTAATTCCAGCATATTCAGCGCAAAATTTCAGCCTAGAAACTTTTCAAAAGGTACTGTAGAAAATTGTGCCGAAAATTTTGAAAAAATGGATCAATCTTACAAAAATTACTTCTAGATCAGAATTTCGTGCTGAAAATGCTGAAATTGTAGATTTTCAGCGATTTTCAGCGATTTTCAGCATTTCCAGCGTTTTCAGCATAAAATTTGGGCCTTGAAACTCTTCAAAAGGTACTGTAGAAAATTGTGCCCAAAATTCCGAAAAAATGGATCAACCGGATTACTGTGAAAAATACATTTCTAGATCAGAATTTTGTGCTGAAAATGCTGGAATTCATCATTTTCAGCGATTTTGAGGATTTCTAGCATTCTCAGCACAAAATTCTGATCTAGAAAAGTATTTTTGACAATAATCCAGTTGATCCATTTTTTCGGAATCTTTGGCACAATTTTCTACGGTAGGTTTTGAACAGTTTCTAGTCTCAAATTTTTTGCTGAAAATGCTGGAAATGCTGAAAATCGCTGAAAATCAAGATTTCCAGCGTTTTCAGCCCAAAAATTCCAGCCAAAACCCACCCAAGTTGCTGGATTATCAGTTCCATTCAATGTTTTCGGTCCGGTCTCCTCGAAATTGCCAAATCCAGTTCCCGAAGAACCAGGTCCGCCTTGAAGCCAGACAAAAAGTGGTCGATTTTGGTTGGCAGGTTTCACGGCGTAGAGCCACCAGAAGGTGTGAGCGTTTTTTCTGGGAAAAATTGGAGTTAGGGGTCTAGAAAGCCCTCCAGAAAGGCCCCCAGAAGCCCCCCGAGGTCTACCTGATATCCACATATCCCCAATCCTCATCATACTGTAGCAGGCCATCCCAAGTGTTCACAGTGTTGTGGGCGCCCGCAAAAATCGCGGGAATCTGGGAAACCAGGCCTAGAAAGGCCCAAAATATCATATTGATCTGGAAAATTGGGAAAAATTTGACCAGAAAATTGGAGGCTGATGCAAAAAAGTGTAATATTTCTGTTATCACTTGGTCATTTTTGCTCTTTTCCCCAGAATTTCAGAGATAAGATAAGAAAATTGATGATTTATAATTTTTGATGATTTATTGTCTCATGGGACTGAAGTTATACAAATTTTGGAGCAAAAATGGAGCTGTAAAATGTTTTTTTAGGCCACAAAATCCACGTAGGGGTCGAAATCCACGTCTTGCGCATATTCGTCACTGTCGGGCGGGGCGAAAAGCTTGGATTTTGCTGGAAAAAACCTTCGTTTTGCGTGGAGATCATGGTTTTCAGCGTTTTCAGCACAAAATTTGAGCCGGGGAGCATTTTTCTAGGAAATGTATACCCCTCCCACGTTTTTTAGGCCAGGGGGGTCACATTTTTCAGTAGGAAAAGTCTCTAGACCAGAATTTTGTGCTGAAACACGTGGAATTGCTGAAAATTACTTAAAATCAGTATTTCCAGCGTTTTCAGCACAAAATTCTGATCTAGAAATGTATTTTTGACAGTAATCTGGTTGATCCATTTTTTTGGAATTTTTGGCACAATTTGCTACAGTACCCTTTGAACAGTTTCTAGACCAGAATTTTGTGCTGAAACACGTGGAATTGCTGAAAATTGCTGAAAATAAGTATTTCCATCTTTTTCAGCGCAAAATTTGAGCCTAGAAACTCTTCGAAAAGTACGGTAGAAAATTGTGCCAAAAAATCCGAAAAATTGGATCAATCTTAAAAATCACTTCTAGACCAGAATTTTGTGCTGAAAATGCTGGAAATCTTCAAAACCGCCGCAATTCAATGAGTTCAGCATTTTCAGCACAAAATTTCAGTCTAAAGTCGATTTCCTTGAATTTTTCTCCAAGAGAGTTACACGAAGGTTCAAAATATCAGAAAAATTTTCTAGACCCAAATTTCGTGCTGAAAATCATGAAATCATATATTTCCAGCGAGCTCATCGTTTTCAGCGCAAAATTTCAGCTTAGAAAGGTTTTTATAGAAAATAGTATACCCCCCTCCCCTCAAAGTCAGGGGGGGGGATCACTTTTTTCAGTAAGACATGTTTACAAGGCTGAAAAAAAAGGTTCTAGACCCAAATTTCATGCTGAAAATCATGAAATCATCTATTTTCAGCAAGCTCATCGTTTTCAGCCCAAAATTTCAGCCCAAAACTCACGTTTCTGCGTTGGTGGCGATACAATTGGTAGCGACAGCGCAGGTCTTGGTGTATTCCTTGGTGGCATTGGCTCAGGTCTTCTTGTAGGTCTCGGTGTACTGTAGATCACTCTAGGACGCCGTGTAGTTTCGGGGAAATCCATCGGAACATCGTAGTCATCTTCTTCTTCAATGTAATTTTGTTTCTGATCTCCGATTTCAATAATATCTTCAATGCTTAAAGGCGCAGGGGTGACGTGTTCGATGAGTGGTCTAAAAATGATATAACATGAGCAATACACAGTAATTTTTTAATATGAGCAATAATCTAAAGTCTGGTAATTTTGGAGGTTTAATATGAGCAATGTGGGGATTAATATGAGCAATCTATAGTAACTTAAGGGTTTAACATGAGCAATCCCCCCTACAGTACCTGTAATGCTCAACCGGCTCGGCTGGAGCTCTTTGTGTAATTGTGGTTGGAGCTTGGGTAGTTGAAGTTGTAGTTGTGGTGGTTTGCTGACGCAACCACTCTTGCCGGCGACGTTCCGCTTCCTTACGCCGCTGCGCTTCCCATTCTTGACGCTTCGCTTCCCAGGATTCAGTGGTGGTTGGTGGAGGAGTGCTGAAAATGATGAAATTTTTGATTTTCAGCGATTTCCAGCGTTTTCAGCGCAAAAAAAATTTGATCCCGGGGAACATTTTTGGAGAAAAAGTGACCCCCCCCCATGAGGTCAGGGGGGGGTCACCTTTTTTGGTCTAGGCTCAAATTTTGTACCGAGATACGTGGAATCGCTGAAAATCGCTGAAAATCAATATTTCCAGCATTTTCAGCACAAAATTCTGATCTAGAAACTCTTGAAAATCTACTGTAGAAAATTGTGCCAAACATTTTCCGAAAAAATGGATCAACCGGAATTCTATGAAAAATACATTTCTAGATCAGAATTTTGTGCTGGAAATGCTGGAATTCATGATTTTCAGCAATTTTCAGCTCAAAAAGCCCACCTTTCCTCCTCCAAAGGCACCGGATAAGTCACAGTTGGTATATAAATCCGATCATCCGATGTGGTTACTGTAGCTGGTTCAGGAGCCCGTGTAGTTGTGGTTGTAGAATACCGTGCAGCCTTCTTCCGCGCGCGTTCCTCCAAATATCTTCGTTTTTCGGCCTGCCGGGCGGCCCAGGCTTCATCATGGGGGGCCAAGGTCCACTGGGCCTCGGTGGGGTTGGGGGTAGCCGGCTGGAATTCGGGCTTGGTTTGGATTCCGGGCCGGGTTTGTGGGAGTTCGGACCTAGCCTGAATCTCAGGCCTAGCCTCAGGCTTCGGCCCGGCCCCCTTGGGAACCGCTGTCCACTGAATCCTCTGGCGGACCACATTCCGGCCATCCGGATGTCTAACCGTCTCGATTTCCGGTGTCAAAACTATATCATAGCCCGGAAACTGGGCCTCCAATTTGGCCCGCAGGCTTCTCTCATGCTCCTCAAGGTGGCTCTTAAATTGTGCCACAATATCCCGCTGCGGAGCCGTGCGGAAAGAATCCTTCCGCATCGATTCCTGAATGCGTCTCTGCGTCTCTTCCGCCTCGTTCCGCAGACTTGCGCTAACTCTATCATAATTCGACGACTCTTGGAATTTCATACGGTAGCTGTTGGGATTTTGGTGGTCCTCGGGGATCATGTTGGGTTGCGGGAGCTCCTGGAGTTGACGGGGCGCGGAATCGTAGCGGTGGATGGTGACGCCGTCTTGGTGGATTTCGGTGAGCGGGGCAGAGTGAAGGTATTGCTGGAAAGATCTTAGGTACCTTAGCTAGGTCTTAGGCACCTTATGTAGGTCTTAGGTACCTTGGGTGGGCCTAATGTACCTTAGGTAGATTTTGGGAGATTTGGGTGGATCTTAGGTACTTTAGGTAGGTCTTAGGTACCTTAGGTAGGTCTTAAAGATCTTAGATAGATCTTAGGAGCCTTGGGTAGATCTCAGGTACCTTAGGTAGATCTTAGGGGCCTTAGGTAGGTCTTAGGGGCTTTAGGAAGATCTTAGGAGTCTTGGGTAGATTTTAGATACCTTAGGTAGACCTCGGGTACCTTAGAAAAGCCTTAAGAATTTTCAGGAAGATCATAGATACCTTAGGAAGGCCTTAAGAATCTTAGAAAGGCCAGCGTTACCTTAAGTAAACCTTAGATACCTTAGTTAGTCAACTGATGTTATAGATCAAAAATAAGGGCTTACTAAACTTGCTAATAAAGTTTAGGGGCTTTTTTAGGCTTAGGATAACTACCTAAAACCTCTGTAGACTTAAGGTAAAAACCTAAAGCTTTGGGTTAACTAACTAAGGTCTGAAAAGGCTTTTCTAGGCTTAAGGCCTCTTATAGTTGGTTCTATAGCTTCTTAGCTATCTTAAGCCCTTAGCTATCTCAAATACCTTAAGTATTTAGGTACCTCAAATAGCTACCCTAAAACCTTAACTACCCTAATCCCTTAACAACCTTACCGGTGAATCATCCTGATGTGAAATGCTAATAAAACTCCTTGCCATCTTCTCCGACGGAACCTCAACCCGATAACCCTCATCCGGTTTCTCAATATCCAAATGCGCTCCACCGAACACCATCTGCGATTCCAGCGACATTGTTTGATTATTCCTGATCCTATTCCAATATTTCTCATCAATTGCGGGACCTTGTTCAGCAAATTCGCCGCAAATTAACATGCAGTGATTATAGGAGTAGTAGATGTTTGAATTACCGCCACAACCCGACCACCAACTACAAACACAGCGTTTTGCCACTTGGTCAAAGTACCAGCGCTCAATGTCCGATGAACAGGTTCCCGGGTCGTGAGGTTGGAAACAACGATTGCGATTGTTGTCGGGTTCGATGAATTGGCATTGAGAAGTGCATTCTGGAAGAAAAATAGTTAGAAATCATAAATTCCAGCATTTCCAGCACAAAATTCTGATCTAGAAATGTATTTTTTTGAAAAAGTGACCCCCCCTCCCCCATTTGGTCAGGGGGGTCACCTTTTTCATTCAAAAATGTTTCTAGACTCAAATTTTCTGCTGAAAAAGCTGAAAATCCTAAAAATCGCTGAAAATCTTGAATTCCAGCATTTTCAGCACAAAATTCTGATCTAGAAATGTATTTTTTTTTAGAAAAGTGAACCCCCCTCCCTCCATTTGGTCAGGGGGGTCACCTTTTTCATTCAAAAATGTTTCTAGACCAGAATTTTGTGCTGAAAATGCTGGAAATACTGAAAATAGCTGAAAATCATGAATTCCAGCATTTCCAGTACAAAATTCTAGTCTAGAAATGGATTTTTTTGGAAAAGTGAACCCCTTTCCCCCCCCCCCCCCCCATTTGGTCAGAGGGGGTCACCCTTTTCATTCAGAAATGTTTCTAGGCTCAAATTTTGTGCCGAAAACGCTGGAAATGCTGAAAATCGCTGAAAATCATAAATTCCAGCATTTCCAGCACAAAATTCTGGTCAAGAAATGTATTTTTTTTGGAAAAGTGACCCCCCTCCCCCATTTGGTCAAAGGGGGGTCACCTTTTTCACTCAAAAATGTTTCTAGGCTCAAATTTTGTGCTGAAAACGCTGGAAATCCTAACAATCGCTGATAATCATGAATTCCAGCATTTTCAGCGCAAAATTCTGGTCTAGAAGTGATTTTTGGGCTTTTGGAACTTTCTAGTTCCATATTTTTGTAGATCATTGGAAAAAAAAAACTTTTCTAGACCAGAATTTTGTGCTAAAACACGTGGAATCGCTGAAAATTGCTGAAAATCATGAATTCCAGCATTTCCAGCGCAAAATTCTGATCTAGAAGTGTATTTTTTGGAAAAGTGAACCCCCTCCCCCAATTTGGTCAGGGGGGTCATCTTTTTCATTCAAAAATGTTTCTAGACTGAAATTTTGTGCTGAAAACGCTGGAAATGCTGAAATTCGCTGGAAATCTTGAATTCCAGCATTTCCAGCACAAAATTTTAGTCTAAAAATGTTTTTTTTGGAAAAGTGACCCCCCTCCCCTCATTTGGTCAGGGGGGTCACCTTTTTTCATTCAAAAATGTTTCTAGGTTCAAATTTTGTGCTGAAAATGCTGGAAATCCTAAAAATTGCTGAAAATCATGAATTCCAGCATTTTCAGCACAAAATTCAGATCTAGAAATGTATTTTTTTGGAAAAGTGAACCCCCTCCCCCCCATTCGGTCAGGGGGGTCACCTTTTTTATTCAAAAATGTTTCTAGACTGAAATTTTGCGCTGAAAATGCTGGAAATACTGAAAATAGCTAAAAATCAATAATTCCAACATTTTCAGCACAAAATTTCGGTCTAGAAATGTATTTTTTTGAAAAAGTGACCCCCCTCCCCCTATTTGGTCAGGGGGGTCACCTTTTTTATTCAAAAATGTTTCTAGACTGAAATTTTGCGCTGAAAATGCTGGAAATCCAAAAAATCGCTGAAAACCATAAATTCCAGCATTTTCAGCACAAAATTCTGGTCTAGAAATGTATTTTTTTTGGAAAAGTGAACCCCCTCCTCCCTTTTGGTCAGGGGGGTCACCTTTTTCATTCAAAAATGTTTCTAGACTCAAATTTTGTGCTGAAAACGCTGAAAATACTGAAAATCGCTGAAAATCAGCATTTCCAGCACAAAATTCGGCTCAAAAACCCCCTCACCTTCCAAACTATCATATCGATTGTCATTTCCCTCACATCCACCGTAAAAGAATCGTCGACATCGATGATCGTATCGATCATAATACCATTTCACAACAAATTCTTGATTTTCACAAGTTCCACGATCCGGCCAATAATTGCAACGTGGATTTGTGAGCAACTGTTGAGCCGAGATTAATTGACAGAGGAAAATGAGTGGGGCGATGATAACTATACTCATTTATTATCCTGCAAACAAAAATAGGCTTAGGAAGAAGCTTAGGCTTAGGAAGAAGCTTAGGCTTAGGGAAATCCTTAGGCTTAGGCTTAACTAATCTCTTAGGCTTAGGCTTAGGTAAATCCTTAGGCTTAGGAAGAAGCTTAGGCTTAGGAAAACCCTTAGGCTTAGGGCAATCCTTAGGCTTAGGTAATATCTTAGGCTTAGAATTTAGCAATCTCTTAGGCTTAGGAAAAAGCTTAGGCTTAGGAAGAAGCTTAAGCTTAGCTAATCTCTTAGGCTTAGGCTTAACTAATCTCTTAAGCTTCAAGGTTCCTGGACTTAGGCCAACTTAAAAATCAATGGCGCTGAAAAACGCTCTGAAATTTGAAAAAACAGGTGGCTGGCAGATTTTCAAATAGCGAAAAAAGTTACACAATTCTTGAGGAGCTTCTTCTGATTTTATGACTCATAAAATCGGCCGCCGCCCCCTCCTAATTAATTAATTAATTGGCAACTTTTGAGGGCCCGTAGAAATTTTGGAGGGAAGTTAGGCTATATCTCTGTTCCCAGTGTGAAAAATGAAAAAAAGAGACATTTGTCTACTAGTTTTTTTTTTCGCTGAGCAACAGGAGCACAAAAAAATATTTTTTTTTGAAAAATAAAAAAGAGATATGAGATTTTGAGCATCGGAAAAAAGTTCGCGGCAACTTTTAGATAGGTTAAATGAGTGGAGCCACGAGCAGAGATGATGGATGGGTGCGATTTTTGAGGAAAAAATGTGTGTGTTTTGGATGGAAAATTGATGGGAGCCGGATGTTCCGATAGATTTTGAGAAATTCCCAAATTCACAACAAAAAAATCGTGAAAAATAGTGCAGAAATTCGAAATCTACGTGAAAAATGAGCCGGGGACTTTTCTGAAAAATTTTCCATACCAAAATTTGTAGTTTTCCTTACCAAAATTCGTAGTTCTCGAGGAGAAGCGCAGAATTTTCCATACCAAAATTTTAGTATGGAAAAAAATTTTGGTATGGAAAATTCTGCACTTCTCCTCGAGAATTACACATTTTGGTATGGAAAATGAATTTTTTCAAATTTTCACAATTTCGCGGCTAATTTTTCACGTAGAATCCAAATTCAGCATGATTTTGTTCAATATCAGTATCTTTAATTGAGAAAAAAAGAAAAACCCGCGAAAAAAAAAGAAAAATGAAAATAACGCCAGCAAACGCGCTAAACAATGGGCAAGCCGTCATTTTGCGGAGTGTCGTTGGAAAATCGTTTTTTTTTTCTTGTTTTTGAGTGAAAAATGATGAGTTTTTTGCTGAAAAACTCGGAAATCCTGAATTTTAAGCTGATTTTTTTCTGAAAAAAAAACAGTTTTCAAAAAATATTATATTTATTCAAAAAACCCGCCAACTTTCAAATTAGGCTTGGCCCAAGCCTGAAATCTGGGCTTAGGCCCCAATTAGGCCTAGATCAAATTCCTAGTCCTTGTGATAAATTTGGCCACCCGTTCTTTGATTTTTGTTGATTTATTATAGAATCTGGATCGATTATTAGCCGCGGTGGCGGCCCGTTTTTGGGCCGATTCCAGGCCGGCCAAAATCGCACTATCGAACATCTCCTTCAAATTGTGTTGCGTCAACGCGGAACACTCGTAGAATTCGGCGCCAATTTGTTGCGCCACGTGTTTTCCGCGTTGCGTCGAAACCGTATCGGTGGAGCGCATTTGCCAACGTTGATCGATTTGAGTGCCGACGAGGATTACTGTAGGGCATGTTTGGTCAGGGGTACTGTAGAAGAAGGTACTGTAGGACTCACTTTTAACCCCATTATTTTTCCTTGTCACTTCTGGATACCAATGATCGATGACGTCATCAAAACTCTGAATATTGACCACTGAATAAACTATCACAAAAACATCGGCATCTGTATAACAAAGTGGGCGAAGTGTGTCGAAAGAGCTCTGAAAACTATGAAATTTGAAAAATTCGTGAAATTTTGACCCAAAATTCGAAATCTACGTGAAAAAATGAGCCGGGGAACTTTTTTGCTGACAATTTTTTCCATACCAAAATTCGTAGTTCTCGAGGAGAAGCGCAGAATTTTCCATACGAAAAATTTTCCAGCCGAAATTTTTGGTATGGAAAATTCTGCGCTTCTCCTCGAGAACTTCAAATTTCTGTGTGGAAAAATATGTTGCCGGTAAACATCCGGCAATTTTGCTATTTTTAATCAAATCCATTGTTTTTCCTGTCTGACCCCGAATTTCTGACCAAAAAATGTGTCAAAAAATGTTTGTTTGATTTTGCCTGGTATATAAATATCCGAATTTCGAGCGAAAAATCCTGATTTCCTGGTGAAAATGTCTCAAAACCCCGTATTTTTCATGTTTTTCTCAATATTTTTCATAGTAGATACTCAAAGGTAGGTACAGTACCCCCTACAGTACCCTTCTCTACAGTACCTCTAATTTTTTGATTGAAGGTACGGTACTCAGGAATGGCGAGAGCTGATGTTGCGCCGTCTTCCAGTCAGATTTCAAAATTCTCGTTATCGCGCCAACACACCGCCCGAGTTCAAACTACAAACAACTACAGTACAATCGCTACCGTATACCTTTCAAAAATTGGGAAACATCACTTCAATTCGTCAATTATTGGAGGAGACTGCTAAAGGACCAATGAAAGTTGTGGGACCAGTTGCAAGGATTACAAGTAATATTAGTGAGTACTGTAGGGGTACTGTAGAGAGTGTACTGTAGTTCTTTTAGGCGCGAAAATATGAAAACAGCAAAAATTGTAGTTCTCGAGGACAAGCGATATTTTCCAAACGAAAATTTTGGTATGGAAAATTTTTAGTATGGAAAAAAATCACTTGTCCGCGAGAACTACAAAAGTTCGTATGGAAAATATTGAAAAAACTTTCCCGCTCAATTTTTCACGTAGATTTCGAATTTCCGCGCAAAAATCCACGATTTTCGAGACGAAAAGAGATATTTGAACTAACCTGTCCAGCAGTGTCATGCAATTGTAATCTGATCGGTTTTTTGTCCACCAAAACGACTACTGTAAATTTTTAGGGCTAAAAATCTCAAAAAACAGCTTCCCGAACACTAAAAAAAGCCCAAAAAGCCCAGAAAAGCCCGGAAAAATCACCTGAAAAATTGTCAAAAGCCGTTGGAATATAATTATGTGGATATCCATTAGTTGTATATGAAACAATCATTGAAGTTTTCCCCACAGCCGCATTTCCGACAAAAATACATTTTAGGCATTTTTCATCGGATTGACTGGAATTTGAAGACATCTGTAAGAAAATTTGTATTTCTTGAAGAATTTCGAGCATTTTTATTTAAAATATGACCTTAGAGACGTTAAAAAACCCTAAAAATAATCAATAATCATGTATTTTTTTAGAGTAATTAGTGGGAAAACTAATAATTATAATAATAGAATCCGTTCTGTGCGGCGGGCGAAAAAGTGAAATTTATCGCATTTTTTCGATCAGAATCGATTAATTATTATAATTGGGGGTTTTTGGAAGAGAAAAATCCACGTGGCTTGAAAAATTGACAAAAAATTCGAATTCTACGTGAAAAATTAGCCTGGAAACTTTTTTCGAGCAAAAAAAAGCGAAATTTGAAAATTTTCATTTTCCATACAAAAATTTGTAATTCTCGAGGACAAGTGAAATTTTTCCAGCCCAAATTTTCCAGCCCAAATTTTTGGTATGGAAAACCCAAAAATTTTCCAGCCGAATTTTTTGGTATGGAAAACCTAAAAATTTTTCCGCGAGAACTACACATTTTCGTATGGAAAAAAACCCCGGCTAATTTTTCACGTAGAATCCGAATTCCAGATTCATTTTTCACTATCGGAAATTTTAGCTTTTCAAAAAATCCTCCAAAAGAACTACAAAAAACTATCTAATAAAAAAAAGTAATAGACACATCAAATAAATCTTCGCCAAATCAAATAAAAATTCCTCAATCTTCTCGGAATCCAGTCGAAAAATCGAAAGTTATCTTTTTTTTTTTGACACCTCCTTCTATTTATTTGTAGGTATACAAACAAATATTTGTGTAGTTCTCGCGGAGAAGTTGGAATTTTCCATACCAAATTAATTTTCGGTTGGAAAATTATCACTTGTCCGTGAGAACTACAAATTTTCGGTTGGAAAAAAGGGCATAAATAATAAAATGGATTTTTCTGTGGGAAATGGTGGCCTTGGATTATTTATGATTAGAAAATGATGGAAAAATTATTTGAGAATAGAAAAAGATAGAGATAAATAAATTGATAACAGGTTTTTGATGAATGAATCAAAAATTTTCTTTTTTTTTGAATTGGAATTGAAATATTGTGAAAAATTCGGGAAAAATTCGAAAAACCCGTTTTGTCTTCTTTTTTTCACAGTTTGGTGCTGATTTTGCTGAACAATGAGACGGGTTTTTCTATTTTGAAAATCGAGAAGAGAAATTCTGAAGATCAAAAATAATGCTGAAAATCGGATTCTACGTGAAAAAATAGCCCTGGAACGTTTAAAAATTCAAAACTTGATTTTTACCATACGAAAATGTGTAGTTCTCTCGGACAAGTCAATTTTTTCCATACCAAATTTTGGTAGGGAAAAAGTGAAAAATCGTAATAACTTTCAAAAAAAAAAGAAAAAAATGTTATCATTTTTTGTCGGCAAACAAAAAAGCATGAAACTAGACTCCGGGAAAAAACAATAACATTTTTTCGTAAAAAAAACTAATATGAGTCATGAAAATCAAATTTTCCATACCGAAAAAATTGGGCTGGAAAATAGCGCTTGTCCTCGAGAACTACAAATGTTGGTATGGAAAACTCCAATCGTCTCAAAATCATCAATTTTCGTCCACAAAAAACGTGCCCAGCCCCAAATTTCGCGCAGAATTCAAAAATCTTACCCAAATCTCATTTCCAGACACCGCAAGTCTTCCATGTTGTCGTGATCGATTTGGAGAGCAAGCCTGTCAATCGTTGCGCAAATCTCAACCAGCCTATTTCGAAAAGCGCTGTCTTTCAGATCACGATTTCAGCTCAATAGATTGTTGTGGTGAATGTCGGAAATATATCGAGAGAAATAATATAAGTTTGGATAACTCGAGAGCTGTTCAAAAAGCGCCAGCATTGTGCAAAGATAAACATTCAATCAGTTTTTGTAGGCGATTTAAAACCGTCGGAATGGGCAAATATAGGTAATTTCAGCTGAAAATTTCAGATTTTTCATTGAAAAATGCTCCAAACTCACCAAAAATCCATTTCAGCTGCTCAAACGCCGAATTTGCCGTGCGAGTTTGCCGGCATTCTTGCGGCTATTGCAATGACGAGCTATACGCCACCAAAAATGCTCCGCAACTTTGCTCAGACTCCAATAAATTTGTGCCAGCTTTGGTTAATGGAACAGAATTGCACTGGGCTTTTGGAAGAGTCTAGCGAAATTTTCTGGCCCCAAAAATCCCTATTTTGTTCCAGTTAGGAGCATTATTTTTGTGAATTTCTATGAAATGAAGATTTTCTACTGCTTTTCAGGTCGAAAATGTTGGAAATAATGAAAAATAAGGTTGGATTTGAATTCTACGTGAAAAAAAATTCGAAAAAAATCATTTCTGAAAATTTTCCATACCAAAAATTTCGGTCGGAAAAAATGATGCGATTTTTCCATACCAAAAATTTCGGCTGGAAAAAAAGATGCGATTTTTCCATACGAAAAATTTCGGTTGGAAAAAATCATGCGATTTTTCCATACCAAAAATTTCGGCTGGAAAAAAAGATGCGATTTTTCCATACGAAAAATTTCGGTTGGAAAAAATTTCATTCTTATTTTCCATACGAAAAATTGTACTTCTCGCGGAGAACCGAGATTTTCCTCAAAATTATTGATTTTCATCCCGGAAAAAAGTCTCTGGACCCAAATTTTGCTCTGAATTCAAAAAAAATGGTTCATTGCTCAGGTTTATAAGCAAAATCGACATTTGTACCCGTCGTTGCTTCAATTTCTCGCCAAAATTCGCTCAAATCCCGTTTGAAATTCTCAAATGCCGATTCGAGCTCATTTTGTGGGATTCGAAAAATCTCGGCTTCTTCGCCATTTTCTTTGAGGCTTACGAGAATTGCGGATTTCACGGAGAAATTCGAGTTTTCGAAATTTGTGTCGTGATTGAAGGCTGATGTGTAGGCGGATAGTTGACGGACGTAATTTGTGTAGGATAGGCTGGAAAATGTTGGTTTTGGGTAGGGTTTTTGGGTTTCGGAGCGAAAAATCGATTTTTCCTAGCTTCTAGAGCGATTTTCGAGGTCCTGAAGCGAAAAATCCATTTTTTCAAGCTCCAGGAGCTAAAATTATTGATTTTCTGGGTCTTGGAGCAAATTTCAATGATTTTTAGGCTCCTGGAGCGAATTTTGATGATTTTCCAGGTACTGGAGCTGAAATTGATGATTTTCCGAGTCTCGGAGCAAATTTTGATGATTTTTAGGCTCGCGGAGCAAATATTGATGATTTTTTGAGTCTTGGAGCAAAAATCAATGATTTTTTGGGTCCTGGAGCGAAAAATCGATTTTTTCTGGGTTATAAGGCTACTTTTCATGATTTTTAGGCTCCCAGAGCAAAAATCGATGATTTTTAGGCTCCCGGAGCGAATTTTGATGATTCTCCAGGTACTGAAGCTAAAATTGATGATTTTTAGGTTCCCGGAGCGAATTTTGATGATTTGCAGGTCCTGGAGCGAAAATTGATGATTTTCCAGGTCCTGAAGCCAAAAAATCATCATTTTTAGCTACAAGAGCCAGAAAATCATCAAAATTCTGTCTAGAACCCAGGAAAAACCGATTTTTCGCTCCAGGAGCCGAAAAATCATCAATTTTAGCTCCAGAACCTTGAAAATCACGAATTTTCGCTCCAGGACCCAGAAAATCGTCAATGTTTGCTCCAGGACACAGAAAATCACGAATTTTCGCTCCAAGACCCAGAAAATTCAGAAATTTTCGCTTCAGGAGCCTAAAAATCATCAATTTTCGCTCCAGGACCTGGAAAATCATCGATTCTTGCTCCAGGACCTTGAAAATCATCAATTTTCGCTTCAGAAGCCGAAAAATCATCAAAAGTACCTTTGGAACCTAGGAAAAAACGATTTTTCGCTCCAGGACCCAAAAAATCATCAGTTTTAGCTCCAGAAGCCTGAAAAATCGCTCCAGAGCCCAAAAATTTACAAATTTTCACCCAAAAAACCCGCCACCAACCTCTCCAATCTCTGTGTGCTAAACGTAGACCGTGCTGGACTCGTCTTCCAATCCAAAATCTCCTTGGAATCCGCCAAAATCGCATCAAATCTTCCCGTATATCCCAACACCGGGTGCCTCACTTTCCCCTCCAAAATCACATTTCCCGCGGAATTTCCAAGCTCAAAAATGAAAGGCAGTGCACTTCTCATATAATTCCTCAAATTCTGCTCTTTTTCCGCGTCGATATACGCAAAAATCGATTTTTCTGCGAAATTTTGCGCGGCTCGAAGTTTCACGAGGTTTTCGATGTGCGAATGGATCTTGATTCCAACTTCTAATCTCTCTGAAAGCACAAAAATCAGGCTTAGGCTTAAATCTAGGCTTGGAAACCTGCCATAGTTTTCCTAAAACCCGCCAGCCCCATCTCCTCAATCATCGCCTTCTGCCAGAGAAAAAGTCCCCGCTTCTCGCCCATCGCTCCTAAAATCGCTGACACCGACGGTCTTCTCAACTTCGCTTCCACATCCGTTAGCTTTACCCGCGAATCTGCCTGAAAATTGCCGAAATTCGGTGAGAAATGAGCAAAAATTCAGAAACTCACTAATAATTTCACATTTTCCACGTTTTTCGGCGCGATTTTGTCGAGATTTTTGGCGAATGTCGGAGCCAACGATGTTCCATACCTAATATTGCATTTTGCCATCTGGTTTTGCCCTGAAAATCATGGTTTTTGGTGAGGAAATGAGAAAAAGCGCGCGAAAAAAGAAAAAAATATATTTTTTGAAATGTGGCCTAGACGCCGACAAGAATCCTAGGCCATTTTTTTTTATTTCTTGAATTTTTTCTTTTTCCTGTCAAAACCCACTAAAAACCAAATTTTCAGCGCAAAACGAGATGACAAAGTGAAATATGAGGAATGGAACATCGTTGGCACCGACATTCGCAAAAAATCGCGCCGAAAACCATGGAAAATGTGGAATTATTGGTGAGTTTTTGAATTTTTTGGGTCCTGCAACGAAAAAACACCAATTTCGTTCAATAGAGCGCGTTTGCTGCACCAACAAATATTAAAAAAACTTTATTTATTAATTTCTCAAAACAAAACACCGTGTAAATACAAATTTAGCCTCTTGGTCCACCAAAAAGTGCACCAAGAACATTTTCAGCGATTCGAATTCCGTCATTTTTCTGACCACCTGCAAAAAAAATGATAGTTAGAGACGCAGACGGCTAGATTTAAAGGCGCATACCGTTCTGACCGCCACGTCCTCCATTATTGTTGTTTCCACCTGTAAAAATAATGTTAGAGACGCAGAGAGATTTTAAAGGGACATACCACGTCCTCCATTGTTGTTGTTGTTATTATTGTTTCCACCTGGACCTCCCCCTGAAAATAGTATAGGATAGTTAGAGACGCAGACATTTTTTAAAGGCGCATACCGTTCTGACCGCCACGTCCTCCTCCTCCATTGTTGTTATTGCCTCCGGGACCGCCTGAAAATCGAGAAAAGGTTAGAGACGCAGAGGAAGCGCAAGTGCGCTCTAGTGCTAAATTTACCTCCGTTTCCGCCACGTCCTCCTCCTCCATTGAAATTGTCTGCAAAAAATGATAGTTAGAGACGCAGACAACTAGATTTAAAGGCACATACCGTTTTGATTGCCACGTCCTCCGCCGTTATTGAAATTGTCTGCAAAAAATAGTATGTTATAGTGAGAGACGCAGACAACTAGATTTAAAGGCACATACCGTTTTGGTTGCCACGTCCTCCTCCATTATTGAAATTTCCACCTGAACCTCCTCCTGTAAAAAAATAGAGTGAGTTGGTTAGAGACGCAGAGACATCTAGACAATTTTTAAAGGCGCATACCGTTTCCGCCACGTCCTCCACCATTATTGAAATTTCCACCTCCATTTCCCCAGCCTCCTTGATTTCCTGAAAAAACACGTGGATTTTTCAAATGCGCTCCAATGATAATTATCGATTTTCTAGTTCAGTAGAGCGAAATTGCATCATTTTCTTCGAAATTTAGATGGGAAAATGCGCTCCACTGATAATTATCGATTTTCTAGTTCAGTAGAGCGAAATTGCATCATTTTCATCAAAATTTGAACAGGAAACTGCGCTCTAATGAAAATTATTGAATATTATTGTTCAGTAGGGCGAAATTGCATCATTTTCTTCGAAATTTTTGAATTTTGCATGAAAAATCGCGGATTTCGATAGAGCGCACTTACCTCCGCCATTTCCCCAGCCTCCTTGATTTCCTGAAAAAAACACGTGGATTTTTCAAATGCGCTCCAATAATAATTATCGATTTTTTGTGGTTTAGAGCAAAATTGTATAATTTTCATCGAAATTTTTGAATTTTACATGAAAAATCGCGGATTTCAATAGAGCGCACTTACCTCCATTTCCCCAGCCTCCTTGATTTCCACCCCAGCCACCAGGTCCTGGCTGATTTCCACCCCAGCCATGTCCATGATCATGATCATGACCGTGTCCACCCCATTGTGCACCAATCACGCCAATCAAAATGGCTAGCACCAAAAATTGAAATTTGAACCACATTTTTTGTGAAAAAAAAGAAAAAAATGTGAAAAAATCGGGTTTTATACAAGTTTTTTTTCGAGAGACGAAAGGTTAAGGTCAAATTTTTTTTTTCTAATCACATTTTGAAACGACCTTGCATGCAATCAGGAAGTTTGGTTTTTAAATTGCGCATTTTCCTCACCAAAATGTGTAGTTCTCGAGGAGAATTGCAAAATTTTCCATACCAAAATTTTCCATACCAAAATTAGTTCTCGAGGAGAATTGCAAAATTTTCCATACCAAAATTTTTTTTCCATACCAAAATTACAAGATTTTCCATACGAAAATTTGTTTTTCCATACCTTTGGTATGGAAAATTCTTCGCTTCTCCGCGAGAACTACACATTTTCGTATGGAAAATAAGTTTTCCTTCAAATTTTCATATAAAAAGTTTCTAGCTTAATTTTTCACGTAGAATTCGAATTCAGGGCTCATTTTTTTAATTTTCAGAATTTTTTCTCTGAATAAACAAAAAAGTCTAGACATCATCATAAAATCTTTTAAAAACTTTTAGAATTTTTGTTAGTTTTCTTTGAAAAATGTTCAAAATTCTCTTGATTTTCCTGTTTTCTATGGCAAAAGCTGAAAATGCTGAAAAAATTTGCGACGAAATTTTCGAAAAATTGTTCAATTCACTGGAACCCGCCCAATTTTTACACGACAAGTTCGTTTTTCACACTTGCTCTCACGATGTTTTGGATCGTCAACATTTCGTGCACATTTTGGATATGGGAATTTTGCCAAAATTAGACGAGCGAAGATATACCGTAGCCAAATTTTCCAGCAAAAAACAAATTTTGAATGCGGTTTTTTGGAGTCAAAAGGACTTGTTTCAATTCACAGCCAAATCGGGCAAATTCACCTATGCTAAACAAATTTGTGCTGAAAATTCCGAATAAAATAATTTTTAAGGGCTAGAATCGGATTCTACGTGAAAAATTAGTCTAGACACTTTTTACAAAACTTTTCCATACGAAAATTTGGTAAGGAAAATAAATCCCTTCTCCTCGAGAACTACACATTTTGGTATGGAAAACACTTAACCATGTTTGGTATAATTTAGCGTCATTCTCGCTACAGTAAAAAACCTACAGTACCTTGAATTTAAAGGAACACACACAGGCACTCACAAACACGTGACATACTTTTCCATTTCCACGTGGCATATGCGAGCCTATAAAAACATAGCTTCACCCAGTTTTTGCTCATTTTTCCCAACCAGCCAGCCAATAAATTTTCCTAAAGAGGTATAGTACCCAACTACAGTAATCCAGAATACAGTACCCCGAATTACAGTACATTTAATCATTGTGAGGAGAATCGGGAGGAAAAATGCCAACCAAGAAAAGCAAGACTCGAAGTCGCAAAAATAAGGAGGCGAATACAAAGAAAAAGATACAGTAGGTCGAAAAATGGTGCCAAATTAGGCCACGCCCATTTTTTTGTGCGGTGTTCTGAAAATGCTTTTTCGCGCGTCTAAAAAGTTCCCTGCCTAATTTTTTACGTAGTTTTCGAGTTTCGGGTCAATTTTTATTGATTTTTTCAGACAAAGTCAAGAAGTCACAAAATCTGTAATTCCTAGTGTCATAATCCCGGAGAAAAAAGAGGAGAAAAAAGAGGAGAAAAAGAAGAGCACAACACCGAAATATGTTAAAATTCCACCTGTGACGCCGAAAAAAGAGGAAAAGGAAGAGAAAAAGGAGGAAAAGAAAGAGGAAAAAAAGGAAAAGGAGGAAAAAATCGAGAAACCAAAGGAAGAAGGCAAAAAAACGCCGAAAGCAAAAACACCAAATGCTGAGGAGAAGGTACAGTACTCCCAGATACAGTACCCATTACAAACAATTTATTTTCAGAATCCCACTTCCTTGGTAAAATCATCCAACAAAAGCACATTCAAAGAGGTCGACGACAAAAAGAAGGTGAAAATGGATGATGGATATGAGGATTTTGGACCGGGAGCTTGAATAAATGATTTTTCGAGAGTACTGTAGGTTTTTTGAACGCCAAAAATAGTGCAGAATGATACCGAATAGTCTAATAAAATTTGTAGTTCTCGAGGAGAAGCGCTTTTTTTCCATACCGAAATTTGGTAAAAAAAAATTGGTATGGAAAATAAGCGCTTCTCCTCGAGAGCTTATTTTCCATACCAAAATTTGGTCAAAAATAAATTTGGGCTGGAAAAATATGCGCTTCTCCTCGAGAACTACAAAACTTGGTATGGAAACATTGGTCGTTCTTGCAACTTGTTTACCATTTCACAAACATAATAAACACGTGGTCTTTTTTGATACGAATCGTTTTCTAGTGATAAGAAAATGGGAAAAAAAATGAACAGTTGTCGCAGTTTTTGAATGTTCTTTGATGGTTTTTTGATCAAAGCTGAAAATTTTGCTGAAAATTCAAGATTTTCAAAAAAAAATCCTATTTTTTTGTTTTTGTTTTTCAGAAACAAATTTAATTATTTTTTTTGCTGAAGAGAAAAACCGGATAAAAAGTGCCTCCAGGTCTCACGTGGACTTAAAAGTACACAGTACCCTTGAAAAAAATCTTCAAGAAAAAAATCGTACTGTACATTTTTATCAATAAAAATAATCTGGTTTGTAAATTTGATCGTTCTTTGAGATTTTTCTCAAAAAAAATGAACTGATAGTGAAATAGGCTATTTTTTATGTTATCTGGACAGCAGCTGTTTGATCGGTGCTCAGAAAAAGCTCAAAAAAGTGGTACTGTACTTTGGAGGGGGCTCAAAAAACCCAATTCTCTGAAAAAATAATTTTCCATACCAAAATGTGTAGTTCTCGCGGAGAAGCGCAACATTTTCCATACGAACAGTTGGGCTGGAAAAATGTGTTCGTGTGGAAAATTTTGCGCTTCTCCGCGAGAACTACACATTTTGGTATGGAAAAAAATACGAAGACGATCAACTAAAAACTACGTGAACTCTGAAGGCATTGCAAAACACTGTGTAAACAGCCCAAAAAAATGTTGATAAATTGATCATTCTCTCAATTTTTCACACAAACACATGTTGATCGTTCTCTAGATTCATATAAAAATGTTATTTGTGAACCCATGTGACCAGGGAAAATAGGCCCCGCCTACTTTCTCGTGGCTTAAATACCCAGCCAGGGTCCTGGGAAAATTCTTAATTCAACAAAAAGGTTCAGAAAAATATAAAAAATGAACTCACTAATGATTTCTAGACGCTTTCTCGGAAGCCTTCCGAAGCCCAGTCCACTTCACGAACACATTCAAAATCCGGAGCCACGTCGACGTCGAACTCCAGCCAGCTACTTGCACGGCACTTCTACAGTACCACTTCGTAACGAGACCCTTGGAGAGACGTTGCGGAATACGACGGAACGATTGCCGGATAAGGAGTTTTGCGCGTTTTTGAAGTATCCTATCAGGAAGACTTATCAGGAATTTTATCATGATGTGAGTTTTTTCCATACCAAAAATTTTCCATACGAAGTTTTCCAACCGAAAATTTGGTCAGGAAAATTTTACAGTTGTCCACGAGAACTACAACGTTTAGTATGGAAAATGAATTATTTTTCAAAGCTTCTAACGCTAATTTTTCACGTAGAATCCGAATTTAGCATTATTTTTTGATGTTCAGAATTCTAAAGCCTTCCAAAAATAAAATTCATTCCAGGTCCGAAAAATGGCCGCCTCTCTCTACACTCTGGGTCTCGAAAAAGGCGACCGTGTCGGTGTCTGGGGACCAAACTACTACGAATGGGTAGTTCTACAGTACGCCACCGCGTTTGCCGGTCTCATCCAAGTTAACGTAAATCCTCACTATCTTCACGAGGAACTCCGATTTGTGATGCGGAAGACCGGAATGAAGGCATTGTTCGCGCCAAAACGACACAAGCACAGTAACTACATTCACACATTGATTGAGGTAAATAGTTTTGGCGCGGGAAAAATCTGAAATTTGAATTTGAATTTCAGGCTATGCCAGAGATGCGACGTGGCAAACCTGGAGTGGGACACATCAAATCACACGACATTCCAGATCTTCGACATATTGTGCTTTTTGGCGATGATTTACCTGTGGTGTGAGTTTTGGGAAGCTTTGAGAAGCCTGCTAAACCTAACCCATCCAATATTTCCAGCGGTGCCTGGGTCTACTCAGACATTCTGAACGCCGGCGGCTCTGCCGAACGCATAAAACTCGAAGAAATGGACTACAAGCTCCGTCCAGACGCCCCGGTCAACATGCAATTCACCTCCGGCACCACTGGCCACCCAAAAGGCGCCACCCTAACTCACTTCGCCCTCAACAACAATGCCTATTTCACCGGACTCCGTTTAGGTTGGGATCAAGGCGACCATCGAATTTGTATCCCAAATCCACTGTACCATTGTTTTGGATGCGCAGTTGGTGTCATAAATGCTGTGAACCACGGGCAAACTGTGATTTTCCCATCGAAATCCTATCATGTGCCGGACATCTTCGAAGCGATTCAAAATGAGAAATGTACCTCAATGTTCGGAACCCCTACGATGTTTATTGATGTTCTCAAGTCTCCTCTCATGGAAAAATACGATACCAGTTCCCTAAAAGGCGGTGTAATCGGTGGAGCGCCGTGTCCAACGGCTTTATGCGAAAAAATGGTGAAAGATATGAATATGACGGATTTTGCGGTGATCTACGGGTCGACTGAGACTTCTCCATTGGTCACAATGAGTGAATTGAGTCAGGATCCATTTGAGAGAATTAAATCGGTTGGAACTTGTATGCCACATACTGAGCTGGCTATTGTGGATGAGTTTGGAGTTCCGGTTGAGCAGGGTGTGAAGGGGGAGTTGTGGTCGAGAGGATATTCGACGATGGTTGGATATTGGGCCGATCAGGATAAGACGAATTTGGCGGTGACTGGTGATCGATGGTATAAGACTGGGTGAGTTGGGGGGAGCCTTGGGGAAGCTTTGAGGAGCCTTGGGAGCCCTTGGGAAGCTTTGAGGAGCCTTGGGAGCTCTTGAGAGCCCTTGGGAAGCCTTAAAGAGCTTTAAAAAGCATTAAGAAGCCTTAGGGAGCCTTGGGGAGTCTTGGGAAAGCCTTTAAGAGCTTTAGAAAGCCTTAATGAGCTTTAGAAAGCATTAAAAAGCCTTAGATAGCTTTAGGCAGCCTTGGGAAGCCTTAAAGAGCAATAGGAGCCTGCAGAGACCCTCAGAAAGCATTCAAAAGCCTTAGGAAGACTTGGGAAGCCTTTAAGAGCTTCAGGGAGCCTTAAAGAACTTTAGAGAGCCTTAAGGAGCTTCAGAAAGCCTTACAGAGCATTAAAAAGCCTTAGGGAGACTCCCTATAGCCTATACCTGAGCCTATAGGCTTATCCCAACAGCCGCTTCGCGGAAGATTGCGGTCTACACTCGCGGCAGAGCCGCTCGATTATTTTCCATACCAAAAAAATTTCCAGCCCAAATTCGGGTTGGAAAAATATCACTGCAAAAAACCCCGCGCTCTCTAATCTTCACGCGTAGTTAAGTGGTAGCGCGCTGATTTGCCACCCACAGGGTCAAGGGTTCGAGTCCACATCAAGGCGAACTTTTCTGTTTCAGCGACACAGCAGTGATGAATGAAGATAAAACAATTTCGATCGTTGGAAGAACCAGAGATATGATTGTGAAAGGCGGTGAAAATGTGTATCCAACTGAAATCGAACAATTTATGCACAAATTGGAATATATTGCTGATGCTCATGTTGTTGGTGTTCCAGATGATCGATATGGTGAAAATATTTGCGCATGGGTGAGACTTCGCGACAATTTTGAGGGAAAAATCACCAGTCAACGGATTATTCAAGACTGTAAGGCTGGAATGGCACATTATAAGGTGCCCAAATATGTGCTGATCAAAAAAGAAACCGAATTCCCACTAACTATTTCGGGAAAAGTCAAGAAGTTCGAAATTCAGAAGATTTCCAAGGAGATTTTGGGATTGGGAACTGTTAAATCGCATTTTGCGGAGAATTTAAATAATTAATCGGGTCCTTAATTTTAATGTGTATATTTTGATTACTGTACAAATAACAATAAAGTATTTTTTCAATTTTTTGAAGCTTTGAAAAATTTTCCATACCAAAAATTTTTTTGGGGTGGAAAAATATCACTGCAAAACAACCTGGCTCTCTCATCTTCTTGCGTAGTTCAGTGGTAGCACGCTGGTTTTTCACCTGAAGGGTCAGGGGTTCGACTCCCCACCGATGCGATTTTTTTTTCTAATTTTAGATTTTTTGCACTTTTAAGAAAACTAAAATGCACTTTTTCGGAGAAATGAAAACAATTTTGTAGTTTTACGCTATAATTTTCGTGATTTTCTAGAATTTTTTCCTCATTATTTTTTTATTCAGAATCAGCTGTACATTTTTTCCCCTCAATTTTCCCGCGCCAAAATCCACAGTACCGCAGATCAAAAACCACCCGCCTTTGCGATTTTTAATAACTCTATTACCATCCTCCACTTTTATGTTATTATTATAATCCATCTTATCTGTCATCTATCTCTATCTACACGGTATTTCCTTCCCTCATTTTTATTTACCCTTTTTGGCACACGGTGTTTTTCCCGCCTGTCTGTTAAGGGCAATATTTGATCTACTGTACATAGTGGTCACTTTTTTGTGGGTTGCCAAGTATTTTTTTTTCCTATTTGTTTTTGGCTGGTTTTTAGCGCGTTCTAGAGGGCTTTGGCTTTCTGAAGTACTGTAGATTAGGGTACTGTAGCTTCATATCCAGGTAAGGGATACTGTAGGCTTGTCTGATAGCTAGAGGGATTAGGAAGAAGCTTAAAAGGTACTGTAGATTTTGAATTCTGATCTTCATGTTCATTTTTCTCAAGATTTCTAATAGGTACTGTATGATCTGGAGGAGTACTGTAGGTGATTTAAATTAAATAATACTACAGTACTCAGGATTACTGTAGAATTTCTCTTTTTTTGATCTACCAAATTTTCTATCTACAGTATCCTACAGTACCCCCACAAAAAAAATGACCACCGGTCCAAAAATAAACAAAATACTGTCCAAGTTCCAGCAAATCCCAAACTCAAATATCATGCAACACAAACAAATAACACACCGTGTAGTTTTCTTCTTATCACACCCTTTTTACACACACGGTATTTTGTTTATTTTTTTCTGGACTTTTGGGCTGATTTTCTAGGCTTTCTAGGCCATCCGGGCCCAAAAAATCAGGTTTCTAGGCCATTTTTAAGCTTTCAGAGCTCGAAAATTAGATTTTTTGGTTATTTTTAAGATCCTAAGCCTGAAAATTCGGTTTCTAGGCTATTTTCAGGCTTTCTAGGCCACACCCTCTCACAAAACACTGTGTATTTTTTTCTTGTTCAAGAGAACTACACAAATATTTGGAGAACTTTTGAAATTTTTCGAAATTTGCTGATGACGTCGTAAATTTTTGTGAATCAAAATTTTACGGGAAAATTTTTATTTGCCAAATTTTTCGTATACTACTTTTTTCTGCTTCTGCTTGTGTATACACATTTTTGTACTACTACTATTTTTTTTTTGAAAATTTAAAAATTTTTAAATTTTCAAAATTTTGAATTTTCAAAATTGCCACGTGGATTTTCAGCCAAAAATTCTAGAAATTCTAGAAAATATGATGACACGTGAATTTTCAGAATTTTTTCAGATTTTTTAAAAACTAATTTTTTCGTTCTAAATTTTTGTGCCACGTGGATTTTCAGCCAAAAATTCTAGAAATTCAACCAAAAAAATGGTTGCCACGTGGATTTTTAGAATTTTTTAAAAACTGATTTTTTTGTGCTAGACTTGCCACGTGGATTTTTGAAGTCAACAAGTTTTTTTCGAATGTTTTGAATTTTTTTTCCACGTGGATTTTCAGAAGCTACAGTAACTTCCTCAAAACCTCTATGCCACGTGGCAAATTAAATCCCAAAATTTTTTTTTGCAGAAAATGTGGTCCCCAGTTCCAGCTCCTGACTACTATCACCACTATCCGCCTGCTCAAAATTTTGCTCCTCAAAATTATCACCAAGTCATCAATGTGCACAACTATCATTTCCATCACCAGCCCAATTTTGAGGCCACGTGTGCCACGTCATCACAATTACAGTACCCCCCGGATGCCACGTCATCACCACCACCCACATTTGATCTCCTGCCACCACCCTCTGTCTCGTCTCTCTCGTTTTCAAGTGATCTCTCGTCGTCGTCGTGTCACAGTACTACTTGCAGCAGTTCGACAGAAGAGGATCCACGTATCCCTTTAAAAGACCGTGGCCGAGTTTATCACCCGGAATCCACGAAGAAGGAAAAAGTTAGGCCAAGTCGGCGGAGGGATAAGGAGACGTTGGACAAATTGAGAGTTCATAGATGCGAGTATGCTGGTGAGTACTGTAGGGGGTACTGTAGAAGCTTGAGGAGCCTTTGGGTTACTGTATAAAATCTAGGGTTACTGTAGAAGCACTGGGATAATTGTAGAAGCTGTTGGAAGGCTTCCAGAAAGGTCTAGAGAGTACTGTAGGGGATTCAGAGGTACTGTAGAATTACCCAGAGGTACTGTAGACTCTCTAAGATTACTGTAGACAACTCCCAAGGAACTGGGTTACTGTAGAAGGCTTGGGAACATTTTTTAAAGAAAATTCCAAAGATTTTGGTAGATCAAAATTAACCAGCTTCAAAACGCCTTTGGGTTACTGTAGGGAGTACTGTAGAATTTCCAAGAAATTTCGAAGATACTGTAAACAATTTCCAAGGAACTGGGTTACTGTAAAAGCCCTTGGGTTACTGTAAGAGGTACTGTAGGTTTCTAGGGTTACTGTAGGTACTCTAGATTACTGTAGAAAATTTCCAAGTTACTAGGTTACTGTAGAAGCTCTTGGAACCTTTTTTTTGAGAAAGTTCTGGATTTTTTGTAGATCAAAACTAGCTGGCTTTAAAAAGACTCTGGGTTACTGTAGAGGGCCTGAAAGTACTGTAGAAGATATAGAAGGTACTGTAGAGCTTCCAGGGTTACTGTAGTGCCCAGCCTAACTAACTCATCAAAAATTTTGCAGGTTGCGGTAAAGTGTACACGAAAAGCAGTCACCTCACAGCTCATCGTCGTGTTCACAGTGGTAAGTGGCGGGAAGGGGTACTGTAGGCGCCTTTAAAAAAAGAGCAGCAAAATTTGGCACTTGAGAACTACTGTATCTCTTTTTTGTCGCGAGCGGCTATCAAAACAAATATTTGATCTACCTGCCCCCAAATCTACAGTAATCCATCATGTTTTGGGGTTTTTTGTCGGCGGAAATGTGATATGAGTTAGAGGAAATCCAATTACATATAAATATTGATACAGTAGTTTTCTCGCGCGCAGATGAGAGAGTGAGAGAGTGCAGAGATGTGAGAGACGCAGAGAAAATTTATGAGAGGCGGCATATTTTTTATGAGTAGGGAGAGGGATTATTTTGTTTTGATAAAAAAAATTTTTAGGAGAAGAAGATTACTGGGGTACTGTAGGGGGGTACTGTAGCTACAGTAATCATGGTACTTTCAGGAGAAAAACCGTACTCGTGCGAATGGCCGAATTGCACTTGGCGCTTCGCCAGATCCGACGAATTGACACGTCACTACCGTAAGCACACCGGTGCCAAGCCGTTTCCGTGCCGCGTTTGCGGAAGGAAATTCGCGCGCAGCGATCATCTGCAGCTGCATATGAAGCGACACGAGGAGCCGGAATTTTTTGAAAATTCGATTTTTGGCGGCGGCGGCGGGAAAAATGAGATGCTAGAAGAAGAATTCGCTGATTCGGAGCAGGAGATGTTTTTTATGATGGGATTTCCCACTATTTGAAATTTGAAAAAAATAAATTTGTTTAAAAAAAAAGTTCGCACCAAGCGTGGCTCGAACCTAAGACATTGTGAACAAAAGGCACGCGTGCAACCGCCTGAGCTATGAGAGACACAGAGAATGTTGCGGTACAGAGAATGAGAGACACAGAGAATGTTGATTTGCTTGATTATTTCGGCGCTCTGTTGATTTTGAATAAAAATCTTCATTTTGAGTAAAATACAGTGAAAAATAAAGCACATGGGGGAATAAAATACAAAAATGTCAAAAAAATGGATGAAATTGAAAGAGGTCAAGGGATAACTAGGTAAATCTAGGGAATTTTAGGGCTTAAGGGCTTTTTGAGGGTAAAATTGGTTGAAAATGGGCCGTGGAAGCTTTAAAAACCCTTTAGAAGCTTCTAAGGGCCTTTAGAAGCCCCCAGAAGCCTCCACAAGCCTCTAGAAGCCTCCAGAAGCCCTTAGAAGCCTCCAGAAGCCTTAAGAAGCCCTTAAAAGCCCCCAAAGCCCCCTAAGCCTTATAATACCTAGTCAAATCGTGCCAAAAGCAGCTCTTCATCGACTCGAATCGATCAAAACACGGCACAAATGACATATCCAACTGTTGTGGATGTCCCAATCGCTGATCGCAGAAATTCAGACATTTTTCGCCGGCCAAAGTCGTTGTCACGCCGTTTCGCGCGCAACACGCGCGATGATCGCGGCCTTGAGCCGCGCAGAATTGCATTTCGGACATTGCGGCGAGTGGGCAAGCGTCTTGTTTGAAGTACATGGCGGTGAGCTGGAAAATTTGGGAGTCTGGAGGCTTCTGGAGGCTTTTGGAGCCTTCTGGAGGCTTCTGAAGGCTTCTGAAGGCTTCTGGAAGCCTCCAAGAATCTAAGAAGGTTAAGGTAGCTTTCAAGGACCTTCAGGAAGCTTCTAAGGTTCTTAGAGACTTTAGGGAAGTTAAGGTAACTTTTGAGAAGCTTAATTAGGCTAAAAAGCATATTAAGGATTTTAACAAAACTGTTATGGTTTTTGAGAAATTTAACGAGCTTAAGGTAAATTTTATGGATTTTCAGAAAGTTCTTAGAAATTTCAGAAAAGTTAGGGTAACTTTCAAAAGCCTTTAAGAAGCTTCTAAGATTCTTGAGGATCTCAATTAGGTTAAGAATATTTCTAAGTACCTTGATAATGCTCAAGTAGCCTTAAAAAGTTAAGGTAGCTTTTAGAAAGCCTAAAGCCTTCCTTAAGGAACTCTAGACACTTCTAGAAAATATCTAATGCTCTTAGAGACTTAATTTTTAGAAGATTAGTTTAGCAATTTTTTAGAATTATCTTGGGACCTTTAGGATGTTAAGGTTAGTTTTAGAAAGCCTAAAGATGCTTCTAAGATCCTTAAGGATTTTAATTAGGTTAAGGTAAGTTCTAGAAAGCTTAGGGAGGCTTCTTCAGTTCTTAAGGGCATTGGAAAAGTTAAGGTAAATTTTAAATGCTTTTAGTAAGCTTCTAAGATTTTTAAGAACCTTGGTAAATTAAAAAAAAAGTTTTTAGGGTTTCTGAAAATCTTTATGATGTTAAAGTAAGTTCAGAAAGCTTCTAAGGTTCTTGAGGACCTTAAGGGGAATAAGCTAGGTTCTAAGAAGCTTAAAGAGGCTTTTTGCTTCTTAAGGGCATTAGGAAAGTTAAGGTAGGTTCTAACAAGCTGAAGAAAGCTGCTAAAGTTCTTAATGACCTTAAGGATGTTAGGGTAAATTCTGGAGCTCCTCAAGAACTTTAAGAACCTTAAGACTTACCGCTTGCTTAGTGAAAGTAGAAAATTGGCATTTTTGAAGGCAGGCATCCGGCAATTTTCGGTCCAAACAGCATTCGTAGAATGCGCGATCCGGGTTCTGCAAAAAACAGGGTCTGAAATTTGTTAATTTCAGGCTGAAAAATCACTGAAAATGCCACGTCATAGCCTAGATATACCGTGTTTGGTGTCAAAATTCGTCAAATTTTAAGACGAGCCCAAATTTCAGCCTGAAATCTGGCCTAACTCACCACAGGTCCATCCATACGTCTGTTTCGGGCCACACTCGGCGCAACAAGGAGAATCTCTTCCGCCTCGCTCAACCGCTCCTTCCGCCTCACTCGATCCATAGCCAATCGTTGGCGCAAGACCTCGCGGTCTTCGCGTGAGCTGCTCGCGGAGCTCTCAGAGCTCACGCGCGGTCCTCGCTGCCGCTTCGGTTGATAGGATTTGGAGCCGCGCGCGCGCATACGGTAGCAACCGTAGCTGCCGCAACCGTAGCTACGTTGACATGAGCAACTGGGCGGGGGTTGCGGCGCGTACGCGCCGCATGTCGGTTGGTAGCCGCATAGGCCGTTGGTGGCGCATTGTTGAGTGGGTTGGGTGTAGATCAAGAGGAGTACTGTAGGTAGGAGTACGGTAGGTAGCAGGAGGTGCATTCTGGAAAACTAGAAGTTTATAAGAATCTACAGTATCCCTGATCTAGAAAAAGTGCGAAAATTTGATCTGCAAAATTATTCGGGAAATCTACAGTAATCCTGATCTAGAAAAAAGCCTACAGTACCCCTAGAAGCTTCTGAAAATCCACAGCAATCCTACAGTAAACCTATCTACAGTAATTCTGAAAAATATTCCTGGAGACATAAAAAGTGATCTACAAATTTATTGAGCTACAAAAATTGTCAGATAACTTACAGTAACTCAGAGATAACTACAGTAACCCGAAAACCTTTCAACAAAAATTTAATCTAAAAAATATTCAGAAACTACAGTACCCCCTGAAAATCCTACAGTCATCCTTAAATGGCCCGGCAACGGAGATTATGAGTACATTTAAAAATGTTCAAATGTTGATGAATGAACCTCAAAATGCACTTACTTCATAAAAAATTGAAGTTGAACATAAATTTCAGAAAAATAAAAAATCTGAAAAAAATAAAAGATATATGTGGCCGAACTATTTTGGTGGCCGAGAAGTGTCGGAAATTCGGCCAAAGCAACAAACGCGCTCCAACAATGCAACATTAGAGCGAGTTTGTTGCTTTGGCCGAATTCCCGACACTTCTCGGCCACCAAAATAGTTCGGCCACATATATCTTTCATTTTTTTCAGATTTTTTATTTTTCTGAAATTTATGTTCAACTTCAATTTTTTATGAAGTAAGTGCATTTTGAGGTTCATTCATCAACATTTGAACATTTTTAAATGTACTCATAATCTCCGTTGCCGGGCCATTTAAAGTGTGAAAATATTTTATCTACAAAATTATTTGGAAAATCTACAGTAATCCTAGAAGCTTTTGAGAAATCTACAGTAATTCGTGATCTAGAAATCTTCCAAAATATGATCTACACAATTATTTGGAACATCTATAGTAACCCTAGAAGCTTCTGGAAACCCTACAGTAACCAGAAAACCTACAGTATCTTTAAAAAAGTTCCAAAATATTTAGAAAATCTACAGTATCCTCTACAGTAAGCCTCTCTGAAAATACCCCAAAAAATCACAAGAAACTTCTGCCACAAAAAAATGTCGAAAAAGTTTCGAGAAAAAGGGTGGTCAGTTTTGTGGCAAATCGAAACCGGTTCCTAAATTTTCTCCTATAGGTTTTTGATTTTTTTTTGTGATTCACAAACATTTCAAGGTCTCCTAAAAGGTATTGTTCACATTTTTGTAAAAAAAATATAAAAAATTGATGATAAGTTAAGTTAGGCTAAGTTAGCTGAACAACTACACAAATCACAAAAAAGAAAGAATTGCGTAGCTAAAATGACGTGTAGGCTACAGAAATATAGAAAAAAGTAGATCAAAAATTGCAAAAGAAATTTGGCTGCGTACATTTGATACACAGCCTAGGTTTTCAAAATTTGATTTTACTGCGTACGTTTGATACTCAGCTAAGAAACATACGTGAAAAAATAGATCAAAAATTGAAGAAGAAAATTGACTGCGTACGTTTGATACTCAGGTTTCGATTTATCAATTTAAATTTGACTGCGTACATTTGATACTCAGTTAAGAAAAGTATGTGTTAGAAAAATAGATCAAAAATTGAAGAAGACAATTAGCTGCGTACATTTGATACTCAGTCTAGAATTTGTTAATTTAAATTTGGCTGCGTACGTTTGATACTCAGCCTAGGTTTTCATTTTCTGAATTCCAAAAAAAAATGAAAACACAAATATTTTTTTCAAATAAAAATAAATAAACAAGTTGTACGTACAAAAATCCTATTGTCCGAGAGAAGTACACAAAAAAAATTTCTGTTTTTTTTTTTGAAAACTAATTTTTCGCGCTCAAAAAAAACTTCAGAGAAGTACTGTAAAAAGAAAAAGTGGCGCGAAAACCAGATTTTCAGATTTTTTTTATACAAAATTTTTTTTTTGAGAAAAAACAAGACGAGAGAGTGTGGGAAATGCGGAGAGTGCAGAGAAAAATGTAATATTTTTCTGTTTTTTTTCTATTTTTTTGATAGAAAAGTGAAAAATCGGGGGAAAGTTAGGATAAATCGTTTATTACAGTACGAAAATGGCAAAAAACTGCGAAAAAATGAGCAAATTCCAAAATGAGCCGCCCAAAAAATGCCACGTGGCATCATTTGTGGCATTACAAAAATCGTCGTAACACGTGCAAATCTCCTTACGGCCTTTGATTTGGCAGCCGGTTTGCACGAGAATTGGAGCACGGAGGGACCTGGAATTAAATTTGGGGTGATTTTTGGGTGAGAATCTGGGCTCAGGATGAAATTTGGAGCATTTTGACACCAAACACGGTGTATTTTGCTATGACGTGGCATTTTTTAGTGATTTTTTAGACTGGAATTAATTTCAGCATGAATTTCAGGCTCAAATTTAAATTTGGATTTGAATTTGGAGCATTTTGATATCAAATATGCCACGTGGCAAAAATTTAAAAATTTTGAAAAAAAAAAATTTTTTTTTGAAAATTTGCCAGGTGGCTAAAAATCTGAAATTTTCAGATTTTCATGAATTTCAGACAATTTTCAGTGAAAATTTTGAATTTTTCAGAAAATTGGGAAAATTTTGATATAAAATATGCCACGTGGCAAAAAATTGAATTTTTTTTCAAAATTTAGAAAAAAAAATCGCCACGTGGCTTGAAATATTGATTTTTCTGAAATTTCAAGGTTTCTAGCTAATTTTCAATGAAAAAATTGAATTTTTCAGAAAATTTGCGACTTTTTGAGATCAAATATGCCACGTGGCAAGGAATTGAAAAAAAATTTTTTTTAGAATTTTTTAGAAAAAATTTTTGGTGGCTAAAAATCTGAAATTTTCAGATTTTCATGAATTCCAGACAGTTTTCAATGAAGAATTTGAATTTTTCAGAAAATTTGAAGATTTTTGATATCAAATATGCCACGTGGCAAGAAATATTAAAAATTTTTTAAATTTTTGAAAATTGTTTTTTTTTTTTGAAAATTTGCCAGGTGGCTTGAAAATATCGATTTTTCTGGAAATGTCAGAGTTTCTAGCTAATTTTCAATGAAAATTTGGAAAATTTTGACATCAAATATGCCACGTGGCAAGAAATTTGAAATTTTTTTTTGAAAAAAATTTTGGTGGCTAAAAATATGAAATTTTCAGATTTTCAAGAATTTTCAGACAATTTTCAATAAAAAATTCGAATTTTTCAGAAAATTTGCGATTTTTTGAGCTATGACGTGGCATTTTTGGGTTCCCTCAAAATTTGAAAAAAAAAAAAATTTTTGAAAAAAATTTTCCGTGTCTGAAAATTTCAGATTTTTCGAGGTTTCCAGCTAATTTTCAATGAAAAATTCGAATTTTTCAAAAAATTTCCGATTTTTTGAGCTATGACGTGGCTTCTTTGGTCCTCTCTAATTTTGCAAAAAAAAAAAAAAAAAAAAAAAAAAACAAAATTTTTTTTTTTAAATTTGATTTCCATTGTTTCACAAAAATCCTCAAATTTCCGAATTTTCTTAAATTTTTAAAAAAAAATCGATAATTTGCCACGTCATAGCTTAGGTATAGCAGTGTTTGGTATCAAAATGCGTGAAATTTTTTTGCGATTTTTTTCCCGCCAAAAATCTCAGGGGTATTGTACCTGGTGTCGGACGGTACACACGTCAGTGCCTGATCGAAATTGTCATTTTCGTCATGGGAGATGACACGTGTACAGGCGACACCCTGACACGTGTCACACGTCTCCGTCAGCTCACAATCAGCACCTTCCAGACAATGTAGGGATTCTGAAACAGATTTTATTTGGCTGCGTACGTTAGATACTCAGCCAAAGCTTCAAATGAATTTGACTGCTTACTTTGAGACATTAGATACTCAGTCAACCAAGTTCCTCCATCAAAATCAGCTGTTTTTGAGTTAGAAAACGTTTGATACTCAGTTAAAGTATAAGATACGCAGCCAAAATTGAATCTAGGGTATTTTTGGGGCGAAAAATCGATTTTTCGCAGTCAAAAGTCATGCCACGTGTCAAGAAACCGCCCATTTTTTCCCTAGAAAAGAAATCCAGTTGTTGTCAAGTGCTTTTTTCTGATGTCAGTCAGTCACAAAAAAAAGATACGCATAAAAAATAATTGTGGGATTTTTTCCGGCTCCAATTTTCTTCCTCTGCTCTCATTTTATTGTTATTTTCTTGGGGTTTATTATGATGAAGAAGGGAAAATTGGAAAAAAGTCGGGTTTTATGGCCCTTAGGACATAAGCTAAGCCTTAGAAAAAATTGAAAAAAATTTTTTTTGACATATAGGTTGTTTTTTGCGCTGAAAACGCTGGAATTGCTCATTTTAGACATTTCCAGCGTTTTCAGCGCGAAAAATTGATCTAGAAACATTTTTCTGAAAATTTTTAAAAATTTTGACCCCCCCTGTTATACATTCAGGGGGTCACCTTTTTGGTTCAGACAAGTTTCTAGATCAATTTTTCACGCTGAAAACGCTGAAATTGCTCATTTTAAGCAGTTCCAGCGTTTTCAGCGCAAAAAATTGATCTAGAAACATTTTTCTTTAAAAATTTTCAAAAATTTTGACCCACCCCCTGTTATACATTCAGGGGGGTCACCTTTTTGGTTCAGAAAAGTTTCTAGATTGATTGTTCGCGCTGAAAACGCTGGAATTGCTCATTTCAAGCAGTTCCAACGTTTTCAGCGCGAAAAATTGACCCAGGAAGTTTTTTGAAGCGAAAAGGTACCCCCACCCCCTGTTATACATTCAGGGGGGTCACCTTTTTGCTTCAGAAAAGTTTCTAGATCAATTTCTCGCGCTGAAAACGATTAAATTGCTCATTTTGAGCAGCTCCAGCGTTTTCAGCGCGAAAAATTGATCTAGAAACATTTTTCTGAAAATTTTTGCTACTTTTTTGACCCCCCTGTTATACATTCAGGGGGGTCACCTTTTTGGATCAGAAAAGTTTCTAGATCAATTTTTCGCGCTGAAAACGTTGAAATTGCTTAAAATGAGCAATTCCAGCGTTTTCAGCGCAAAAATTTGAGCCAGGAACATTTTTTGTGAGAAAAAAATTTTCAAAAAAAAAATTTTTTTTTTTTTTGTAAAAATCTAATTAGTTTTCTGAAGAGGCTTTACAAGCCAATTAACTTTTTTTTTCGAAAAAAAGTGAAAAGAAATAGGATTAGTTAGCTGGGAAGAGGAAAATGATGAGAAAATTAGCGAGCAGCAACAAAAATAATGTTTTCTGACAGGCAGGAGGAAAAATTTTGAATTATTTATTGGAGAAAAATTTGAATTTTGAATTTTAGCGGTTGGCTGAGTATCAAATGTCCTAGGTACGCAGTCAAATACACCTCAAACTTAACTGAGTATTAAACTTTCTTACTCATAAAAATGTGAAGGATAATTTGGTATACAAAAATTTGGCTGCGTACCTTATTGGGTTAGCTGAGTATCTTATGTCCTTCTAGATCAAATTTTCACGCTGAAAATGCTAGAACCGCTTAAAATGAGCAATCTCAACATTCTGAGCATAAAAAATTGACCCGGGAACTTTTTTAAAGCAAAAAGGTGACCCCCCCCCCTTATTTTCTCCAGGGGGGTCACCTTTTTGCTCTAAAAATGTTCCCAGGTGGATTTTTCACGCTGAAAACGCTGAAAATGCTTAAAATGAGCAATACCAACATTCTGAGCACAAAAATTTGATTTCTGGCGTCAAAAGTAAACAAAGTATACTTTTCTTATTCAATTTTCGCGCCAAAAATTTTTTTTGAAAAGCCAAAAATAATTTGATTTTTCGGTGCCAGCTAAAAATTAATGTTGTTTTCTGTTTTTTTCTCGGAAAATTTGAAATCTTATGAATTTTGAAGTGGAAAACATGGAAAAGTGCACAAAAAATGCGATTTTTGGCGCGAAAATTTGAATTTTTGTGCACTTTTTCATTAATTTTTATTATATTCTCTCAATTTTTATAGAAAATCGCATGAATAATTGATTTCGGTCTCATTTTCCCTGAATAATAATTGAAGCAAGAAAAAAAAGAAAAAGTAAAAAAGGGCAAAAAATTATTATGGATATATATGTATAGTGAAATTGAATACCAATTAGGATATGAGACATAATATGCTAATTTTCTGTGCTTAGAACGTTGGAATTGCTCATTTTAAGCATTTTCAGCGTTTTCAGCGCGAAAAATTGAGTCGGGAACATTTTTGGAGGAAAAAAGGTGACCCCCCTGAAGAAGATAAGGGGGGGGGGTCACCTTTTTGCTTTAAAAAAGTTCCCAGCTCAATTTTTCGCGCTGAAAACGCTGAAAATATCTAAAATGAGCAATTCCAGCGTTTTCAGCATGAAAAATTGACCTAGAAGCGTATATTTCACATTAGATACTCAGTCAACCCAAGGTACGCAGCCAAATATCAATATAGTTCTATTTTTGAGCGGTAAAAAAGTTCCCCGGTCAATTTTTTACGCTGAAAACGCTGGAAATGTCTAAAATGAGCAATTCCAGCGTTTTCAGCACGAAAAATCCACCTGGGAGCATTTTTGGAGCAAAAAGGTGACCCCCCTGAAGAAAGGGTCACCTTTTTGCTTTAAAAAAGTTCTCGGCTCAATTTTTCACGCTGAAAACGCTGGAATTGCTTAAAATGAGCAATTCCAGCATTTTCAGCTCTAAAAACCCAAAAAACCCACCAGCAAAACCGAAAAATTCCATAAAAATCATGCAAATCGTAAAAATCGTCGCTTTTCTCATCGATTAGTGGCCGGTTTCCGGAAATTTCCTCATTTTTGCAGATTTTCAGCCAAAATACGTGGATTTCCTGTCTGAAAATCGGGGAAAAATTGCAAAAAACGAAAAAAAAAACATAAAAATTCATAGCGGAAAGGGAGACTTCCTGAAATCTGAGCACATTTTTTTTCTTGGAAAAATTTTTTTGGCCAAAAAAACAGAAGCTAAATAAAATTGGAAAATTTTTTAAAGGTGCCACGTGGCAAAAAAAACATGCCACGTGGCAAAAAAAATGTGGCGGGAAATTTGAATTTTCAAATTTTGGCGCCAAAAAAACATCTACAGTAACCTTAAGGCCATTAGAGCCTAAAATAAGCCTTAAGGACCTTAAAAGAGCCCTAAAATAAGCCTTAAGGACCTTAAAAGAGCCCTAAAATAAGCCTTAAGGACATTAGAGCCTAAAATGAACCTTAAAGAAATTAGAGCCTAAAATAACCCGTTATACGCCGCGACCCCTCTAGCTTAGCTAGAGGAGGTCGGGCATATATTATATTGATTTCCCTAAAGTTATTCCTAAAGTTATAAGATTAAACCACGAGTTCTTTTATTAGAGCATAGTTTATTATAGATAAGGATAAAGATAATTACAATGATAAGACATAAAGATGAAATATTGTACTAATGAAACTTAATCAGAAAAGGGACCTATGGTCCCCTTCACCTAGCCATCTCCTCAACCCAACTGTCCTCCTCTTCTTCTCCATCCCAACGCGCGAGGGGGCGTGGCCTGATGGTGACCGTAACAAACCCTTAAGGACCTTAAAAGAGCCCTTAAATAAGCCTTAAGGACATTAGAGCCTAAAATGAACCTTAAAGAAATTAGAGCCTAAAATAACCCGTTATACGCCGCGACCCCTCTAGCTTAGCTAGAGGAGGTCGGGCATATATTATATTGATTTCCCTAAAGTTATTCCTAAAGTTATAAGATTAAACCACGAGTTCTTTTATTAGAGCATAGTTTATTATAGATAAGGATAAAGATAATTACAATGATAAGACATAAAGATGAAATATTGTACTAATGAAACTTAATCAGAAAAGGGACCTATGGTCCCCTTCACCTAGCCATCTCCTCAACCCAACTGTCCTCCTCTTCTTCTCCATCCCAACGCGCGAGGGGCGTGGCCTGATGGTGACCGTAACATCCCCCTTCCTATGAGTCGAGCGCCCTCGCTCGAAATAACTTGCTTCGACCACTGTTGCTTGATTGAATGTTGTTGATTGATTGAGCATTGTTGATGAATTCGCTCCTTTATAGTGATGTCGATTCCTTGATGTTCCAAAAAAAAATTGTGCCAGATTTTTTCAATGTTGGCATGTCCATGATGAGTTCCAGAAAGAAATGTGTCCGCTTGTTTGAATTAGTGGTGTTGTTGTGTGCATCATAAATGGTGTGCATCTTTTCGAGGGCTGTTTTGCTGTCCCATTGAGAGGAATGGTTCCAGCGTGCGTTGGGTGTTTTCTCTTTTCTTTTCGGGCAGTTGGTTCAAAAATCTGATTCGGCGAAGAGTTCCATAGGAGTCCTTGATACTGAAAGATAAAGTATAGTGAAACAAATCGATAATTGGGTGGGTGTTCCTAACCTACTAACTACAGCAGAATTAGACTCAACAATTTAATCTTAAAATTTAAAACTTAGAAAAGAAAAATTGAAGTAAAATTTTGATTTAACTTAGAAATTAGGATAATTGAAATTTGGAATTGAGTTAATTATATTTGAAAGTTATTGTTGAAATATTACTAGCTTAATTAATTGAGTATAATGATTTTTAGAAAAAGAAAATTTTTCGGATAAACTCAGGGGTTGGTAACCGGAAAAAAAAACAAATCAGTCATTCCATATGCTTGGCACGAATTTCCTCAGAACTTCTTGGTTGTGTTGTGTTGGGCTGTTTCTCCACTGCATTATATTCAACATATTACACCGGGTGTTATTCTTCCGATTCTCCCGTCTCATTTCTTGCAACTCGAATATCATCCTTGTGTGGTTTCTTCTTCTTCTTTCCTTCCTTGTAAATAACATTTAACTTTGTGGCCTCGATTGTTTTAAAAGGCCCTTCCAGGTGTGGTGTTGATTTCTTTGTCGATGGTCGTCTCCAAACGAAGACTAGATCTCCTTCGTTGATATATATCTCCTCCACTTGGTTTGGTGTTTGATATTGTGCTTGTGGTTTCGGCGTTTGCTCTTTGATCTTCTCCTTGATGGCTTCTTTAGCGTCTTTTATCTTACTTGCTCGGCATTTGTAACATCCTCCGATGTACTTCTTGATGTCCTTTTTCATTCCATACCAGTAGAATTTTCTTCTGATGATTGTCTCTGTTTTCGATACTCCAAAGTGAGCTCCCAGGTAGACGGTTTGATGGATTTCCTTGATTATTTTGTCGACTTCCACCTTATTATTTGGAATTATGAATGCTTTTCTGCCATTTGATAACTTCTTCCTGATCAAACCATTGCAGTTTTCGTAGAGTTTTGATTCCTCTCCATCTCCTTGTCTCAGCTTCTCTCGAATTTCCATTATTTCTTCCGATTCCGATTGAATTTTCTTGATATAATTTTGATCCCATATATCTACCGATACATTTTTTTCGTCTCCCTTGATGAATGACTTCGAAGGTTGAGGTGGTTGTAGATCTTGTTTGCCCATTCTTTGTCGAGGTGCTTAGTTGTTTCTTGGAGCTTCCTCGTTGTCCTCCTGATCCTCTATTCTGTCCTGCAGATGTCGCAATTGTCTGATTTGACGATCTTGTTGCTGCTGGCGTTGTTGGTTTTGGAGGAGGAGTAGATTTCGTCTGTGGGCTCTTTCGTGCCGGGCTAAGGCGTCTTATTGCTGGCGATCAATGGTTTTCTGAAATGAAAACAGTCTTAGTAACGTATGAAAATTACGGTACATGCGGTGAAAATTGAGATTGAGTGGGGTAAAGTGTGGCTTAGGGTTGGGGGACACATGCAAGAATGAACTTCGGTAAAATGTGCCTCGGTAGGCGTGAGAAAAAAAAATTAAATAAAATTGCCAATTGAGAAAACCAGAAACCGGGCATCTCTGAACTACCCTCCATCTTGTGGTACGTCTACCAACAAATGAATTGTTTCTGATAGCACTGGTACCTATTGCTCCGCCCACATGGGTGTAGCAGACTATTCATTTCTTGTGGTCCTTTCCATTGTTTGAATTGTTACCCGATTGAGCAATAAAGATAATCCGATGACCTGATTGCGCCATTCGATGAATGCGATTGTGATATATTTATTACACTTATCTGTTGGTGTTGACCCTCTTGCGCAATCTTTTTGACCCTTTTATTTGCATCTGCTCGGCAGATACGTTTTTGAGGTCAGATTATGGCATTTGGGCTGATGTGTCATAAATATTCAAATTGTGCTTTTTGGGTTAACTATTCGTTTCATGCTAAAAATAGTTAGTGTGAGAGGGTGTATACGTGCAACAAAAAATATTACATCCGGATGTGGACGCCTGCCTTGCGGGCTTACCTTTTGTACACTTGTTGGAAACAAGCTGCCGCGCGTCAGAATAAAGGGGAAAAAACATATAATCATGCGACCAGAGGTTTTAAAAATACGAGACAACGTGTGGATTCAACCCAACACGTTTAAACTTACCACAAGTTCCATTTCTTCACTTTCCTGTTTATAAAAATCTGAAATTGTTTTGCGCGCGAATTTTGAAGTAACCTACTGCAGAAAAAGCAAAAAAATTGTCAACTAATGGATAAGCGGGCGATAGCGCTATCTAATGTCTCAAAATAAAACCAACCAAGAGTTAAAAAGCCCAGATTCTCACGGATAACTCCGCTCTCTCAGAGAATCCCTCAGGAGTAAAAAAAAATCCCAAAAACTCACGTAACCTGCACACTGGGCGAGCTTCAGCGTGCGCAGGACCTCTGTCGTTGGCTTCAGTTCCCATTGTACCTCTTCTATTTGGCAGTAGATGGAATAGAGATAGAATACTAGTACAATAGTCGGTTGCTTGTGGCTTCCGCAAACCTAACCTACTCCTACACGTATACATTATACACTACTAATTTGAAAAAAAAACAAAATTTACGGTTAAATAAAACTTAAAATAAAGAAATTGAAATTAAAAATTAAAAATACTACCTATCGGGGAGTACCTCGGAGAAGTATCCCCTCAAGGTGGAACCTCCACGTTATACGCCGCGACCCCTCTAGCTTAGCTAGAGGAGGTCGGGCATATATTATATTGATTTCCCTAAAGTTATTCCTAAAGTTATAAGATTAAACCACGAGTTCTTTTTATTAGAGCATAGTTTATTATAGATAAGGATAAAGATAATTACAATGATAAGACATAAAGATGAAATATTGTACTAATGAAACTTAATCAGAAAAGGGACCTATGGTCCCCTTCACCTAGCCATCTCCTCAACCCAACTGTCCTCCTCTTCTTCTCCATCCCAACGCGCGAGGGGGCGTGGCCTGATGGTGACCGTAACAAACCCTTAAGGACCTTAAAAGAGCCCTTAAATAAGCCTTAAGGACATCAGAGCCTAAAATAAGCCTTAAGAGAATTAGAGCCTAAAAAAGGCCTTAAGGACATTAGAGCCTAAAATAAGCCTTAAGGATATTAGAGCCTAAAATAAGCCTTAAGGATATTAGAAGCCCTAAGGACATTAGAGCCTAAAATAAGCCTTAAATGAGCCTTAAGGACATTAGAGCCTAAAATAAGGCCTTAAGGACCTTAAAAGCGCCTTAACCATAAAAATATGAGGTAAATCGCCAAAAAAACGTCAGAGCCGGGTAAAATGAGCCGTGGGTTGCTCATTTTAGGCTCCGCCCCTCCCATTAGCATGTTAATTCTACACAGAGCCAAGAAAAAGAGCATTTTCCGCTTGTGAGCTCGAGAAGAATGAGCTCTGAGCGAAAAAAGAGCACAAAAAGGGGCGGGGCTTATAGAAAGAGACATTTTTGGGGAGCTCCTGGATGAAAATTGGTGGAATTTAAAGGAACATGGTATTTTTAAGCTCAAAAATACAGTATTTTTAAAGGAACATGGCATTTTTGAGCTCAAAATACAGTATTTTTTAAGGAACATGCGATTTTTGAGCTCAAAAATGGTTAAAAATTTGAATTTCGAACTTTTCGCGCTATAAATGGATACAGTAATAAAATTTAAAGGAACATCTGGATTTTCGACCACAAAAATACAGTAATTTTAAAGGAACATATGGATTTTTGAGCTTGAAAATTTGAATTTTGAACTTTTCGCGCTAAAAATAGATACAATAATCAATTTAAAGGAACATCTGGATTTTCGGGGTCAAAATACAGTAATTTTAAAGGAACATGGGAATTTTGAGCTCTTGGCGCGACATCTGATCTACAGTAACCCAAAAAATTCAAAATTCAAATATTATTATAAAAAAATTCAAAAAAATACAGTACACACACAATTTAAAGGAACATGTCGATTTGTCAGATTATCGGTACGAGACCCGATCAAAAATACTACTATTTTTGGGCGTTGGATTACTGTAGGTGACACGTGGATGATGTCGGGTTACTGTAGATGGTCCAGGCGCGTCTTCTTCTTCATCGAATTCCAAATCTTCGACCTCGTAGACTTCTTCGAACTGCAAAAATTTGTTGGGTTACTGTAGGGGTACTGTAGGTTTGGGGTACTGTAGGTCTACCGTACCTCTTCCTCTTCTTCTTCCATCTCAACTTCCACGTCTTCTGCTCTGGGATTACTGTAGTACTGTACACGTTGATGACGTTGATTTGTCTGGAAAAAATCAATAATTTTTAGGGGTACTGTAGTTTTAGGCTAAAAATTTGAATTTAAGGTAGGTTAGAGCTAAAATTTCGAGTTTAAGGTAGTTTAGGGCTAAAATTTCGAGTTTAAGGTAGTTTAGGGCTAAAATTTCGAGTTTAAGGTAGTTTAGGGCTGGAATTTTTAGTTTAAGGCACACCTGACGAGAGAGTGTCCCAAATTTTTTGTGCAGTGTGAAAATTTTTTTCAAAAAAATGTGCAGCGTGAAATTTTTAAGTTTTTCGAAAAAAAACTCCGCCGGCAGGAGGATTCGAACCCTGGTCTCATGCACGCCAGTCTAAAATGCTAACCTCTCGGTCACATCTCTCTTTTCTCCCAATGGGGAAATGTTGGTGGAAAGGAAACTGTTTTTATCATGGATCCACGAATTATACGACCTCGAGTGTTTGCACATTTCTCCGGCTACAGTACATTTGTGCGCGGCAAATTCAAACGCATGAGAATTTTTTAAAAATTTTTTTCTTTTTTTCTGTTTTTTCATTTCGTGCATGAAATATGAACGTAAACGAAAAAATGGAGAAAATGACCAGTTAGTATATGAAAGAGCATAAAAAGTTCTACAAATCGATATCTGTAAAAGTGAGCAAAACGTGAAAATGGCCGAGGCACAAGCAATAAAAGGAAAAACACACACAAACAAGGCGACACACAAGTTTGAAATCAAGATGTGAAATTAGGTTTTCACTCATAGAGGGTCGATTGAGATGTCCAATATAGCATTCGAAAGCAAATTTTACGGCAGAAAATATGTGATGAGTGTTGATTGTCGTTTCGGATTTCAATATCAATAATATATGGCCACTTCGAAAAAACACGTATTTTGTCATGGATATGTTTCTTGTCAATAAACATTCGATAAATCCTGGATAAATATTGCTGAAAATGTTGAAAAAAGTTTTCTCTTTCTGTTTCAATGTGTTTATGATTGAAATAACTAAAGAAATTACTCTGAAATTGTCAAAAATAGAATTTCAGGCTTTTTTTTAGTAATAAAATGTTTAAATCATCAATTTATATTTTCATTTGGCGATGTTTATCCATAATTAAACTATTTTTCTTCGTGAATCATCTCTATTCAGATATTTTTCCAGAAATTAGCTCAAAATCTGAGAACTGAGACACAATGATGAAATGAGAGAGTGGTGAGAGAAAAATGCAAATGGGAAACTACAGTTAACTGAAACCAAAAACAGGACATTCGAAATTTTAACTTCTGAATATAAAAATTTTGGAGAGGGCTTTGGTTTAGATTTTGTGACAATCTGGAACAAATTCTGTATCTTTCCTCGAAGTATTTCTCTGTTTTCGACGATGAAATTTTTCATGATTGAAAAAATCTCTGAAGTTGAACATATTTCAAAGAAAACCGGTGAAAAATCAGTTTTTTTCTTTAAGAATTAGATAAATTTTCCAAGGTTTCATTCAAAGGGCCACGGATTTTGCATAAATAGATTCTTGAAGCGAAAAGCGCGAAATTCTACAGTATCTAAAAAATTGACATTTCGTAAATTATCGGAAATATCCCAAATTAATCAATATTCTGGCTAAATATGGTTCTTATTTATAAATGTTTGTCGGGAGATGGAACTGATTTTATTGTTCCCAATAAAAATGAGCAAAATGTTCTTCGAAATGTGAGTTCCAAATGCAAAAACCATAAAAATTTGTTTCACATTAGATTTTACCGAGTAATTCCGTTGCGATGACATTGAATTCGGGAGGAGGGCAGGTGGTTTTTATCAAATTTCAGGATACTGTGTCATTGAAAGATTATCATGTGAGTTGAATTGATGTGAATGAATCGATGATCAGATAAATTTTTAAAGCTAAACGAGGCCGCGCAAATATTATTGAATTTTGAAGTTCCAATGGACGACTTGATGTATTATGACACAATTGATACCACAAAATCTGCGGAAAAGTTGAATGTAGGTCTATAAAATGAGAGACCCGTTTAGCTCAATTTTTCGTAGTTTTTTGGTTCGAAAACATTTGGAAAAATTTCAGAAAAATTCACTCGGAGTCCAAGCTTTTCTGCCAAGAAAGAGTGATAGCTGCTTTCAAGCATTGATGGAAACAGTTCGTACCTGTTGTCTCAAATCTGTATATGTTACAAAAAATGGAAAAAGTTTGTACAAAAATTTATTTATTGAACAAAAATATGAATTTCTTACATTTACAGGAACTTTTCAAATTTTTTTGGATTATGAAGACTCAAGCAACCCCGTAATTTCTGGTCTTCCAGAAAAAACTGCTAAAAAGTCTCCAAAACAAAAAAACAAACCGTAAGTACACTCACATTTGTTAACACTGACCAACTCGATTTCAACCCAGATTGAAAAAACGCCAACGAATGTCGAGCAGCTCAGAAGAAAATGACGTTGTCGAAGAATGCGAGCCATCAACATCCTCGGTGAATCCCGGAAGTCCCATGATCGATCTTCCTAGAAGTATTTTTTTTATTTTATTTCCAAAATTTCCACGAGGCCTTTCAGAGATCTGATTATGAAAAATGAGTTCTGCTTATTTTCGGATCAAAATTCAAAGGGTTTTTGATCTAGAATTAGAAATCTCAACGGGTTTGTCTTGGAAAAAATTACGAAATTAGAAAAAAATAACTAAAACTTGTAAACTTTGAGAATTTCAATTATTTATAATTCTAAAAAAAAGAGAAGCTACGAAATTTTGAAAAAAAAATTGGATTTTCAGCGAATTTCACAATCACCGACATGAATTTAAAAAAATCGGAAATTTGTGAGGTTAGTTTTGAAATTGAAATCCTAAAAAAAATCTTATTTTTGAATATTTTTTCAGGAGGATAGAAGAATGATTAGCCTCGGTAAAAAAGTTCGAAATTTGAAACTAGAAAAGAAAAATGGAAATATGAAATCGCGTGGGAAGAATATTAACAATAGAGGGGAAGAGATTTTGAAACATACGCTGGACAAAGTAACCGACCTTAAAAATCAGCTGGGAGAAGATGCCAAAAATACGATTTTTGAAAGTCCTGTTGCTCTAGTTGAATATTTATGTGGAGTTTCGAGAACAGTTGTCAAAGAAAGAAAGAAACACCCGAAAGATATGACTGAAACAACTCCGAAACGTGTAAAAGGCCAAACAAGTAGAAAAAAAAGAAGAGAAAAACGAGCTGCAAAACTTTCTGAAACTGACAAAGAAGCGCTGAGAGATTATCTGGATATTTGCTGGGGCCAAAACAAAAATGTCACAATTGAAAGTTTATTGGATTGGGCCAAATCGACTTTGGATTTTCAATATGGAAAATCATTTTTCAATGACGTGTTGTTCGGAATGGGATTTACGTGGAAAAAAAAAGTCCGGAAATCCAATTATTGAAGAAAGAAAAGATTTGGTCATTTGGAGAAGAAAATATTTGATGAGAAAGCTTGGACTTCAAAATTTGCCTAGTGGAAAACAGCCGTATTTTGCGTTTTTTGATGAGACTTGGATTTACGAGGGGATGACGAGCATGAAGGGTTGGCAATATTTGGAGACGGATTTATATAAATTGGCGCGTTGGGTGAGGCTTGAAGAACGGCGTAGTGGACCACAAAGAGGCAAAGATAAGGGGAAAAGGGCAATTGTATTGAGTATTCTCACACCAGATGGTATTCTGAAGGAGTCGGCGAATGTGTTGATTAGTGGACTCAAAGAATCTGAACAATTTATGGATTATCATCGCGAGATGAACTCCGAATCTTACCGCGAATATATGGAAGAAATGATTCCGAAATTGGCAGATGAAGCGAAGAAACGAAATATGGTAGCGGTGCTTGTCATTGACAACGCACCCTATCATAATCAAGTCGTTGAGAAAGTAAGCGTTTTAGATATTTATTTTTAAATTCTGAAAATGAATCAAACTGAATTGTTTTAGATTCCGACAAAAGGAAGTACAAAACAGGTATTGGTGGATTTTTTGCTCAAAAAAAATATCAACGTGAACATTTCTATGAAAAAGAAAGAACTTTTGGAGCATTTTGAAGAGTTTTTGGAAAACAACGGTGGACGAAGAGGGGTCACGAAATATGTCATTGATGAATTTGCCAAACTACACGGAGTTGAAATTCTCAGGTTGCCCCCATACCATTGTATGTTCAATCCAATTGAGCTGGTATGGGCGCAACTGAAAACATTCCTCCGTAGTAAAAGTGATGGGGATGACGATCTCGCTTCGGTAATTTCTCAGTTATCATATTTTCATTTATAATTGAATTCCAGTTACGTCAAAAAGCGATCGATTGGCTTTATGACTTTACACCTGAACAAGCTCAAAATTGTATTCGACATGCTGAAAATCTGGAAAATGAAACTAGAAGATTGATTGAAGAACAGGTTCAAGAAGCAGAAGAAAGAGAACGCCAAAACGCATATTTAACAACTCTTGATGAATATGATAGTTACGATGATTTTGGCACCGAGTGTGACAGCGACGAAGATTTTGAAGATTATTTATCAGAAAATTCTATTAGCTCGGCTGATCACGCAAGATATACGGATTCATCAGATGAAGAAATGGTTCAAGAAATTTAGAAAGTTATGGAAAAAGTAGAAGCAGATAATTTTTTTTTCTTTTTTACAGGTTTTAAAAATTTTGTAAGTTTAAATTCAACCCCAAGATACCCTTGAATAATGACCAACCTTTTCGAAAATAACACCATTGACAAACCGCCAACACCTGAAAAATCATTTACAGACAAAGTTTATATACAAAACCCTCACCTTCATCATTTACATTGTCTCGAATAGGAGCGCCAGCGACTGGATGCCCAAATAAAAAACACATTGGCCTAAGAAACCAAAAAAAAACTAGACCATTTGCATTTTTCTCTCACCACTCTCTCATTTCATCATTGTGTCTCAGTTCTCAGATTTTGAGCTAATTTCTGGAAAAATATCTGAATAGAGATGATTCACGAAGAAAAATAGTTTAATTATGGATAAACATCGCCAAATGAAAATATAAATTGATGATTTAAACATTTTATTACTAAAAAAAGCCTGAAATTCTATTTTTGACAATTTCAGAGTAATTTCTTTAGTTATTTCAATCATAAACACATTGAAACAGAAAGAGAAAACTTTTTTCAACATTTTCAGCAATATTTATCCAGGATTTATCGAATGTTTATTGACAAGAAACATATCCATGACAAAATACGTGTTTTTTCGAAGTGGCCATATATTATTGATATTGAAATCCGAAACGACAATCAACACTCATCACATATTTTCCGCCGTAAAATTTGCTTTCGAATGCTATATTGGACATCTCAATCGACCCTCTATGAGTGAAAACCTAATTTCACATCTTGATTTCAAACTTGTGTGTCGCCTTGTTTGTGTGTGTTTTTCCTTTTATTGCTTGTGCCTCGGCCATTTTCACGTTTTGCTCACTTTTACAGATATCGATTTGTAGAACTTTTTATGCTCTTTCATATACTAACTGGTCATTTTCTCCATTTTTTCGTTTACGTTCATATTTCATGCACGAAATGAAAAAACAGAAAAAAAGAAAAAAATTTTTAAAAAAATTCTCATGCGTTTGAATTTGCCGCGCACAAATGTACTGTAGCCGGAGAAATGTGCAAACACTCGAGGTCGTATAATTCGTGGATCCATGATAAACGAATGCGTTGCAACGTTGCTCAAATTTTGAAGTTAGGATAACTAAGCTTAGGCTTAACGGATATGGTTGAATTTTTTATGATAGATTGCTATGGTCATAGACAGTGTGGAACACCGTGAGTGCAGTGTGAAAATGCCCTATTTCGCTGTTATTTTGAAGTGTCCATTTTGATGGTAAATATGGACATTACAAAGAATCGGACGGCATTTTTTTCCGAGCACATATCAAGGGTTGGTATATTCAGAAAGTTGGTGTATTTTTAAGCGTAGTTTTTGAATTTACCCATGTGCAGTGTGGAATTTGAAGTTTTTCCATAGAAAGTCAATTTTTTCGAAATTTCAGTGACACTATGGTTTGCTAAGCAGTCACGTAAATTCCACACTGCACATTGTGTTACTACACTAAAACGAAATCTGCTGAGTTGATTTTCACCGAGAAACTTCGAAAAATTAGCAAGCTGAAGTTGTTTTTGAAGTTGAGCAAAAATAAAAAAAGTTTAGTTCGAATGAAGATTCGAACCTGGGCCTTCTGAACACTAGCAAAATGGCCTGCCACTGAACTAAATGCGCATTTATTTCTGCAGGTTAAATGTTGGTGAAAAGGAAACAAAGTTATTTTTTGAAAAAAAATGCAGTGTGACTTTTGAAAAAAATGTACAGTGTCCATTTTGGACACGTCTCGTCAGGTGTGGTTTAAGGTAGTTTTAGGCTGGAATTTTGAATTTAAGGTAGTTTAGGGCAAAAATTTGGAATTTAAGGTAGTTTTAAGCTAGAATTAGGGATTTAAGGTAGTTTTAGGGTAAAATTTCGAGTTTAAGGTAGTTTAGGGCTGGAATTTTGAATTTAAGGTAGTTTAGGGCTGGAATTTCGAGTTTAAGGTAGTTTTAAGGTAGAATTTTGAATTTTAGGTAGTTAAGGGCTGGAATTTTGAATTTAAGGTAGTTTAGGGCTAGAATTTTGAATTTAAGGTATTTTAAGGCTAGAATTTTGATTTTAAGGTAGTTTAGGGCTAGAATTTTGAATTTAAGGTAGTTTTAGAATAAAATTTGGAATTTAAGGTAGTTTAGTGCAGGAATTACGTATTTAAGGTAGTTTAGGGCCAGAATTTCGAGTTTAAGGTAGTTTTAGACAAGAATTCTGAATTTAAGGTAGTTTTAGGGCTAGAATTTCGAGTTTAAGGTAGTTTTAGGCTAAAATTTTGAATTTAAGGTAGTTTAGGGCTGGAATTTTGAATTTAAGGTAATATAAGGTTAAAATTTTGAAATTAAGGTAGTTTTAGGTTGGAATTTTGAATTTAAGGTAGTTTAAGGCTAGAATTTTGAATTTAAGGTAGTTTAGGGCTGGAATTTTGGGTTTAGGTCATTTTTGATCAATTTTTCCAAAATTCACCCCAAAATCCTCACCCTAACATCATTTTTGACCTGAATCCTTATTCCAGTCATCCGCGTTTCCGCATGCTTGCCAATCCGTCCGGAAACGCCAACCTTCTGAATCCTTCCGCGCAAAAAATCCGTGCTACTCGAAACCTCTCCAAAATCTCTGGCTTTCCGCATTCCGCGTGCCGCTTGGCTCGTCTTATCGATTGGTGAGACCGCTCTTCCGCCTTGCCGCACGCCGGTTGTTCCGCGTACCGCCAACCCTTCCGCGCGCATCTTCCGCGCCTTCTCAAGGATCCGCTGGGTTCGGGCAGTGGAGCCGACGGGCATTTTGACGTGGTAGATCTCGTTGCGGTCGGGAGGCGGACGACCTTTGCGGTGATGCGACGCTTGCGTCACATCCGTCGGTGCGGTGATTCGCGCGCGTTGCGGAATCTTCCTTTCCGCGTCCTTTTCCGCGTTCCGCTCCGCACCCGCCGCAATCCGCTTTAATATGAGCAATTGGTCGCCGATTGCAGTGACTCCTAGCTCTGCCAAAGTTGCTTTGTCCAAATCGCACAGCATTTCCTTGGTGATCCGATTTGTGGTGAAGGATTTGGCGTAGGCGGAAGCGATGTCGCGCGGAATTCCGGCGCGCGTGAAAAATTGTTGCCACGCGTCCATTTTGGGCTGGAAATTTGGAACATTTTGATACCAAATAGGAGGGTCTTGCAGCGAAAATGCCACGTTTTCCACACGAAAATCGATTTTTCGGTTGGAAAATGATGCAATTCTGAGCATTTTGACGTGAAAACCACGTTTTTCACCATTTTTCACGCAAAAATCGATAATTATTGGTTTTTGCGTGGAAAATGATGCAATTCTGAACATTTTTACGTGAAATTCATATTTTTCAACTTTTCTAGCTCAAAATTCGCTGAAAATCTCGAATTACAGCTAAAAAAAGGATTCTCAGCGAAATTTGATTTAGAAAAATGCCACGTGGCTTTCAGAAGTTTCCAGATGTGATTTTTGATGTTTGCAGTGAGAAGTTCCAGGGGGAAATCAGGATTTACCAAGAAAAATCGGTTTTTGGTGTCAAAATGTGCAGAATTCTGAGGAGAAGCAGATTTTCGATGTTTCTCGCTGCAAAATCGATATTTCGACATCGAAAATGATGAAAAATCGATAATTTTAGGTCGGAAACGATGTTTCACCGAAATTCCAACGTATTTGATGTCAAAATGAGCAGAATTTTGAGGAAAAGCGGAAAAATCAAGTTTACAGCAAGAAAATCGATATTTTGATGCCAAAAACCTGAAAAATTGGGGTTTCACAGGCAAATCTGGAAGTTCCCATTGAAAACATCGAAAATCACATCTGAAAGCTTAAAATCCGATTTCAGGTCGATTTAGGCTTTCAGATGAGATTTTCGATGTTTTCAATGGAAATTTCCAGATTTCCCTGTGAAACCTCAATTTTTCAGGTTTTTGACGATAAAATATCGATTTTCTTGCTGTAAACTTGATTTTTCAGCTTTTCCTCGAAATTCTGCTCAATTTGACATCAAATACGTGGAATTTCGATAACACGTCATTTCTGGGCTGAAATTATCGATTTTTCATCATTTTTGAAGTCAAAATATCAATTTTCCAGCGAGAAACATAGAAAATCGGCTTCTCCTCAAAATTCTGCACATTTTGACACCAAAAACCGATTTTTCTCGAAAATCCTGATTTCCCCCAGGAACTTCTCACTGCAAACATCAAAAATCACATCTGGAAACTTCTGAAATCATCAATTCCCACGAAAAATCCACGTTTTCCCCCGAAAAACCCCGAAAAAAACAAAAAATGAAAAAAAATTGGAGACGCCGCTAAACAACACGCACACTCGTAAATGTGCGGAGTGTCGTTGCCGGGGGCGGATGTTTGAAAATGTATTGTTTTTCGCGTCTCTTTTCGGCTTTTCGATGAAGGAAACCATAAAATAGCGGATTTTCAAGGAGAAAATTGCTTTTTCTGAGAAAACTGCATGTTTGGATTCATTTTCTGTGGAAAATTCCGATTTTTCACTCAAAATTGCAATTTTTCATGCAAAAAATGACAATTTTCAATAAAAACCCATTAAAATTTAATAAGGTTTAGCAGAAAAAACGCGAATTTCATTTCAATTTTCCCATTTTCATATAAAAAAAATGAGAGAATGCAAATTCCAATTTTTCTCCCATTTCAAAGAGCACGACCGAGTTCCGCTAACTCTATTTTCACATTTTTTTTGGTTTCTCGTTTTTTTTTGCGTTTTTCAAGAAGCCCTAGAGAAAATAGTTTGAAAGTGCGCTAATTTTCAAGTGTTACACGATTTTAAGTGCATTTTTTGAGCTTTATCTCAAATTCAGCCTGAAAATTCCCTGAAAAACATGAAAACCCGTGAGTTTAGCAGGAAAAACATATTTTTTTCATTAAAAAATGCAATTTTCCCTTCCTTTCATTCATCCTAGCAGGCTTTTACTCGAGGCAAAAAAAAAAACTTTTTCTCCTATCGCAAATTTGATTTGGCACCCCACCCCATCTCCTTTTCATCTCCCATTTCCGCATTTTTCATAAGATTTCGGCTAACTCGCAGATTTTTCTTATTTTCCCCAAAAAAATGAAAAAAAAAAAAAGTTTCGCCCGCACCCGGCATCGAACCCGCGAGCAAAATTTCGTGACGCCGCGCGCTAACCACCTGCGCTATGCAGACCGTTTGGTTTCCTACCCAAAATTGCATATTTAAATAGCTTGCAAAAAATAGCGCGAAATTCCCAGCGGGTCGATTTGTGGGTGTTGTTTAAGTCGAAAAAAGCGCATTTCCATTGTTTTTCACTTTTTTATTGGCCAAGAAAAATTTGAATCCTCTTTTTTTCCCGCAGATTTTTTTGCGACAAATGTAGTCGGCGAAGAACCATTTTTGATGATTGATTTGGCGAATATGGTGAGTTTTTTCAAAAATTTCGAATTTGCCGCCAAGGGGGTACTGTAGTTGTTTTTTTTTCTAGAAAAAAATGAAGTTAATGAATAATTTATGATTTTTGAAGGAATATTTTAGTTTTCCACACCAAAATTCCGTGTATTTCTCCCGGACAAGCCTTTTTTACAGCACCAAATCAAAATCTCCACACCTCAATCCACTTATCCAACATTTTTGCTAATCCTAATTTGCTTTCTGATATTTTTGGTGATTTTTGCCACGTGTGTTATGGTCGTCAGTTTTTTTCGAAGGAAAATGGCGAAAAATCGCGAGTTTTTGGTGAGTTTCAACCAGAAAACCGAAAAATTCCAAAAAAAATTTCAGATTTCTCGAAGCGCCACGTCTGAAACTCTGATTATTGAGTCAACGCTAACTAATTATAATTCAATTGATGTTTGACAATTTTTTTTCCTGCTCACGGGTCTTTTTTTTCTGTAAAAAACAATAAAACCATTCATTTTTATCTCTTGTGAACATAGTTTTAGGGTTTAGAAATTCTGAAAATCAAAAATGCATCTGAAATTCGGATTCAATGTGAAAAATCAGGTCGGAAACATTTTTCCATACCAAAATCAATTTTCGGTTGGAAAAAAAATGATGCAATATTTTTTCCAGCCCAAATTTCTCCGGGAGAACTACGAATTTTGGTATGGAAAATGAAGGTGAATTTTTCGCACGTTTCAAAATCAATCAATAACAACCATATTTATTATTATTTCATGAAAACAAAACACAAATCGATTATTTTAGTATTTAGTATCAATTACACGGTATGCCTTTTCCAAAAGTTGCCCAAAATCTAGCCAAATCAACAAGTGACAACACGTGTCTTCCACATTCTCCTTCTGAATTGTCATACATTTTATCAATTGCAGCTCCTACTTCAGAAAGTATTTCATGATATTCGTTGAAAAAATCCTCAATCAGTTTTTTATTCCGATTCATACTAGATTTTTTTGAAAATTCCTCTAACTTCAATCTAAAAATCTGACGAATTGCTGGGAAATTTTTGTCAAAAAACTGAATTGCCGTGATCATTTCGTTTTGACATACAGAGAATCCATCAATTATCAAGCCTACATCAACATTTGTTACTGTTTCGAAATATTTTTCGAAATTTGAAGCGTTTCTGAAAAAACCTCATTAAAATTTTTAATTCAAGCCTGTCTTACAATTTTTCGGGTAAATTCTTCGCAATTTCGATTTCTTCATTTGTTGCCGTTCTATATTTTCCAGTAAACGATGACATTCCCAAAACTTTTCGCATTTCCGAAATCGCAATCATCTGTTCAGTAACTTGAATCAGGGCTCGATTGCCTAATCGAGCAAAACCTTTTGTCTTGTGTTTATATCCTGATAACTTATCGTGTTCGTCATTTGTTAAACAAGATTTTGCGATTTTCTCAAGTTCGTATGTTGCGTTTAATGGTGATGAGGAAATTGGGATGGTTTCTGAAAAAAAAAATTTTTTTTTTCAAAAAATTTTTTTTCAAAAGCACTAAAACCACCATAACTTTTCTGTCTTTCAATATTTTTCAAAAATCTCTGAACCATTTTGAAGCTCTCAGAGTCCGCTACAATTTTGCTGTTTTCAAAAATTTCCCTACATCTCTCCTAAGGGTCGAAAAATTAAAAAAGTTACCTGAATGCACACAGTCAAGTGTAAAAACCAGGAAAATAGAAGAGAGTATTATTAACATAGTCAAAAATATAGTATGATAACAAAAATTAGAATAAAATAAAATGAAGATGATGGAAATTGACCTAGTTTTTAAAATTATGATAATATTATTGAAAAAAAATGAAAACTGAACAAAATCAAGTTCACGAGTCATTTCATTGCATTCTTTTCGTAGTCTCCTCAGAAGCTGTTTGGAGAAACTGAAATTAATTGATTAAACAATTAATTTTTGCTTCAGGATTTTTAACTTACAATTTTCACAAGCCAAACAATCCAGCATGTTTGAAGGTTGCGATTTTTTTCCACAGCGCTGTATGAAAATCAGAAATCGTGGAGCATTTCTGTCGAATATTTTGTTGTATAAAACAATTTGTTGTGATTACGTGTCAAATGTTTTTTTTACGATTTTTTCCATACGAAAATGTGTAGTTCTCGCGGACAAGCGGAACTCTTCTTACTCTTCTTGGAAAGCGCAGACCGTGTAATTGAACATTTTTTGGCGGGTTCCTTTTGAAATAATGAAATCATTTCATTTTCATTTTTATGTCTTGTGAAGTGAACACACTTTTTTTCCATCAAAGTTACTGTTTTTTTTCAAAACTCGTTTTCTTATCACAAAAATTGACATAAAAACAGATATCTCTAGACCAAAGATGTTGCGCAATGGCAAATTTCAAAAAAAAAATTGTTTTTTTCCATACCAAAATTTTTGTAGTTCTCGCGGACAAGCGCTTATTTTCCATACCAATTGGGTTGTGTACTTCTCTCGGAGCAGACTTTGCACCTTCGAATTTGTTCTGTTCTATTTTGTTGTTGTTCATTTTCAAAAAATGCACGGTATTTTAGGTGACCATGTGATTCGGAAAACAAATATTTGCATTCAAAAAAAACCACGTGGGATACAGATACAATCTTTCTTTTTGTGATTTTTAGAGAAAAAAGTTCAAGGTCGCTGATTTTTGGCGCCAAAAATAGAAATTTGAAAAATTAACAAAAATAAACGCTTGTCCGAGAGAACTACACATTTTGGTATGGAAAATGAAATTGCATCATCTTTGGATAATTTTCCAGCCCAAATTTTTTGGGTTGGAAAACATTTTGGTATGGAAAAAAAGTGTTTTTGCTCACTATAGTACGAAAATGACGTGATTTTTCGAACAGAAAATTGCTATCTCTCAAAAAAAGAGCCAACTACTCAAAAACAAATCAAGGTTCAAACATTTCTCTCAACCTCGTGACCTCTAAAATCCCATTTTCTCTATGAAAAAAAAACTGCCAAAAAATAGTAATAATATATAGTAAAAAGTGTCTTATTCACAAAAAAAGACACAAAAACCAGTTTTCTTTTTTAGCGCTGCGCAGTAATATCTTTTTATAATATATTTATGTATTTATTTATCTAATTCACTATTTTAAGGTCATTAAAAAGGTAGATTTTTGTTTGTGTTTTTTCTAAATCGATTTTTGGATGATAACAGGAAGAATTAGTCACTTTTTGATCAATTTTTGATTTTTTTTGCGGCCAAAAATTGATATTTACATGTAAAATTGAAAAATACACGTTTTCTTTGGAAATTTTTGAATTTTCACGTTTCCCGCGTTTTTCTTTGTGTACTTCTTTTGGACAAGCTTGAAATTTTGAATTTTTTACGTTTCCCGCGTTTTTCCTTGTGTATTTCTCTCGGAGAAGCTCAAAATTTTGAATTTTTCAAATTTCCCGCGTTTCTCCTTGTGTACTTCTCCCGGAGAAGCTTGAAAATTTTGAATTTTTCAAATTTCCCGCCTTTTTTCCTTGTGTACTTCTCTCGGACAACCAATAAATTTTAAATTTTCACCATCTGCTCGCAGATTTTTGAAAAATCATAAATTTTCAACTACACTCCGCTTGCCCATTGTTTAGCAGGCTTGTTTTTCAAAAAACACTTTTTTTTTGGAAAATTGTTTTTTTTTTTTGATGGGCGGAGCTCAAAAATAGCACGTGTTGCACTTTTTGGCGCCAAAAATTTTAAATTTTTTTGATATAAAATTGAGAAGAAAGTGTAGTAGTCTTATCATTTGCTCAGCTGACTTTTTTCCTTTTCTCAAGAAAGAGAGAGCGAGAGAACAAAATCAATTTTGTCTGCTCGTCTCGCGTCTCTCCACATGTCCCACACTCTCTCGCCACGCCCCATTCATTTTCTGTTTATTTTTGATTTTTGGATAGAACTTCCTGATTTTTGTGGTCAAAAATAGTGGTTTTTCAGAAAAAATGTCAACTTCTACAATTGTGGCACAAACGTGAGTTTTTTTGAAAATTTTGATTTTCCATACGAAGTTTTGTAGTTCTCGCGGAGAAGCGTTTATTTTCCATACCAAATTTTTTTTTTGAACAAATTTTGGTATGGAAAATAAGCTCTGGAGGAGAAGCGCTTATTTTCCATACCAATTTTTTTTGAACAAATTTTGGTATGGAAAAAAACGCTTCTCCTCGAGAAATACAAATTTTGGTATGGAAAAAACAATTTTTTAAATTTCGCACGAAATTACTCATATTTAGTGTCAAAATGATCAAAATTTTACCAAATTTTCGAATTTTTCAGTGATTTATCAAAACAACTGCCCTCCTGCTCATATTCCACAACAAAATCCGGTCCAAATCGCTACGATCTTGACGTGGATTCGTGGACAACAATTTTCGAAACCGTCGCCTCAAGTGTCCCACTAAAGAAGGCTTTGGAATTCAAAACTTTGCACAGTGTAGCCTATCGAGCTGTGACACGCGCCTTTAAAAACGTGACAAAATTGAAAATCGAAATATTCAAAGGCACGTGTTGTATTCAAGATTCGTGGACGAAAAATCGACAAACTGCCGTGGAAATGGCACGATATGTGATGGAGAATTCGAAAATTGTGCGAGTTTTGGAGATTTATTTCGACGATCCGTGTTTGGATGTTGTCAATGAGGTTTTGGATGAGATTGTCAAGTCGAGTGAGTGATTTTTTGGGGGAAAAAGGGAAATTTTTGAATTCGCCCGAAAAATCCACGTTTTTCGAAACCAAATATACCCTTGTCCTGGAGAACTACACGAAATTTCGTGTAGTTCTCGCGGAGAAGCAATAATTTTCCAAACCAAATTTTTCCACGTGGACTTTGAGCCCAAAAAAATTGCTCTGAAAAGTTGAAATTCAAATTTTCCCTACCAAAAAACTTTGAAAATTCAAAAATCTCTGATTTTGAAGCCGGAAAATTCAAGTTTCCCCTGAAAATTCAAAATTGTGAACTTTTAGCCTTAAAAATTCTCAAAAATTCAAATTTCCGATTTTTAGAGTAAAGAAATCGTTGAAAATTCAAAAATTCAGCATTTTTGCGCTAAAAAATCCTCAAAAATTTCAAATTTCCCCTGAAAATTCAAAACTGTGAACTTTTAGCGCTAAAAAATCCTAGAAATTTCCAAAATTTCCTATTTTTAGCCTGAAAAATCCTAGAAAATTCAAACCTTGCATGTTTCGCGCTCAAAAATTAAAATTTCAATTTTTTCCATACCAAGTTTTATAATTCTCCCGGAGAAGCGGTTTTTCATTTTCCATACCAAAATTTTTTTCCAACCGAAATAAAAAAGCGCTTCTCCGCGAGAACTACACATTTTGGTATGGAAAAAAATCAACATGTCGTGTTGGGTCTCAAAAAAACCGCGCAAATCTTGCAGACCACATCCGTCTCGAATCGCTTCGCGTCAAACGTCGCCACGCCGGTCAAAGCCTTCCAAAAATCGCCGAAATCATTCGAGCCAACGCGAAAACCCTCAAAGAAATCACCAGAATTGGGGTCTCCGAAGCGGCTCTCGGATTTTGCGACGAACTAGATCTGGAGATTTTCGGATGTATGAGTTTCGACTTGGGATTTCAACCGAATCCCCAACAAATTTCGCTGAATTTCTGTCGAATAATGGAGAGTGGCGCGAAATTCAAAAAATTCAGCTATACAAGTTTTGACGGATTTGACCCGACAAATGATCAAATTCAAATGCTTTTGGAAAAATGTGCGGTGGAAAATCTGAAATTAACAATGATGAATCCACCGAAAATCACACCAAAACCAAGTTTTATGATTGGAAAAGTGAGAAATGTGAAAAAAATCGAGTTGGTCGAAATTGTTGCGGAGCCAATGAGATTCAATAAATTGATTTCGATTCGACATTTTTTCGAAAAATGTTTTCCAAATGCTCAAAATCACCTTTCACTACTTCAACAATGGAATTGACTGAAAATTGTACATTTTTTTAAGCCCCGCCCCTTTTTTTTGCAAAGTTTGTATATTTTTCGATTATTTTTTTTGTATATATATTTTTTTTCAAATTTTGTACCCTATGCGCTTTAATCTGATGATTTTGTATCTAATAAACATTTTCTGTTTTATCTATTTTCCATACGAAGTTTTGTAGTTCTCGAGGAGAAGCGCTTATTTTCCTTACGAAAATTTGGGCTGGAAATTTTCGTATGGAAAATTATTTTCCATACGACTTATTTATTTTCCATACCAAAATTTCGGCTGGAAAAAAATCTTGAAAATTCAAAATTTCGCGCTGAATACGTGATATTCGGTGTCAAAATGATCAGAATTTCATGAAATTTTCGAAATTCGAATTTTTATTAAAAAAAATAAAACACACATTTAAGAAAAACACGAGAAAAATTTCGAAAAAAAAAACGAAAAATAAATAAAATTAGTGAGAGCGTAACTTCAAAAAATTCAAATTTTTGGGATTTTTCCGGGGAATGTTTAGACACAAAAAAATTACAGATGATTAAAATATTTTTAAGAAAAAACAGCAGGGGGAAAACAATCAATAATTAATTAATTAATTAAATTTTTAAAGGGACATGGAGATTTTTTGAAGAAAAATGAATAAGAAGAAGACGAGACTCGTATTGATGAGATTTCTGGAAATTTTTGAATTTTCAATTTTTCCCGGGTAATTTTTGGGCGCGAAATTCAAAAATTCAAATTTCCCGGGCTCACTTTCAGCCAAGTTTTCAGCAAAAACTCACTTTTGTATCGATTTTTGTGCATATATAGTAGTTTTTTTTTTCCAAGTCCCAGGGATTAATATCTACACTTGAAGTGGTGCCATTTCGGGCGTCAAAAAATTCGTTTTGGCTGCGGAATCCGGTTCCGCTTCCGCTTCCGCAGCGGGTGTCGCCTTCTTTTCCGCCGGTTCTTCCATTTCAATGTCTGGCTCGTCGTGTCCGCTCAGCGATTTTCGTTTGCGGCTCGGATTTTCTTGGAATCTGCAAAAAAAATTTGAAAATTGGTCTCTGGGTTACTGTAGAGATTTTTTTTGCGCGAAAAAATTCAAATTCAAATTTTTTTAAACCAAATATGACTAGAGTACTGTAGAGGATTTTCGCGCCAAAATTTTTTAAATTCAAATTTTGCCACGTGGATTTCAAATGCAATTTTTCTTCAAATTTTGAAAATTTGAGTACTGTAGAAATTTTTTCGGCTCGAAATTAAAAAATTCAAATTAAAAAAAAAAATAAAATTTGCCGCCAAAAAACAGATCTACAGTACCCCAGTCATATTTGGAGCGCGAAAATTTCAATTTCAAATTTTTTCGGCGCGAAATTCAAAAATTCTCATTTTTTTTTAAATTTCAAATTAACCTAGGGCATATTTAGGTTCAAAATGATCCAAATTAGGCGCCAAAAAATCTGACCTACAGTACTCCTGGAGTACTGTAGATCCCACTCACCCTTCACTATTCTCATTCGTCACTTCTTGTGTTGTGGTGGAGCTCGAGCTCGTCGAGCAACTTTCGGTGCCATTTTTGGGAGGCGGCGGCGCGGCTAAAGTTGTTGGTGTTGGCGGTGCGGTTCCGGTTCCGCTTCCGGATACACTTGCAGTCCGGGTTACTGTAACTTTTGGCGGCTTGCGGTGCGCGCGTCCGCGTCGCAGCTCTGCGGAAGAGATGAAATGACACAATTCGGAACGTTTGACGTATTGAAGATTGACTTTGACTGCAAAATGACAATATTTTGGGCTTTTCAGGCTTGAAATAGGCTTTTTTGGGCCTAGAAGCCTAAAATGAGCTTCACAAGCAATTTTTGAGCTTTAGAAGCCTACAATGAGCTCCAGAAGCATTTTTCAAGCTCTAGAAGCCAAAAATGAGCTCCAGAAGCAATTTTTGAGCTGTAGAAGCCTAAAATGAGCTCTAGAAGCAATGTTTGAGCTCTAGAAGCCAAAAATGAGCTTCAGAGCCAATTTTTGAGCTCTAGAAGCCTAAAATGAGCTTCAGAAGCATTTTTTGAGCTCTAGAAGCCTAAAATGAGCTCTGGAAGCAAATTTTGAGCTTCAGAAGCCTAAAATGAGCTTCAGAAGCCTAAAATGAGCTTCAGAAGCTATTTTTGAGCTCTCAAATCCCAAAATTCCAGCTCACCTTGAGCTTCAGCAATTCCTTTTGCAGTTTGTCCGTGTTGCTCCAAAAGAGCCTTGAAAGTCTCAATTTCGGCTGTCAAATCCAGCGATTTTGCAGTTTTTTCGAATTCGAGACCAATGAACCATAAAGTGCAGACGGGATTTCTGGAAAAATCGATTTTCCGAGAGAAGTACACGAAAAATAGGCGGGAATTTTGAAAATTCAAATTTTTGGGGAATTTTCAGAGGCGGGAAATTCAAAAATTCACATTTTACTGTGTTTTTTTGGAGGCGGGAAATTCAAAAATTCAAATTTTTAGGGGAATTTTCAGAGGCGGAAATTTTGAAATTTTAAATTTCCTGCTCATTTTTTTGGCGGGAAATTCGAATATTCAAATTTCCCGCTCAATTTTTAAAAGCGGGACATTCAGAAATTCAAATTTCGCGCCAAAATTCTCCAAGGCGCGAAATTGAACATTTCAAATTTTCCAGCTCAATTTCTGGCGGGAATTTCAGAAATTCAAATTTCCAGTCTAATTTTCAGAGGCGGGAAATTCAAAAATTCAAATATTTCTAGTTTAATTTCTGGAGGGAAATTCAAAAATTCAAATTTCCCGCTCAATTTTCGAAGGCGGGAAATTCAAAAATTCAAATATTCTAAGGCGGGAATTTCAAAAATTCAAATTTTTGAGGAATTTTTGAAGGCGGGAAATTCAAAAATTCAAATTTTTAAAGAATTTTCAAAGGGGCGAAATTCAAAAATTCAAATTTCCCGATCAATTTTTTTGGTGGGAAATTCAAAAATTCAAATTTTTAGGAAAATTCAAAAATTCAAATTTCCCGCCTAATTTTCAGAGGCGGGAAATTCAAAAATTCAAATTTTCTGGCGCTAAATTCAAATTTTCCACTTTCAGCACTCATTTTTGCTCATTTTCAACGTAAAATGGCTCATTTTCAGCCAAATTTTCTCAAATTTTCAGCCCAAAAAAGCTCACTCAAACTGCACATCAAATTTGGCAGTTGTCAGCGGTTTGTATTGTTTTGGATTGATATGTGACAATGAGATACACGTATTTCGGTCCAGATGTCCAATTAGATGTCGGATTTTGGCCTCCAAAAATCCGGTATATGTTAGTTTATCTTCTTCAGTTGCGGCAGCCATTAGAAGGCCTGAAAATCGTGGATTTTGGGGGCTTTTTTGGGCCAAATCCGGGCTTTTTCGGGCCAAAACTGGGCTTTTTCGGGCCAAAACGGGCCAGAAAAACTCACAAATATAGTGCTTGTATCTGGTGAAAAAATTGACTTCTTCGAAAAGTGCATCCCATGAGCCGCGACCTTCATAGACATCTTTGCAAATTTCGAATCCTGGAAGAATTTCGGTTAGGTTTTTAGGCTTAAAATCAGCCTAGATAAGCCTGGGAAGGGCTTTAGGCTTAGCTGAAAATCTAGACTTTTTAGGCCTGGTTTTCAGGGTTAAAATGAGCCTAAATAAGCCTAGGAAGAGCCTTAAATTAGCCTGAGGAAAAACCTAATTTTCAGGCCTGGTTTTCAAGGTTAAAATGAGCCTAAACAAGCCTAGGAAAAACCTTAGGCTTAGCTAAAAATCTAGGTTTTTTGGGCTTGATTTTAAGGGTTAAAATGAACCTAAACAAGCCTGAAATTAGTCTATGAAAAGCCTAAATTTTAGGCCTGGTTTTCAGGGTTAAAATGAGCCTAAACAAGCCTAGGAAAAACCTTAGGCTTAGCTTAAAATCTAGGCTTTTTAGGCCTGGTTTTCAGGGTTAGAAAGAGCCTAAATAAGCCTGAATTTTAGGCTAGATTTTTACGGTTAAAATAAGCCTAGGAAAAGCCTAGATGAGCCTGAAAGTAGCCTGAGGGAGAGCCTGAATTTTAGGCCTGGTTTTCAGGGTTAAAATGAGCCTAGATAAGCCTAGGAAAACCCTTAGGCTTAGCTAAAAATCCAGGCTTTTTTAGGCTTATTTCCTAAGTTTATCTCAGGCCTAAACATAGGCCCGTTAAGGCTCATTTTCAGGCCTATTTCAGGCCTGAACCCAGGCTTATTTAGGCTCATTCTCTAGCCAATTTTCAGGCCTATCTTAGGCCCAAACCTAGGCTTATTTAGACTCATTCTGCTCGTCAAAACTCACCCTCTTTCAACTCATTCATCAAAATCGTCTTCGTCGAACGCGACACATTATATGTGGAATTTTGTTCGGGGAAAGCTGGTGTTAGAATTGGCATAATGTGATATCGATCTGATGGTCTGATTCGCGGATCCCAAACCATATCCAAAAGTGCCGGGATATCGGGCCGATTTCGTTCCATATCTTTGAGAAGGACCGGGGAAGGCCAAGCCCTGAAAATAGGCTTTTTGGGCTTTTTCGGGCCAAAAATTGGGATTTTTAGGGCTTTTTCAGGCCGAAAACTAGGCTTTTTTGGGCAAAAAACTTACCACGACGAGAAGATGAAGAAGAATTTCTGGACCAATTTTGCCGACACGGCATTTGGATAGAGTTGACAGGTTCGAGCCACTAGGATTGCCCATGTGATACCACCAAAGAAGCCTGGAAAATATTGAGGGATTTTAAGGGGCTTGGGCTTATTTAGGCTTGAAAAATGGGGAATTTTCTGGTCTTTTAGAGTCTAAATAAGCCTAGGCTTAGCCTAAAACCTAGGCCTATTTAGGCTCGAAAAATAGGCATTTTTCATGGTGAAAACTAGGCTTATTTAGGCTCATTTTAAGGCCTAAACCATAGGCTTATCTAGGCTCATCTTAAGGCCAAATCAAGACTTATTCAGGCTCATTTTAAGGCAAATCTTTAGGGCTAAATCTAGGCTTATTTAGGCTCATTTTAAGGCAAATCTTTAGGCTTAAATATAGGCTTATGTAGGCTCTAAAACTAGGCTTATTTAGTCTCTAAAAATAGGCCTTATTCAGGCAGAACTTAGGCTTATCTAGGCTCATTTTCATGCCTAAAAATAGGCTTCTTCAGGCTCATTTCAAGGCAAATCTTTAGGCCAAAACTAGGCTTATTTAGGCTTTAAAAATAGGCCTTTTCAGGCTCATTCTAAGGCAAATTTTTAGGCTTGTCTAGGCTCATTTTAAGGCCTGAATCTAGGGTCATTCAGGCTGGTTTTTTTTTCTTTTTTTCTAGGAAAATCTTTAGGCTTGAAACTAGGCCTTAAAAAAGCTATAAAAATAGGCCTTTTCAGGCTCATTCTAAGGCAAATCTTTAGGCCTAAAACTAGGCCTTTTTCAGGCAGAATCTAGGCTTGTCTAGGCTCATGTTAAGGAAAATCTTCAGGCCTGAAACATAGGCTTATTTAGGCTCTAAAAATAGGTATTTTCAGGCAGAACCTAGGCTTATCTGGGCTCATTTTAAGACAAATCTTTAGGCCTAAAACTAGGCTTATTTAGGCTCTAAAAATAGACATTTTTCAGGCAGAATCTAGGCTTGTCTAGGCTCATTTTCAGGCTTAAAACTAGGCCTTTTTAGGCTCGTTTTAAGGAAAATCTTTAGGCTCTAAAAAACTCACCCAACGCATTCGAATAAATTCCGCGATTCTTAGCCCACAATTTAATCGCCCGAAGTGTTGTGCAGAATTCCTTGATACTCGGCACCAATTGCAACAATTGTTCAGCCACTCGACATCCATTCAAACTTCGAATACTTGCCGAATCCAAATTTTTCAGCAACATATCATCTGTCAATTTCTGATTGTCTGGAACTTCTTTGAGAGCTAATCTGGCGAATAGAATATCGAGATCGATTCCCGAATATAGAAGTTTGATGAGAGGTACGAAACTGTCTTCGACTGCGTGAAGTTCAGAGACATTTGGATCCTGCAAAGTAGAATTTGGGAGATTTTTGGTGAAAATTAGTGGATTTTTGGTTAAAAATGATGAATTTTGAGCTTTTTTGGTTGAAAATGAGGTATTTTTGGACCCTGAAACGAAATTTCATGATTTTCTCAACTCTGGAGCAAAATGTTGTGATTTTCTAGGTCCTGGAGCGAAAAATTGCGATTTTTGAGCTTTTGAAGCGAAATTTCGTGAGATACTACGTCCTGGAGCTGAAAATCTCGAATTTTCAGATCCTGCAAGAGATTTGGAGGTTTTTTTGGTGAAAACTGGAGAATTTTCAGTTGAAAATGATTAATTTTAGGCTATTTCAGGTTGAAAATGATGAATTTTGAGCTATTTTCTAGGTTCTGAAGCGAAAAAACCCGATTTTCTAGGTCCTAAAGCAAAATTTTGTGATTTTTAAGCTTCTGGAGCGAAAATTTGTGATTTTTCGGCTTCTGGAGCGAAAATTTCATGATTTTCAAAATTTTGGAGCGAAATTTAGTGATTTTTATGGTCCTGGAGCAAATTTTCATGATTTTTAAGGTTCTGGAGCGGAATTTTGGGAATTTTCAGGTCCCGAAAAGAAATTTCATGATTTTTTGAGTCCTGGAGCAAATTTCCATGATTTTTAAGCTTCTGAAGTGAAATTTCATGATTTTCTTGCTCCTGGAGCTGAAAACCTGATTTTCAAGCTTCTGAAGCGAAATTTTGTGATTTTTAAGCTTCTGAAGCCAAATTTTGTGATTTTCTAGATTCTGAAGCGAAATTTTGTGATTTTCTTGCTCCTTGAGCTGAAAAACCTGATTTTCTAGGTCCTGAAGCGAAAAAACACGATTTTCTAGGTCCTGGAGCGAAATTTCAAGATTTTTTAGTTCCTGAAACGACATTTTGAACTATTTTTGGTCCCGGAGCGAAATTTCACGATTTTCAAGCTTCTGAAGCGAAATTTTGTGATTTTTTAAGGTTCTGGAGCAAAATTTTATGATTTTCAAGCTTCTGAAGCGAAATTCTGAGATTTCTGAAATCCTGTAGCAAAAATTTGAGGTTTTTGATGAATTTCAAGCTGAAAATAACATATTTTAAGCTTTTTCAGTCAAAATTGAGCAGTTTTGGTTGAAAAATGATGCATTTCAAGATATTTCAGGTTCTGGAGCACAAATTCTATGATTTTTCAACTCTTGGAGCAAAATTTCACGATTTTCTAGCTCCTGAAGCAAAAAACTCACATTTCTCAAAAATTCAACCACTTTTGTATTCGTAAAAATAAAAAATGATAAATTTTTGTTGGATTTTTCACGTAAACGTGTTTTTTTTGTTTTGAAATTCAATTTTTTCATTATTTTTTAGTTCGTGGTTAGTTCGTGGTTAGATCAGGGTTTTCAGGTCCTTGGGCTCAAAAACCACTAGATTTTGCTCCTGGAGCCAGAAAATCGTCCAATTTTGCTCCAGGAGCCAGAAAATCGTTAAAATTTGCTCCAGAAGCTCAAAAACCACTAGATTTTGCTCCAGGAGCCAGAAAATCGTCTAAATTTGCTCCAGGTTCCAGAAAATCGTCCAATTTTGCCCCAGGAGCTCAAAAACCACTAGATTTTGCACCAGGAGCCAGAAAAGCGTCAAAATTTGATCCTGGAGCTCAAAAACCACTAGATTTTGCTCCAGGAGCCAGAAAATCGTCCAAATTTGCTCCAGAAGCCAGAAAATCGTCCAACTTTGCTCCTGGAGCTCAAAAACCACTAGATCTTGCTCCAGGAGTCAGAAAATCGTCCAAATTTGCTCCAGGAGCTCAAAAATCAGGGTTTTCAGCTCCAGGAGCAAGAAAATCGTCCAATTTTGCTCCAGAAGCTCAAAAACCACTATATTTTGCTCCAGGAGCTCAAAAACCACTAGATTTTGCTCCAGGAGCCAGAAATTTGTCCAATTTTGCTCCAGGAGCCAGAAAATCGTCCAAATTTGTGTCAGGAGCCAGAAAATCAGGTTTTTCAGCTACAGAATCAAAATTTTCCCCCAATTTCACCCCCAAAACCCCTACCTCTTTTAACATCTCATAAAAACTGCCAAAAAAATCGCTCCTCTCAACATGTCGTGGCGCCACAGCCAACGTATCAATATCCGCTCCACTCGTATGCACACCCAATCGATATGAGCCAAATGTGAACAATTTTCCGCCGGGCGTCAACAAATCCTCGTGCGGAAACTTGGCCGATGTTACACGTCGAACCCATTCTTTTACCAGACGATTCACGTTGCGCAAAACTTCGAAACGCAAATCTGTTTCTTTGCGCGACTCGTATGCGTTGTTTTTTTGCAAAGATTGAATGAGCTGGAAAGATTTGGAGCATTTTGAGGGGAAAAATGAGCATTTTCGTGAATTTTCGGGTTCTGAAGCGAAAAATTCATCAAACTTTGCTTCAGGACCCAAAAAATCATGATTTTCGTGTTTTTCAAGGTCTGAAAATGAAAATTTAGGATTTTTGGTGTTCTGGAACGAAATTTCATGATTTTCTATTGTCATTCCGAAAAAATAAGAACCTTGGAAGAGAACCGAAATGGCCTAGGAAACCAAGACCACAGTAGACTTCGCAAAATTTTGGAGTCTATTTGAAAAATAAAATGCGAAATTTACACGTTGGCTATTTGCCAACCAGTTTGATGTGCATGTGTCACGTCATTTTTAGTCTACTGTACGTGAGCGCCAATTCAAACGGGAGTTCTTTTATTTTCGGAACGACAATACGTTCTCAAGCAAAATTTCATCGAAAAATCGCTCCAAGACCCAAAATTGCATCATTTTTCGCTTCAAGACTCAGAAAATCATAATTTTCATGAATTTCCGGGTCTGGAAGCAAAAAATGATGATTTTTAAGCTCTCAAGGGATATTTTCATGATTTTTCAGGCCCTGAAGCAGAAAAATCAAATTTTCGCTTCAGGACCTGAAAAATCATAATTTTCATGCTTTTTCGGGTCCTGAAGCGAAAAATGGTGATTTTTCGCTCCAAGACCCAAAATTGCACCAACTTTCGCTCTAGAAGCCAAGAAATCACCATTTCTCTGATTTTTGAGGTCCCGAGGTAAATTTTCATGATTTTTGAGCTCTCAAAGGATGTTTTGGTGATTTTCAAGGTCCTGAAACGAAAAATGCATGCAATTTCGCTCCAGGAGCCAGAAAATCATCATTTCCATGTTTTTCAAGGTCCTGGAGCAAAATTTCATAATTTCCAAGGTCTTGGAGCGAAAAAAGCATAAAATTTAGCTTCAGGACCCAAAAAATAATCATTTTCATGAATTTCCGGGTCTTGGAGCGAAAATTAGGGATTTTCCAGGTCTTGGAGCGAAAAAATCATCAAATTTCGCTTCAGGACCTCAAAAATCATCATTTTCATGATTTTCAAGCTTCTGAAGCGGAAAAATCGTCAAATTTCGCTTCAGGACTTCAAAAATCATCAAATTTCGCTCCAGAAGCCAAGAAATCATCATTTTCATCAAAAATTGCATCATTTTCATCAGAATCCACTCAAAACTCCCAAAAAAACTCACAATTTCCGTCATAGCCACATCTTTCTCCTCAGGCATTGCATCAGAAATCGGTTTCGACACGCCAAAAACGGGTTTTGGCGGCGCATTTTCTTCCACCATTCCTCTCTCTGAAATTTGGCTGAAAATTTTATTTTTTGGCTGAAAATCGCGCGCGTGAGCGGTTGCTAGGTGATTAGAAATCAAGTGATTCATACACACGGAAAAAATGAGCGAGAAAAAAAATTGGCGCCCGCGAAATGCGTCAGCTTTCAATGTGTGTTAGCGCGCTTTTTGTAGACTTGAAAATTTTTGAATTCGAATTTTTCACCGAAAAATTCAAATTTTTACGAAAACCATTTATTAGACAACGAAAATTATACACAAAATATCCAGAAAATCTCAAAAACCGAAGAAAAACAGCGTTTTTCCAGAAAAAACAAAAATGTGTGGACGTGGCCTAGCAAACCAACGGCGAACTAGGCCACGTCTCCTGGTGTCGATTTACGCACGGAATTTTTTTTCTTTTTTTTTTTGAAAAAAAAGCGAATTGGAAGGGAAACAAGGAAATTGAAGGAATTTGGGCTTAAAATCGGAAAGACAAGATTGAAAAATGGGATTTCACAAGGAAAAATCAAGGAAAAAATTTTTTTTGAAGTATTTTTTGCAGATTATCGAGAAGATCACCAACAATTCTAACAATCTGGCAATAAATTCTGGAAAAAACTGGGGAAAAATGGGGAATTTATCAAAAATCACCTCAAAATCATGGGAAAAAATTTTTAGACCTCCAAAAAATCAATATTTTTTGACCAAAAAATTTTTGATCTACCCAGATTTTTCGAATTTCGCATTTTGAAATTGGAAAATTCGAAAAAAAATCGATTTTCAATTTTTTTCGGGGGGTTTTTGGGGAGGGAAGGCGTAAAAGCCTGTTTCACGGGATTTCAAGGCCCTTAGCTGGTCCGGGCCTTGTTCGGGCCAAACCGGGCCGGGCCGTTTTCAGGCCAAAAATCACATTTTTTTTTCCAGGGTACTATTATTATTGGGACTTCAGCCACCCAAAGCGATTTTAAGCGGTGAGTTGGAAATTTCGGCCTGAAAAAGCCTGATTAGGCCTGAAAAAGCCTAATTCGGCCTAAGAAGGCCTAAAATAGCCAAATTTGGTGTCAAAAAATCGGAAATTTTGCAGATTTATTGCGAAAAGATGCCAGGAAACCGTGAAGTTGGAATATGGGAGCGAATCGCTCGATGGATTGGCGGTTCGACTGGCGAACTTTATGTTCAACACCCGAGAGTAGTGGAAATTGCGGGCGAATTGATTGACTTAGATGCCCCCGCAATTTCCAACTCTCAACCCGGAGATGAACGGCGTGCTGGCACGGATTACGTGAGTTTTTTGGCGGAAATTTGAATTTTTTTGAGCCGAAAATCGAAATTTTGAGCATTTTTGAGCCCGGAGCTGATTTTTTGATGAAAAATGATGAATTTTGAATTTTTTGACCCGAAAATCGAAATTTTGAGCATTTTTGAGAATTTTGAATTTCGCGCTCTGAAAAATTCCTTTAAAAATTTGAAATGCAAAAAATTCTCTACAGTACTTTTGGTCCCAAAAAATTTAAAAATTTCATTTCCAAAACTTTGAAGAAAAATTGCTTATGAAATCCACGTGGCAAAATTTGAATTCAAAAAACTTTTTACCAAAAAAGTTTGAATTTTTTGAATTTTCAAAAAAAAAATGCTGATTTTTTGATAAAAATGATGAATTTTGAGCCCTAAAATTCTGAAAATTCAAATTTTTTGGGAATTTTTCAAAGCGCGAAATTTAACAATTCTAAATTTCCTAACATGAGCAATGTCTATTTTTTGTTGAAAATTCGAAAATTCAAATTTCCCGCCGAATTTTCGGAGGCGCGAAATTCAAAAATTCAATCTCCCGCCGAATTTTCGAAGGCGCGAAAATCAAAAATTCAAATTTTTCTAACATGAGCAATGTCAATTTTTTGTTGAAAATTGAAAAATTCAAATTTTTTGGGAATTTTTCAAGGCGCTAAATTCAAAAAATTCAATTTTTCTGGTTAAAAAAATTTTTGAATTCAAATTTTGTCACGTGGATTTCAAGAGCAATTTTTCTTCAAATTTTTGAAAATGAAAATTCAAGTACTGTAGAAATTTTTGTGCGGGAAATTCAAAAATTCGAAAAACTGGTTGAAATTTCGCCAAAATTGATGAAAAATTTGAAAATCTTCAAAAAATAATCAATTTTTGTTTTCAGCTTTCGGCCGACGCTCGTTCGTTCTCTCACAGGACCACCGGCTCAACAATATATTTTGACGCCGAATCCACAATTCAACACCCAGAAGCTGCCGATCAAAACATCGAAACATCTTTCAATGTCGATGATTTTATAGTATTAAATGCAGTTTTGGCTGGAGTTCAAGCTCGGGAATTCTGGAACGGATATGGAATTGTTGGAGGTGGAGCTGAAGCGGAAGCTGAAGCTGGAATTGATGGGATGGAAGTGGAAGAAACTGAAAATGATGATGATATAGAAATGGAAGTTGAGGATAGAAGAATCGGTGGATCTGAGATTGGAGATGGTTCTACAAGTTCTCATCAAAGTGATACCGATGATCTTGAAACGGCCATGGAAGTTCAATCGGATTTTGAGGAAGAGGAGGAAATGGAAGTGGATGAGGTTGGTTTTTTGCTGGATTTTATTTTTTGAAATTCATAAAATTTCAAAAATTCAGTTTTTGAAAATGAAATCATCATAACATTCAGCAGAAATTCAGATTTTTCTTTTGAAAATCTGAAAATTCAGTAAAAATTCAGATTTTTTTTTTGAAAATAAGAAATAAAATTTTTGAAACTTTCCGATTTTCAAAAAAAATCTGAATTTTTGAAATTTTCTGATTTTCAAAAAAATTTCAAATTTTCTGATTTTCAAAAAAAAAGATCTGAATTTTTGAAATTTTCTGATTTTCAAGAAAAAATCTGAATTTTTGAAATTTTCTGATTTTCAAAAAAAAAAGATTTGAATTTTTGAAATTTTCCGATTTTCAAAAAAAAAAAGATTTGAATTTTTGAAATTTTCTGATTTTCAAAAAAAAAGATCTGAATTTTTGCTGAATTTTCTGATTTTCAAAAAAAAGATCTGAATTTTTGCTGAATTTTCTGATTTTCAAAAAAAAGATCTGAATTTTTGAAATTTTCCGATTTTCAAAAAAAAAGATTTGAATTTTTGAAATTTTCTGATTTTCAAAAAAAAGATCTGAATTTTTGCTGAATTTTCTGATTTTTCAAAAAAAAAGATCTGAATTTTTGAAATTTTCCGATTTTCAAAAAAAAAAGATTTAAATTTTTGCTGAATTTTCTGATTTTCAAAAAAAAATTTCAAAAATTCAGATATTTTTTTGAAAATCATGAAATTTCAATTTGAATTTTCAAATTTTCTGATTTTTAAAAAAAATCTGAATTTTGGAAATTTTCTGACTTTCAAAAAATCGGAATTTTTGCTGAATTTTTTTTTGAAAATTAGAGAAAAATTAGCAGAAGTTCAGAAATTTTCTAATTTTCAAAAAAATAATCTGAATTTTTACAGCCAATCGGGGAAGTGGCTAGAATTGTGGCTGGAGCTGGAGTTGGGGAAGAGGAGAGAAGAATCGAAGTTTTGCATCGATTTTTCGATGCTTTGCTTGCGAACAATGGAGGAGATGTTGGAATGGTTGCTCAGGTTAGTTTTTTTGGAATTTACTGGGCTCTTCTTGGTTTTTTTTGGTAAAAAATGTAGAATTTTTCAAATTTTTATTTATTCGCAAATTTTTTTTTGACAAAATAAAAGTTTAACCTCACCTTTAACTTAGAGCAAATTGTCTTGTAGTTGTTGTTGGAAGAATCGAGAAGTTGAGCTGAAAAATTTTTTTTAAATGATTTTTAAGGTTCTAGAGCTAAATTTCAAGATTTTTTTGGGTCCCTGAGCGAAATTTCGGGATTTTTGAGGTTCTCGAGCAAAATTTTGTGATTTTCAAAGTCTTGGAGCGAAATTTCAAGATTTTTTGGATCCTGAAACGAAAATGCAAGGATTCCAAGTTTCCGGAGCAAAATTTTGTGATTTTTAAGTTTCTGGAGCGAAAAACCAGCGAAAAATTTGCGATATTTCAAGGTCGTGACCATTTTTTTATTCGAAAAAATCAAAAATGTCGAATTTTTGTTGGATTTTACACGTAAACGTGCTTTTTTCGTTAAAAAAATTTTATTTTTCATTATTTTTAAATTCGTGGTTGGGAAGTTGTGAGTTTTAGAGCTCTTGGAGATAAAATTTGTGCTTTTCAAGCTGCTGGAGCTAAAAAACTTGATAATTTACATTCTGGAGCTCAAACATCAGGTTTTTCAGCTACAAAACCTGGAAAATCTGGTCTTTCAGCTTTAGGATCCAGAAAATCGTTAATATTCGCTTCAAGACTCAGAAAATCTCGTATTTTCGCTTCAGAACTCGGAAAATCGTCCAAATTTGTTTGAGGAGCTCGAAAATCAGGATTTCCAGCTTCAGGATCCAGAAAATCAGGCTTTTTAGCTCCAGAACCTAAAAAAAACGTGATTTTCTAGCTCCTTGAGCTAAAAACCCTGATCCAGAACCTTGAAAATCTCAAAATTTCGCTCAAAGACCTTAGAAATCACAAAATTTTGCTCCAGAAACTTAAAAATCACAGAAATTTGCTCCAAGACTTCAAAAATCACAAAATTTTGCTCCATAACCTGGAAAATCTAGTTTTTCAGCTCCTGGAGCTGAAACACCTGATATTCTTGCTCCAGGACCTAGAAAACCTGATTTTCCAGGTTCTGGAGCAAAATTTTGAGATTTTCCAAGTTCTGGAGCAAAATTTTGTGATTTTTGAGATTCTGGAGCAAAATTTTGAGATTTTCAAAATCCTGGAGCAAAATTTCGAGATTTTCAAGGTTCTGGAGCTGAAAAACCTGATTTTCTTGCTCCTGGAGCTGAAAACCCAGATTTTCTAGCTCCTGGAGCTGAAAACCCAGATTTTCTAGCTCCTGGAGCTAAAAAACCTGATTTTCTAGCTCACACCTCGGCCAAGCCGTGGTTGGCCAGAGTACAATTTTTGGACAAATCAGAATTTCAGTTTTTAGAGGTCAAAAATTGAAAAATCTCAATTTTTAGAGGACAAAAATTGAGAAAATTCACAATTTTTGTACTGTAAAAAGTTAGAGTACAATTTTTTATTGTGAAAACCACGATTTTGGCCGAGGTGTGTTCTAGCTCCTGGAGCTAGAAAACCTGATTTTCTTGCTCCTGGAGCAAATTTTTGAGATTTTTTGGGTCCGGAAGCGAAAAAACATGATTTTCTGGGTCCTGGAGCAAAATTTCGGGATTTTCTAGGTCCTAGAGCTAGAAAACCTGATTTTCCAGGTTCTGCAGCTCAAATTTCACACATTTTTATTTGAAAATCGAATAATTTTGAAAAATCCTCACCACAAAATTGCGAAACATCAAATTTTTGGAGTGTTGTCTGCCATCATTGTAGAAATCGGTCTGAAATTTCAGAAAATTGAAGATTTTAAGCCTTGAAACCCCAAAACTTACGAAAATTCTCCATTTTCATTTTGAAAACTCGCGGCTCCACGTTTTTCTATTGACAAAGCACCTGAAAAAATGAAAATTTTTATGAAAAAATGTCTGAATTTCAAAAAAAATCAATACCTTTTTGAATTTGCAGGAAGCCCACGATGATAACCCGTCATCGTCGAGTTCCGATGATTCATCCGATTCTTCCGAAGGATCGGACTCGCCACCAAATATGTCGCCGTCGCTCCGCAACCACCCCAACACCAACGTAACTCGGAACATCGTTGGTCGTGATCTTATCACCACCATCAAGATCGACTGCGATTGTTTCGAAAGTTACGAGGTTCGGAGGATTGGCCACCAAGTTCTTGTCATTGGAAGGAACCCTATTGGTGGACAATCGGACGGTCAGAACCATCAAGAAGACATAGGAGGTGTGGACGATGACGTGGAAGAGGATGGCCGTGGTTCAGATCTGGATCTGGACCAACTGGATGCCGAAAATTCGGCCGATTTATTTGCCGATTTTCGGGCCGCGAATTTGGAGGAATGGAGAGAGGCTGAAATCGAGGCCAAGGAAGCTGAAGAGGAGGAGATGGAGCGGCAGAACATCCAGGCGGCGGAGGAATTTGGGGAGGATCAGGAAGAAGCTGGAGAGGAAGAGGATGATGATGGGGATGATGAGGAAGAAGCTGGAGAGGAGGATGAAGCTGAAGGGGATGAAGAAGATGATTTGGGAGAAGCTGAAGCTGAAGGAGAAGCTGGAGATGTTCGAGGGGCTGATCAAGGAGGATTTGAGATAGAGGATGAAGCTGAAGTGGAAGGAGAAGCTGGAGAAGAAGAGGAGGATGAAGATGTTCGAGGTGCTGATTTGGGAGAAGCTGGAGTTCATCAAGGAGAAGCTGAAGAAGATATTGAGGAGGATGAAGAAGAAGCTGAAGAGGAAGAGGAGGATGAAGAGGATATTGAGGAGGATGAGGATGATAGAGGGGATGATCGAGGAGGATTTGGAATGATGGCTGGAGATGTTAGAGGAGCTGATTTGGAAGATGTTTTTGGGGGTGATCAAGAAGAAGCTGGAGCTGAAGGAGAAGAAGAAGCTGAAGATGAGGATGAAGAGGAAAATGAGGAGGATGTGGAGGAAGAAGAGGATGACGAGGAGGATGATCAAGAGGAGGATGAAGATGATGGGGATGAAGAAGGAGAAGCTGAAGAGGAAGAGGAAGAGGAGGATGAGCCAGGAAACGGCGTGGCGCCGATTGCTCCGCTCAGAATTCCGATGCGGGTCGCGGTGTCGGCCTACAATGCGACACTCAATTACGCAGCCGCACCCGCACCGCAGCGTCGAGCAAACAGGAAACGAGCAGCGGACAATCGGGGACCGCCGCCACCACCTATCACAATCCAAGAAGCGTGGTTCGTCGTCAATTCGGCGGGCGACGTTCAAGACGTATTGATGGAGCTGCAAGATCGGTTGTTGGCGACAGATTATGGGCTGATGCACGACGAATTCTCCAGCAGACTGTTCCGACTGCTTGGAGCGTTTCGTCGTGCGAGAACACCGCCTGTCGGTCAACGTCTTCAGCAATTGTGGTTGGCCACGCTCACATTGAAGGCGGCGATGGGTGTGGAGTGATTTTTTGGCATTATACTAACACCAATTCATCAAACTAACATTTTTTGTGAGTTTTTTGGGGGTTTTTCAATGGAAAATATTGCATAATTGGTGAAAAATTAGTAGTTTTCGTGTTTTCTCCCAAAATCGACTCGAAATTCCGACAAAAACCAACAAAAAACATGAATTTTGGGCCGAAAAACGGAAAAAAATAAAAATAAAACAACGAGACTCCGCTCTGTCTCTTGCAGCGATTTACGCTAAACATCAGGCAACGCGGAGTATCGTTGTTTTACTTTTATTTTTTTTCGTTTTTTTTTTCCTTTTTTTTTCGAAAACCTTGGAATTCTAGTGGTTATTCTACCTTATTTTATATGATTTTGTAGAAAATTTCAAGTTTTGTGTTTGAAATTTGAAATAAATTTATTTTCCGGGGGAATTTGACGAGAAAACACTGGATTATTGAATTTTTTTGATTTTCAGCCAATTTCCAATATGTAGCTGTTGCTTTTCTCATTTTGTATGGCTTTTTTTCGAATTTTGAAGTTTGGTTTCGATGTGTCCTCAAGTTTCGAGTGCGAAAAGTTCAAATTCGATCAATGTGAGTCGGGAAAGCAGTCGGAAATGTTGTTCTTCAAATATGCTCGATCAAGAATTCAAGAAATGATTTATGGCTTGATTATCGAACTTGATTATCGATTATTTATCCAACACAATTTCATGAGAAGTATGTTTTTGGTGAATTTGAATGTGAGTTCAAAAATTTACCAGTTTTTTTTCCGTTTGAATATCATTTTTCAATTTTCAGGCGTGATTTTTCAAATGAATCGAATTGATGCGTGAAAATTATCAAAGCTGGTGGAGCCTATTAGGATTTTGATCGAAAAATCTGCGAACCAAAATTGCTGGGAAGCTTTTATTGTTTGTAAAAAAAGCAAAATGTGGATTTTGTACCAGCCCGGATTATTCTCAACCATTTGGTGGCTTAACAAAATTCGAGAGATTCTACGAAGAAATCAGAAAAATCACCGATGCTGTTGAAAATTTGATGATTTTGGAGCATGTCAGCAATTTTTTCGATGAGATTGGAAGGATTTTTGAGGCGAAAATCTACAGTGAGTTTTATTTTATTGATTTTTTCTCATCAAAATTAATTTTTTCTTGAAGAATATTCTGCGTTTGTCAAAGGAAAATCAACGATTTTCGCTGTTTGGTTCGATTTTCGATGACTGACTTGATTTCCAGCACAATGTTTCGATTTTGGAACCACAAGAGAAACGAGAAATTGAGCCACTTGTTATGTTATGTGTTGGAATTGATTTGTGGATTGCTGGAATTGTGGCGACTAAGTTGGTGAGGGTTTTGGGGCGAAGATTCGGGGTATTTTGAGCTAAAAATCGTGATTTTTGAGCAATTTCGAGTAATCCTTTGCTCATGTTAACTAAAAATTGCTCATTTTAAGTAAAAATTGCTGATTTTGAGTATCCATTGCTCATGTTAAGTAAGAATTGTTCGTTTTGAGTGATCCATTGCTCATGTTAAGTCAAAATTTCTCAATTTTCACTACCAATCCTGAATATTGAGCCAAAACAAGATTTTGAACGCCTTTTCAGTTTAATATGAGCAATCCTATGATTTTTTTTCTTCAAAAATGACTTTTTTGATTATAATATGAGCAATCCTATGAAATTGTTGCACTTTTGAAGCTAATCTGAGCAATCCAATGAAATTTTTGGATTTTTAAAGCTAATCTGAGCAATTATATGATTTTTTGAACAAAAAATGACCTTTTTGACTGTAGAAAATTGCTAGCTGTGCGTTTGAAATTTGAAAAAAAAAATTGATTTTCGCGGGAATTCAACGAGAAAACACTCTTATTGAAATTTTGTTTGATTTTCAGGTGATTTGCAATATGTAGCTGGTGCTGTTTTTGTTTTGTATGGTTCTGATATTCGAATATCTCGAAGTTTCGAATGTTTTGGTGCGAAAAATTCGAATTCCATCAATGTAAATCGTGAAATTAGTTGGAAATGTTTTGATGATGGTGAATCCTGTTAGGATTTTAATCGAAAAGTTTGCGATACAAAATTGCTCGGAAGCTTTTATTGATTTTGAAAGGTTAGTTGATTTTTTTGCTTGAAAATCAATTAATTTTCCTTTTTTCAGTTGGATTTTGTACCAGCCCGGAATGTTTTTGCAATAATTCTCAACCATTTGGTGGCTTAACAAAATTTGGAGAAGATTTTGATTCGATGTTTTTGAAAATTTGATGATTTTGGAGCATGTCAGCAATTTTATCGATAAGATTGGAAGATTTTTAGCCGGAAAATCTACAGTGAGTTTTATTTTATTGATTTTTTTCATCAAAATAATTGTTTTCTTGAAGTTATTCTGCATTTGTCGAAGGAAAAGCAACGATTTTTGCTGTTTGGTTCGATTTTCGATGACTGACTTGAATTCCAGCACGCTATATCGATGGATTTCAGAAAAGGTTAGTTGATTTTCTGCGTGCTTCAGAATCAATAATTTTCTATTTTTTGCAGATTCCTTTTTGGCACCAGAAGAAAAACGAGAAATGGAGCCACTTGTTGATGTATGGTATTGATTTTTCGATTTCTGGAATTGTGGCAAGAGCGACTAGGTTGGTAGGGTTTTGGGTGGGAAGATTCGGGCAGTTTTGAGCCAAAAATCGTGATTTTTGAGCAATTTCAGTCAAATATGCTCAACTTGACTGTCCATTGCTCATGTTAAGTCGAAATTGCTCATTTTAACTAAAAATTTCTCAATATGAGTATCCATTGCTCATGTTAATTCAAAATTGCCCAATTTTCACTACCAATCCTGAATATTGAGCAAGATTTTGAACGCTTTTTCAAGTTAATCTGAGCAATCCTATGAACTTTTTGGATTTTTGAAGCTAATTTGAGCAATTCTATGACTTTTTTGAACAAAAAATGATCTTTTCGACTGTAGAAAATTGCTATTTAGCTGTACATTTGAAATTTGAATAAAATCGATTTTTCGGGAGAATTCGACGGGAAAACACTCTCATTGAAATTTTTTTGATTTTCAGGCGTGAATTTTCGAATCGAAGAAAATTGATGCGCGAAAATTATCGAAGCTGGTGAAGCCTATTGGGATTTTAATCGAAAAGTTTGCGAAACGAAATTGATCGGAAGCTTTTATTGTTTGTAAAAAAGGTAAGTTGAATTTTGTTGCTCGAAAATCAATAAATTTCTGTTTTTTTCAGTCTCAGTATCGTGAAAATGCTTGACGTGACAAAATTTGGACATTGTACCAACCCGGAATGTTTTTTTGGTGGCACACCTAAATTGGAGAGATTCTACGAGCAAATCAAAAAAATCAACGATTCTGTTGAAAATTTGATGATTTTGGAGCATGTCAGCAATTTTTATCGATAAGATTGGAAGGATTTTTAGCCGGAAAATCTACAGTGAGTTTTATTTTATTGATTTTTTGGATCAAAATTAATTTTTCCTTTGAAATTTTTGGATTTTCGAAGCTAATCTGAGCAATCCTATGAGAAAAAAATTTGCAGAAGAATCCGGATGCGCGGAAAGCTGAAAAGTGCCAGGCAAATCTCAAAAAATCACGAGAAATCACGGATATTTTGGAGAATTTTGCCAAAACAAATCAAAATCGATTACCCGACAAAATGGTGATTTTAAGGTTAGATTTTGATGCTGAAAATTTCTCAGACTCATTTTCAAATTTTTTTCAGACTCGGAAATGTTGAAATGAGGTGGCGATTTTTATGCGAAATCGAGAAAATTCGGAAAAAGAGCCCGAATAAACGTATATTGTTGTGCAAATGATGCTTCAATGAGAACCGATTAAGCTGAAAGATTTTTGCGCGACAAATCTACGGTGAGTTTTTTTTTGAGTTTTTTATCAAATTAATTTTTTCGTGAAGAAATAATTTTCGAACAATTTTAAAATAAGTTTAAAAATTTACAAGTTTTTTTCTTTCGAACATCATTTTTCGATTTTCAGGAGATTTGCGATTTTGAGATGTTCATCTTGAATTCGATGTTTTTTGCGATTTTTGCGGGCGGAAATCCAATTTATATTTTGACGAAATAAAATCTATGGTGAGTTTTATTTTATTGATTTTTTGCATCAAAATAATTTTTTTCTAGGAGATATTCTGCTTTTGTCAAAGGAAAATCAACGATTTTTGGTCTTTGATTCGATTTTCGATGCTTGAATTCCAGCATGATATTTCGATGGATTTCAAAAAAGGTTAGTTGATTTTCTGCGCGCTTCAAAATCAATAATTTTCTATTTTTTTCAGATGCTTTTTGGCACCGATTGTTCAAAGTTTGTCGAAACAAATCGAAATCGAATGTCCGACAAAATTGTGATTTTAAGAGATGGAATTTCAGGTGAGATTTTGATGCTGAAAATTTTGCAGACAAATTTTCAAATTAGTTTTTTAGACTCGGAAATGCTGAAATTTCTTCGAAATGAGGTGACGATTTTGATGCGAAATCGAGAAAATCCGGCGGAAAATGAGCCCGAATAAACGTATATTGTTGTGCAAAAAGAGGCTTCATGAAGAACTGGTTTAGCTGAAAGATTTTTGCGCAAAAATCTACTGTGAGTTTTATTTTATTAATTTTTTTCTCATCAAAATAATTTTTTCTAGAAGAAATGAAAGGTTTCGATCAATTTTGATGCAAAATGGAGCCTATGGATCATTATAAATTGAATTGAATTCCAGCACGATGTTTCGATTTTTATTTCGAAAAAGTTTTGATGGATTTCCTGGAAGGTTAGTTGATTTTCTGAGCCCTTCAGAATCAATAATTTTCTATTTTTTTCTGCAGATTCCCTTTTTGGCACCACAAGAGAAACGAGAAATAGAGCCACTTGTTGGTTGTATGGTATTGATTTGATTTTTCGATTTCTGGAATTGTGGCGAGAGATTGGTGAGTGTTTTGGGGCGAAGATTCGAGGAGTTTTGAGCCAAAAATCGTGAATTTTGAGCAATTTCAGTCAAATATGCTCAATTTGACTGTCCATTGCTCATTTTAAGTCAAAATTGCTCATGTTAAGTTGAAATTTCTCAATTTTCACCACCAATCCTGAATATTGAGCCAAAACAAGATTTTGAACGCTTTTTCAGTTTAATATGAGCAATTCTTCGAATTTTCTGGATTTTTGAAGCTAATCTGAAGAATCCTATGACTTTTTTGTAAAAAATAAGCTTTTTGACTATAATATGAGCAATTCTATGAAATTTTTGGATTTTTAAAGCTAATCTTAGCAATTCTATGAAATTTTTTGAATTTTTGAGGCTAATCTGAGCAATCCTATGAAATTTTTGGATTTCTGAAGCTACATAATCTGAGCAATTCTATGATTTTTTGAACAAAAAATGACTTTTTCGACTGTAGAAAATTGCAAGATGTAGGTTTGAAATTTGAAATAAATTGATTTTCCGCGGGAATTCAACGAGAAAATACTGGATTTCCCTCTCATTGAAATTTTTTTGATTTTCAGGTGATTTGCAATATGTAGCTGTGGCTGTTTTTATGTGTTATGATCCTGATATTCGAATATTTTGAAGTTTCGAATGTTTTATGGCGTCAAGTTCGAATTCCATCATCGAAAATCGTAAAATCAGTTGGAAATGTTTTGATGATGGTGAATCCTATTAGGATTTTAATCGAAAAATCTGCGAACCAAAATTGCTCGGAAGCTTTTATTGATTTTAAAAGGTTAGTTGATTTTTGTTGCTTGAAAATCAATTAATTATCCTTTTTTCAGTTGGATTTTGTACCATCCCGGAATGTTTTTGGTGGCACACCTAGATTGGAGAGAGATTCTACGAGGAAATCGAAAAATCATCGATGCTGTTGAAAATGTATTGATTTTGGAGCATGTCAGCAATTTTTATCGATAAGATTGGAAGGATTTTTAGCCGGAAAATCTACAGTGAGTTTTATTTTATTGATTTTTGAATCAAAATAATTTGTTCTTGAAGATATTCTGCGTTTGTCAAAGTCTTTGCTCAACAATTTTTTGATTATGAAATCGGATGGAAATTTGTTCGTTTCAAACTGAAATTCAAGAATTTCAGAAAAGGTTAGTTGATTTTCTGCTCAGAATCAATAATTTTCAATTTTTTTGCAGATTCCCTTTTTGGAACCACAAGAGAAACGAGAAATGGAGCCACTTTTTATGAATGTTGGAATTGGTGTAACTCCGAGGGAAGTTTGGTATTGATTTTTTGATTGCTGGAATTGTGGCGAGAGGTTGGTGAGGTTTTGGGCGGGAAGATTCGGGGAATTTTGAGCCAAAAATTGTGATTTTTGTGCAATTTTGAGCTAAAAATCGTGAATTCTGAGCAATTTCAGTCAAATATGCTCAATTTGAGTGTCCATTGCTCATGTTAAGTCGAAATTTCTCAATTTTCACTACCAATCTTGAATATTGAGCCAAAACAAGGTTTTGAATGCCTTTTCAGTTTAATATGAGCAATTCTATGAAATTTTTGGATTTTCGAAGCTAATCTGAGCAATCTTTTGAAATTTTTGGATTTTCGAAGTTAATATGAGCAATCCTACGATTTTTTTCTGTTAAAAATGATCTTTTTGACTATAATATGAGCAATCCTTGGATTTTTGAAGCTGATCTGAGCAATCCTATGAGATGAAAATTTGCAGAAGAATCCGGAAGCTGTTTGGTTTGATTTTCGATGACTGACTTGATTTCCAGCACAATATTTCGATGGGTTTCCTGGAAGGTTAGTTGATTTTCTGCTCAGAATCAATAATTTTCTATTTTTATTCAGATCCTTCTGGCACCGATTGTTCAAATTCGAGCATATTTCGAGCTGAAATCCCCTACGAAATGATGTGGCGATTTTTATGCGAAATGAAGAAATTGTTATGCAAAAGAGGCTTCATGAAGAATCGATTTAGCTGAAAGATTTCCGCGCTAAAATCTATTGTGAGTTTTATTTTTCAGTTTTTTTGCATCAAAATAATTTTTTCTAGAAAAAATAGTTTTCGAACGATTTTAAAAAAAGTTTAAAAATTTACTAGTTTTCACTTTTCGAATATTATCATTTTTTCGATTTTCAGGCGTGATGTTTTCAATCGAAGCAACAAAGTCTTGCTGGTGGAGTCATCTTTGATTCGATGTTTTGAAAATTTGTTCAGCTGATGGTTCAGCAATTTTTTTCGATAAGATTGGAAGATTTTTGACGGGCGGAAATGCAATTTATGGTTTGACAAAAGAAAATCTACGGTGAGTTTCATTTTTGAGTTTTTTTTCATTAAGGTCATTTTTTTCTAGAAGAATATTATCGATTTTTGCTCAACAAATTTTTTGGTTATAAAATCGGATGAAAATGTGTCTATTTCAATATGCTCGAACTGAAATTCAAGAAATTTCAAAGATTCAATAAGAACTGGTTTAGCTGAAAGAATTTGGCGCGAATTAAGGTAATTTTTTTCTTTAAAAATGACCTTTTTGACTATAATATGAGCAATCTTTCGAAATGTTTGGATTTTCGAAGCTAATCTGAGCAATCCTATGACAAAAAACATTTGCAGAAGAATCCGGATGCGCGGAAAGCTGAAAAGTGCCAGCCAAATCTCAAAAAATCACGAGAAATCACGGATATTTTGGAGAATTTTGCCAAAACAAATCGAAATCGATTACCCGACAAAATGGTGATTTTAGGGTGAGATTTTGATGCTGAAAATTTTGCAGACAAATTTTTCAAATTTTTTTAGACTCGAAAATGTTGAAATAAGGTGGCGATTTTTATGCGAAATCGAGAAAATTCGGAAAAAGAGCCCGAATAAACGTCTATTGTTGTGCAAAAGAGGCTTCAATGAGAACTGGTTTAGCTGAAAGATTTTTGCGCGAAAATCTACTGTGAGTTTTATTTTTCAGTTTTTTTTTTCATTAAGGTTTCAAAAAATAAAAAAGTTTAAAAATGTATTATCAACGATGAAAAATGTGGCAGCTCATAAATAGAAAATTAGAGCTGATGAAAAAAAAATTCAATGTTTCTGGGGCGTTGAAAGCGCTGCGTAAGAGCGTTGCGGTTGAAAAACAAAAATATTTTGAATTTTCATGGAATTTATCAATGAAAATATTTGACCTACTCTCCCATGTGTCTAATTCTCTCAAAACGACTCAATATTTCTTGATCAAATTTCTCTAATTTTCTATTTACGAGCTGCCACATTTTTCATCGTGCATAATTCGAATTTTTACCTTTCGAATATCATTTTTCAAATTTTCAGGCGATTCGCGAATTTGTTTCGAATGAAAGCAAGGAATTAGAAGTGATTCGCGAAAATTATCGAAGATTAATGCTCGTGGAGTCATCTTCAATTCGATGTTTTTGGCGATTTTTGGCGGGCGGAAATCCGATTCATGGTTTGAAGAAAGAAAATCTATCGTGAGTTTTATTTTATTGATTTTTTGCATCAAAATAATTTTTTTCTTGAAGAATACACATTCTGGTCAAGAGAAAATCAACGATTTTTGCTCAACAATTTTTTTTGTCATAAAATCGGATTTTGATGGATTTCAAAAAAGGTTAGTTGATTTTCTGCTCATAATCAATAATTTTTTATTTTTTTTGCAGATTCCGTTTTTGGCACCACAAGAGAAACGAGAATGATGTAACTCATCCGACCGAGGAAAGTAATGATATTGATTTTTCGATTGCTGGAATTGTGGCGAGAGGTTGGTGAGGTTTTGGGGCGAAGATTTGGGGAATTTTGAGCCAAAAATCGTGATTTTTGAGCAATTTTTGGCTAAAAATCGTGAATTCTGACAATGTGTGAGCAATTTCAGTCAAATATGCTCAATTTGAGTGTCCATTATAGCCCGTCAGTAACTCGAGTACTGAGTACTGAGTATACTGAGTACTGAGTATTTGCAAAATACTCAGTACTCAGTATTTGCGAGTACTGAGTACTTAAAAATACTCAGTACTCAGTATACTCAGTATTTTGAGTACTGAGTATACTGAGTATACTCAGTAACTGAGTACTCGAAAATACTCAGTACTCAGTATTTTGGAAATACTCAGTACTGAGTACTGAGTATACTGAGTATGTCAGTACTCGGAATACTCGATTTTAAAGGCATGTTCCACCAAAAAAAAATTTTTTGAAAATGAGGTATTTGGGCACGGGGAACATTTTGGTGAGGTATACGGTCGGGAACAGACTTTTAAAGGCGCATGCAAGGCTATTACAAATTTTCCGAGATATTTTTTTCAAACTATCATAACTTTTTTTATTTTGGAAGCTTTTTTGAAAATTCGACAACCATTTTGACGGTCTTGAAGCGGGCTACATTTTTGGTGTTGACACCAACTACCGTACTTCGCTCCTAAGAGGTGAAAAATACATTTTTATTCATATTTGTGTCAAAAATCGACATTTTCGAGAGAAAAAGCGTGTTTTTCACCTCTTAGGAGCGAAGTACGGTAGTTGGTGTCAACACCAAAAATGTAGCCCGCTTCAAGACCGTCAAAATGGTTGTCGAATTTTCAAAAAAAGCTTCCAAAATAAAAAAGTTATGATAGTTTGAAAAAATTATCTCGGAAAATTTGTAATAGCCTGGCATGCGCCTTTAAAAGTCTGTTCCCGACCGTATACCTCACCAAAATGTTCCCCGTGCCCAAATACCTCATTTAAAAAAAATTTTTTTGGTGGAACATGCCTTTAAAATCGAGTATTCCGAGTACTGACATACTCAGTATACTCAGTACTCAGTACTGAGTATTTCCAAAATACTGAGTACTGAGTATTTTCGAGTACTCAGTTACTGAGTATACTCAGTATACTCAGTACTCAAAATACTGAGTATACTGAGTACTGAGTATTTTCAAGTACTCAGTACTCGCAAATACTGAGTACTCAGTATTTTGCAAATACTCAGTACTCAGTATACTCAGTACTCAGTACTCGAGTTACTGACGGGCTATAGTGTCCATTGCTCATGTTAAGTAAAAATTGCTCATTTTAAGTGAAAATTGCTCAATTTTCACTACCAATCTTGAATATTGAGCCAAAACAAGGTTTTGAATGCCTTTTCAGTTTAATATGAGCAATTCTATGAAATTTTTGGATTTTCGAAGCGAATCTGAGCAATCCTATGCAATTTTAAGGTTTTTGAGGCAAAAATGAGCAATATTGTGAAATTCTTGGATTTTTGAAGCTAATCTGAGCAATCCTATGAAATTGTTGGATTTTTGAAGCTAATCTGAGCAATCCTATGGAATTTTTGGATTTTTGAGGCTAATCTGAGCAATCTTATGGAATTTTTGGATTTTTGAGGCTAATCTGAGCAATTCTATGATAAAAAAAATTTGCAGAAAAGAATCCGGACGTGCGGAAAGCGGAAAAGTGCCGGCCTAATGTCAAAAAATCGCGAAAATCTGAGAGATGGAGTTTCAGGTGAGATTTTGTTGCTGAAAATTTTCAGACAAATTTTTTAAATTTTTTTAGACTTGCAAACGCTGAAATCCCCTACGAAATTATTATTAATTGAAAAAAAAAATTGAAAAAAAAAATTTTAAAAAAAATTTAAAAAAAAAATTTTTTTAATTAAAAAAAAATAATTACGCCTGGATATCGTTTTTCCAAAATGTACAGTTTTTCAGAAAAAAAAATACAAAAAAAAAATTTTTTAACTGTACAAAATCAAATTTTGGAGCCAAATATACTCACTTTATCCAGGAGTAAGATAGAAATTTGGAAAATAGTGAAAAATTAAAAAAAAAAAAAAAAAAAAAAAACTATTTCCACAAATTTTTTTTATTTTTCATTGTTTAGACCCAAATATTTGAAAATTCCCTAAGAAATTCCCCAATTTTCTCAACTTTTTGGCCCTTTAGAATTAGTAGAGTTAGGATAAATGCCCCTTTTTTCACCTAGAAAATTTAGGTTGTGATTTTTTTTTTTGAGCTCTAACTTTCCCTCCTGTAATTTTTCACCCAAATTTTTTTTTTCTTGTATAATAATTTTTGGAAGGATTTTTTGGAGATTCGATAACTTGAGGTTGGTTTTTTTTTTGGATTTTCTACTTGAAAACCTGGGATTTATGGATTTTTTTCAGATATCTACAAATCTCCTCGATTTTTGGAGCGAAATTTGCATATTTTTCGAATTTTGGAATCGAAAATGGAGAATTTCGACCCAAAATTTGGATTTTGGAGCATTTTGAAGCGAAAAAATGCACATTTTTGTAATGACACCTGGATTACGGTATCTCCGAAAAAAGTGCAGTTTTTCAACCAAAAAATCCCAATTTAACTGCACATTTTTTTAATAGAATTTTTGGAAATTTCCCGTTTTCCAGGAGTTAGAACAAGTATTGAATTGAAAAGAGAAAAAAGAAGAGGATTTTTCCCGGAAAATATTTGAATATACATATATTTTTAAGAATCCCCCCAATTTTTTTCCCTTTTTTCCCCGTAGGAATTTTTATTTTATTTTTTTAAATTTTTTTTCACCATTTTTGGAATTTGGCAAAGGATTTTTGAAAGGTTAGTTGTTTTTTTGGCCAATTTTAATTAGACAATTAATAATTTTTGGATTTTTCAGATCTTCAAATCAACTTTTGCCACCTGGAAAATCTGGAAAATCTGGAAAATCTGGAATTCTGAGAACTCCACTGCTGGAATTCTAGAATTTGCAAATTGTGAGTTTTTTTTTTTTGAAAACATATCCTTTTTTTCCTTTTCGAGTATCAATTTTCAATTTTTTCATTTTCAGATCGATTTTTGGAGTTCAAGCTGAAAATTTTGCAAATGTTTTTCAAATTTCAAAAGATTTGGATTTTTTTCCACTCAAAAACTCGGACGAATATTTAACGAGGGAGAATTTTTCGCATATTTTCGAAAACAAATCAACTTCTGCCACCAAATATCTGGAAAATCTGGAATATTTGAAGAAGATTTTGTGAGAGCTGGAATTGGAAGAAGTCTCGAAGATTTTCGAGAAGATTTGCTGGCCAAAAATATTTTTGAGATTTTATATATATATTAATTGTGAGTTTTAAAAATTATTACCTTTTTTTCAAATAATTTTATTTTTTTTATTTTTTCAGATTTTATAACTCGAGCCGGAATCTAACACAAACCTTCGGACCTTATCGAATATCAGCCAGGATTGATTTTTTCTGAAGGTTACCGAAAAAATGACGAGCAATTTTTCGATGTTCAATGGATTTTGAATCAATTTCGAAATATTTTTTGAAGATAGAAATTGGGAAATTATCAATTTTTCCGGAATTCTACAATTTGAAAAAGATTTTGTGAGAATTCGCAGAAGCTGGAGAGTTTTGATGGTCAAAAATATTTTGGATATTTTTCGATGTTCGAACAAATTCTTATGGATATTTTTACAAATCGATTGGAAATTGGAGGAATTTCGACAAATTCTACCTTGTTTTAAACAAATAATTCGAAATTTTCATGATTTTTCGACTCTAAACCCTTGTTTTGGACAAAAATTCGAAATTTTCATGATTTTTCGACCAGAAAACCTTGTTTTTGGTCAGAAATTCGAAGTTTTCATGATTTTCTGACCAAAAAACTTGTTTTGGACGAAAATTCGATATTTTCATGATTTTCTGACCAGAAAACCTTGTTTTGGACAAAAATTCGAAATTTTCAAGATTTTAAGGCTCAGGAAATCTTGTTTTGGACAAAAATTCGAGTTTTTCCGATTTTTTTAGTTTAGAAAAGTTTTCGGCTTAAAATTTCGAAACTTTCATGATTTTTTTTTCTAGAAAATTTTTTAGCTCAAAATTTCAATTTATCCGAACTTTCCCTTCATTTTCCTACTTTCACCTAGAATTTTTCACCTATTTTTAATTATTTATTTCAATTTTTGCTAATTTTCAATGGAAAGTTGTTAATTTTAAAAGGTTAGTTGTTTTTTTTTTGTAATTTCAAAAAAATCAATAATTTTTTGATTTTCCAGATGACAAAATACAACTATTGGATTCAAGAATCGCTGAAAATTGTGAAAAATTCGAGATTTTATCGATTTTTCATTGGATTTTGGAGAGTTCTCACAACTTGCAAAAGAATCGGAGCGAAATTTCACGATTTTCAAATTCAAATTCAAAATTTTTGCGGATTTCCACTAATCGTAAGTTTCAAAATCTCATAATTTAATTTTCAAATAATAATTTTTGATATTTTTTCAGGTCGAAGTCTGGAAAACCCTGGAATTTTGAGAAATTTGGATTCAAAAATATCAAATTTTGAAAATCGGAAGATACTGTAGTGGATTCCTGGAGGCTTCAACAAAAAAAATCAATAAAAAACAATTTTTTATTCAACATTTTTCAAATTTTTTGCTCATTTATGATGTTTTGATTCAAAACATCGAGCTCTGCACGGGATTTTGGAGCTCCTGCAGAGCTTTTTCGTTTCTCATTTCTTAGCTTGGGGGTTTTGGGGATTTCTGGGCCCGCTGAATTCAAGAAATTAATTTTGTTTTTTTCAGATTCGCCTTCAACTTCTCAACATTTTGCTGGCCGATGGATGTGGTTTGATTTTTTCACGCTTTTGCCCGGAGAAAATCCGATTTTTTATTTCAGATCAACCAAATGCGCTCCAAGGACAACAATTTGGTTACGGTAAGTATTTATCTCAAAATTTAAAAAAAAAAATAAATTAGAAAATCTAAAAAGAAACTAATAAAATTCAGAAATTTCTTTTTTTTAAATTAGAAAATCATGAAAATTCTGAATTTTATTAGTTATTTTTTGGAATTTCAGTGGAAATGCGGAAGCTATGCCCAATTTTTGAATTTTTAATTAAAAACTTATTTTTTTTATTACAAAATTCAATTTTTTATTCCAGGTTAGCTGTCATCAAATGTGCTCCATTGGACAATCAAATTAATGGATACGGTAAGTATTTATAATAAAATAAATTAGAAATTCTGAAATATTCAAAAAGAAACTAATAAAATTAAGAATTTTCTTTTTTTTAATTAGAAAATCATGAAAATTCTGAATTTTATTAGTTATTTTTTGGAATTTCAGTGGAAATGCGGAAGCTATGCCCAATTTTTGAATTTTTAATCAAAAACTTTTTTTTTTATTCAATAAAATCCATTTTTTTTTTCCAGGTTAGCTGCCATCAAATGTGCTCCATTGGACAATCAAATTAATGGATACGGTAAGTATTTATAATAAAATAAATTAGAAATTCTGAAATATTCAAAAAGAAATTAATAAAATTCAGAATTTTCTTTTTTTTAATTAGAAAATCTTGAAAATTCTGAATTTTATTAGTTATTTTTTGGAATTTCAGTGGAAATGCGGAAGCTATGCCCAATTTTTGAATTTTTAATTAAAAACTTATTTTTTTTATTCAATAAAATTCAATTTTTTATTCCAGGTTAACTGTCATCAAACATGCTCCAATGGACAATCAAATTAATGGATACGGTAAGTATTTATAATAAAATAAATTAGAAATTCTGAAATATTCAAAAAGAAACTAATAAAATTAAGAATTTTCTTTTTTTTTTATTAAAAAATCATGAAAATTCTGAATTTTATTAGTTATTTTTTGGAATTTCAATGGAAATGCGAAAGCTATGCCCAAATTTTGAATTTTTATTCAAAAACTTATTTTTTTTAATCAATAAAATTCAATTTTTTATTCCAGGTTAGCTGTCATCAAATGTGCTCCATTGGACAATCAAATTAATGGATACGGTAAGTATTTATAATAAAATAAATTAGAAATTCTGAAATATTCAAAAAGAAACTAATAAAATTAAGAATTTTCTTTTTTTTAATTAGAAAATCATGAAAATTCTGAATTTTATTAGTTATTTTTTGGAATTTCAGTGGAAATGCGGAAGCTATGCCCAATTTTTGAATTTTTAATCAAAAACTTTTTTTATTCAATAAAATTCCATTTTTTTTTCCAGGTTAGCTGCCATCAAATGTGCTCCATTGGACAATCAAATTAATGGATACGGTAAGTATTTATAATAAAATAAATTAGAAATTCTGAAATATTCAAAAAGAAATTAATAAAATTCAGAATTTTCTTTTTTTAATTAGAAAATCTTGAAAATTCTGAATTTTATTAGTTATTTTTTGGAATTTCAGTGGAAATGCGAAAGCTATGCCCAATTTTTGAATTTTTAATTAAAAACTTATTTTTTTATTCAATAAAATTCAATTTTTTATTCCAGGTTAACTGTCATCAAACATGCTCCAATGGACAATCAAATTAATGGATACGGTAAGTATTTATAATAAAATAAATTAGAAATTCTGAAATATTCAAAAAGAAACTAATAAAATTCTGAATTTTCTTTTTTTTAATTAGAAAATCATGAAAATTCTGAATTTTATTAGTTATTTTTTGGAATTTCAGTGGAAATGCGAAAGCTATGCCCAATTTTTGAATTTTTAATTAAAAACTTATTTTTTATTCAATAAAATTCAATTTTTTATTCCAGGTTAACTGTCATCAAACATGCTCCAATGGACAATCAAATTAATGGATACGGTAAGTATTTATAATAAAATAAATTAGAAATTCTGAAATATTCAAAAAGAAACTAATAAAATTAAGAATTTTCTTTTTTTTTTAATTAGAAAATCATGAAAATTCTGAATTTTATTAGTTATTTTTGGAATTTCAGTGGAAATGCGAAAGCTATGCCCAAATTTTTGAATTTTTAATTAAAAACTTATTTTTTATTCAATAAAATTCAATTTTTTATTCCAGGTTAACTGTCATCAAACATGCTCCAATGGACAATCAAATTAATGGATACGGTAAGTATTTATAATAAAATAAATTAGAAATTCTGAAATATTCAAAAAGAAACTAATAAAATTCAGAATTTTCTTTTTTTTTTAATTAGAAAATCATGAAAATTCTGAATTTTATTAGTTATTTTTTGGAATTTCAGTGGAAATGCGGAAGCTATGCCCAAATTTTGAATTTTTAATCAAAAACTTATTTTTTATTCAATAAAATTCAATTTTTTATTCCAGGTTAGCTGTCATCAAACATGCTCCATTGGACAATCAAATTAATGGATACGGTAAGTATTTATAATAAAATAAATTAGAAATTCTGAAATATTCAAAAAGAAACTAATAAAATTCAGAATTTTCTTTTTTTTTAATTAGAAAATCATGAAAATTCTGAATTTTATTAGTTATTTTTTGGAATTTCAGTGGAAATGCGGAAGCTATGCCCAAATTTTGAATTTTTAAATCAAAAACTTATTTTTTTTATTCAATAAAATTCAATTTTTTATTCCAGGTTAGCTGCCATCAAACATGCTCCATTGGACAATCAAATTAATGGATACGGTAAGTATTTATAATAAAATAAATTAGAAATTCTGAAATATTCAAAAAGAAACTAATAAAATTCAGAATTTTCTTTTTTTTTTAGAAAATCTTGAAAATTCTGAATTTTATTAGTTATTTTTTGGAATTTCAGTGGAGATGCGGAAGCTATGCCCAAATTTTGAATTTTTATTCAAAAACTTATTTTTTTAAATCAATAAAATTCAATTTTTTATTCCAGGTTAGCTGTCATCAAATGTGCTCCATTGGACAATCAAATTAATGGATACGGTAAGTATTTATAATAAAATAAATTAGAAATTCTGAAATATTCAAAAAGAAACTAATAAAATTCAGAATTTTCTTTTTTTTTAATTAGAAAATCATGAAAATTCTGAATTTTATTAGTTATTTTTTGGAATTTCAGTGGAAATGCGGAAGCTATGCCCAAATTTTGAATTTTTATTCAAAAACTTATTTTTTTAAATCAATAAAATTCAATTTTTTATTCCAGGTTAGCTGTCATCAAATGTGCTCCAATGGACAATCAAAAATATGGATACGGTAAGTATTTATAATAAAATAAATTAGAAATTCTGAAATATTCAAAAAGAAACTAATAAAATTCAGAATTTTCTTTTTTTTTAATTAGAAAATCATGAAAATTCTGAATTTTATTAGTTATTTTTTGGAATTTCAGTGGAAATGCGGAAGCTATGCCCAATTTTTGAATTTTTAATCAAAAACTTATTTTTTTATATCAATAAAATTCAATTTTTTATTCCAGGTTAGCTGCCATCAAATGTGCTCCATTGGACAATCAAATTAATGGATACGGTAAGTATTTATAATAAAATAAATTAGAAATTCTGAAATATTCAAAAAGAAACTAATAAAATTCAGAATTTTCTTTTTTTTAATTAGAAAATCATGAAAATTCTGAATTTTATTAGTTATTTTTTGGAATTTCAGTGGAAATGCGGAAGCTATGCCCAAATTTTGAATTTTTAAATTATTCCACATTTTGCTCGCTAAAATAATCACTAGACCCCCAAATTTTCAAATTTTTTCGTGGTAGATCAAACAATTTTGCATTTAATTTTGTCTATTTTTCTAGAAATTTTTGGTAAATATCAAAAAAATTGCGATTTTTTGAAGTTCAGGAACCAAAATTTGAATTTTCACATTCTGAAATATTCAAAAAAAACCTTCATTGTTATTTTTTCCAGCGCACCTATTATCTACCGTACTCCATTCTACCGTACTTCAACAATTTTTGAATGGATTTTTAAATTGTTTTGCAATTCTCTGCTCTTGCTTAAAAGCCAAGTTGCAGAGACTACTGTAGTTTTTTTTTTCCAGATTTCTCTCTTTCTGTGTGTTGATCTACAGTAATCTGCTTTAGAGTACTGTAATTTTTGGCGCCAAAAACCACGTAAAAATCGGAAACTGAAGTTTCAACCAGGAATTTTGGAATTTTCGAAAAAAAATTGACATTGCTCATGTTTAAAAAATTCATGTTTTTTGATCGAAAAATGCCACGTGGCAAAATTTTGCTTTTTTTCAAACGGAACTCGAAAAACGTCCAAGACAAACGATCAAAAACGTGCCATTATCAAATTTTTTGATAAGAAATTTATTATATTACTTCATATTTATTTACAACCTTGATTTAATTTAGTAGCCTAATTAATTAATTAATTAATTAGCTAATTAACTATGAATTTAACAACATTTAGGAATATTCTAGCGTTTTGGTGGGTTTTCGCGCTCAAAAAATTCAAAAAAAATTCAAAAAAAAATTTTCACAGGCTTCTCGGGTTGTGCAATAATTATGGATATGTTATTATGTTATCAGCGGCTGAGGATATTTTGGATGCGCAGAAAAATAATGGAAGTTCGACGAACTCGACGAGCAAAGATACTTGTGTGGTACGGTGGGTTTTGGCGTGGAATTTTTGTCCAAAACAAGGTTTCCTGGTCAAAAAATCATGAAAATTCCAATTTTTCACTTCAAAATCAAATTTAAAGCCTAAAAAACCTTTCTAGACCTAAAAACCTTTAAAAATTCATATTTTCGATCCAAAATAGGTTGCGGGACCTGAAAATTCGATTTTTTTTCAGATTTTCAATCAAAGGGAGCTCTCTGGAGCTGAAAATAATAAAAGTTTCATAATTTTCCTCTAAAAATTGAATTTCAAATTCCGAAAACGTCTCTAGGCCTTAAAATTATAAAAATTTCAAAAATGTCATCCAAAAAATGTTCCTAGACCAGAAACCTCTCAGAATTTCAAATTTTAAGCTTTAAAAATGTTCCTGAGCCTTAAAATCTTGAAATTTCCGAATTTTTATCTAAAAAATGAATTTCAGGTTCCAAAAACATCTCTAGGCTTAAAAACCTTCATAAATTCATATTTTCAGTCATAGAAAGGCTCCAAATCTTTAAAATTCTGAAAAATTCAAAATTTTCCCCTAAGAATGTCTAGGAAGACCTAAAAATTATTAAACATTCGAATTTTTGATGAAAAAAATTTTCCTGGACCAGAAAACTCTCAGAATTTCACTTTTTAATCTTCAAAAATGTTCCTGAGCTTAGAAAATCATGAAATTTTCGAATTTTTGTCCAAAACAAGGTTTTCTGGTCAGAAAATCATGAAAATTTCGAATTTTTGGCCAAAACAAGGTTTCCTGGTCAAAAAATTATGAAAATTTCGAATTTTTAAGCTTAAAAAATGTTCCTGAGCTCAAAAATCATGAAAATTTCGAATTTTTGTCCAAAACAAGGTTTCCTGGTCAGAAAATCATGAAAATTTCGAATTTTTGTCCAAAACAAGGTTTTCTGGTCAAAAAATCATGAAAATTTTGAATTTTAGACCCCCAGACCTCGAAAAAATCCCAATTTTTGCAGCCAACCCTCGAATCTCGTCAATGTTCAACAATTTCCACTGGCGCCGTTTTATTAGCTGATAATTTGCCAGCTTTAATAGTTCAGCTAACTTTTCCATTTTTTATGCATCGATTTCCTTTCGGTTTTCGAGCTCTTTTGGTTTTTGCTCTTCAAGTTTCGTGTTATTTTGTTGTCGCTTTCTCGAAAAACGTTTTCATGTCACTTTTGGGCGTTTGTTTGGCGAGTTTTGGACAAGGAATCGGCGAAATCACTTTTTTGGCCATGGCTGCGCATTATAAGAGGTGGGAGGAGTTTTTGAACCGAAAATTCGAAATTTACAGGATTTTTTGACCAGGAAACCTTGTTTTGGACAAAAATTCAAGAATTTTCATGATTTTTTGACCAGGAAAACCTTGTTTTGGACAAAAATTCGAAATGTTCATGATTTTTTGATCAGGAAACATTGTTTTGGACAAAAATTCGAAATTTTCATGATTTTCTGAAATCCACGTGGCAAAAATATTTTTGAAATTTTCCGTTTTGAAAAGTTCAGTAAAAAACCCACATGTACATATTTTTGCAAATTTTGAAAAATTCAAATTTCCCGCTCAGTTTTTTGAAGGTGGGAAAATTCAAATGTTCAAATTTTTCGCTTAATTTTCAAGGCGCGAAATTCGAAAATTCAAAATTTCCCGCTTAATTTTCAAGGCGCAAAATGCAAAAATTCAAATTTTTAGGGATTTTCAGCTCAAAAACAAGGTTCCCTGGTCAAAAAATCATGAAAAACTCGAATTTTCCATTCAGGAAACTCAAAAATCCCCAAATTTCCAGCGAAACCATCGCTTCTTGGTCATCCGGAACTGGCGGAGCCGGTCTAATCGGCTCATTCTCCTATGCTCTCATCACTCAAGCCGGGCTCTCACCAGCCAACACACTTTTGGCTCAACTTTTCATTCCGGTGCTTTTTGCCGTGGCCTATTTTTTGATTTTGACATTTCCCGATACAGTTTATACACCAAGATGGTCGCAGCCAAAAACTTGGATTATTCCCAAAAATTATGATCAGCAGATTTTTGTGAGTTTGGCTAACTTTCAGCCCGTAAAAGCCTAAATTTTAGGCCCAAACCACCCCAGAATTGGCCAGAAATCATGTTTTTCCAGGACGACGCCAAGAATCGGGGTGAAGTTCTGAATTCGGAAAAAGTTCCGCAACGCGAGCTTTCCGCTTGGGATCGAGTTCGTCTAATTCGCCCGCTTTTGCATTTGATGGTCCCGTTGGCTACCGTATACACGGCGGAATATATTATTAATCAGGGATTGGTGAGTTCCTTACAGTAGTGAAAATATGATAGGATTTCTAGCAGCCCCAAGTTCCCTACAGCAGTGAAAATATGCTAGGATTTCTGACTGCCCCAAGTTCCCTACAGTAGTGAAAATATGCTAGGATTTCTGACTGCCCCAAGTTCCCTACAGTAGTGAATATATGCTAGGATTTTTGACAGCCTCAAAGTTCCTTACACTAGTGAAAGTATGCTAGGATTTCTGGTAGCCTCAAGTTTTCTAGGGTAGTGAAAATATGCTAGGATTTCTGGTAGCCTCAAAAAATTCCAGGTAGTGAAAATATGATGGGATTTCTAACAGCCCCAAGTTCCTTACAGTAGTGAAAGTATGCTAGGATTTTTGACAGCCTCAAAGTTCCTTACACTAGTGAAAGTATGCTAGGATTTCTGGTAGCCTCAAGTTTTCTAGGGTAGTGAAAATATGCTAGGATTTCTGGTAGCCTCAAAAAATTCCAGGTAGTGAAAATATGATGGGATTTCTAACAGCCCCAAGTTCTCTACAGTAGGCAAAATATGGTGTGATTTCAGACGGAGCTGGTGATTTTCAACTGCTCACAAGGTCTCAGCCTACCATTATCAAGTCAATATCGTTGGTATCAGGTGAGTAGATCAAAATTTCGGTGCCACGTGGCTTTTTGGCGCCAAAATTACGATCAAAATGATACTAAACATGATACGTGGCAACAAATCTCCAAGTAAATGGTCGCAGGTTCGAGTCCCCATGAGAGCTACCAAAAAAATTTTTTTTTTTTACTTATTTTTGCCACGTGGCATATTTGGTATCGTTTTGACGCGAATTTTTTCCCAGGTTCTCTATCAACTCGGCGTGTTCCTCTCACGATCTTCTGTCAAATTTTTCGAGATGCCAGTTTGGCTCATCTGGTTGCTTCCCCTAATGCAGGTAGGTTGCATTTTGTGCCACGTGGCGTTTTGGGGCAAAAATATGATGCATTTTGATACCCAATAAGGCTAGGTTTGAAAATTTTGAAAAAAAATTTGTTTCTTTAATTTTCTTTGATGCATTTTGATACCCCATAAGCCAAATTTGAAATTAAAAAAAAACTTTTTATTTAAAAAATTTAAACCTAGGCTTATTTGGTATTAAAATGCAGGTAGGTCGAATTTTTTTGCCACGTGGCATGGTTGTGGCGCGAAAATTTCAATTTGACGCATTTTGATAAGCCTAATTTAAAATTTGAAAAAAAAAAATTTTATTAAAAAAAAATTTAAACCTAGGCTTATTTGGTATCAAAATGCAGGTAGATCGATTTTTTTGCCACGTGGCATGTTTTTGGGGCGAAAATTTGAATTTGATACCCAATAGGTTAAAAATATCAAAAAAAAATTAAACCTAGGCTTATTTGACGCATTTTGATACCCCATAAGCCTAATTTAAAATTAAAAAAAAATATTTTTTTAATTTTTATTAAAAAAATTTTAACCCAGGCTTATTTGGTATCAAAATGCCTCAAATTTCGCCCCAAAACGCCACGTGGCACCACATTTTCACTCCGAATTCAAATTTCAGGTGATAAACATGTTATTCTTCTTCTTCGAAGCCGTCTATTGGTTCATCCCCACAATCATCATCATATTTTGCCTGATTATTTTTGAAGGACTACTGGGTGGCTCGGCCTACGTGAATACATATAATAAAATTCACAAATTAGTCGAACCCGACATTCGCGAATATTCATTGTCAGCTGCTTCGATGGGAAATTCGATCGGAACGAATTTCGCAGCTTTCATCAGTATTCCATTGTATAATTGGATTTGTGCCATGAAAATTCCGAGATAAATTCATGATTTTTCAGCGATTGTCAGTGCAGAAAACCTTTTCCCGCCCCTTTTTCCCAAAAGCGTCCATAAACAATGTGTCCTAACACATTTTTTTTTGATGCGGCGTCCATAGGCCTACACTTTTTTCCTATTTTACTTTATTTATCTCCAAATTTCTATTCAAATGTCTTCAAATTTGCTTTGGGATTCTCCAAGATCGCATAGATCAGCAAAAGGTAACAACTTCAAACTAGCTCCACCGTATGCTGCATTTTTGGAGTATGCTGAAGAATTGGCTGAAAATCTGGAACAGCCAGCAGTTTGTAGAGCATATGCGAGTTATTTTGATAGACAGGACAATTATCAGAAATGGCCGCCAGAAAGGGAGGAGAAATTGGAATTGAGGTGAGCGAGGGGGGTTCTGGGGAGAGAGTGCAAAGATGCTAGAGGGCTAGAGATGCAGAGGAATCTACACTCGCTCCGCTCGAGCCGCTAGCGCGGGAGATTCCGGGGCGCTTCGCGCAAGCTAGCTAGAGATAACAGAACTTGAGAGACACAGAGAAACTAGAGAGCTAGAGAGCATAGGTTTTATAGAGAGTGCAGAGAAACTAGAGGGCCAGAGAACACTGTAGAGTCAAAGGCGTAAAGGAATCAGAGAGCTAGAGGGCTAGAGACGCAGAGAGATTGGAGTACTGTTAGAGAGTGCACAGACGGCTACAGAACACAGTAAAATCAGAGACGTAGAGGAACCAGAGAGCCAGAGACCATAAGATTTTCGGAGAGTGCGCAGACGGCTAGAGAGCATAGTTTCGTTAGAGAGTCCAGAGAAGCTAGAGAGCTAGAGAACACAGTAGAATCAGAGACGTGGAGTAACCAGAGAGCTAAAGAGCGTAGTCTTCTCCGAGAGTGCAGAGAAGCTAGAGCGAGCTAGAGACGCAGAGGGATCTACACTCGCTCCGCTCGAACCGCTAGCTCGGAAGATTCCGGGGCGCTTTGCGCAAGATAGCTAGAGAGCATAGGAAATGAAGATAGTGCAGAGAAACTAGAGAGCTAGAGACGTAGAGGGATCTACATTTGCTGGAAAGGGTGCAGAGTACTAGAGAGCTAGAGAATGTTCTTTTTTTTTATAGAGAGTGCAGGTTTTATAGAGAGTGCAGAGATGCTAGAGGGCTAGAGAACATTGTAGAATCAGAGACGTAAAGGAACCAGAGATCTAAAGAGCGTAGGCTTCTTAGAGAGTGCAGAAAGGCTAGATGGTTAGAGATGCAGAGGGATCTACACTCGTTCCGCTCGAGCCGCTAACGCGGAAAATTCCGGGGCGCTTCGCGCAAGCTAGATAGAGTTTTACTGAAGTCTAGAACTATTTTCAGATCATCCAAGAGACATCTACACGTTTATTCTCATCTACAAAATCGGGAAATCGGTCAAAACATCCATGGCCGTCGAAGTTTATCAAGCACAATTCTGAATTCCGAATGTCGAGAATATCGATATGATCAGACACTTGGAACAGATGGTTTCGGAGAAAGTGTGGTATGGAAAAATCGAAAAATATATTTCAACCAAACCGGAACACTGGTGCCTTATGATTCAATGAGCAAACCGTGTCAGTTTCAGCATTTTGCTCCAGGTCAAAGTAAAGCAGTTTTGTTCGTCGAACCGAATCACAGAGAATTTGAGGCGATTCCGGACTGTGAAAAATATGTGGTTTCATTAAAAGATGATTGCATCGAAGCGCATAGTTTAGATAAACTTGGAAAATTAAGAAAAAGATATCGATTTCCGAAAATTGATGGATTGAAGATTAGTGAAATTGGTTGGAGGATCAAAAATGAATCGATTTATGTGAAAGGGCAATGTGTCAATCGAAAAAACTGGGTAAGAAATATTTTTTTAAGCGGTGGAATTTGAAGCTTTATTTTTCAGCAACCACAATATCACGTCTTCTTCATCTTCGACGCATTTCCATTCAAATTTCGAACAAGTTTTAGAATCGATAGCAATGTAAGTGATTCAGTAATAGAAAAACGTTTTTTAACGTTTAAAAAATTCATTTTTTAACCATTTTCTTAACACATTCTCAGGTGAAGCTTAAAGTTTCAAGATTTTCTAATCAGCCTAAAAGACAAATCAAGTCTTTTAAGCTTATTGAAATGGAATTCCTGTGCGTTTTAGCTTCACTTTATTCAGTTTGTTAAGAAAATGGTAATTTTTTGGTTTTTTTAACGTTAAAAAATTTTTTTTAAAATATTTCGTGTTAAAAAAACCAAAAAACCTATAATTTCAGGCGACACCAGAAAAATACGGACATTTTTATTCAATTGTCATTGTGAACGATGTTATCGAAGTCAAACGCTACAGGAAGACCCTGTTTTATTCGTTCGCAGATTTGGTGAAGAAATACGAAGACAACTTGAAAGCATCATATTTTCATCGAGACATTCCGATACTGTTTAGAGTGTCGGAATTGGGAGAGCCGTTGGGATATTCATACGCTTCTGTTAAGCATGAATGTGATTTGGTGGGTTTGAGGGGAAAAAACCGCGCGGGCTTTTGTCCTCTAATCTTACGCCCCCTTAACGTTCCGAAGGCTATTTTAACGTTCCCAGGACTATTTTAACGTTCCCACGGCTATTTTAACGTTCCTGGGGCTATTTTAACGCTTCTGGGTCTATTTTAACGTTCCTAGGGTCATTTTGACGTTATCAGGGTTATTTTTACGTTCTCAGGGCTATTTTTAAGCCTCCTTAGGCTCATTTAACGTTCCCAGGGCAATTTTAACGTTCCCAGGGCTATTTTCAAGACTCCCGGTGCTATTTTAAAGTTATCAGTGTTATTTTAACGCTCCTGGGGCTATTTTAACGTTCTCTGGGTTATTTTAACGTTCCCAAAGCTATTTTAACGTTCCTAGGGCTATTTTCAAGACTCCCGGTGCTATTTTAAAGTTATCAGTGTTATTTTAACACTCCTGGGGCTATTTTAACGCTCCCAGGGCTATTTTCAAGACTCCCAGGGCTATCTCAACATTCCTAGGGTCATTTTAACGTTCCCAGAGCTATTTTAACGTTCCCAGGGCTATTTTAACATCAAAAATGTATTACAGGATGAAAATAACCTGGAATGCACATGCAATGATTATGAATCAATCCCATCCGATCATACCATCAAGATCAACAATCTCAAAAATCTCGACATTTCATTGGAAAAGGCTCCGGCGATTTTTCAATTTGGCGATAGCGGCACGTTTTTTGGAGACGAACCCATGTTTCTCGATCCGTTCACATCGACGTTCCTAGTCATTGAGCAGACGGATTTCGTGAAGTACCAAGTGAAAAACGGGCTGAAAACCGTTGAAAAAGTTTGGAGAACTAAACTATTTCGAAATATGATGGATATTTGTGGTAGATATCCGTTATTGGACAAATCTATGGTAATTTTTTTTAAATTTTTCTTAAAACTTCTTTAATTTTCAGAAAATCTACGATACCCAATTCGACGGCGAAAATCTGATCATCAAATTATCGCTAGATTATTCGCGGCTGAAACCCGATGGCTCTTCGGATTGCTCAGATTATAGGGTCAAAATATATTTGTTGTATATTATGGACTATACAACCGGTGAGATTCTGAGAATTGTTCCGATTCATAGAAGACCCAAGCAGGATATTGATGATAATGATGAGGATGCTAAAAAACACAATTTATACACGGCCTCTTATCGAAATGATCAATTTTTGTTTGAAGAGGATTTATTGATCTTTCAAAAGTATCGGGCATTTTATAATACTCGGATGGATTCTAGGTGAGAGTAAGAGTTTAAAAAAAAATTCAAAAAAAAATTTCAGGTTGCTGGAAGTTTGGGAACTCATTGAACCTCAACAATATATACAGGATGGCAAAAGAGAAAAAAAACCATTATTTTGGAATCGAAACATGGTTAAGTGTACAATGTCGAGGAATTGTGTAGAATTTGACGATAATACTGATGTATTTGACCGTGGTCTTGACACAGAAATTGATGTAATTTTTCGTAGGATGGATAATTTAGTACTTGGATTAGAGCGTTACACTGCAAATTTATTAGGTGAATTTATTGTCTGATAAATTTTGGGTTTTTGTTGCACATCTTTGGTGGGAAGATTCGAATTTCTCATGATTTTTCGGTTCCAAAAAGGCATTTTTTCCTACTACTTGAGTGTATATAACTCGTTGTATGATAAAAAATCAATCAATAAATCAAAAGTCCCTAATTTCTTGAAAATTGTGCTTCTATGTAATTAACATGCCCAGCCTGTCTGGCTAATTTAATTCACTCCCGAGAATTTTCAAAGAGACAGGTTTGGTCTGATTCGGGGTGAAGATAATACATTGTGGAAATTTTTTTAAAGTGCATTAGAAAATCATGCCGCAAAATTGCGAAAAAAAGTGGGTGGAGCCTAAGGCCTTTCATAAGATTTTTAGAGCAGTAAATTGGTTTTGAACGTGTCTAAGGCTTCTTAACGAATGACCTTAAAAGGTTTTTAACGTTCTCAGAGAGTTTTTTAACGTTCCCCAGGGCTTCTGAATAACCTTAAAGGTTTTTAAAGTTCTCAGAGAGTTTCTTAACGTTTACAAGGCTATTCAAACGCTTCTAGGGCTATTTTAACGTCTCCATGGAGATTTTTAACGTTCCTAAGGCTATTCTAATGTCCCCAGGGAGGTTTTAACGTTCCCAGGACTATTTTAACGTCTCTAGGAAGATTTGTTTTCCCAGGGCTTCTGAATGTTCCCAGGGCTTCTGAATGACCTTAAAAAGGTTTTAACGTTCCCAGAGCTTCTAAATGACCTTAAAAGGGTTTTAACGTCTCCAGAAAGTTTTTTAACGTTCCTAAGACTTCTAAAAAATCACAAAAAGTCCAAGAATTCAAAATTAATGTGTGTAGCGTGGTGGATAATTGAATTAAATTAATTTTCAAAAGTGAAATGTCCCAGTTTCTTAAGATCTTTTGATTTTTTAAGTCAACTCCTAAATAAGTAATTTTTGAAAATTAAAAAAATTTCCCATCAAAAGTTAGGCCAAGTTCCCTTAAATCAATGAAAAAAACTTGCTAATTTATTTTTTCGCGAAACGAACGTTCTTTTGTTCACAATTGTTTGAGATCTTCCCCCAAAAAGATCTATATCTCCAAAAAATTCCACCTATAAATTGCAATTTCCAAAACTGGCCAGGTTTTTTTCCTTGCCATGAAAAAATATCCGCATCTTATGAAGCTTCTAGGCCTCTTAGCCCTGATTTTCTTCCTGGTAATATTTCTGAGCTTCATCTCTGCGCAAACTTCTGAAAACTTTGTGTACCCAATTAATTCTACACTGTATTTCGCGGAGCTGGATCGCAACAACTTGGAAGATCTCAAAATCCACGTCATAAATCACTCCATTGACACGTGTAAAATCACGGGGAAAAACAACGTGACTACTGTAGACTTGCCGGATGAGAGAGTGTATGAGAAATGGAGAGCGCAGAGAATTAACTACGGTATAGTTACGATTTCTGAGGGGGAGATGAGATTGGTGTCGGCTTTTGTGTATGAGGATCATGTGGCGGTGGTGATTAGTATGTTTGGAAGAGAGAATATGACGTGAGTTGGGGATTTTCAGCGTTTTCAGCGGAAAATTTGAGCCTAGAAAGGTCTTCGAAAGGTACTGTACAAAATTGTGTAAAAAAATATTTTTCTAGACTCAAATTTTGTGCTGGAGATGCTGGAAGAATTGAATTTCAGCGATTTTCAGTATTTCCAGCATTTTCAGCACAAAATTTGAGCCTAGAAACAGTTTTGAATGAAAAAGATGACCCCCCTGGCCAAATGGGCGGAGGGGGTTCACTTTTCCAAAAAATACATTTCTAGACCAGAATTTTGCGCTGAAAACGCTGGAATTAGTGATTTTCAGCGATTTTCAGTATTTCCAGCATTTTCAACACGAAATTTGAGCCTAAAAACAGTTTAGAATGAAAAAGGTGACCCCTACCGAATGGGGGAAAGTGGTTTACTTTTTCAAAAAAAAAATAAACATTTATAAACCAGAATTTAGTGCTGAAAACGCTGGAATTATTGATTTTCAGCGATTTTCAGTATTTCCAGCATTTTCAGCACGACATTTTAGCCTAGAAACATTTTGAATGAAAAAGATGACCCCCTTGACCAAATAGGAGGAGGGGGTTCACATTTCCAAAAAATATTTTTCTAGACTGAAATTTTGTGCTGAAAATGCTGGAATTATTGATTTTTAGCAATTTTCAGTATTTCCAGCATTTTCAGCACAAAATTTAAGCTTAGAAACATTTTTGAATGAAAAAGGTGACCCCCCCCCCTGGCCAAATGGGGGAGGGGGTTCACTTTTCCAAAAAAAAAAATACATTTCTAGACCAGAATTTTGTGCTGGAAACGCTGGAACTATTGTTTTTTTTCTAATTTTCAGTATTTTCAGCATTTTCAGCACAAAATTTGAGCCTAGAAACAGTTTTGAATGAAAAAGGTGACCCCCCCCCCCTGACCAAATGGGGGGAGGGGGTTCACTTTTTCAAAAAAATACACTTCTAGACTAGAATTTTAAGCTGAAAACGCTGGAAATATTGATTTTCAGCGATTTTCAGTATTTCCAGCATTTTCAGCACAAAATTTTAGCCTAGAAACATTTTTGAATAAAAAAGGCGACACCCCTGACCGAGGGGGTTAACTTTTCCAAAAAAATGCATTAGATCAAAATTTCGTGCTGGAAACGCTGGAAATTTTGGTTTTCAGCGATTTTCAGCGTTTTCAGCATTTTCAGCACAAAATTCTGATCTAGAAACATTTTTGAATGAAAAAGGTGACCCCCTTGACCTAAAAGGGGGGGGGGGTTCACTTTTCCAAAAAAATACATTTCTAGACCAAATTTTTGTGCTGGAAACGCTGAAAATCTAGATTTTCAGCGATTTCAGCACAAAATTCAAGCCCAGAAACATTATTTAAAATTTCCAGCCGCCCTGTCAAATGCCACTACTTCGACTGCAATCGCAAACACATCGGCACCTACGATTCCCGTATTTTCCCAGTTTCTTCAGTGCGTTGCGGTCGCAAATTTGGCGCTGAATTTATCTCAATTACCGTAGCTCATGAGGAGAGTTCGATTCGAGACCCGATTCCTTTAATCGATCGAACTTCCTTGGAACCTCCACATTTGCTAGGAGTCTGTGCTGGACAAGTTTATGGGAAGGAGACGAGATTTGTAGATATTGTAGAGACTGTGGAGCATCATCGGATGATTGTAAGTGGGCTTAGGCCTGGGCCTAGACCAAGGCCTAGATTAGTCCTAGGCCTAAAACATGTATTTCAGGGTGCTTCAATGTTCTACCTCACTGTATTTGAATCAGATGACGCTACAAATCGTGTAATTTTGGATTATGAGAAGCTTGGGCTCATGGAACCCACGTGGGTCAGCTTGGAGTTCCAGCAAGTCACCTATCAGTTTCACTACATTCAAGTTGCGGTGAGTTTCCGGAAGCTTGCGCGAAGCGCCCCGGAATCTTCCGCGCAAGCGGCTCGAGCGGAGCGAGTGTAGATCCCTCTGCGTCTCTAGTTCTTTAGCTGCTTTGCACTCTCTTCATTTCCTATGCTCTTTAGCTGCCTAGCTTCTCTGCGTATCTGATTCTACAGTATTTTCTAGCCGTCTAGCTTCTCTAACATTAGTGGACTCCCTCTGCGTCTCTAACCGGCTAGCTGTCTTGCGCAGAGCGCCCCGGAATCTTCCGCGCAAGCGGCTCGAGCGGAGCGAGTGTATTTTCCTCTGCGTCTCTAGCCGTCTAGCTTCTCTGCAATCTCTATAAAACCTATGTTCTCTGGATGTCTTGCTCGAAGCCCCTCGAGCGGAGCGAGTGTAGATCCCTCTGCGTCTCTAGCCCTCTCACTCCACTGCACTCTCTATAACACCCTGAATGAAATTCCAGGATTGCTACTATCGCAGTCGAATGCATTCAAAATGGGTCATAAATCTGGACATCGACGAGCGATTCCTTATGAAAAGCCCCACAAATCTCCCCAGATTCCTCGAAACCCTCCAGAAATCCCCCGAAGTCACCAGCCTATCCTTCCAAGTCTCCCGAATTCAAGTCGAGGATTCCGGAATCTTCACAGCGGCTGAGAAAGATTCCCGATTTTTTGAGAAATATCGAGTGATGTCAAGGGCGATTTGGGAGAACTTCAAGACCATCAATCAACCACAGTACTCTCATATCCCATTTTATCATTGGGCATGGCGGATTAGCCCGGGGAAAGTGGCGATGCAGTTTAATAGCACTATAGGGTACTTTAGGTAAGTCTAGGGCCTTATTTAGGCTCAAATTTCGACGGAAAACCCCTAAATTCCTTGCAGACACTACCGTCTAACCTCTTCCAAACATATCGGTTCAAATTGGTTGACCATGTACGCTCCATTCGCAAAAAATTCGTTGGACCCGGGATTCGCGAAAAATTTAAAATCCCGAATTTCCCGCAAGTTATCCTATCTCTTCGATAAAACCTATATCAAATGCAATGCAATTATGGAATCTGCTTATAAAAAATCTGATTTTATCGGGCAAGGTTATAAATGTATTTGATCCAGTTAGTCAAAAATTGGCTCAAGCTTTAAAAATTGTAAAATTCCGGTTAGTAAAAAATCAATAAATTCTTTTCTTTTCTTTTAAATACACTGTTCCACGTTGATTTTTTCGGCTAATTAGTGCTGATGTTACAAATTAATTAGATTTGTATCTTTTTTTGTATATATAAAATGCTGTGCACTATTTTCCCCTAGAAAAAAATGAAAGCTTTCTTTAAAGTGTATTTAATATTCTTGCTAATTATTATAATATTCCTAATTAATTATCTAATTAAGGATTCTTCCAGCAGAGGTACATAAATTAGGGCTAATTCCTCCCTTTCAGATTTCTTTCAGTCGTCTACACCACAATACATCAAGAATACTTCAAAGAACTCATGAATCGCAACAATTTGGAAGATCTGACAAGAATCCACGTCATAGGTCACACCATCGACACGTGTAAAATCAACGGAAAAAATAATTTGACTACCAGAAATCTATCGGATGAGAGATTGTATGAAAAATGGAGAGCGCAGAATGTGATAGACCGTATTTTGACGTTGAATGAGGGTGAGATGAGATTGGTGTCTGCTTTTGTGTATGGGGATCATGTGGCGGTGGTGATAAGTATGTTTGGTGTGAGGAATATTAGGTGAGTTGGGCATTACCGTAGTCCTGGGCTTAGTTAGGCTCAAAAAATAGCACTTTGTGATTAGGAGCTTGTTTTGGGCCGAAAATCGTGGAAAATAAACCTAATTTAACTGCCAAATCATTTGAAAATCCAATTTTCAATCATTTAACGTTAAAAAATTCTCTTGAACAGGTTAATTCAGCTCCAGAACACTTAAAAACCTCTCTTAACATCTGAAAATTAAATTTTAATTTATTTAACGTCAAAAAATCCACTTACACAATTATGTTAAGCTCCAGAACACCTAAAAACCTCTCTTAACCTTTGAAAATCTAGTTTTCAATCATTTAACGTTTAAAAATCCACTTAAGTAGGTTAATTCAGCTCCAGAACACTTAAAAACTTCTCTAAATCTTGTCTTTACCTTATTAGCTTCCTAAATTCCACGTACACAGTTATGATAAGCTCCAGAATACCCTTTGATTTTGCAAAAAAATAAAATTCGCTGTCTGTTGGGCGTACTGTACATCTAGTTGTGTGCAGTGCATTTTATTTGACGCGCATTTATTTTTATTTTTTCGTTTTCCCTGCAAAATTTATCGGGTTTTCGAGGTTTTCACGGTGTGTTTTAGAAATCACAGGGTAAAAACACTTGCCCAATGAATCTATGTTTTCCAGCCGCCCTGTCAAATGTCACTACTTCGATTGCAATCGCAAACACATCGGCACCTTCGATTCCCGAATTTTCCCAATTTCTTCAATCCGATGTGTACGAAAATTTGGCGCTGAATTTATCTCAATTACCGTAGCCCATGAGGAGAGTTCCATTCGAGACCCGATTCCTTTAATCGATCGAACTTCCTTGGAACCTCCACATTTGCTAGGAGTCTGTGCTGGTCAAGTTTATGGGAAGGAAACGAGATTTGTGGATATTATAGAGACTGTGGAGCATCATAGGATGATTGTGAGTGGGCTGGGCCTGAGCCTAGGCCTAATCTAGACCTGTCTATGGCTTAATCAAAGATTACCTTTTCTCAAAAAAGCGAGAGAACATCAAAATTCTCTACACTTTTTCATATCTTCAGAACAAATCTGATCGAAAATCAGATTGTGGACACAAACTTGATCAAGTTCAAGTTTTCCCGCAAGAAATTCTGGTTTTCTACAGGGTGCCTCAATGTTCTACCTCACAGTTTTCGAGTCAGATGACGCTACAAACCGGGTGATTCTGGATTATGAGAGGCTTGGGCTTATGGAGCCCACCTGGGTCAGCTTGGAGTTCCAGCAAGTCACCTATCAGTTTCACTACATTCAAGTTGCGGTGAGTTTCCGGAATCTTCCGCGTAAGCGGTTCGAGCGGAGCGAGTGTAGATCCCTCTGCGTCTCTAATCGTCTAGTTTCTCTGCGCTCTCTATAAAACCTATGCTCTCTAGCTCTCTGTGCACTGAACTCTCTCCAACGAGTGTAGATCCCTCTGCGTCTCTAGCCCTCTAACTTCTCTGCACTCTAACCTAAATTTAATTCCAGGATTGCTACTATCGCAGTCGAATGCATTCAAAATGGGTCGTAAATTTGGACATCGATGAGCGATTCCTTATGAAAAGCCCAACTGTACTACCCAGATTCCTGCACAATCTTTCGCCGAAAATTGTTGGATTGTCATTTCAAGTGGCTCGAATAAAAGTGGAAGATTCCGGAATTCTGCGGAGAAGTGAGATGTTTTTTGAGAAATATCGGAAGATGTCGAGACCGATTTGGGAGAATTTCAAAGGCATTCATCAACATCAATATACTCATATACCTTTTTATCATTTTCCATGGCGGAATACGCCTAGGAAAATGATAATGCATCTTAATAGCACTATAGGGTACTTTAGGTGAGTCTAGGGCCTTATTTAGGCTCAAATTTTGACGGCAAAACCCCTAAATTCCTTGCAGACACTACCGTCTAACCTCTTCCAAACATATCGGTTCAAATTGGTTGACCATGTACGCTCCATTCGCAAAAAACTCATTGGACCCGGGATTCGCGAAAAATTTAAAATCCCGAATTTCCCGCAAGTTATCCTATCTCTTCGATAAAACCTACATCAAATGCAATGCAATTATGGAATCTGCTTATAAAAAATCTGATTTTATCGGGCAAGGTTATAAATGTATTTGATCCAGTTAGTCAAAAATTGGATTTAGCTTTAAAATTGTAAAATTCCGGTTAAAAATCAAAAATAAATGTTCCACTTTGGCCAATTTTTTTTGTAAATATTTATAAAATGCTGTGCACTAAATTGAAAATTTGTATAATAAAAATGTAAGTCAGGGCTAATTCCTTCCTCTCACAACTCTGATATCTTCAGAACAAATCTGATCAGATTCTAATCCAACATGTGAATGAGAAGGAAACAAACTTGATCGAAGTCAAGTTTTTTCTCGTTCAACACATTCCAAACTAACTTTGTTCATGTAGTGAAAATTCCTCTTATCACCGAAAAAAATGCACAAAACTTCTCACAGCGTACCTTGGTTGACTGAGTATCAAACGTTTTCCAGCACGAAAATTGCATATTTTCATGACAAAATTTGGCTGCGTACCTTATCCTAAGTTTGGCTGAGTATCAAATGTTCAGTCAAATTTCACTGGATTTCAACAGGAAGAAACAGAGAAAAAAGAAAAAAAAGCAAAAAAAAAAAAAAACAGGAAAAAAAGAGAAGAGAAAATTCGCTCCATCGAGAAGAGCGCGTAAGCGCGGAGTGTCGTTTTTTTTTCCTTTTTTTGAAAAACAACACTTTTGTTCAAAAATCGTCGTTTTTCCTCGAGTTTTTTGCTGAAATTTTTGATTTTTGGATTTTCAGACTGTTGGGATGGATTCTGAAGAGAAATTTGGCGAAAAATGAATTTTTTTAAGTGAGTTGAATTTTATGGGGTTTTGGAGCAAAAATTGAATAATTGGGATCTTGTAATGAAATGTAGAACGATAATAACTTTTATTGAAAAAGACAGACATTAATAATCATTATAAATTCTTGCACTCCAACCGGAAAACGTTTTGCTTTTATCAGTTATAAATTCAATTCTCAAGGAGCTCTTATAACGAACGATATAGCCGCCTTGAACATTTCCAGAAAAAAGAATCTAAAAGTGTTCCGGATTCCATGTCGTAAATATTCACGAAATCACGATTTTTTTCGGTTTCGAAGTGATCAAATTTGATATCTATGCTTAAATTGGCTCAAATAAATACATATGTTACTCTTTTTGAACTCACTTTTCTCCTGCATTTTGAAAATAATATGAGCATCCATAATTATTCGGATAATTATTCGGATAATTTTGAGATGATATAACACCAGTTGTGTATAATATCTCTCCACATTTCGCACCGTAGTTTGTGCCAAATTGGGCCTTCCAACCATAAAACGCAGACAGATCGCAATTGGACTCGCATTGATTGTAAACAAGTTTTATGAGTTGACTTGGAGAAGTTAAAGGTGTATTATAATAGTAGTTTTGATTTCCCTGGGTGATAACAGCAATGGGAGTTGAATTTCCGGTGTCGGAATATAATTCAATCGATGATTTCTGAAATTTACTAGATTTTGCTAACCAAATTAAATTCAAACAGCTCATTGTCTCACTGAATCCAAATTAAGACTTCTAAACCATATAACTGCTGAATCACTTGGAACATGTAAAACATAATAACATGGCGAAATTCCGCGATATTTGGTGAAATAATAGTAATAGCCGGGCGAATATATCTGAAAAAATATTGAATGAACAACTAGATTGAAAAAAAGCTTACATATCCAGTTTTTTCTCGATATATAGGTTCAGTGCATGTTTTTCGGCATTCGGAACTTGCTTTCCATTTACAAATTGTTGGCGCAGGAAAAGAACTACAATTGATACTGTTCCATTTCCCATCATTGATTGACATGCTATAACATCGTCCATCGTGTATACTCGAATGATTGAAATTTTCATAATCCCAAGTTGTACCATCACTCCAATAATTCTCCCGACTCAACATTGCTCCAATATTGATTGAAGTGATTGATGGATCAATAAACAATCCACGAATATATTCGTTTTCTTCGGGAGAATGAATCGAAACCAGACTTCCACTACACATTTGTTCGCAAATATTCAATTCTTCGTAATGATGGAACGGCACAGCGAGTGGATAATAACAATTATCCCCAAACTTATAGGAACATTCACCAATCATATCGGTTTCACAGATTGCATTTAAAAGATTGTCACAATTTCCACTTACCCATTTCCCGGTTGATGGTGTCATGTATACAGAACTACCATTGTTAAATTGCGGGTATCCTGGTTGAAAATTGTTGTATCTCGAAGCATTTCCGAGTTGATCAGCCCATAAACAATTGGCTGGATCATTGTCTTTGTAACATGTTAGACCAATACAGATTGCTTCCGAATTTCCTTGTCCCGTGGCGTATTTTGCGATAGCGTTATTATCGATTGCTGTATGAATAGATACAAGCTTTCCACCCAACGAAGCACATCCTGATTGAAAAAACTCTCTATTCGAACGTGCTATAGTCAGTAACTGAAATTTTTGTTACATTACATTTTTATTGGTAAAATAATGAATCACACCAAAATACATTTGTTGTTGACCAAAGTGAAACCATCCCTACAAACTATTGCGTTTGTGACGAGAAAGAAGCAGAAGAAAACTAGTAAAAGCACCAAAATTTTGCACATTTTGAGGAAAATGAATAGTTCTTATCTTTTTTTGTTTGTAAGAAGTTTTGTGCATTTTTTTCGGTGATAAGAGGAGAAAAAAGGAATTGTCAAACTACATGAACAAAGTTAGTTTGGAATTCGTTTAACGAGAGAAAACTTTTATTCTATCATGTATAATAATTGTATTTTTGGTTATTATTCCTAATTAATTATGTACCTAATTAAGAGACCAAATGTAACTGAGGACTGATTCTCTCCTTTCACAACTCTGATATCTTCAGAACAAATCTGATCAGATTTCTATCCAAAATATAAATGAGATGGAAACAAACTTGATCAAAGTCAAGTTTTTTTCTCGTTCAACACACTTAAAACTAACTTTGTTCATGTAATTTGACAATCCGGAAAATTTTTCAATGTCTGAAATTCGCGATTTTCAGCCTTAAGTTTGAAAAATTCAAAAAAAAATTCTAAAAGTTTCATTTATCTATCATAAACTGAGCAAATTTTCAAAAATTAGGCAATTAAGATAATTTTCCGGAAAATTTCCGGCAATTCATTTTCCCTCAAAATGTGCAATCTATGAGTGTGCAACGGATCAACGTTGCTCATTGAAAAACTTTTCGCAATAGTGTTTGCAGATTTTTGGTTTAGATGATATCATTATATTAGTTGACTCCTATAATTCCTTTTTTCTTCTCTTATCACCGAAAAAACGGCACGAAACTTCTCATAAACAGACAAGTCAAATAGATAAGAACTATTCATTCTCCCCAAAATGTGCAAAATTTTGGTGCTTCTACTATTTTCCTTCTGCTTCTTCATCGTCACAAACGCAATAGTTTGTAGGGATGGTTTCACTTTGATTAACAACAACAAATGTATTGCGGTGAGATAAATCAATAAAAATATGGATCAGTGTGGAAATAATGTGCAAAATTTTGCAGTTTTTGCCTCCATATTTTGATCCAGGATATTCCAATTCTGAATATCGATGTAATTGGTTGGGTGGTAATGTCGTATCTATTCGCACAGCAATCGATAATACAGCAATTGCAAAACTTGCCATAAATAAAGGATATCTAGATAAAATATGGATTGGTTTAAAATGTTGGGAAGATAACAACCCAGATAATTGTATATGGGCTGATCAACAGGGAAATGCTTCGAGTTATAACAACTTCCAACCAGGAAACCCACAAACTAACAATGGTAGTTGTGTATACATGATACCAGCTACAGGCAAATGGGTTAGTGGAGATTGTGACAATGTGAGATTTACCGTAGCTTGTGAAACCGATATAATTGGTGCATGTACTCATAAGTTTGGTGATTATTGCTATCATCCAATCGTAGGCGGTACGAATCATGATGAAGCATTGAATATTTGCGAGCAATTGTGTGGTGGAAGTCTTGTTTCGATTCATTCTCCCGAAGAAAATGAATATATTCGTGGATATTTTATTGATCCAAAAATCACTAGAATCTATATTGGCGCAAAAATGAGCAATGCCGCGACAAATTATTGGAGCGATGACACCGATTGGGATTTTGTTAATTTTAATCATTCGAATATAAACGATGGACTGTGTTATACCATGTCAACAAATGATGGGAAATGGAACAGTATAAATTGTGGAAGAAGTTTGCCATCAATATGCAAATGGAAAGCAAGTTCCTCATGTCAAGCAACATGCACTGGTCCGAAATATCGAGAAGAAACGGGACTTGTAAGCTTTTTTATCTATTCATTCACTTGCCAAGGCTTCCCGAGACTTCCCACGGATTCCCAGGGCTTCTGAAGGCGTACCAACGCTTCTAGCAGCACCTATCCTCAAAAAATGAGAAAAAATAGTAGCATTGCAGCGAGAAAACACACAGAAACCGCCACGAGGAAACGGCGAGACAAACGCGCTCTAGCGAACTAGCGGCGTTTTTTTCAGCATTCAACCTTTCCAAGCAAAATATGAGGAGAGAACTGAATTTTAAAGGGGGGGGGGTAAGACAACAAAATTTTTTGTCGCAAAGTTAAAGGCTCCCCAAAAATAGTAAAACCTCCAAGGGATTTTTTCTGGAAACGCTCAGAAAAAATGTTCCATAAACTAGGTACCACGTATAGCTGAAAAAAGTTCATGGAATATTTTTTTCGGACCTTTTTTGGCCTTTCGAGAAAAAATCCCCTGGGGCTTTTACTATTCAAAGAGGGCCCGATCTTTTGCGCAAATAAAATTTTGTCGTCTTACCCCCCCCTTAAGATTAATTACTTTACACAAAAAATGAAAGGATAAGATTCTCTACCTAATTTGAGTTTTAAGAATTTTCAAAATTTTTGAAAAATTTTTTATATACATATACATGCTTATTTATTGTTAATGTTAATCAACGGATTAAGTATTGGTACTCTGTTGATGAAATGTCATTAAAGTTTATAGACCGTTCTTAAACCTTCCAGCTTCTGTGACTTTTTAGCCCGATAGTTTTTTCTAGATCACTTTGCTCACTTCTGAATTATCTTACAATCAATATCGCGGAATTCCTCCATGCTATTATGTTTTACATGTTCCAAACGGGTTAGCTGCTATATGGTTTAATAGTCTTCAATTGGACCCGGTGAGAGAGCACGATACAAATGTTTCAGAAGTATTTTTTATTCATTTCAGAACTCATCAATCGAGTTATATTCTGGAACTTCTGAAAATTCAACTCTTCTTGCTAATATCACTCAGGAAAATCAAAATGACTATTATAAATCATTAACGTCTTCAAGTCAATTTATAAAACTTGTTTCCAATCAATGCAACGACAATTGTGATGTTACCAACGATTATTCTTGGTCAGCATTGTTTGGCCCAAACTACGGTGCAAGTTGTGGAGAGGTATTATACACACGTGGTGTTATAACATCTCAAAATTATCCAAATAATTATCCGAATAACTATAATTGTACTTATTATATTCAAAATCCAGGAGGATATTTGTGAGTTAGATAATGGTGGCGTTGGGCGTTTTTTAAATGTCTTTTTATCACAAAATATTATTGTGCATAGGCCCATAACATTTCAGCATTACCATATACTTTGATCACTTCGAAACCGAAGAAAATCATGATTTTGTGAATGTTTACGATCAGAAGTCTGGAACACTTCAATATTCATTCTCTGGAAACTGTACTCAGTACTTGTTCGGCTCGGAAAAATCGATGAGAATTGAATTTACAACTGATGGAAGAAATACGTTTTCCGGGTGGTCCGCCCATATCGATTTAGTGTAATTGATTTTTAATTCGATGTGAATTGTTTTGAATCTAATTTATCCAATAAAACTCTAGAGGGCAGAATTGAAGGATGTGAGCCTCACACTGTGAGGCCCGTTAGATATAGGCTTAGGCCTAAAATCATGTTGGGCCTCTAGACCGTGAGGCACAAGTCGTATTTCAAAAAAATCGCAAAATTCACCAGGTAGATCATAAAACACTTCATTTTCGCGCCAAAATTGGTTTCCTTCTTCAAATCCCCGAAGTTCGCCTCAATGTTTTCGACGTAGCCAGACTGGTTCTTCGATCCACTGAAGAGCCCGTGGGTTCAACGTCGGCCTTCCAACCAAATAGGCTTCGGATGGCCAAACGATACTCCGTGCTGCAAATGAGATTTTATAAGGTCTGGTTAAATGATATCATTCTGTTGGTTGACTCCAATAATTTCTTTTTTCTTCTCTTATCACCGAAAAAACGGCACGAAACTTCTCATAAACAGAAAAGTCAAATAGATAAGAACTATTCATTTTTCCCCAAAATGTGCAAAATTTTGGTGCTTCTACTATTTTCCTTCTGCTTTTTCGTCACAAACGCAATAGTTTGTAGAGAAGGCTACACTTTAGTCAATAACAAATGTATTGCGGTGAGATAAATCATGGATGAGTGTGGAAATAATGTGCAAAATTTTGCAGTTTTTGCCTCCATATCATAATTCAGGATATTACACTTCTTATGATCAATGTAATGATTTGGGTGGTAATGCCGTATCTATTCGCACAGCAATCGATAATACAGCAATTGCAAAACTTGCCATAAATAAAGGATATCTAGATAAAATATGGATTGGTTTAGAATGTTGGGAAGATAACAACCCAGATGATTGTATATGGGCTGATCAACAGGGAAATGCTTCAAGGTACAACAATTTTCAACCAGGAAACCCGCAAATTGACAATGGTAAATGTGTTTACATGATACCATCTACAGGAAAATGGGTTAGTGAAGATTGCTTCAGTTCGAGTATTACCATAGCCTGTGAAACCGATATAATTGGTGCATGCACCCATAAGTTTGGTGATTATTGCTATCATCCAATCATAGGTCGTATGAATCATGATGAAGCATTGAATATTTGCGAGCAAATGTGTGGTGGAAGTCTTGTTTCGATTCATTCTCCCGAAGAAAACGCATATATTCATGCATTGTTTAATGATCCAAGCATCTATATTGGCGCAAAAATGAGCAATTCCGCGAGAAATTATTGGAGCGATGGTACTAATTGGAATTATGACAATATAAATTTTTCGAATATAAACGATGGACAGTGTTATACCATGTCAAGAGATGATGGGAAATGGAACAGTAGAGGTTGTGAAGAGTATTTGTCATCAGTTTGTAAATGGAAAGCTAGTTCCGAATGTCAAGCAACATGCACTGGTCCGAAATATCGAGAAGAAACGGGACTTGTAAGCTTTTTATCTATTCATTCACTTCCCAAGGCTTCCCAAGGCTTCCCACGGATTCCCCTGGTCGTCTTACCCCCCCCCCTTTAAGCATAATTACTTTACACAAAAAATGAAAGGAGAAGATTCTCTACCTAATTTGAGTTTTAAGAATTTTCAAAATTTTTGAAAAATTTTTTATATAACATATACATGCTTATTTATTGTTAATGTTAATCAACGGATTAAATATTGGTACTCTGTTGACAAAATGTCATTAAAGTTTATAAACCGTTCTTTTAAGAACCTTCCAGCTTCTATGACGTTTTAGCCCGATATTTTTTTTAGATCACTTTGCTAACTCATCAATTATCTTACATTCAATATCGCGGAGTTCCTCCATGCTACTATGTTTTACATGTTCCAAACGGCTCAGCTGCTATATGGTTTGATAGTATTCGATTGGACTCAGTGAGAGAGCAAATTTTTGAGAAGTATTTTTTTTTATTTCAGAAATCATCAATCGAGGTATATTCCGATACTGGAAATTCAACCCCCATTGCTGTTATCACTTCTGAAAATGAATATTCTAAGGGATCAATAACTTCTTCAGGAGAATTTATAAAACTTGTGTTCAATCAGTGCAAGGACAATTGTGATGTGACTAGGCTTTATTGGTGGACTGCTCATTTTGGGATGAACTACGGTGCGAGATGTGGAGAGGTGTTATATACAAATGGTGTTATAACCTCTCAAAACTATCCAAATAATTATCCGAATAACTATAATTGTACTTATTATATTCAGAACCCGTCAGGAACTAGGTGAGTTAAGGGGGGGGGGTACATAAACTGGGCCTCCGAATTCGGAGGGAGCGGGGTTAACTCTATGTGCATTTTTGGAGGTAGGGCCCTTGACTTCTGAACATTTTGAGAAATTGTATGCCTTTAGAGGCCAAAAATCCACAAAAAATTGGTTAGAGGGATTAACTTTTTGAAAATATTTCCTGGAAGCGGGGTTAACTCAAGGGACCCCGGAGCGACTATGTATGGGGGGGGGGGTGCTTAAAACGACAAAATTTTTTTTGCTCAAAAGATCGGGCCTCTTTTGAATAGTAAAAACCCCGGGGGGATTATTCTCGAAAGGCCTAAAAAGGTCCGAAAAAAATTATCCATAAATTTTTTAAACGTATATATACGTTGTCCGAAAATTTATGGAATAATTTCTACGTATAGCTAGCTATACGTGGTACCTAGGTTTATACGTACTACCTATACGTGGTACCTAGTTTATGGAACATTTATTCTGGGCGTTTCCAGAAAAAATCCCCCCTCCCCTTTAAAAATAGTATGAAGACGGTAATTTTTGCCTGCTTTGAACCGTAATTACCATCTAATTATTCGAACTGCTTTCAGACCAATGCAAATCCATTTCGACCACTTCGAAACCGAAGAAAATCATGATTTCGTAAATATTTACAATCAGCAGTCCGGAGTCCTCTATTATTCTTTATCTGGAAACCTATATTCTAACGCCACTTACATCTTGGATGCTCTATGTCAATCTGTGAGAATTGAATTTACAACTGATGGAAGAAATACGTTTTCCGGGTGGTCCGCCAGTTTCAATCCATGGTATTATTGAATTAAAAACACGTGAGAAATAAAAAACTAGGTCAAGTGATGTGGATTTAAAAACAGTATAGGTAGCCATGTCGTCAATTGCGATGCGGTTCTGCGTTGCGTGTTGACCTCGATATTTAACATTGGATTTGTCAAATTTTCATTTCTAAAAACGTGTCGCCCACACGCATCGCAATTGACATGGCTACCTATACTCAGGTAGCAGCTTGCCCATGGACTGCCCCTTACTCTGCCCTTAGAGCAGGTTCTAAGGGCTGCATTGGAGCATTCAAGGGGCAATCTTTGGGCATTTCAATTAAACAAGGACATCACGTTCAAAATTCAAATTAATTCAAGCCACGTAAAAAAAGCATTTTCACTAATTTTTCTTGTTTCCAGCTTGGAAAAATGAAGCCTATGCCCAAAATGGGGCAGTTTGGAGGGGGAGCCTTCATCAAAAGGGAGCAGCCTTCAATTAAATACAAGAAAACATTATTATAAGTGTTTTAGAAGTAAACATTTTATTAAACGAAATAACATAAGAGAGATAGATGCACTTCAGCTTGATCATACTCTGCTTCTCATTGTAAAATCAAATTTTCACATAAGTTGATAATTTATTTTTCGAGCATTCGTGAATTTTCTAGGTGATTTGACCGAAATTTTTCAATTCAAAGCTGCAATGGTTGAAGCAATTGATCCCAAACAACTTTTTTGAGAATTTTATACATGGTTTGGAACACATCTAATTCATAAAAATCCATATAACAATCACAGTGATAATCCAACAATCCTAGAATCCGCTCCACTATATTTGAATTGATAACTTGCTCACAGTATTTTGCATAAAGTTACTGCTTTTCTAATAGATATTCAAGTGTCATCGAAATAGTTTGATTTATTCGCTATTTTCTTGGCTAACAGAATATCAAAAATAAGAATAAATTCCCATTTCGAAACAGGACACGTATCAAAACTAGGCCACGTTATGAAAAATAGCTATAAATTTATTTTTCCCATTAAAAAATTTGCCCTTAGGGCTTGCCCAAGGTGCAATTATGGGGCAACCGCTTTCCTAAGGGCAGTCCATGGGCAAGCTGCTACCTGAGTACTGTTTTTAAATCCACGTCACTTGACCTAGTTTTTTATTTCTCACGTGTTTTTAATTCAATAATAATTGATTTTTAATTCGATGTGAATTGTTTTGAATCTAATTTATCCAATAAAACTCCAGAGGGCAGAATTGAAGGGGGCTAGATTTAGGCTTATGCCTAAAGGGCCTCTAGACCGTGAGGCACAAGTCGTATTTCAAAAAAATCGCAAAATTCACCAGGTAGATCATAAAACACTTCATTTTCGCGCCAAAATTGGTTTCCTTCTTCAAATCCCCGAAGTTCGCCGCAATGTTTTCGACGTGGCCAGACTGGTTCTTCTATCCACCGAAGAGCCCGTGGGTTCGACGTCGGCCTTCCAACCAAATAGGCTTCGGATGGCCAAACGATACTCCGTGCTGCAGAAAAAAAAATCCACATGGCTAGGGTTTTTCGCATGAAAATTTGGAGCATTTTGATACCAAATATACCTTGGCTGAGTATCTGATGTCCTAGGTACGCAGTCAAATTTAACACCATTCCATCTCACTGCGTACCATGGGCATTTGATACTCAGCTAACATATAAGGTACGCAGCCAAATTTTACACTTTAATAGTGTAATTTAACTGCGTACCTTTGACTGAGTATCTAATGGCTTATTGGGTATCAAAATGCTGCAAATTTTCGCGCGCGAAAAATCCTACAGTACCCCCCCGCGAATTTTCCCGCCAAAACCCACTTGATTTTGTAGAACACAAAAATATTGATAGCACACGACACATTCACACCCAAACCGGCGTGAATCGAGAAAAACGCGACAGTATCTACGTCATCCACGACGACAAAAACTACCGTATTCCCCAGGGTTACTGTAGTCCAACCCAGGAGGACGAAGACTACGGTAAGGGCGATCGATTTGAAGACTTGACGCATTTTCGTAGCTCCACGGTCTGTAAGGAGCATTTTGATACCAAATATGACTAGGGTTACTGTACCTACAGTAACCCTAGGCATGTTTGGTCTCAAAACGCTGCAAATTTTCGCGCGAAAACACCTACAGTACTCCTCTACAGTACCTTTGAAGTCCCGAAGCACAAATGACGTGGCAAGGTAGATCAAAAATATTGCGCAATTTATGGCGATACTCGAATATGTGTAGATTTCGAAGGCCTTTCGATGAATTGCCAGAGGAGCGATGCAAATTATTTGACTGTAACAAAATTGTTTTTTGGGTTACTGTAGGAAAAATCTACAGTACCCTGGATTTTTCGGCGTGAAATTTGGAACATTTTGATATCAAGCATGCCTTGAATGGAAAAAAAAATTAGCGCGCACCAGGAACCGAACTCGCCACCTGCGGGTTCAAAACTCAGCGCGCTACCACTCGGCCACGCCCTCTTTTTTCTCTGCTGCCGAAAATTGTCAATATAAAATCGCAGCGCGCGTGTATTTTTTGACTGCGTACCTTGGGACATTAGATACTCAGCCAAGGCATATTTGGTATCAAAATGCTCCAAATTTCGCCGCGTGGAAAATCTCACTGTAGATTTTCCCGCCAAAAATGACCTACTTGTCAAAATCCCTTAGACCCCAAGCGTAGATCAAAATTCCGGCTGAAAATCCGACGGGAAACGCTAATTGAGCCAGAAGATACCAATTTGAGCGATCCAGTGAGGTACGGTAGCTGGAAAAAAATTGAATTCGGAGTTTTTCGCGCAAAATTTTCCAAGAAAAAGGTCAGAAGTTCGATCCCCCATGGGAACTATCAAATTTTTTTCAAAATTTTTATTTTTTGGCATATTTGATATCAAAATGCTCCAAATTTCAAAATCTAGCCAAAATTTACCAAGAAAAAGGTCACGGGTTCGATCCCCCATGGGAACTATCAATTTTTTTTTTAATTTTTTGTTTTTCAGCTTATTTGATATCAAAATGTTCGAAATTTCAAAATCAAGCCAAAATTTACCAAGCAAAAGGTCAGGGGTTCGAGCCCCCATGGGAACTAAATTTTTTTTTTCGAAAAAAACCTACAGTACCACTTACAGTAACGGAAATTTACAGCTAAAATATCGATCGATTCCAATGGCCAACAATAATGGTCCCGAGATACAGTAACCCACAACGGTCAGAAAAAGTAGGGAATAACACGTGGCGGGTGAGCATGTGCCTTTAAAAAATTGATTTTTGATCTACAGTAACCCGAATTTTCCCGCCAAAAAACCTACTATCGGTGAAAATCTGAAAATTGAACACAAAATGTCCGGCCAGGTGAAAAGCGTCAGCCAGACAGTTCAAAGTGATCAGATAGTTGCACGGGTATTTGAATTTGCTGAAACGTGGCGAATTCGGGTTACTGTAGATTTTTTCGGCGCGAAATTTGGAGTATTTTGATACCAAATATGCCTAGTTTTTCGAAATTTTGATGACTGAGTATCTAATGTCCCAAGGTACGCAGCCAAATTGAAAATGTTTAAATTTAGCTGCGTACCTTAAGGGTTGACTGAGTATCAAACGTTAAAACTATATGGAAAATTCGAATTTTAAGATCAAAATTCGACTGCGTACCCTGAGGATTAGCTGAGTATCTAATGTCCAGAGGTACGCAGCCAAATTAAAAATGTTCAAATTTAGCAGCGTACCTCGAGGGTTGACTGAGTATCAAACGTTTGAACTATATGGAAAATTTGAATTTTTAGATCAAAATTTGGCTGCGTACCTTGAGGATTAGCTAAGTATCTAACGTCTTTAGGTACGCAGCCAAATTGAAAATGTTTAAATTTAGCTGCGTACCTCAAGGGTTGACTGAGTATCAAACCTTAAAACTATATAAAATTCGAAATTTTTTCAAACCCAGCCTTATTTAGTATCAAAATGCTCCAAATTTTCGCGCGAAAAAATCTACAGTAACCCGAATTGTCGCGCCAAGACTCACGGTTCTTTGACGAAAACAATAACCATGATGAGATTTCCGATAACTCCAATTATGGCACATATAAGGTAGATCAAAGCGATTGGCATTAGAGCGAAGTTGAGCATTTTTTCTGGAATTTTTTTGGCCACGTGGCACTGGGTTTTTGGCGGGAAAATGAGAAAAATTAGCCCAACTCCGAAAACTAGAGTCTAGTTTGTGAGCATTTTTTGTGCTCTCTGACTGAAAATAATCTGAAATTCAATTATCCCGAAAAAAAGTGGGCAGCTGAAAAATGCTACGTGATTTTTCCATGAAAAATTTTCACCCGCCAAAAATAGAAATTCAAAATTTTTTTTTGAAAAAAATCAAATTTTTTTCAACTTCACTGATTTTCATGGGCGGGCTGAAAAAAATGTGTTTTAATTTTTCTATAAACAAAAAAAAATGCGCGAAAATGTGATTTTCAAAAAAAAAAAATTAATTTCCGGGAACTTCTGAAATGCCGTGTGAAAAAAACACGCGCGCGCTGCGATTTTATATTGACAATTTCGGGCAGGGGAGAAAGAAGGGGGCGTGGCCGAGTGGTAGCGCGCTGAGTTTTGAACCCGCAGGTGGCGGGTTCGGTTCCTGGTGCGCGCTAACGTTTTTTTCTTTTTTTTTTTTTTGATTAGAATAATAAATCATTTATTTTTTATGACAAATAGCCCAAATAATAAATCAGATTAAATGTAGCGAGTAAAATTATTATTATCAAAATTGAATTCAAACGGCCGATTCACATAAAAATCGTAATAAAACACCAAAGTTAGGCCAAAAATCAGGGGAGCCAGGAAAACCGAGATTTTATCGATGCGACTTATCGAATTTTGCGCCACACCAAATGGATCCGTTTTTATGTTCTGTAAGAGTGATTTAGGAGTACTGTAGGGAAAAATTGCAGTTTTTTGACACCAAATATGAGTACTGTACTTTTTAACGTCAAAAATCTTGAAATTAATTAATTTTTTTGAAAAAATAACAAAAAATAAACTTAAAGTGCAAAAAAAAACAAAAAATTCAAAATTTCAGTGTTGGCTGAGTATCTAATGTCTTAGGTACGCAGTGAAATTAAAATTTGTTAAATTTGGCTGCGTACCATAAGGGTTAGCTGAGTATCAAATGTCCAAGGTACGCAGCTGAATTTAACTGAAATTTTCCAAGAAAAAGGTCAGGGGTTCGATTCCCCATGGGAACTATCAAATTTTTTTGAAATTTTTATTTTTTGGCATATTTCATATCAAAATGCTTCAAATTTCAAAATCAAGCCAAAATTTATCAAGAAAAAGGTCACGGGTTCGATCCCCCATGGGAACTATCAAAATTTTTTTGTTTTTTTTTTGACACGTGGCATATTTGATACCAAAATGCTTCAAATTTCAAAATCAAGCCAAAATTTATCAAGAAAAAGGTCACGGGTTCGATCCCCCATGGGAACTATCAAAATTTTTTTCAAAACTCACATGATCCATCATCCACGTGTACAACCTCCAGCCCACATTTTCTTGCCGAAAAAATTCGAGATTTTCAGGCCGGCCCGATTCTTCGGGCCCATCCTGGACCTCAAATTTCTCCATATGACTGATTTTTCGGATCGGCGCCGATTTCACTGGGTTTCGGACCGACATGAAGCGATTGCGACGTGGAGTGGGGCCTAAGACTTCGGGCCTAGGTCTAGGCCCGGGCCCGGGCCCAGGCTTCTTCTTTTTGGGAATCTGCTTGATAATTTGTCGAATTCTTTCCCTTTCGACTTCCTGTATCTCCGGATCGCCTGTATTATATTTGGTATAATAATGGACCACCGTAAACTCGATCATACAAAATAGATGTGCCACGTAGCAAATCCAGATATAAACATCCAGCGCAGTGGGGCTATCGACTTTTGGAGAGTCCGTCTTCGAGTCCAAGGAGATGAGCACAATTGTGAGCACATTTGTGATTCCTGAAATTGAATTTGGAGCATTTTGAGACCTCATAAGGGTATATTTGGGGACCTCTAACTTTTTAAGGCACGGTTTTTACCCCCACAAGCATTATTTCAAGCCCCGCCCACTTTTGCAATTTGCGGCATGGTTTTTGGAGCATTTTAAGACCTCATAAGGGTATATTTGGGCTCCGCTAACGTTTTGAGGCAAAGTTTTCACCCTATAAGCTACATTTTAAGCTCCGCCCACTTTTGCAATCTGCGGCAAGCTTTTTGGAGCATTTTGAAACCTCATAAGGGTATATTTGGGCTCCGCTAGCTTTTCAAGGCACAGTTTTTACTCCACAAGCAAGATTTTAAGCCCCGCCCACTTTTGCAATTTGCGGCATGCTTTTTGGAGAATTTTGAGACCTCATAAGGGTATATTTGGACTCCACTGGCTTTTTAAGGCATAGTTTTTACCCCATAAGCGATATTTTAAGCCCCACCCACTATTGCAATTTGCGGCATGCTTTTTTTATTCAAAAATTCAATATCAAACTTGTTTTTCGCGTGAAAAACAGAAATTTTCAAAAAAAAAACGAAAAAAAATGGCCGTGGCCGAGAAAACCAAACACACATCTGTGTACTTCTCTCGGACAAACATTGATTTTTTTTTTCGTTTTTTTTCGCGAAACGTTGTTTTTTCGGGTTTTTTGGGTGAAAACGGGTTGTTTCAGATGATTTTTTTTGAAAAATTGATGAAATCGATGAAATTTTGATTGGTAATGGCTTTTTCTCGAAAAAAACATTTAAAAATACGATTTTTCAGAAATTATCTGCAAAACTTTGTTTTTTTGTACATTTTTCATGAAATATAGGCTTATGGGATCTCAAAATGCTCCAAAAACCATGCCGCAACTTGCAAAAGTGGGCGGAGCCTAAACCTAGGCTTGTGGGGGCTCAAAAGGCTCCAAAAACCATGCCGCAACTTGCAGAAAGTGGGCGGAGCCTAAATATAGGCTTGTGGGGGCTCAAAATGCTCCAAAAACCATGCCGCAACTTGCAGAAAGTGGGCGGAGCCTAAACCTAGGCTTGTGGGGGCTCAAAAGGCTCCAAAAACCATGCCGCAACTTGCAAAAGTGGGCGGAGCCTAAACCTAGGCTTGTGGGGGCTCAAAAGGCTCCAAAAACCATGCCGCAACTTGCAAAAGTGGGCGGAGCCTAAACCTAGGCTTGTGGGGGCTCAAAAGGCTCCAAAAACCATGCCGCAACTTGCAGAAAGTGGGCGGAGCCTAAATATAGGCTTGTGGGGGCTCAAAATGCTCCAAAAACCATGCCGCAACTCACCGATGCCAATTCGTTCCGCAGTCGCCTCCCGCTTCGTAAAAAACGCGACCCAAAGCAAAAGTACCACCAGAGCACACGGCACATAGAAATTCATCAAAAAATAGCCGAAATGGCGGTCGAAAAAGAAGCGTACCTCCAGCGCGGAGTACTGTAGATCACGTGTAAAATTGGCGGGCTCCTGGATTTTGAAGCCGGTTAGACTGAATTGCGGCAAATCGGCGATGCTCTCGTAGTCGATCTGGAATGCTACAGTAGTCTTGGGGAGCATTTTGATACCAAAATTGCCGAAAAATAAAAAAAATTTGATAGTTCCCATGCGGACTCGAACCCGTGACCTTTTGATTGGAAAATTTTGGCTAGATTTTGAAATTTGGAGCATTTTGATACCAAATATGCCACGTGGCAAAGAAAAACAAAAAAATCGAAAAAAATTCGATAGTTCCCATGAGGAATCGAACCCGTGACCTTTTTCTTGGTAAATTTTGGCTAGATTTTGAAATTTGGAGCGTTTTGATATCAAATATGCCAAGAAATAAAATTTTTAAAAAAAATTTCGATAGTTCCCATGGGGAATCAAACCCGCGACCTTTTGATTGGAAAATTTGGGCTAGATTTTTACAGGGTTACTGTAGAGGGTTACTGTATATGCGGTGTCGAAAAATTCCGAATTTTCAGAAAAATCTGGCCAAAATCCAGCCAAAATTTATCAAGAAAAAGGTCGCGGGTTCGAGTCCCCATTGGAACTATCAAATTTTTTTCGAAATTTTATTTCTTGGCATATTCGGTATCAAAATGCTCCAAATTTCAAAATCCAGCCAAAATTTATCAAGAAAAAGGTCAGGGGTTCGATCCTCCATGGGAATTACAATTTTTTTTCAAAATTTTTTTTCTTGGCATATTCGGTATCAAAATGCTCCAAATTTTCGCGCCAAAATTTCTACAGTACCCCTACCGTACCTTGACCCCCCGATCCTCGCCCATTTTTCGCCATTCATACTGTACTTCTTGGGCCGTGTAGGCGTAGGAGCCCAGGATTAGTCGGCAGGCCTGTTTGTCCAGCGGGTAGCGACTCATGTCCATTGAGCATTTTGCTAGAAAGGTTACTGTAGCTACAGTAATCTAGTGGATTACTGTAGCTACAGTAATCTGGCAGATTACTGTAGCTACAGTACCCCTACAGTACTCACCTTTTACCGTAATCCTGCTCGAGTACAGTACACTTCCATCGGTCTCGAGGCGAACTAGACGATTTGGTGTGGTTATTGTGTGCACGTAGGATCTGGCACCATTCCAAAAGTACTGTAATACAGTAATCTAGGAGCTACAGTACCCCTGAGGGCTCTACAGTACTCCTACAGTAACCCTAGGCATATTTGGTATCAAAATGCTCCAAATTTCAAGGCGAGAAAAACTACAGTACCCTTTTCCACAGTAACCTACCGTATCCGGCTTCCAAATCCGATCCAACATCGCATTGCTCAGACTAAGCTGGCGCAAACCGATACTGTTGTTGCGGATCTGCAATCGATCATCCTTCCATTTCTGCCGAAAATAGCAGTTGAAACTGTAGGTCTGCAAAAATACAGTACTATTATGGGAGGGGGGGGGGTTACTGTAGATTTTTTGGCGCGAAAATTTGGAGCATTTTGATATCAAATATGCCACGTGGCAAAGAAAAATAAAAATTCAAAAAAAAATTGGTAGTTCCCATGGGGGATCGAACCCGTGACCTTTTTCTTGATAAATTTTGACTAGATTTTGAAATTTGGAGCATTTTGATATCAAATATGCCATGTGGCAAAGAAAAATAAAAATTTCAAAAAAATTTCGATAGTTCCCATGGGGAATCGAACCCGTGACCTTTTTCTTGGTAAATTTTCAAATTTTCGCGCCCAAAAATCTTACTGTAGATCACTCACATTTCCCAAATCCGCCACCGGGCCCATGGTCCGTATAAACAAATCAATGTAGACTTTTGTGGGCCGGCCCGAATTCAGGCCGGGCCTGAAATTGTGATCGTAGTCCAGCAGCACGTCGTTGAGCAGATTTGTCACGTTTCGCGCGACTTGAACACGTCTGGAATTTGAAAATTTTGAATTTCGCGGAAAAAATTATCAAGAAAAAGGTCACGGGTTCGATCTCCCATGGGAACTACCAATTTTTTTTTGAAATTTTTATTTCTGGGCATATTTGATATCAAAATGCTCCAAATTTCAAAATCAAGCCAAAATTTATCAAGAAAAAGGTCAGGGGTTCGATCCCCCATGGGAACTATCAAAATTTTTTGGAAATTTTTATTTTTTGTCATATTTGGTATCAAAATGCTCCAAATTTCCTACCTGTCTACAGAACTGCTTGAAATTTCCCTCCGAACTCGATTTTTTCGCAATTTCACATGTTCGATTCGAAAATCCTCAAAATTTTCCACAAATTTTAGGACCACAAAAATTTGAAAGGTCCACAGGAAAATGTGCATTTTCACGCGCAAAATCACGATTTTCGTGAGCCAAAAAAGGAAAAAATGAGCGAAAAAAGTGTTGAAAAGTTTTTGATTGATGGGTGTCAGAAAATATAAAATGGTCCCTAGGGATCCCCAAAAAAAATTTTTTTTTTCGAAAACATCAAAAATCTTTTTTATTCCCTGAGGAAAAAGCTCTTAACTACCATTTTTCGCGCCAAAAATCTTACTGTAGGTTTTTTCGCGCGAAAATTCGATGAATTTTGATATCAAACATGCCTAGATCGGGTTAGCTGAATATCAAATGTCCAAAGGTACGCAGTCAATTCAAAAATTCACTGCGTACCTTGGTTGACTGAGTATCAAACTTTCAAACTATTAAAAATTTGCATTTTTTAGAGAAAAATTTAGCTTCGTACTTATCTCAAGGTTAGCTGAGTATCAAATGTCCAAAGGTACGCAGTCAATTCAAATTTCACTGGATTTTAACAGAGAAAAAAGAAAAAATCGAAAAAAATGACAAAAAATGAAGAAGACGAGAAAATGCGCTCTATTGAGTAATGGTGTAAGTGCGGAGTGTCGTTGTTTTTTTTCTTTTTTTTTTTGCTTTTTTCTCGATTTTTTCGATTTTCGGAAGGTTGGAACTCAAATTTCACGAAAACTCAAGTTTCTGAGCTCAAAAAAATCTGAAAATCTAAAAATCTGAAATTTTCAGAATTTTTAGGCTTTTTCACGGCCTGAAAAGCCCTCTAGTTCAAAAATTACAAAAATTCAAGTTTCCGGGCTCAAAATTTTGCCACGTGTACTCTACAGTAATCCCCTCGAAAATTTTGAAAAAATCATCCAAAAATATTCGGGTGGAAAATGTACGTTTCAAAAATATTGCAAATATTTTTCGAAAAAATTCCAAAATGATTATTCGCATTGATGTTTACAGCCAAAATTTGTAGATTAGAAAAAAAATGATGAAAATATTGATTTTCAGAAATTTTAAGTATTTTCAGCATTGTCAGCACAAAATTTGGATATGAAAATGTTTTTGAAGTGAAGTTTTTGGTCAAGAAATGCTTGAAATACATTTATTTTCAATAATTTCAAATGGACATGTTTCTGGGCTGAAATTTTGTGCTGAAAATGATGGAAATATTGATTTTCAGAAATTTTAAGTATTTTCAGCATTTTCAGCACAAAATTTGGATCTGAAAATGTTTTTGAAGTGAAGTTTTTGGTCAAGAAATGCTTGAAATACATTTATTTTCAATAATTTCAAATGGACATGTTTCTGGGCTGAAATTTTGTGCTGAAAATGATGGAAATATTGATTTTCAGCAATTTTAAGTATTTTCAGCATTTTCAGCACAAAATTTGGATCTGAAAATGTTTTTGAAGTGAAGTTTTTGGTCAAGAAATGCTTGAAATACATTTATTTTCAATAATTTCAAATGGACATGTTTCTGGGCTGAAATTTTGTGCTGAAAATGATGGAAATATTGATTTTCAGCAATTTTAAGTATTTTCAGCATTTTCAGCACAAAATTTGGATCTGAAAATGTTTTTGAAGTGAAGTTTTTGGTCAAGAAATGCTTGAAATACATTTATTTTCAATAATTTCAAATGGACATGTTTCTGGGCTGAAATTTTGTGCTGAAAATGATGGAAATATTGATTTTCAGCAATTTTAAGTATTTTCAGCATTTTCAGCACAAAATTTGGATCTGAAAATGTTTTTGAAGTGAAGTTTTTGGTCAAGAAATGCTTGAAATACATTTATTTTCAATAATTTCAAATGGACATGTTTCTGGGCTGAAATTTTGTGCTGAAAATGATGGGAATATTGATTTTCAGAAATTTTAAGTATTTTCAACATTTTTTTGAGATTTTTTAACCTTAGAGCTACAGTAACCCGGCTGAACACATGTTTTTTGATTAGACAAGCAAAATTTTCGTTATCAGTTTTTTTTTATCAAAAAAAAATAATTTTTTTTCCTATGAATAGATAACATTTTGAACTTTTTGATCCATTTTTTTCCGAAAAAAAATTTTTTTTTTCACAATTTTCTCTAGCCTTCAGAACTAGAACTAGGCCTGAAGTTCTAGGCCCGAAATTTTCAGGGCTCAAATTTTCCACGTGGATTTTTTTCTTGAATTTGACACAATTAATTTTCTAGGCTTAGGCTTAGCTAAAAAATTTTGAAACGTACATACATTCTCCGCCAAGTTTTTTTTAAATGCAATTTCAGATACTTACAGTCAAATTGTGAGTTACTGTAGATTTTGTAGATCAAATTTGCTTCAAAACTTCAACAAATTAGACTAATTTTTTCAAAATCTTGCGGAAGCACGAATGAGCTACACAGCTCAAAAACATGATGTTCAGCTATATTTTTTTTAGCTCTAGAGCATATTTTCTGGCTCCAGAGTTCAAGAAAACTCAATTTGCAGTCCAATTCTAAGCTTTGGGGCTGAAAATTTCAAGTTTTTGAGCTGCAGAGCTCAAAAAACTTCATTTCCAGTCATTTTCTAGCTCCAGAACTCAGAAAATCGATTTTCAGTTCTTATCAAACAAATTTTCCTCCAAATTCCCATCAAAAACCATAAAAACTCACTTTTATCATTATATCCTCAAATCGATCGATTATTCTCATTGAAATCGATTTTCATCGCAAAAAAACAAATGTGTTCTATGAAATCCATGATTTCCATCAATAAAATCCTAAAAAAATCAATAATTTCGAAGTGAAACCGGAAAAAACAATGAAAAAGAAAAAAAAATGAAAAAACCAGGAAAGTGCTAAACAACGGGCAAGCTGTCATTTTGCGGAGTGTCGTTGCACACATTTTTATTATTTTTTTGGTGAAAAATCAATCGATAATTGTGGTTTTTGGGTGATTCATGTAAATATCAAATTTCTTGAAAGGTCGATCAAATGGAAGATCGAATGAGCATTTGTCTTGTTTTTTCAAATAAATTTTTGAAACGTACATTTTCCGCCGAGTTTTTTTAAAATGATATTTTCTGATATTTTCAGAATTTTTGAGGGGATTACTGTAGAGTCCAAAATTTTTAGCCCGGAAACTAGAATTTTTCTGAATTTTGAACTAGAGGGCTTTTCGGGCCGCGAAAAAGCCTGAAAATCAGAATTTTTGTGATTTTTGAGCATTTTGTGCCCAGAAACTTGCATTCTCGTAAAATTTCAAATATGCCTTCATTTCTCTTCCAACCCTCTGAAAATCGAGAAAAAAGCATGATTTTTGAAGAAAATTGTTGTTTTTCAAAAAAAAGGAAAAAAAACAACGACACTCCGCACTTACACCATTTCACAATAGAGCGCATTTTCTCGTCTTCATCATTTTTTGTCATTTTTTGTTTGGTTTTCGATTTTTCCTTTTTTTCTCTGTTAAAATCCAGTGAAATTTGAATTTTACTGCGTACCTTTGGACATTTGATACTCAGCTAACTTTCTGATTTTTTCAGAATTTTGTGAGGGGATTACTGTAGAGTACACATGACAAAATTAAAACTAAAAATTTCAGATTTAACTTTAAAACTACAGTAACCCAGCTTCAGTAACATGTTTTTTTGATTAAATTTTTGTTATCACATTTTTTTTATCAAAAAATAATTTTTTTCCTATGAATAGATAACATTTTGAACTTTTTGATCTAATTTTTTCGAAAAAAAAATTATTTTTTCACGATTTTCTCTAGCCTTCAGAACTAGAACTAGGCCTGAAATTCTAGGCCGGAAACTTTCAGGGCTCAAATTTTCCACGTGGATTTTTTTTCTCACGGAAATATTGAATTTGAGATTTTTCAAGCTTGAGATTAGGCCCATAGATCAAACCAGGCTTAGGATTAGGCTTCTATTCAGACTGTGCTTTTTAGGCTTCTAGGTTTAGGGTCTTCTAGGTTTAGGCTTAGGTTCATCATGATATTGAGAACTGAAAGATCGAGTTCAAGTTATCGTCACAGGAAAATCGTCGAAAATATTTCCAATATATTTGAAACGTATATTTTCCACCCGGATATTTTTGGATCATATTCTCTGATTTTTTAAGAATTTTTGAGGGGATTACTGTAGAGTCCAGAATTGAAGCTTAATATTTCAGATATTTTCAGCCATTTTTTGGGGCTGAAAAAGTTTTTCGCAAATTTTTTTCTCAAAAAATCAATTTTTTCTTGATAAAAATTTGCCTTAATTTTGGGAAATTTTCTTAGTTTATGATTAGAAAAAAGAAATTTTTGGGTTTTTTTTCTATATTTCAAATTTTACTATTTTTGAACATAAAACGTCTTAAATAGTTACTAAATTACCTGTGAATAGAAGAATTTTGAATAAAAACAAGTTTTTGTGCCAACTTAAGGCTGAAAATTGCGAATTTCAAAAAATCCGGAAATTTTCCGACTTTCCGTTTTCCGGGTTTTAATTTTCCGGAACAGGCCTGATAAAAATTCAAAAACATTTCCAGATCCAAATATTTTGCTGAAAATGCTGAAATTACTTAAAATCGCTGAAAATCAATGTTTCCAGCGTTTTCAGCACAAAATTTGAGTCAGGCCCATATAAATTTGTCCAACAAATGTAAGTAATTACAATAAGCTTTTGTGAAAAAAAATGTTATTTACATAAATGTTTTTCAGTTCGGAATCAACAACAACATCGGATGAAAATGCATCTTCTAGAAGCCCAAAAACCAAACATCGAAAGAAGAAAAATAACAATTCGGAATGTCAAAATAAGAAAGAGGTCAGAAATCGTCACAGGAAGATCGTCGCAAATATTTCCAATATTTTTGAAACGTACAATTTCCACCCGGATTTTTTGGATGATATTTTCTGATATTTTCAGAATTTTTGAGGGGATTACTGTAGAGTACACGTGGCAAAATTAAAGCTTAAAATTTCAGATATTTTCAGCCATTTGTTGGGGTTGAAAAAGTTTTTCGCAAACTTTTTTTCTTGATCAACTATTCCAGAAAAAAAATTTAAAAACAATTCCTGACTCAAATTTTACGCTGAAAATGCTTAAATTACTTGAAATTGCTGAAATGATGATTATCAGCATTTCCAGCTGAAAATTTCAGTATGGAACCATTTTTCTGGTTGGAAACTTTGAAAAAAAAATGAAAAAAAAAGTTTATTCAATAAAAAAATCACAAAAAATAAAATAAATTACTCCTTTTTGAGGCTCGAGCTGCAAGAAAATCAATAATTTTTTGAATTTTCAAATTTCGCGCCAAAAACAAACTCACTGATCATTGGATCCACTCAAGACCAAATACGGTGTCGAAAGTTGTTTTTGTTTTTTCAATTGTTTGCTGAGTGTTCCGAGCGGAGTGTCGTAGCTATTTGTCTGGAAATTTTGGTGATTTTTTGGCTGAAAATCTTGAATTTCAGAGAAATTTTGATTTTTGGCTGAAAATTGGTCCTCTGGGATGTGAAATTATCGAAAAATTGGATTTTTGGAGCATTTTCCAGGCTCTGCAGAGCTCGAATTTATGAAAAAAAGCTGATTTTTCAGTCAAAAAAGGTTCCAGGCTCAAAAAATCTCGAATTGTAGGTTGAAATTCTTAAAATTTCAAGTTTCCAGGCTCAAAATGGTCCAGAGTTTTTTTTTTAATTTTCAGCTGCAGAACGCAAAAACACGATTTCTAGTGAATTTTTGAGCTCTAGAGCAAATTTTATAGCTCCAGAGTTCAAGAAAACTAATTTTGCAGTCAATTCTAAGCTTTGGGGCTGAAAATTCCATTTTCAGAGCTTCAGAGCTCAAAAACACGATTTCTAGTAAATTTTTGAGCTCTAGAGCACATTTTCTAGCTCCAGAACTGAATCTCGGCCAAAATTTCCTCCAAATTCCCATAAAAAAACTCACTTTTATAATTATATCCTCAAATCGATCGATTTTTTTCATTGAAATCGATTTTCATCGCAAAAAACCAATGTGTTCTATGAAATCCATCATTTTCATCAATAAAATCCTAAAAAAATCAATAATTTCAAAGTGAAACCGGAAAAAAACTCGAAAATGCCAAAAATCCAACAAAGCGCTAAACAACGGGCAAGCCGTCATTTTGCGGAGTGTCGTTGCACACACATTTTTTGTTTTTTGGTGAAAAATCAATCGATAATTGTGGTTTTTGGGTGATTCATGTAAATATCAAATATCCTGAAAGGTCAATCAAACGGAAGATCGAATGAGCATTTGTGCTGTTTTTTTTTAAATAAATTTTTGAAACGTACATTTTCCACCCGGATATTTTTGGATAATATTATCTGATATTTTCTGAATTTTTGAGGGGATTACTGTAGAGTACACGTGGAAAAATTAAAGCTAATAATTTCAGATATTTTCAGCCATTTTTTGGGGCTGAAAAGGTTTTTCGTAAATTTTTTTTTCTCAAAAAATCAATTTTTTCTTGATAAAAATCAGGCCTGTGCCCGAAATTTTCCGGATTTTCCGGATTTTTCGAGGAAAAATCAAAATTGCCTAAATTTTGGGAAATTTTCTTAGTTTATGATTAAAAAAAATATATATTTTTGGATTTTTTTCTATATTTCAAATTTTACTATTTTTTGAACGTAAAACGTCTTAAATAGTTAATAAATTAAGTTTTTGTTCCAACTTAAGGCTGAAAATTGCGAATTTCAGACCTTGAAAAGTTTTCCGGTTCAAAAAATCCGGAAATTTTCTGACTTTCCGTTTCCGGCACAGGCCTGTAATAAAAATTCAAAAACATTTCTTGGCTCAAATTTCGTGCTGAAAATGCTGAAATTACTTAAAATCGCTGAAAATCAATGTTTCCAGCGTTTTCAGCACAAAATTTGAGTCAGGAATTTATAAATACCAATAAATGTAAGTAATTACAATAAACTTTTGAAAAAAAATGTTATTTACATAAATGTTTTTCAGTTCGGAATCAACAATCAACATCGGATGAAAAAGCATCTTCTAGAAGCCCAAAAACCAAACATCGAAAGAAGAAAAAAGAACAATTCCGAATGTCAAAATAAGAAAGAGGTCAAAAATCAGCTCAATCCACTCAGCGGAAATATTTCCAATATTTTTGAAACGTACAATTTCCACCCGGATTTTTTGGATGATATTTTCTGATATTTTCAGAATTTTTGAGGGGATTACTGTAGAGTACACGTGGCAAAATTAAAGCGAAAAATTTCAGATATTTTCAGCCAATTTTTGTGGCTGAAAAAGTTTTTCGCAAACTTTTTTTCTTGATCAATTTTTCCAAAAAAATTTAAAAACAATTCCTGACTCAAATTTTACGCTGAAAATGCTGAAATTACTTAAAATTGCTGAAAATGATGATTATCAGCATTTCGAGCTGAAAATTTGAGTGCGGAACCATTTTTCTGGTTGAAAACTTTGAAAAAAAATGAAAAAAAATTTATTCAATAAAAAAATCACAAAAAATAAAATAAATTACTCCTTTTTGAGGCTCGAGCTGCAAGAAAATCAATAATTTTTGAATTTTTCAAATTTCCCGCCAAAAAATAAACTCACTGATCATTGGATCCACTCAAGACCAAATACGGTGTCGAAAGTTGTTTTTGTTTTTTCAATTGTTTGCTGAGTGTTCCGAGCGGAGTGTCGTAGCTATTTGTCTGGAAATTTCGGTGATTTTTTGGCTGAAAATCCTGAATTTCAGAGAAATGTTGATTTTTGGTTGAAAATTGGTCCTTTGAGATGTGAAATTATCGAAAAATTGGATTTTTGGAGCATTTTCCGGGCTCAAAATGCACCAAATTTCAGATTTTTAGGCTTTTTCAGCGTCTGCAGAGCTCGAAATTTTGAAAAAAAAACTGATTTTTCAGTCAAAAAAGGTTCCAGGCTCAAAAAATCTCGAATTGTAGGTTGAAATTCTTGAAATTTCAAGTTTCCAGCCTCAAAATGCTCCAGAATTTTTTTTTAATTTTCAGCTTCAGAGTACAAAAACAGGATTTCTAGTAAATTTTTGAGCTCTAGAGCAAAACTTCTAGCTCCAGTGCTCAAAAAACTAATTTTGCAGTCCAATTCTAAGCTTTGGGGCTGAAAATTTCAAGTTTTCAAGCTGCAGAGCTCAAAAACTTCATTTCTAGTCATTTTCTAGCTCCAGAACTCAGAAAAGTCAATTAAGTCCTTATCAAACAAATTTTCCTCCAAATTCCCCATCAAAAACAAAAAAAACTCACTTTTATCATTATATCCTCAAATCGATCGATTTTTCTCATTGAAATCGATTTTCATCGCAAAAAACGAACGTTTTCTATGAAATCCATCATTTTCATCAATAAAATCCTAAAAAAATCAATAATTTCGAAGTGAAACCGGAAAAAACAATGAAAAAGAAAAAAAAATGACGAAAATCCAACAAAGTGCTAAACAACGGGCAAGCCGTCATTTGCGGAGTGTTGTTGCACACACATTTTTTATTTTTTGGTGAAAAATCAATCGATAATTGTGGTTTTTGAGTGATTCATGCAAACATCAAATTTATTGAAAACACTACCGACCGGAAAATCGAATTAGCATTTGTCTTGTTTTTTAAATAAATTTTTGAAACGTACATTTTCCACCCGGATATTTTTGGATGATTTTTTCAGAATTTTTCAGAATTTTTGAGGGGATTACTGTAGAGAAATTGAAGCGAAAAAATTCCATATTTTTTCAGACAATTTTTCTGGCTAAAAAAGTTTCGTGCATGGTTTTCTAGCTACAGTAACCAGAGGAACAATCTAGAGAAAACCTGTAATTTTTGGGATCTCTAGAGTTACTGTGAACGGGTTACTGTACCTCTCGAAATTTCAGGTTACTGTTAGTGCACTTCGAAAGGAAAAGAAGCATTCCAATTGAGAAAGTCGTCAAAAAGGAAGATCAAATAAATTGCCAGGAAGACCGTTTAAATAACTAGTGTAAGTTATTACCATAAGCTTTCCAATATTTTTGAAACGTACATTTTCCACCCGAATTTTTTTGGATGATATTTTCTGATTTTGTCAGAATTTTTGAGGGGATTACTGTAGAGTACACGTGGCAAAATTAAAGCTAAAAATTTCAGATATTTTCAGCCATTTTTTGGGGCTGAAAAAGTTTTTCGCAAACTTTTTTTTCTTGATCAATTTTTTTCAGAAAAAAATTCAAAAATATTTCCTGGCTCAAATGTTTTTGCTGAAAATTCTGAAATTACTTAAAATTGCTGAAAATCAATGTTTCCAACGTTTTCAGCACAAAATTTGAGCCTAGAATCTTGATCTGAATGAATTTCTTGAAAATAACCCTCTTAACCAAAACCTTCACTTCAAAAACATTTCCGGATCCAAATTTGATGCTGAAAATGCTGGAAACATTGATTTTCCGAAATTTTGAGTAATTGCAGCATTTTCATCACGAAATTTGAGTCAGGCCGCTAAAGGGATCACTTTGAAGTCATTTTGAAAAATATCTCCAATATTTTTGAAATGTATTATTTTCTCCCGGGTTTTTGAATGAAATTTTCTGAATTTTTCACCAAAAATTACCAGAAAACAGAAAATGAAAATGATTTTTATTCATCCCAAAAAAAAGAAACACGGATTTTTGAAACGTGACATTGTTTCGATGAAATAATGATAAAGATCTTACGTGTTCCACATTTTTAGGGCTATAAAAGAGGCGGCTGAAACCACAATATAGTTATATTCTCTTTTCTACTCGAACATAATCTAATTTGCTATCATGGAAACTGCTGCTGCCACCCAACCGTCGCCGCCGGTGCCAAAAAAACCGGGTCGCCCCCGGAAAAACCCGCCGCCACCTCCAAAACCGCAAAGTGCGGTGGGCGCGGCGGGCCCACGTCGTCGGGGCCGGCCCCGAAAGCCGGCTCCGACGGGGCGACCCGGTCGCCCCCGCAAATATGCCACCGAAGAACCAACCAAGGAGGAAGGAGCTGAAGCAGAAGCCGGAACAACCGAGAAAAACTGATTTTCTTTCATTTTTATGAATAAAGATGATTTATCAAACGATGCTCCGCGTTTACACCTTTAAAAACTTTAAAAAAAAAATTTATTCATTCAAAAAATCACAAAAAATAAAATAAATTACTCCTTTTTGAGGCTCGAGCTGCAAAAAAAATCAATTTTTTTTTGAATTTTCAAATTTCGCGCCAAAAACAAACTCACTGATCATTGGATCCACTCAAGACCAAATACGGTGTCGAAAGTTGTTTTTGTTTTTTCAATTGTTTGCTGAGTGTTCCGAGCGGAGTGTCGTAGCTATTTGTCTGGAAATTTTGGTGATTTTTTGGCTGAAAATCCTAAATTTCAGAGAAATGTTGATTTTTGGCTGAAAATTTGGTCAAAATTGAGATTTTTGAGCTTTTTAATGGCCCAATAAGGCCCAAAAGCCCAGATTTCCCAAAATTTCATGTTTCCGGGCACAAAATGCTCAAAATTCTGAAATTTTCAGAATTTAATGCTTTCAGAAAGCCTAGAAAGCCCTCTGGTTCAAATTTCACGAAAATCCAAGTTTCCGGGCTCAAAATGTTCCAGAAATCTGAAATTTTCAGATTTTTAGGCTTTCAAGGGGCCTGGAAAGCCCTGAGGTTGAAATTTCACGAAAATTCACGTTTCCAGGCTCAAAATGGTCCAAATTTCAGATTTTCAGGCTTTTTCACGGCCTGGAAAGCCCTGAGGTTGAAATTTCACGAAAATCCAAGTTTCCGGGCTCAAAATGCTCCAATTTCTGAAATTTTCAGAATTTCAGGCTTTCAAAGAGCCTGGAAAGCCTTCTAGTTCAAATTTCACGAAAATTCAAGTTTCCGGGCTCAAAAATCTGAAATTTTCAGAATTTTAGGCTTTCAAAAAGCCTGGAAAGCCCTCTAGTTCAAATTTTACGAAAATTCAAGTTTCCGGGCTCAAAATGCTCCAAAAATCAGAAATTTTCAGAATTTTTGGTTTTCAAAGAGCCTGGAAAGCCTTCTAGTTCAAATTTCACAAAAATTCACGTTACCGGGCTCAAAATGCTCCAAATTTCAAGTTTCTGAGCTCAAAATGCTCCAAATCTCACGTTTCCGAGCTCAAAATGCTCGAAATCTCTCAAATTTTGGCTCAAAATGCTCGAAATTTCTCAAATTTTGGCTCAAAATGCTCCAAATCTCACCTTAAGCATTCGTTCCTCTTTATCCTTTCGATTCGCTCGTTTTTCCAGTTGTTTTTTGCCCGGATTTCTTCCATGAAATTTATAGGACAACTCTCTATAAGCATCTTTTGCATCCATTTCACGGCCTTTTTTATCCACATAACTAATATTGACATCTGGATGATAGTCCAATTTTTCGGGAAATGCTTGAATTGGACCGCGTGAGGATGAAGTTGTGCCAAGTCGATCGAGCTTTTTCATGTATTTGTCTTCGATGTCGCTGAAAAAATGGAATTTTGGATGAAAATTCAGGAAAAATGGTAAAATTTGGAGCATTTTGAGCCCGGAAACTTGAATTTTTGTAAAATTTGAACCAAAGAGCTTTCCAGGCTCTTAAAAACTCGAAAAATCTGAAATTTTGTGATTTTTGGAGCATTTTGAGCCCGGAAACATGAAATTTCGTGAAATTTGAACCAGAGGGCTTTCCAGGCTCTTTGAAAGCCTAAAATTCTGAAAATTTCAGATTTTTTGAGCATTTTGAGCCCGAAAACTTGGATTTTCATGAAATTTGAACTATAAGGCTTTCCAGGCTCTTTGAAATTCTAAAAATTTGAAATTTTGTGATTTTTGAACCATTTTGAGCCCGGAAACTTGAAATTTGGGTTTTTGAGCTCGGGACCCTTTTTTAAGCCGAAATTTGTGAAAAATCGTACAATTTGGAGCATTTTGAGCTCAGAAACTTGAAATTTCAGATTTTTGGTGCATTTTTGAGCCCGGGAATTCAAAAATTCGTATTTTTCGGTTACTGGGTTCAGAACCTATGGAAATTCCCAAATTTCGGCTCAAATCGATCAGATTCAAGTTCCAGGGCTCAAAAATCTCAAATTTTTGCTCAAAACAAGCTCCAGGGCTCAAAAATCCCAAATTTTAGCTCAAATTCAAGCTCCAGGGCTAAAAAATCTCAAATTTTGGCTCAAAACAAGCTCCAGGGCTCAAAAAATCTCAAATTTTGGCTGAAAACAAGCTCCGGGGCTCAAAAAATCTCAAATTTTGGTTGAAAACAAGCTCCGGGGCTCAAAAATCTCAAATTTTAGCTCAAAACAAGCTCCAGGGCTCAAAAATCTCAAATTTTAGCTCAAAACAAGCTCCAGGGCTCAAAAATCTCAAATTTTAACTCAAAACAAGCTCCAGAGCTCAAAAAATCTCAAATTTTGGTTGAAAACAAGCTCCCGGGCTCAAAAATCTCAAATTTTTGCTCAAAACAAGCTTCCGGGCTCAAAAATTTCAAATTTCGGCTCAAAGAACCCCCAAAACAACTCACAATCTTCCTCCATCAATCTGTGTTTTCGCATGATTTTTCAAATGCTCCAAACTGGGTCCCTTGTAGGATTTCGAATTCGGATCTGTCAAATATCCTTTTTGTGCCGCCAATTTCAACATAGCTCCAACACCTTTCGAAACATCCGCTTCTTTTCCCAATGCTGGTTGATAATCCTCTTTTTCTTCTGAATCCTCTTCTGAATCCTCTTCATCTTCATTCCATTTCCTTTTTTTCGCTTCTTCAATTGCTTCTTCATCATCGCTATCCAATTGTGAAGTTGAGGTACTTTGGACCGGTTTTCCAGCTGCAAGCCAACCGCCTCTGCAAAAATTTGGAGTTTAATATGAGCAATGGGTGAAAATTCGGAAATTTTTGATATAAAACTCGATTTTCTACGTTTAATATGAGCAATGGGTGAAAATTTGGGAATTTTTGATATAAAACTCGATTTTCTACGTTTAATATGAGCAATGGGTGAAAATTTGGGAATTTTTGATATAAAACTCGATTTTCTACGTTTAATATGAGCAATGGGTGAAAATTTGGGAATTTTTGATATAAAACTCGATTTTCTACGTTTAATATGAGCAATGCGTGAAAATTTGGGAATTTTTGATATAAAACTCGATTTTCTACGTTTAATATGAGCAATGGGTGAAAATTTGGAAATTTTTGATATAAAACTCGATTTTCTACGTTTAATATGAGCAATGGGTGAAAATTTGGGAATTTTTGATATAAAACTCGATTTTCTACGTTTAATATGAGCAATGCGTGAAAATTTGGGAATTTTTGATAAAAAACTCGATTTTCTACGTTTAATATGAGCAATGGGTGAAAATTTGGGAATTTTTGATATAAAACTCGATTTTCTACGTTTAATATGAGCAATGGGTGAAAATTTGGGAATTTTTGATATAAAACTCGATTTTCTACGTTTAATATGAGCAATGGGTGAAAATTTGGGAATTTTTGATATAAAACTCGATTTTCTACGTTTAATATGAGCAATGGGTGAAAATTTGGAAATTTTTGATATAAAACTCGATTTTCTACGTTTAATATGAGCAATGGGTGAAAATTTGGGAATTTTTGATATAAAACTCGATTTTCTACGTTTAATATGAGCAATGCGTGAAAATTTGGGAATTTTTGATAAAAAACTCGATTTTCTACGTTTAATATGAGCAATGGGTGAAAATTTGGGAATTTTTGATAAAAAACTCGATTTTCTACGTTTAATATGAGCAATGGGTGAAAATTTGGGAATTTTTGATAAAAAACTCGATTTTCTACGTTTAATATGAGCAATGGGTGAAAATTTGGGAATGAAAATGCTGAAATTACTTTAAATTGCTGAAAATCAATGTTTCCAGAATTTTCAGCAAAAAATTTGAGTCTAGAATCTTGATCTGAATGAATTTCTTGAAAATAACCCCCTTAACCAAAAACTTCACTTCAAAAATATTTCCAGATCCAAATTCTGTGCTGAAAATGCTGAAATTACTTGAAATTATCAAAAATGATGATTATCAGCATTTTCAGCTGAAAAATTGAGTTCGGAACCATGTTTAAAGCAAGGTTTTTGGTCAAGGAACGCTTCATCTAATCATTTTCAAGAATTTTATCAGATGAGGATTCCAGACTCAAATTTTGTGCTGATTGGCTGAAAGTCTACAGTAAATATATATTCTTTCAGTTCTAATAATTGCAAACTCATTTATGTATGCAAGCATTCATGTTTGTTTCATAATCCACAAGCTACTCCATCATTTTGAAATCTTTTTGAAAAATATTTCCAATATTTTTGAAACGTACATTTTCCACCCGGATATTTTTGGATAATATTTTCTGATTTTTTCTGAATTTTTGAGGGGATTACTGTAGAGTACACGTGGCAAAATTAAATCGAAAAAAATTCAAAAATCAAGCTTCTAGAGTCACTAGAAACCCGAATTTTGGCTCAAAATTGCTCAAAAACTCTGTTTTTTGGCTCAAAACCATCCAAAACCTAGAAATCAAGCTTCTAGGGTAAAATTTAAGCTAGGAGATGGGTTCTAGGCTCTAAAAATCCCCAGAAACCTGAATTTTGGGTCAAAATTGTCTGAAAATCATGTTTTTTGAGGTTCTAGGCTCAAAAAATGTCTAGAAACCTGAGTTTTAGTTCAAAATTCATCGAAAATCACGTTCCAGGGCTCAAAATCATCAAAAATTCACGTTCGATGGCTCAAAATTGTTCACATGAGCAATAGATCCAAAATCAAGCTTCTAGGCTCAAAAAATGCCTAGAAACCTGAATTTTGGCTCATTTTTCTTCAAAATCCACGTTTTCCACCCCAAAAACCCCCCAAAAAACCTCACTTTTCCTCCCTTCTTCTCTTCTCCTTCTCCCTCAATTCCTTATCAATTTTATCTCTTTTCCATTTCTCAAATCCTTCATCATCCTTTTCATTTTCCTCCTCTTTTTCCTCTTCTTCTTTGATCTCTTTCTTCACCAAAAGTTCTTTTTCTTTTCGATTTCCACCTAATCCAAGTGTATCGATTTCTCCAATATGTCTACAGTATTCCATGGTTGAATCGATGAAAATTCCCTCTTTTTTCGGCTGATTTTCTTCCAGATTTCCGAAATCTTCCATCATTTTTTGCACACGTTTTCCCACATTTTCCTCGGGATTTTCAGCAAAATCCACGAGATTTTGACGAACTTTTCGAGTTTTTGAGAGAATTGAGTGAAGTTCATCTTCAGCATCATCATCTATGACAATTCCAGTCAAATCTACACCACCGGATGGGAAATCATCTGAAAATTTCGGATTTTTGGGGCTGGAATGGGCCTAGATAAGCCTAGATTTAGGCCTAGAAGTTGGGGTTCTTTTGAGCCTAAATAATTTATTTTATTTTATTTACGACATTGGAAGAACACCGTCAGAAAGAAGAAGACAAATTACAAATGTAATTTCAAAAACGTAGATAATTATATAAAAAAAATAAGCCTAGAAATTGGGGGTTTTTTGAGACTAAATAAGTCCAGATTTAGGCCCAAGAAAGCCTAGATTTTAGGCCTAAAAATTGAGGTTCTTTTGAGCCTAGAGAAGCCTAGATTTTGGCCTAGATTCGGGCCTGAAACTCGAGTTCTTTTGAGCCTAAATAAGTCCAGATTTAGGTCTAAATAAACCTAGTTTTGGCCTAAAAATCAGGGTTTTTTTGAGACTAATTAAGCCTGGTTATTAGGCCTAGAAAAGCCCAGATTCAGGCCTGCAAATTCGGATTCTTTTGAGCCTAAAGAAGTTTTTAGGCCTAAAAATTCAACCAAAAAATCTAGACTTTTTTCGACTCAAAAATCTTTTGCATTGCTCATGTTAGTCTATTTTACGTCGAAAAATGCGATTTTCTGGCTAGAAACCTGAATTTCAGCTCATTTTCAGCCAAAAATCTCGAATTTCAGCTCATTTTCCATCAAAAACTTCGAATTTTAGCTCATTTTCAGCCAAAAATCTCGAATTTCAGCTCATTTTTCATCAAAAATTTCAAATTTCAGCTCATTTTCCCCCAAAAATCCTCACCTTCACTATCCTCCTCATCACTTTCCTTCTGCACAGTCTTTTTGAGCTTCTGAAGCCGTTCCAAATCCACTCCATTTCCATGCATCGCTTTTTTCCATTTTCCATCAGTTTCGGCTTCGAATTCCGCATTTTCAGCTGGTTTTTCGGGCTGAAAATGGGAATTTTTCTAGATTTTCAAAATTGAGAAATGAATTTTTTGATTTTTCAAATTTCCACGTCAAAAAGTTCACGTTTAAATTAATTTTTGGAATTTTTTTGTAAAAAATGGCCTGGAAATCGGATTTTTGAGCCCAGCGGCTTGAAAATGGTCCAGAAGGGCCTTTTTAGGTCCGAAAAACCCATTTTTGATGAATTTCAGGTCTAGAAACCTCCCAAAGCCTTCTAGAGCTCAAAAATAATAGATTTCAGGCTTCAGATGGTCCCAGGTCCGAAATTTATTGATTTTCATGAATTTCAGCTCAAAAATCATAAATTTCCATGAATTTCAGGTCTAGAAACCTCCCAAAGCCTTCTAGAGCTCAAAAATCATAGATTTCAGGCTTTAGATGGTCCCAGGTTCAAAATGTATCGATTTTTATGAATTTTAGGTTAAAATTGGACATTTTTAGTGAATTTCAGGTCAAAAATCATGAATTTTGATGAATTTCAGGTCTAGAAACCTCCCAAAGCCTTCTAGAGCTCAAAAATCACAGATTTCAGGCTTTAGATGGTCCCAGGCTTGAAATTTATCGATTTTTATGAATTTCAGCTCAAAAATCATCAATTCTAATAAATTTCAGGTCTAGAAACCTCCCAGAGCCTCCTAGAGCTCAAAAATCATAGATTTCAGGCTTTAGATGATCCTAGGCTCAAAATTTATTGATTTTCATGAATTCTAGCTCAAAAACCAGTTTCTAGACCAAAAAAATCCCATTTTTCATGAATTTCAAGCCTGAAAACCTTCCAAGAGCTTCTAGAGCACAAAAATCATAAATTTCAGGTTCCAGGTGGTCCCAGGTACAAAATTTATTGGTTTTTATGAATTTCAGGTCAAAAATCATGAATTTTCATGTTTTCTAGCTCAAAATCATCGAAATCTCCCAAATTTTCCCTCAAAACTCCCCAAAACCTCACCTCTTCCTCACTATCTCTGCGTCTCCTTCCAAAATCGCGTCTCTCATCGGGAATCGGCTGCAAATCCGAGGCTTTCAGCATTTTTTTGGTTTTTCTCGAGTTCCGCTCCTTTTTTCCCTTTTTATTCTTCCTAAATTCCACCATCTCATCTTGTGTGTAGAATTCCGAAGCCAATTTATACTTTTCCGGATTATCCAAAGTTTCCAGTCGTTTTCCAGCCATTTTCAGCTTTTCAAACATTTCCAGCTCGCGTTTTTCTTCAGCCAAGTCCAGATTTCCCGAGTGGTCCAATCGGAACTTTCGGGGGCCTTTTTCCGGGCCCAAATCCGAATCATACTTGGCCAGGATTCCCGAACCGCCTTCTAGATCCCCGTCAAAATCTCTGGGATTTCTGGATTTCCTTAATTCCACATTTTTCCGATGCATCTCATTTTCCAGGAGATTTGGATTTACCAGAACTTCATCCGAATCATCCAAAACTCCTTTGTCTTGAAGAACCAGGATTTGGTGGGCGTCTTCGAGGAAATCTTCACGATTATGGCCTACGACTAGGCCGGCTGTGGAATCGTTTTTGGTGGGCTTTTTCTGGAAGAAAATTGAATTTTTTTGAGTCTAGATAAGCCTGGTTTTGGCCTGGAAAATCGGCGTTTTTTGAGACTAGATAAGCCTGGTTTTGGCCTGGAAGTTGGGGTTCTTTAGAGCCTAAAAAAGCCTAGTTTTAGGCCTAGAAATTGGGATTCTTTAGAGCCTAAATAAGCCTAGTTTTTGGGCCTAGATAAGCCCAGATTTAGGCCTGGAAATCGGGGTTCTTTTGAGCCTAAAGGAGCCTAGATATAGGCCTGGGAATTGTGATTTTTAGGCCTAGATAAGCCTAGTTTTTAGGCCTGAAATTGGGGATCTTCTGTGTCTAAGAAAGCCCAGATTTAGGCCTAGAAATTAGGGTTCTTTAGAGTCCAAATAAGCCTAGATTTTGGGCCTAAATGAGCCAAGATTTAGGCCTGGTAGTTGGGATTCTTTAGAGCCTAGATAAGCCTAGATTTAGGCCTAAAAAATTGGGGTTTTTTAAAGCCTAAATAAGCCTAGATTTTAGGCCTGCAACTAGGGTTTTTTAAAGCCTAAATAAGCCTAGATTTAGGCCTGAATTCCGGCTGCAAATCTAGATTTTTTCAACTCAAAAACCTTGTGCATTGCTCATGTTAATCTATTTTACGTCGAAAAATGCGATTTTCGGGCTTGGAACATGAATTTTAGGTCATTTTTCATCAGAAATCTCGAATTTTAGCTCATTTTCACCCAAAAATCTCGAATTTCAGCCTATTTTCACCCAAAAATCCCAAATTTCAGCTCATTTTCAGCCAAAAATTTCAAATTTTCCCCCAAAAATCCTCACCTTCACTATCCTCCTCATCACTTTCCTTCTGCACAGTCTTTTTCAGCTTCTGAAGTCGTTCCAAATCCACTCCATTTCCATGCATCGCTTTTTTCCATTTTCCATCAGTTTCTGCTTCGAATTCCTGATTTTCAGCTGGTTTTTCGGGCTGAAAATTGGAAATTTTCTAGATTTTCAAAATTAAAAAATGATTTTTTTTGATTTTTCAAATTTCCACGTCAAAAAGTTCACGCCTAAATTAATTTTTGGAAATTTTTTGTGAAAAATGGCATTGAAACCGGATTTTTGAGCCCAGGGGCTTGAAAGAGGCCTAAAATCGACCTGAAACCTTTCCCGGACTGAAATTCTTCAAATTTTATGAATTTCAGGTTGAAATTCTGTGATTTTCATGAATTTCAGGTCTACAAATCTCCCAAAGCCTTCTAAAGCTCAAAAATCATAGATTTCAGGCTTTAGATGGTCCCAGGCTCAAAATTTATTGATTTTCATGTTTTCTAGCTCAAAAATGAGCAACTTTCATGTATTCTAGCTCAAAAATGAGCAATTTTCATGTTTTCTAGCTCAAAATCATCGAAATCTCCCAAATGTTCCCTCAAAACCTCACCTCTTCCTCGCTATCTCTGCGTCTCCTTCCAAAATCGCGTCTCTCATCGGGAATCGGCTGCAAATCCGAGGCTTTCAGCATTTTTTTGGTTTTCCGCGAGTTCCGCTCCTTTTTGCCTTTTTTATTCTTCCTGAATTCAATCATCTCATCTTGTGTGTAGAATTCCGAAGCCAATTTATATTTCTCCGGGTTATCCAAAGTTTCCAGTCGTTTTCCAGCCATTTTCAGCTTTTCAAACATTTCCAGCTCGCGTTTCTCTTCAGCCAAGTCCAGATTTCCCGAGTGGTCCAATCGGAACTTTCGGGGGCCTTTTTCCGGGCCCAAATCCGAGTCATATTTGGCCAGGATTCCCGAACCGCCTTCTAGATCCCCGTCAGAATCTCTGGGATTTCTGGATTTCCTTAATTCCACATTTTTCCGATGCATCTCATTTTCCAGGAGATTTGGATTTACCAGAACTTCATCCGAATCATCCAAAACTCCTTTGTCTTGAAGAACCAGGATTTGGTGGGCGTCTTCGAGGAAATCTTCACGATTATGGCCTACGACTAGGCCGGCTGTGGAATCGTTTTTGGTGGGCTTTTTCTGGAAGAAAATTGAATTTTTTTGAGTCTAGATAAGCCTGGTTTTGGCCTGGAAAATCGGCGTTTTTTGAATCTAGATAAGCCTAGTTTAAAGGCTTTTGAAGACTAGAGTCTAGTTTAGAGGCTTTTGGAAAAATTAAAGCAAAAAATTTCAGATATTTTCAGACAATTTTTCTGGCTAAAAAAGTTTCGCGCATGGTTTTCTAGCTACAATAACCGAAGGAACAATCTAGAGAAAACCTGTAATTTTTGGGATCTCTAGAGTTATTGTGAACGGGTTACTGTACCTCTCGAAATTTCAGGTTACTGTTAGTGCACTTCAAAAGGAAAAGAAGCATTCCAATTGAGAAAGTCGTCAAAAAAAAGGAAGATCGAATAAATTGCCAGGTAGACCGTTTAAGTAACTAGTGTAAATTATTACCATAATATTTCCAATATTTTTGAAACGTAGATTTTTCACAATGATTTTTTTGGATGATTTTTTATAATTTTTTCTGAATTTTTGAGGGGATTACTGTAGAGTACACGTGGCAAAATTAAATCGAAAAATTTCAGATATTTTCAACCATTTTTGGAGCTGAAAAAGTTTTTCGCAAACTTTTTTTTCTTGGTTTTCCAGGAAAAATTCTTTTTTTGATCACTAGAGATTTGACTTTTTAACCTTAGAGCTACAGTAACCCGGCTGAACACATGTTTTTTATTAGATTTTCGTTATCACATTTTTTTTTGATAAAAAAAAATAATTTTGTTCATATGAATAGATAACATTTTGAAATTTTTGATCTACTTTTTTCAAAAAAAAAATTATTTTTTCACTATTTTCTCTAGGCTTTAGAACTAGAACTAGGCCTGAAGTTCTAGGCCCGAAATTTTCAAGGCTCAAATTATCCACGTGGATTTTTTTCTCACGGAAATATTGAATTTGACACAATTAATTTTCTAGGCTTGGGCTTAGCTAAAATCTTTAATATTAAATTTGAGATTTTTTTTAGGCTTGATATTAGGCCCATAGATCAAAATAGGCTTAGGCTTAGGCTTCTATTCAGCCTATGTTTTTTAGGCATGGGCCTTCTAGATTTAGGCTTAGGTTCATCATGATATTGAGAAGTGAGAAATCGAGTTCTAAATCGTCACCGGAAGATCGTCGCAAATATTTCCAATATTTTTGAAACGTATATTTTTCCACCCGGATTTTTTTGGATGATATTTTCTGATTTTTTCAGAATTTTTGAGGGGATTACTGTAGAGTACACGTGGCAAAATTAAAACTTAAAATTTCAGATATTTTCATTTTTTTTTGAATTTTCAAATTTCGCGCCAAAAAAAAACTCACTGATCATTGGATCCACTCAAGACCAAATACGGTGTCGAAAGTTGTTTTTGTTTTTTCAATTGTTTGCTGAGTGTTCCGAGCGGAGTGTCGTAGCTATTTGTCTGGAAATCAAGTGATTTTTTGGCTGAAAATCCTAAATTTCAGAGAAATTTTGATTTTTGGCTGAAAATTGGTCGAAAAATTTTGATTTTTGGAGCATTTTCCGGGCTCAAAATACTCCAATTTTCAGAATTTTAGACTTTTTCAGATTCTGTAGAGCTCGAAATTTTGAAAAAAAGCTGATTTTTCAGTCAAAAAGGGTTCCAGGCTCAAAAAATCTCGAATTGTAGGTTGAAATTCTTAAAATTTCAAGTTTCCAGGCTCAAAATGGTCCAGATTTTTTTTAAATTTTCAGCTGCAGAGCACAAAAACAGGATTTCTAGTAAACTTTTGAGCTCTAGAGCACATTTTCTAGCTCCACAACTTTTCTCGGTTAAAACTTCCTCCAAATTCCCATAAAAACTCACTTTTATCATTAGAAATCCTCAAATCGATCGATTTTTCTCATTGAAATCTCATTAAAAACCAATTTTTTTCGATTTTCATCGCAAAAAACCAATGTGTTCTATGAAATCCATCATTTTCATCAATAAAATCCTGAAAAAATCAATAATTTCAAAGTGAAACCGGAAAAAACTCGAAAATGACGAAAATCCAACAAAGCGCTAAACAACGGGCAAGCCGTCATTTTCCGGAGTGTCGTTGCACACACATTTTTTATTTTTTGGTGAAAAATCAATCGATAATTGTGGTTTTTGGGTGATTCATGTAAATATCAAATTTCTTGAAAGGTCGATCAAATGGAAGATCGAATGGGCATTTTTGTTGTTTTTTTTTTAAATAAATTTTTGAAACGTATATTTTCACGTGGATTTTTTGGAAAATATTTTCTGATTTTTTCAGAATTTTTGAGAGGATTACTGTAGAGTACACGTGGAAAAATTAAAACCAAAAATTTCAGACATTTTCAGCCATTTTTTGGGGCCAAGAAATGTTTTAAAATAAAAATCAGGCCTGTGTCCGAAATTTTCCGAATCTTCCGGATTTTTCGAGGAAAAATCAATTTTCCGGTTTTCCGGAAAATGTGCTCGGAAAATTCAAAATTGCCTAAATTTTGGGAAATTTTCTTAGTTTATGATTTAAAAAAAAGAAATTTTTGGATTTTTTTCGATATTTCAAATTGTACTATTTTTTGAACATAAAACGTCTTAAATAGTTACTAAATTAAGTTTTTGTTCCAACTTAAGGCTGAAAATTGCGAATTTCAGACCTTGAAAAGATTTCCGAATTTTCTGGTTAAAAAAATCCGGAAATTTTCTGACTTTCCGTTTTCCGGGTTTTAATTTTCCGGCACAGGCCTGTAATAAAAATTCAAAAACATTTCTCGGCTCAAATTTCGTGCTGAAAATGCTGAAATTACTTAAAATCGCTGAAAATCAATGTTTCCAGCGTTTTCAGCAAAAAATTTGAGTCAGGAATTTATAAATACCAACAAATGTACAGTAATTACAATAAACTTTTGAAAAAAAATGTTATTTACATAAATGTTTTTCAGTTCGGAATCAACAACAACATCGGATGAAAATGCATTTTCAAGAAGCCCAAAAACCAAACATCGAAAGAAGAAAAAAGAATAATTCCGAATGTCAAAATAAGAAAGAAGTGAAGTGAGAAATCGTCACAGGAAAATCGTCGCAAATATTTCCAATATTTTTGAAACGTACATTTTCCACCCGGATTTTTTGGATGATATTTTCTGATTTTTTCAGAATTTTTGAGGGGATTACTGTAGAGTACACGTGGCAAAATTAAAGCGAAAAATTTCAGATATTTTCAGCCAATTTTTGTGGCTGAAAAAGTTTTTCGCAAACTTTTTTTCTTGATCAATTTTTCCAAAAAAAAATTTAAAAACAATTCCTGACTCAAATTTTACGCTGAAAATGCTGAAATTACTTAAAATTGCTGAAAATGATGATTATCAGCATTTCCAGCTGAAAATTTGAGTACGGAACCATTTTTCTGGTTGAAAACTTTGAAAAAAAATGAAAAAAAAGTTTATTCAATAAAAAAATCACAAAAAATAAAATAAATTACTCCTTTTTGAGGCTCAAGCTGCAAAAAAAATCAATAATTTTTTGAATTTTCAAATTTCGCGCCAAAAACAAAACTCACTGATCATTGGATCCACTCAAGACCAAATACGGTGTCGAAAGTTGTTTTTGTTTTTTCAATTGTTTGCTGAGTGTTCCGAGCGGAGTGTCGTAGCTATTTGTCTGGAAATTTTGGTGATTTTTTGGCTGAAAATCCTGAATTTCAGAGAAATTTTGATTTTTGGCTGAAAATTTGGTCAAAATTGAGATTTTTGAGCTTTTTAATGGCCCAAAAAAAGCCGAAAAGCCCAATTATCACGAAAATCCAAGTTTCCGGGCTTAAAATGCTCTAAAAATCTGAAATTTTCAGATTTCTAGGCTTTCAAATAGCCTTGAAAGCCTCCTGGTTTAAATTTCACAAAAATCCAAGTTTCCGGGCTCAAAATGCTCCAAAAATCTGAAATTTTCAGAATTTTGGGCTTTCAGAGAGCCTGGAAAGCCCTGAGGTTCAAATTTCACGAAAATTCATGTTTCCGGGCTCAAAATGCTCCAAATCTCTCAAATTTTGGCTCAAAATGCTCCAAATCTCACCTTAAGCATTCGTTCCTCTTTATCCTTTCGATTCGCTCGTTTTTCCAGTTGTTTTTTGCCCGGATTTCTTCCATGAAATTTATAGGACAACTCTCTATACGCATCTTTTGCATCCATTTCACGGCCTTTTTTATCCACATAACTAATATTGACATCTGGATGATAGTCCAATTTTTCGGGAAATGCTTGAATTGGACCGCGTGACGATGAAGTTGTGCCAAGTCGATCGAGCTTTTTCATGTATTTATCTTCGATGTCGCTGAAAAAATGGGATTTGGGGTGAAATTCAGGAAAAATGGTAAAATTTGGAGCATTTTGAGCCCAGAAACTTGACTTTTTGTAAAATTTGAACCAAAAGGCTTTCCAGGCTCTTTGAAAGCCAAAAATTCTGAAATTTTCAGATTTTTGGAGCATTTTGAGCCCGGAAACTTGAATTTTTGTAAAATTTGAACCAGAGGGTTTTTCAGGCCGTGAAAAAACCTGAAATTCGAAATTTTGTGATTTTTGGAGCATTTTTTGATAAATTTCAAGTCCGGAAGCATTTTTGGGGGAAAATTCTAGATTTTTTGCTCAAAACAAGCTCCCAGGCTCAAAAATCTCAAATTTTGGCTCAGATTTTTGCTCCGGGGCTCAAAAAATCCCGAATTTTATCTCAAAACAAGCTCCAGGGCTCAAAAAATCTCAAATTTAAGTTGAAAACAAGCTCCAGAGCTCAAAAATCTCAAATTTTGGTTGAAAACAAGCTCCAGGGCTCAAAAATCTCAAATTTTGGTTGAAAACAAGCTCCAGGGCTCAAAAATCTAAAATTTCATGCTTCTAGGTTCAAAATAGCTCAAAAATCTCAATTTTTGGCTCAAATTCAAGCTCCCAGGCTGAAAAAAACCCCAAAACCACTCACAATCTTCCTCCATCAATCTGTGTTTTCGCATGATTTTTCAAATGCTCCAAACTGGGTCCTTTATAAGATTTCGAATTCGGATCCGTCAAATATCCTTTTTGTGCCGCCAATTTCAACATAGCTCCAACACCTTTCGAAACATCCGCTTCTTTTCCCAATGCTGGTTGATAATCCTCTTTTTCTTCTGAATCCTCTTCTGAATCCTCTTCTTCTTCATTCCATTTCCTTTTTTTCGCTTCTTCAATTGCTTCTTCATCATCGCTGTCCAATTGTGAAGTTGAGGTACTTTGGACCGGTTTTCCAGCTGCAAGCCAACCGCCTCTGCAAAAATTTGGAGTTTAATATGAGCAATGCGTGAAAATTTGGGAATTTTTGATATAAAACTCGATTTTCTACGTTTAATATGAGCAATGGGTGAAAATTCGGTGATTTTTGATACAAAACTCGATTTTCTACGTTTAATATGAGCAATGGGTGAAAATTTGAGAATTTTTTATATAAAACTCGATTTTCTACGTTTAATATGAGCAATGGGTGAAAATTCGGTGATTTTTGATACAAAACTCGATTTTCTACGTTTAATTTGAGCAAAGGGTGAAAATTTGAGAATTTTTGATATAAAACTCGATTTTCTACGTTTAATAGGAGCAATGGGTGAAAATTTGGGAATTTTTGATACAAAACACGATTTTCTACGTTTAATATGAGCAATGGGTGTAAATTTGGGAATTTTTGATAAAAAACTCGGTTTTCTACGTTTAATAGGAGCAATGCTTAAAAAAATGCATTTTAGGCTGAAAATCATGGTTTTTTGGCGCAAAAATTGGAAAATCATATTCAACGTGTTTAACATGAGTAATGGTTCAAAAATCAAGTTCCAGAGCTCAAAATTACTCAAAACCCCTGTTTTCTGGCTCAAAACCTTTAACATGAGCAATGCTTCGAAAATCAAGCTTTTCCAGATCCAAACTTCTTGCTGAAAATGCTGAAATTACTTTAAATTGCTGAAAATCAATGTTTCCAGCGTTTTCAGGGTGTAAAATTTGAGTCTAGAATCTTGATCTGAATGAATTTCTTGAAAATAACCCCCTTAACCAAAAACTTCACTTCAAAAATATTTCCAGATCCAAATTCTGTGCTGAAAATGCTGAAATTACTTGAAATTATCAAAAATGATGATTTTCAGCATTTTCAGCTGAAAAATTGAGTTCGGAACCATGTTTAAAGCGGGGTTTTTGGTCAAGGAACGCTTCATCTAATCATTTTCAAGAATTTTATCAGATGAGGATTCCAGACTCAAATTTTGTGCTGATTGGCTGAAAGTCTACAGTAACTATATATTCTTTCAGCTGAAAAAATTCGCAAGAGGAAAAAAATAGTTATTTGCTAACACAGTTGTGGTTTTCATAATGCACAGCCTACTCCATCATTTTGAAATCTTTTTGAAAAATATTTCCAATATTTTTGAAACGTACATTTTCCACCCGGATATTTTTGGATGATATTTTCTGATTTTTTGAGGGGATTACTGTAGAGTACATGTGGCAAACTTAAAGCAAAAAAATTCAAAAATCAAGCTTCTAGAGTCACTAGAAACCCGAATTTTGGCTCAAAACTACTCAAAAACTCTGTTTTTTTGGCTCAAAACCATCCAAAACCTAAAAATCAAGCTTCTAGGGTTTAATTTAAGCGAGAGATGGGTTCCAGGCTCAAAAAAAATTAAGAGATGGGTTCCAGGCTCAAAAAATGCCCAGAAACTAGAATTTTGGATCAAAAATGTCCAAAAATCAAGTTTCAGGGCTCAAAACTGCTCAAAAATCTTGTTTTCTGGCTCAGAATTTTTGAAATAAGCAATAGTTCCAAAAGTCAAGCTTCTAGGCTCAAAATAAGTCTGGAAAACGGTTTCTAGGCTCGAAAAATGCTTAGAAACCTGGATTTTGGCTAATTTTTCTTCAAAATTCAAATTTTTGGGCTGAAAATGTCTAAAACAAATGTTTTGGGTCAAAAAATGCCTCTAAACCTGAATTTTTGCTTATTTTTCTTCGAAAATCATGTTTTCGGGTCGAAAATTATAAAATGAGCAATTATCAAGCTTCTAAGATCAAAATTTGCCTAGAAACTTGAATTTTTGGTCGGAATTGCTCAAAAATCAAGTTTCAGGGCTCAAAATCATCAGAAACTCATATTTTTTTAGGTCAAAACGTTTAACATGAGCAATAGTTTTAAGATCTAACTTCTAGGCTCAAAAATTGCCTAGAAGCCTGAATTTTGGGTCAAAATTGTCTGAAAATCATGTTTTTTGAGGTTCTAGGCTCAAAAAATGCCCAGAAACCTGAATTTTGGCTCATTTTTCTTCAAAATCCACGTTTTCCACCCCAAAAACCCCCCAAAAAACCTCACTTTTCCTCCCTTCTTCTCTTCTCCTTCTCCCTCAATTCCTTATCAATTTTATCTCTTTTCCATTTCTCAAATCCTTCATCATCCTTTTCATTTTCCTCCTCTTTTTCCTCTTCTTCTTTGATCTCTTTCTTCACCAAAAGTTCTTTTTCTTTGCGATTTCCACCTAATCCAAGTGTATCGATTTCTCCAATATGTCTACAGTATTCCATGGTTGAATCGATGAAAATTCCCTCTTTTTTCGGCTGATTTTCTTCCAGATTTCCGAAATCTTCCATCATTTTTTGCACACGTTTTCCAACATTTTCCTCGGGATTTTCAGCAAAATCCACGAGATTTTGACGTACTTTTCGAGTTTTTGAGAGAATTGAGTGAAGTTCATCTTCAGCATCATCATCTATGACAATTCCAGTCAAATCTACACCTCCGGATGGGAAATCATCTGAAAATTTGGAGATTTTTGGGGGCTGGAATGGGCCTAAAATTAGGCCTGGAAGTTGGGGTTCTTTTGAGCCTAAGAAAGCCTAGATTTAACCTGAAACTCGGGATTTTTTAAGCCTAAGAAAGCCTAGATTCAGACCTAAAAATTGGGGTTCTTTAGAGCCTAAGAAATCCTGGATTTAGGCCTGAAACTCGGGATTTTTAGGCCTAAAAATTGGAGTTCTTTCGAGCCTAAAAAAGCCTAGTTTTTAGGCCTAAAAATTGGGTTTCTTTAGAGCCTAAACAAGTCTAGATTTAGGCTGAAAATTTGGGTAATTTTTAGGTCCTTTTTATAATCTTCAGGTTATTTTTAAAAGGTTTAGAGTAATTTTTGATAATTTTCAGGTCATCTTATCATTTTGGAGCGATTTTATGATTTTTAGGGTATTTTAACGTAATTTTGGGTCATTTTTCATCAAAAACCTTGAATTTCAGCTCATTTTTCACCCAAAAATCTTGAATTTCAGCGCATTTTCCCGCAAAAATCCTCACCCTCACTATCCTCCTCATCACTTTCCTTCTGCACAGTCTTTTTCAGCTTTTGCAACCTTTCCAAATCCACTCCATTTCCATGCATCGCTTTTTTCCATTTTCCATCGGTTTCGGCTTCGAATTCCGCATTTTCAGCTGGTTTTTCGGGCTGAAAATGGGAATTTTGAGAATTTTCCAAATTGAAAAATGATTTTTTTTGATTTTTCAAATTTCCACGTCAAAAAATTCACGTCAAAATTAATTTTTGGAAAATTTTTGGTGAAAAATGGCCTAGAAACCGGATTTTTGAGTTTAAGGGCTTGAAAGAGGCCTAAAATCGACCTGAAACATTTCCCGGACTGAAATTCTTCAAATTTTATGAATTTCAGGTTGAAATTCTGTGATTTTCATGAATTTCAGGTCTAGAAATCTCCCAGAGCCTTCTAGAGCTCAAAAATCATAGATTTCAGGCTTTAGATGGTCCCAGGCTCAACATTTATTGATTTTCATGAATTCTAGGTTAAAATTTGACGTTTTCAGTGAATTCTAGCTCGAAAATAATCAATTTTCATGAATTTTAGGTCTAGAAATCTCCTAGAACCTTCTAGAGCTCAAAAATCATAGATTTTAGGCTTTAGATGGTCCCAGGCTCAAAATTTATCGATTTTTATGAATTCTAGCTCAAAATTTGACGTTTTCATTGAATTTCAGCTCAAAATTCACCAATTTTCATGTTTTCTAAGTCAAAATTCATCAAAATTTGATGTTTTCAGTGGATTTCAGCCTAAAATTCATCAAATTCCATGAATTTTGGCTCAAAATCATCGAAATCTCCCAAATTTTCCCTCAAAACCCCCCAAAACCTCACCTCATCCTCACTATCTCTGCGTCTCCTTCCAAAATCGCGTCTCTCATCCGGAATCGGTTGCAAATCCGAGGCTTTCAGCATTTTTTTGGTTTTCCGCGAGTTCCGCTCCTTCTTTCCCTTTTTATTCTTCCTGAACTCAATCATCTCATCCTGGGTGTAGAATTCCGAAGCCAATTTGTATTTCTCCGGATTATCCAAAGTTTCCAGTCGTTTTCCAGCCATTTTCAGCTTTTCAAACATTTCCAACTCGCGTTTCTCTTCAGCCAAGTCTAGATTTCCCGAGTGGTCCAATCGGAACTTGCGGGGGCCTTTTTCTGGGCCCAAATCCGTGTCATATTTAGCCAGGATTCCCGAGCCGCTTTCCAGATCCCCGTCAAAATCTCTGGGATTCCTGGACTTCCTTAATTCCACATTTTTCCTATGCATCTCATTTTCCAACAAATTTGGATTTACCAGAACTTCATCCGAATCATCCAACACTCCTTTGTCTTGAAGAACCAGAATTCGATGGGCGTCTTCGAGGAAATCTTCGCGATTATGGCCTACAACTAGGCCGGCTGTCGAATCGTTTTTGGTGGGCTTTTTCTGGAATAAAATCGGCGTTTTTTTAGACTAGATAAGCCCAGTTTTGGTCTGGAAAATGGGCGTTTTTTGAGACTAGATAAGCCTGGTTTTGGCCTGGAAAATCGGCGTTTTTTGAGACTAGATAAGCCCGGTTTTGGCCTAGAAATTGGACATCTTTTGAGACTAGATAAGCCTAGTTTTGGCCTGGAAAATGGGCGTTTTTTTGAGACTAGATAAGCCTGGTTTTGGCCTGGAAAATAGGCCGGAAACTCGGGATTTTTTGAGACTAGATAAGCCTGGTTTTGGCCTAGAAATTGGGCCTGAAAATTGGGCTTTTTTTGAGCAAAAAATTGCCACGTGGATTTTCTAAAGGCTCCCGAAAATTGATAATTTTTGAATTTTCAAAAATTCGCGCTAAAAACGTTTGATACTCAGCCAACGTACGCAGTCAAATTTGAATATCAATTTTTTGAGCAAAAAATTTGCCACGTGGATTTTTCTAGCTCCAGAAAATCGATAAATGGATTTCTGGCTCAATTTTTAAGGAAATGTTTGCCAAAATCATGGATTTTCAGCCCAAGATGCTAAAAATCATGGATTTCCAGCCCCCAATGCTAAAAATCATGGATTTTCAGCCCCCAAGGCTAAAAATCCTGGATATTCAGCCCAAAAGGCTAAAAATCATGGATTTCCAGCACAAAAGGCTAGAAATCCTGGATTTTCAGCCCAAAAGGCTAAAAATCATGGATTTCCAGCCCCCAATGCTAAAAATCATGGATTTTCAGCCCCCAAGGCTAAAAATCCTGGATATTCAGCCCAAAAGGCTAAAAATCATGGATTTCCAGCACAAAAGGCTAGAAATCCTGGATTTTCAGCCCAAAAGGCTAAAAATCATGGATTTTCAGCCCCCAAAGCTAAAAATCGTGGATTTTCAGCCCACAAGACAAAAAATCATAGGTTTCCAGCCGAAAAAGCTAAAAATCATGGATTTTCAGCCCCCAAGGCTAAATTTCATGAAAATAAGCAAATTTGGTATCAAAATACTTCCCAAAAGTTCCTCACCTTCTTTCTCATCGTCGAAATCGTACTACTCACACCCAACTCATCATCCAATTGATTAAAAGCCTTTTCCCGTTCCGCCGCTTTTCTAGCCTCCTCATCTTTTTGTCTCATTTTCTCAATCCAATTCTTCGCATCATCATTATCCTCATCATCACTACTATCCGCCAATTTTTTCGCCTTCAAAACTTTGTTATAAACATCGCGTTTCTGCTTGGAAACTTCTAATTTCTCGCGAAGCGCTGAATCCTCCTTCTTCCTCGATAGATTCTCAGCCATCCGATGTCGAAATTCGAAACCATCTTCATTGTAGATCTTCTCGCCACTTCCATCTTCCGCTTCTTTCACTTTATCACCCGATGATTCTTCCAGCGGCGCTAATCCAAGCGAAATTCGAATCCGATTCGTTTCCTCGATCGAAATCTCCTCGACTGGCTCAGAATCCTCATTTTTCCGGGGTTTCTTGGCAGATTCATAATCCTCCTCTTCATCTCTCCGCTTTCTAGAGCTCTTCGACGACATTTTCAGCGTTTTCTGGCTGAAAAAGAAGAAAAAAATTTTTTCGAAAATAAAAAATAAATGCGTCAAGCCCCACAAGACTGACGCGCAATTTGTTTGTTGTCTAGCAAATGCGTCAGTGTTGAGGGCCTTGACGCAGCAATTAACATTTTGAAAAAATTATTTATTTTTTTTCGTTTTTCCGCCAAAAACATGGAAATAGTGAGTTTCTCTTCAATGCAAACCATAAAATATCAAGAAAATCATCAAAATTCCAGATAAATTACAGTCCAGCGCCACACAAACCGTGCATAATTCTAAAATGGCCAAATGTGAGGATTTTGCTCGATTGCCCCTTGGACATCACCCCATTCTTCTCCTATCTACCACATGTTTATCAAAGTGCAAGATTGAAAAATGCGCCGCCTTCGAGACGATTCAACAATCTCCATTATCTCAAAGATATCAATAATCGGATTCTGGTTGAAGGTGTTCCCGAAATTCACCACGTTTCAACAGATGCTCTTCAAATGAGCGCAATTGACGCGATTTTGGTGTCGAATTTCGATTCGCTGATTGCTTTACCGTTTTATACAGAGGGGACAGGATTTCGGGGCAAGGTTTTTATGACTGATATTGGAGTGCAGTTGGGAAGATTGTTGATGGAAGAAATGATTGAGTATTTTGAGCGAATTGATTTTGGAACCATTGATGAGGGATGGAAATTGGAGGAGATTTGCACGTGAGTCGAATTTTCGGGGGAAAATTCTGGAAATTTTGAAGAAAAATGAGAATTTTTGTGAAAAAATCAATAAATTCTAAGCTTTGAGCCTAAATTTGGCTCAAAAAGCCCGATTTTAGGGCCAAAAACACGTGGTATTCGAGCCTGAAATGTCGTGGTTTTATTGCCTAGAAAATCCGAAATTTTTGGGCCATCTTAGGCTTTAAAATACCAAGATTCCAGGCCCAATTTAGGCTCGAAAAATCCCGAATTTCTAGGCCTAAAAATCTGGGCTTGTTTGGGATCAAAAAGCCTGATTTCCAGGCCCTATTCAGGCCTAAAAAATCGCAAATTTCCAGGCTACATTTAGACTTGAAAAATCCCGAATTTCTAGGCCTAAAAATCTGGTCTTTTTTGGGCTCAAAAAGCCCGATTTCAGACCGTAATTAGGCCTGGAAAATCTTGAATTTCCGGGCCAGTTTCAGGCTCAAAATATACCTGAAAATCTGGGCTTGTTTGGGCCCAAAAAGCCTGATTTCCAGGCTACATTTAGGCTTGAAAAATCCCGAATTTCTAGGCCTAAAAATCTGGGCTTTTTGGGCTCAAAAAATCCGAAATTCCCGGCCCAATTTCCAGGCCAAAACTAGGCTTATCTAGTCTCAAAAAACGCCCAATTTTCTAGGCTTTTCAGGACCCTAAATATCCCAAGTTTCCGGGCCGAAAACTACAGTAACCAGAGCATATTTAGGCTCAAAATACGTGGATTTTTAGGGCCTAAAATTTACAGTGACCCCTGGGCCGATTTTAGACTCAAAATATATGGATTGCGGGCCTAAAAATCCGGGCTTGTTTGGGGCCAGAAAGCCTGATATCCAGGCCAAGTCTAGGCTCAAAAAATCCCAATTTTTTTCCAGAAAATTCCCCAACCCCCCATTCACCAACCCAACAGAATGGCGAAAATTCTACACCCATCAAGAAATGTCTGCGGCTCTCTCCAAAATCAACACTCTCTCCTTCAACCAGACCATCGACGTGCTCCGTGTGCAAATCACCGCAATCTCAAGTGCTCACAATCTGGGCTCCGCAAATTGGACCATTCGAACTGAAAATGAGAGAATCGGATATTTGACTGCCAGTTCAGAGACGCATACGAATTCGAAGAAAATCGAGAAATCTGAATTCAGAACTTGCGACACTATGATTGTGACAAATCTCAAAAGAATTATCGATTATTCACCGCAAGCCATGGGACAAGCACTTTTACAAACTCTCACTGAAACCTTGAAAAAAGGCGGGAATTGTCTGATTCCAATGAGCCCGATTGGCCCGATTTACGAGATTTTGGAGGCTGTATCAGCTGCTATTGATAATACAAATGGGATTCCTATTGATACGCCCATTTATTTTATTTCACCAATTGCTAAGAAGAGTTTGGCTGTGGCTAGTATTAGTGCGGAATGGATGAGTGAAACGAGAAGGGATGCTGTTATGAGACCCGAGGAACCTTTTAATCATATGAATGTGAGGGTTTTTGGGGGAAATTTATGAAATTTGCTCATTTTTGAGCTTGAAAACATGAAAATTGCTCATTTTTGAGCTAAAAACCTGAAAATCAATAAATTTTGAACCTGGGACCATCTAAAGCTTGGAATCTGTGATTTTTGAGCTCCAGAAGGCTTTGGGAGGTTTCTAGACCTGAATTTAATGAAAATTTTCATTTTTTGAGCTAAAAACTTGAATTTGTATGAATTTTGAGTTGAAATTGATGAATTTAGCTAGAAAACTTTAAAAAATGCTTATTTTTGAGCTAGACAACCTGAAAATAGCTCATTTTGATCTAAATTGCTCAATTTTGAGCTAGAAAACATGAAAATTGCTACTTTCAAGACAAATGATGAATTCAATGCTAGAAAACATGAAAATTGCTCATTTTTGAGCTAGAAAACATGAATTTTGAGCTAGAAAACCCAAAAATTGCTCATTTTTGAGCTGGAAAACCTAAAAGTCAATAAATTTTGAACCTGGGACCATCTAAAGCCTGAAATCTATGATTTTTGAGCTCTAGAAGGCTTCAGGAGATTTCTAGACCTAAGATTCATGCTCAATTTTTGAAAATGCTCATTTTTGAGCCAGAAAATCCAAAAATTGCTCATTTTCAGCTATGAACTCACATTTTACCTTTTTCCAAAAATTGAAAAATTAATTTAGTTCACGTTCGATTTTTAAAATTTCAAAATTTATCGATTTTTGCTCTCACATGATTTTTTTTGTTTGTTTGTTTACCAAAAGCTCATTTTTTGTTCAAAAATTGACCAAAAATTCCATTTTTTATCAATTTTTCATCAAAAATCCCATTTTTCCAGCTCATCAAAGCAAATCGTCTTCGAATCTACGATTCCCTTTATGGCGCCTTCTCAAAAGAATATAAAAGCCCGTGTATCATGTTCACTGGACATTCTTCTTTAAGAATTGGAGATGCTGCACATATGATTGAAGTTTGGGGAAATGATCCGAAAAATTCGGTGATTTTGACCGGTAAGATCTGAAATTCGCAATTTTCCAGCTGAAATTCATGAAAAATCGAGATTTTCAACCAAAAATGCTTCTTTTAGAGGTGTTTTTGCTTGAAAGTTGGGATTTTTGATGAATTTCGGCTGAAAATGCTGAAAATCATCTGGAATTCATGAAAAATCGAGATTTTCAACCAAAAATCCTTCTTTTAGAGGTGTTTTTGCTTGAAAGTTGGGATTTTTGATGAATTTTGGCTGAAAATGCTGAAAATTAACTGGAATTCATGAAAATTCGAAATTTTCAACCAAAAATCCTTCTTTTAGAGGTGTTATTGCTTGAAAGTTGGGATTTTTGATGAATTTTGGCTGAAAATGCTGAAAACTATCTGGAATTCATGAAAAATCGAGATTTTCAACCAAAAAATGCTTCTTTTACAGGTGTTTTTGCTTGAAAGTTGGGATTTTTGATGAATTTTGGCTGAAAAAATTTTAAATTTTGAAATTCGTCTGAAAATCATAGAAAACCTCAATTTCCAGCCAGAAACTCCAGGATTTCTGGCTGAAAATTGAGGCTTCCTATGATTTTCAGAGGAATTTCAGCGGAGATGCGGAAGCTATGCCCAAAATCTTCTGAAATTTTCAGATTTTCAGCCAAAAATCGATAATTTCCAGACCCTGACCTGAACTACGATGACGTCATCGATCCCTTCCGCAACCTTCCGATCCGCTTCATCTATTGTCCCATGGATTTCCGCCTCGATTTCCTAGCCATGCAAAATTTATTGATTGATGTCAAGCCGAAATCAGTGATTTGTCCGCCGCAATATTTGAAACCGATTCAACCGGGAAGACCAGATACAATGTTGATTTATGGATTGGTACGGCTGAAAATGCTGAAAATTTCAGATTTTTGAACGAAATTTCCAGGAAAATCGAGATTTTCAGCCCCAAAAATGCTTCTTTTAGAGGTGTTTTTGCGTGAAAATTGGGATTTTTCTTGAAATTTTGAAAAAAATGGGCGTGGCTTATTCTGAGCTACAAAATGAGTATAAATAAGCCACGCCCATTTTTCTGTAAAACTTGAAATTCTGAAATTCGTCTGAAAACCATAGAAAACCCTGATTTCCAGCTGAAAATTAGGGGTTTCTATGATTTTCAGAGGAATTTCAGCGGAGATGCGGAAGCTATGCCCAAATTTTGACTGAAATTCTGAAATTCGTCTGAAAATCATAGAAAACCCTGATTTCCAGCTGAAAATCTTGGAATCCAGGATTTTTGGCTGAAAATTAGGGATTTCTATGATTTTCAGACGAATTTCAGTGGAGATGCGGAAGCTATGCCCAAATTTTCAAATTAAATTCTGAAATTCGTCTGAAAATCATAGAAAACCCTGATTTCCAGCTGAAAATCTTGGATTCCAGGATTTTTGGCTGAAAATTAGGGGTTTCTATGATTTTCAGGGGAATTTCAGCGGAGATGCGGAAGCTATGCCCAAATTTTCAGCTATTTTTGGCTGAAAATTTCAGATTTTCAGCTCAAAATCACAAATTTTCCAGGGAAACATCTATCCAATGTCCTACGACGAGCCAATTCTTCTCTCAAAACTCACAAAATCGAAAAAACCAAAAATGATCAATGTGAAAATTCATCCGGAAATTATCAAAAATCTGAAATTCAAACAACATCCAACGCAGAAAAATCTGGCAATTGCACCAATTTCGTGCTATTTATCGTGTTATGATGATGATTTTCAATTAGTTCCCGAAAGTCGATCAGCACCGGTTGCTAGAAGAAAATTTGGGAAAATTAATGTCGACAGGTTTATGAGGGATTTGAGAAAGGTAAAATTGATGAAAAATGACCGAAAATGGTATTTTTAAGCCTAAAATTCATCAAAATTCAAGATTTTCAACCAAAAATGCTTCTTTTAGAGGTGTTTTTGCTTGAAAGTTGGGATTTTTGATGAATTTTAGCTGAAAATGCTGAAAATTATTTGAAATTCATGAAAAATCGAGATTTTCAACCAAAAATCCTTCTTTTAGAGGTGTTTTTGCTTGAAAGTTGGGATTTTTGATGAATTTCAGCTGAAAATACTGAAAATTAACTGGAATTCATGAAAAATCAAGATTTTCAACCAAAAATGCTTCTTTTAGAGGTGTTTTTGCTTGAAAGTTGGGATTTTTGATGAATTTTAGCTGAAAATGCTGAAAATTATTTGAAATTCATGAAAAATCGAGATTTTCAACCAAAAATTCTTCTTTTAGAGGTGTTTTTGCTTGAAAGTTGGGATTTTTGATGAATTTCAGCTGAAAATGCTGAAAATTATCTGGAATTCATGAAAAATCGAGATTTTCAACCAAAAATGCTTCTTTTAGAGGTGTTTTTGCTTGAAAGTTGGGATTTTTGATGAATTTTGGCTGAAAAATTTGAAATTCTGAAATTCCTCTGAAAATCATAGAAAACCCTAATTTCCAGCCAGAAATTTCAGGATTTTTGGCTGGAAATTGAGGTTTTCTATGATTTTCAGAGAAATTTCAGTAGGACGCGGAAGCTATGCCCAAATTTTCATCTGAAACTCTGAAATTCGTCTGAAAATCACAAAAATTGCAGGATTTTTGTGATTTTCAGAGAAATTTCAGTCGGACGCGGAAGCTATGCCCAAATTTTCGTTCTAGGGTATTTTTGGCTGGAATTTTCGGATTTTCAGCCAAAAATCAATAAATTTCATTATTTTTGAGCTCAAAAATGCTCCAAATTTTCAGAAAAAGCTGGATTGCTCCGAAATTCGCCACGATTCCGATTTCCACGTCATCAAAGTTCATTCGAACATCGACGCCACAATTACAGTATCCGAAAACGGGCGAAAAATCAAAATCCAGGCTGGAAATCAGGAAAAACGTCAGCAAATTCAGGATATCTTGAAATTGGGCCTAACTGAAGACGATGGAATTGTTGGACGCAAATTTTGAGCTAAATTTTGAAATTTTTTTTTGATAAACGGGTCATTTTAAGCCATTTTTTGCTGAAAATTCGAGATTTTCGGGTATTTTTACCCTAAATACCTTAAAATTGGGGGTTTTAGGGTGATTTTTACAGATTTTCAGCCGATTTTTGATCCTGGAAATGTGAAAATGTCCAAGAGATGGTTGACGAATTTGACGAGAGGAGTACAGGTGAGAAATTGGGCCTAGAAAGCCTGAAAATGGCCCAGGAAGGCCAAAAAATGGCCTAGAAGGCCTGAAAATGGTCTAGAAAGTCTGAAATAAGTTAGAAAGCCTAAAAATTGGTTCCGGAAGGGTTTTAGACCATTTCTAGGCATTTAGGGCCTAAAAATTCAGACTTTCTATTGAAAAATACAGTAATCGACAGTAATCTGCCTACAGTAACCCGGAAAAATTCAAATTCAAAAATTTTCCCGCCAAAAATTATTTCCACGTGACCCAAATTTTTTTTTCGCAAAAAAAAATTTTTCAAAAATTTTCCCAGTCTCTCATTTCTGAATTTTCGAAAAATCCAAATATGGAACAATTTTTTAATGGAAAAAAAGTAAGTACAGTAATCCTACAGTATCCCATATTTCTTCTGAAAATTTTTTAAATTTATCTACAGTACTCTAAGCTACAGTACTCCCCAGAAAATCCAGAAAAAATTATCGATTTTTTGTCAGCTCTGGAATTTCTTCTGGAAAACATCTACAGTACAGTAATCCTACAGTACCCCCCCATTTTTTCTGAATATTTTTAAGGCTATCTACAGTACTTTCATCTACAGTACTCTTAGCTACAGTACTCCCCAGAAAAATCCAGAAGAAATTATCGATTTTTTATCTTCTTCTCTGAAATTTCTTCTAAAAGTATGGAGCTTATCTACTGTACCTTTTTGGTGGGTACTGTAGATTACTGTAGCTGAGACACACCTGACGAGACGTGTCCAAAATGGACACTGTACATTTTTTTCAAAAGTCACACTGCATTTTTTTTCGAAAAAAAACTTTGTTTCCTTTTCATCACCATTTAACTTGGGGAAATAAATGCACATTTAGTTCAGTGGTAGGCCATTTTGCTAGTGTTCAGAAAGCCCAGGTTCGAATCTTCATTCGAGCTAACTTTTTTTTTATTTTTTCCCAACTTCAAAAACAACTTCAGCTTGCGAATTTTTTGAAGTTTCTCGGTGAAAATCAACTCAGCAGACTTTGTTTCAGTGTGGTAACATAATGTGCAGTGTGGAATTCACGTGACTGCTTAGCAAACCATAGTGTCACTGAAATTTCAAAAAAAATGACTTTCTATGAAAAAACTTCAAATTCCACACTGCACATGGGTAAATTCAAAAACTACGCCTAAAAATACACCAACTTTCTGAATATACCAACTCTTGATATGTGCTCGGAAAAAAATGCCGTCCGATTCTTTGTAATGTCCATATTTACCATTGAAATGGACACTCCAAAATAACAGCAAAATAGGGCATTTCCACACTGCACTCATGGTGTTCCACACTGCCTATGACCTTAGAAATCTATTGGAAAAAAAATCAACCATATCCGTTAAGCCTAAGCTTAGTTATCCTAACTTCAAATTTTGAGCAACGTTGCAACGCATTCGTTTGAAAACAGTTTCCTTTCCACCAACATTTCCCCATCGGGAGAGAAGAGAGATGTGGCCGAGAGGATAGCATTTTAGACTAGCGAGCATGAGACCAGGGTTCGAATCCTCCTGCCCGCGGACTTTTTTTCGAAAAACTTGAAAATTTCACGCTGCACATTTTTTTTTGAAAAAAATTTTCACACTGCACAAAAAATTTGGGACACTCTCTCGTCAGGTGTGAGCTGAGAGTACTGTAGATAATATTTAATTTTCAAAAAATAATGTTCAGACGAAGTTTCTGAACTGAAAAATTGATACAATTTTTAGGGGTACTGTGGGATTACTGTAGCTGAGATTTTTTGATCTACAGTACCCCTACAGTACCCCCAGACCCAAAAATTATCGATTTTTTCCCATTTTTCAGCTTCAAAGTTATCAAATTTTCAGAAAAATACAAAATTTGGTTCTAAAGACCTGATTTTCTCAAATTTTCAGTACAAAAAGTTCTACAGTACCCCTACAGTACCCCCAGACCTCAAAAATTATCGATTTTTCCACATTTTCAGCCTCAAATCAGCTCTCATGCTCCTCCAATCCCATCAACTTCAAATCTAATATCAAATCACCGTATTTTCGACCCGGAAATCGAGGAATGGCACAAAAAAGCTGCGAAATTCGAGGATTCTGCTGAAAATCTGGCTGAAAATGTTGAAAACACGGAACCAGCGGAGAAAATCGAGAAGAAATTGCGAAAAAACGAGATTTGTGAGGAGAATCGCACTGATGGACATGCTCCCATCAAATGGGCTCTTGGTAAGAGTTTTTGGGCTGAAAATTGCTGGAATTTTGGATTTTTAAGCTGAAATTTGAAAAGTTTGATTAAAAATAACCTAAAATTCAGTTTTTCTATAGTGGAAAGAGGGAAAATCCTGTTTTCTGGCCAAAATTCTTGATTTCTGACCAGAAATCTTGTTTTTTTCTGACCAGAAATCTTGGCGTGGCTTATTTGGTATCGAAAAATCGAATTTTTCATGATCTACATCATGTTTGGTGTCAAAATTCATCAAAAATCTCAAATTTGAGCTCGAAATAATCAGAAAATCCAAAAAATTGCCAAAATTTATTGACTCGGATCCCCTGTACAATCCCTTTTCCCATAATTCGCAATAGCAATATCAAAATATTGATGATGATCTGCAATCAAATAATCCAGATGAGAATCGGAGCACAGCAGGGATTCTTGAGCATCGCATTCTTTGTAGCTCGAGCCACGTGTCATGTTGTTGTTGTACCAGATCTCGTTGCGATGATGTCTGCAAAATTCGGCGATTTTTGACATCCAACACGCTATATTTTAAGCCACGCCCACAAAACTGTGTCGCACTCAAAAATTCGCCGATTTTTGACACCAAATAAGCCACGCCCACTTTTTTTGCAAGTCTCGCACAGTTTTTCCTGTATTTTTTACGTTTCAAAGTATTTAGTGGATAAACTAGACTATAGTTTGATGAAACTAGAGTCTAGTTTACTTGAAAATTAGTGGAAGATGTCAAACTAGAGTCTAGTTCAGAAATTTGTCAGTTGAATTAAATTGAAGTCTAGTTTTCTGAAAAAATAATTTTTTCATGTGGATTTTAATCAAACTAGACTATAGTTTTATATATGCTAGACTTATAAGTGAGACTAGAGTCTAGTTTATGATACTTGAAAATTAGTGGAAGACTAGAGTCTAGTTTATTGAGCTTCAGAGAAGCTATGTTTCTAACAATGAGATTCACCCAGTCATTGCTTAAACTAGAGTCTAGTTTGGGGGATTTTTTCAGTTGAGTCAAACTAGAGTCTAGTTTAATTATGATTCCTGGAGGTGTCAAACTAGAGTCTAGGCTAGCCTTCTGTCTAGTTTAGGAGGTCAGTAAACTAGACTCTAGTTTCACTCAACTAGAAAAAATTGCTAAACTAAACTCTAGTTTAACCAACGGCTGTATTGCCAAATCCTAGAAACTTAGGTTTGTCTAGTTATGAGGTCAAAAAACTAGAATCTAGTTTACTGACTTCCGAACTAGACTTTTCTAGTTCAATTTTTCTTAAAAAATATGGATTTGAATCAAACTAGACTATAGTTTTTATTATATTGTCAAACTAGAGTCTAGTTTAATTTTACCATTTTAAGCTCCGCCCATTTTTTCTGCAACTCTGGCACACTTTTTCCACTCACCTATAATCCACCTGTCCATTATACGGTATATGTGGAACCAGATCCTTTTTGTGCACAATTCGATAGCTCCATTTGATGAGTCGATCATGAGAATCGGCAAAATCACGATCTCCGGTCCTTGGCTGACCAAAAGTGACCAATTTGATCTTGTCCCCCTCGAAAATCCCATTTGCCACCAGAAAATTGCTCGCCAAACTTGCCAGAGAGCCGCCCAATGAATGCCCGCCAATCTGCAAGAAAAAGTGTGCCAGACTTGCAGAAAAGGGGCGGAGCCTGTGTGAAAATACGCATTTTTTGACACCAAACACGGTGTATTTGCATGCGGCATGGTTTTGTGGGCGTGGCTTACACATATAGCATATTTGGTGTCAAAATTAAGCTCAGAAAGCCCTGCCAAACTTGCAGAAAAGGGGCGGAGCCTATTTGGACTCAAAAATCGCCGAATTTCCCACTGCCGCATCACACCTCGGCCAAGCCGTGGCTGGCCACAGTACAATTTTTGGAAAAATCTGAATTTCAGTTTTTAGAGGTCAAAAATTGAAATATCACAATTTTTAGAGGACAAAAACTGAAAAATTCACAATTTTTGTACTGTAAAAACTTAGCGTACAATTTGTTATATTGGAAACCACGATTTTGGCCGAGGTATGTGCCGCATGGTTTTGTGGGCGTGGCTTGCAAAAATCACCTAGTAGCACCTACCCACAACTCATAATCCGGGTTTTTTGCAATATAGCCTAGAAGATCATTTTTCAAGCCCGCGTTCCACAGCAAATTGAAAGCTCGTGCAAAATAGAAGCCAACCGATCCACCGCCAGGCCACGAAATCTGAAATTTGCGGTTTTTTGGCTCAAAATTTGGGAATTTTCAGCAAAATTCATGAATTTTGACCCAAAAATCACCAAATTCCGGCCCAAAACCCACTTTTTCATTGAAAATCGTCTCCTCCGCTTCGAGACCCAATTGATTGAGGCCCAAAGTTCCGCGAAACACCAAAAATATCGCGCTGACGTCATGCGCGACGAATGTGTAGCCGCCGCAAGTGTCGCTTGCGATTTCGTCGCATGCGACGACGATTTGACGCTTGTACTGGAAGACTAGAGTCTAGTTTGTGAGGCATTTGGGAGAGACTAGAGTGTAGTTTGGAAGACTAGACTCTTTTTGTTATGATGGAAAACTAGAGTATAGTTCTGCGGGTGATGGGTCAAACTAGAGTATAGTTTTGAAGCTTGGTATAGGCTAATGAATCCTTTTTTTGCTCCCAGTATTGGCTCAGTTGTGGATTAAACTAGAGTCTAGTTTATCTAGGTCAAACTAGAGTCTAGTTTATCCATGTCAAACTAGAGTCTAGCTTCGAAGTTTGGGTTAATCTTGTTTTTTAGTTTCCGGTATTGGTTCAGTTGTCGAGCAAACTAGACTATAGTTTATCTAGGTCAAACTAGAGTCTAGTTTAAAAATAATTCATTTATCTTCAGTCAGACTAGAGTCTAGTTTTACTGTCTGAAATTTTTCGTTCACAATCCAATTAGATCCAAAACTTGAACTAGACTCTAGTTTGACCAAACTACACTATATTGCAACCAAACTAGAGTCTAGTTATACTAAACTAGAGTCTAGTTTGAAAATCCTATTTTTCTCCCACTTTTTCTGATGTTTGGCACAGTGAAAATTTCCACGTGGGTTTTTTTATCAGAAAAAAATTGTGCAATTTTTTTTCTGATAAAAATAAATGTTTGTGAGCATACTACAAACATTTTCATTTAGTTATATGAAAACTAGACTGTAGTTGGGTTAAACTAGAGTCTAGTTAGGTCAAAGCCAAAGCTAGCCAGTTTTGAAATCCGAAAAATCTCAAATTTTGAAATTACTAGGCTATAGTTAGGTTAAGATGAACTAGAGTATTCTTGGGCTTAACTAGAGTCTAGTTTGCTCTACCTAGGCCAAACTAGACTCTAGTTAACATACCTCAAAATCCTGATAAACTTGTCGCAAGCAATTTGAAGCATTCTTGGCTCTGGTAGCCGAAAATGTGACGGGAAAATATTTTCGAACAAAATCGTCCGAATATCCATCCCCAGCTGCGAAATTGACCAAAAATATGGCAAAAATCGCGAATTTTATCATTTTTTACATGAAAAATGCACAAAATGTTGATTTTTGAGCATTTTTCAAGGGGTTTTGTTATCAGTTTGACATTTTTCTGGGGGAAATTCGAAAAAAATCGGCCACGGAAAGGTTTTTGTGACATTTTCAGTGAAAATTCGAAGAAAAACGGTGCATTTTCAGCCACGTGAATGTTTTTGTGCCAGAAAATTGTGGATCACAAGGTCGTGGGATCGATCCCCACTCGGGGCTAACTTTTTTTTTCGCCCTGAAAATTATGGGATTGCTCATTTTAAGTGAAATTTTGATCTACAGTAATCCTAGGGTCTAAAAATTCCAAATTTTCCCGCCAAATTTGATCTACAGTAACCCTAGGGTCTAAAAATTCCAAATTTTCCCGCCAAATTTGATCTACAGTAACCCTAGGGTCAAAAAATTCCGAATTTTCCCGCCAAATTTGATCTACAGTAACCCTAGGGTCAAAAAATTCCGAATTTTCCCGCCAAATTTGATCTACAGTATCCTAGGGTCTAAAAATTCCAAATTTTCCCGCCAAATTTGAACTACAGTAACCCTAGGCTCTAAAAATTCCGAATTTTCCCGCCAAATTTGATCTACAGTAACCCTAGGCTTGTTTGGTGTCTAAAAATTCCAAATTTTCCCGCCAAAACGCCTACAGTACTCAAAAATTATCGATTTTTTGACTTGCAGCCGCCATGTTTCACGGCCTTCAACAATGCTCCTCAAAATCCAAATCCTTCTCCGATCTCAACGTGACGCTCTTCAATTTTCATTCGACGAAATTCGCCGAGCGATTATTGGCGCGAAATGTGGAGAGTTGTGTGATTGTCGAAAGTTCGCACACATTTTCGAAAACGGCCAAGGTTGGTGACGGGTTTTGGGTCGATTTTGGTGGGAAAATTATGGAAAATGAGATAAAATTTGATGAAAAATGAGCTAAAATCAAGTTTTCTGGCCAAAAATCGTGTTTTCTGGCCAAAAATCTTGTTTTCTGACCAAAAATGATGTTTTTTTTAATTAAAAATTGTGATCATATCATGTTTTTAAGGGAAAATTACCTAAAAATCAACTTTTACGTCCAAAAATCTTGTTTCTAGCCAAAAATCTTGTTTTCTGGCTGAAAATCGTGTTTTCTGATGAAAAATGAGCTAAAAATCATTTTTCGCGTCCAAAAATTTTGTTTTTGTCCAAAAATACTGTTTTCTGGCCAGAAATCGTGTTTTTGGCCAAAAATCATGTTTTCTGTACAAAAATCTTGTTTTCTGGCCAAAAATCTTGTTTTCTGGGCAGAAATTCTGTTTTCCTGGTCGAAAATCTTGTTTCCTGTCCAAAAATTGAGTTTCCTGGTGAAAAATGAGCTAAAAATCACCTTACGCGTCCAAAAATCTTTTTTTCTGGCCAAAAATCTTGTTTTCTGGCCAGAAATCCTGTTTTCTGTCCAAAAATCAAGCTTTCCGTCCAAAAATCATGTTTTCTGGTCAAAAATCAAGTTTTCTGGCCTCTAGCTTCTCTGCGTCTCTAACATATCTCCACTGTCTAGCTGTCTAGCTTCTCTGCGTCTCTCAAGTCTATGTGCTCTCTAGCTTCTCTAGCTCCCTCTGCGTCTCTAACCCATTTTCTAGTGTTCTCTAGTTGTCTAGCTTCTAACTTTCTAGATTTCTCTGCGTCTCTAACCTCTCTACACCCTCTATCTGTCTAGCTATCTCTAACCTCTCTATGCTCTCTAGCTGCCCAGCTCCCTCTGCGTCTCTAACCATTCCGGTTTCTCTAGCTTCTTCTACATGTTTTTCTGGCCAAAAATCGTGTTTTTTGCTCGAAAATGCTCAAAAATTGACCTATTTATACAAAAATCAACAAAAAACCCAAAAAAATCGATAAAAATCCCCAAGAAATGCGGGAATTTGCAAAATTCTGATAAAATTGTGCACTCCTCGCTCGATTTTTCCCCAAATTCTCCTCTCGAAAATTCGGCCAACTTAGCCCATCTTCCATATCAATTTCATAGTCGATTTGAGCGTCAAAACGCGAATTTTGCGCGGGTTTTTTGAGCGGAGTGTCGTTGCGAGCGAAAATTATCGATTTTTGAGCCGTTTCGTCTTCTTTTCTGCAAAATTTGCGGTTTTTTGAGCCCAAATAAGCCTAGGCCGGCCTTTTTTGGCCTGGCCCACCTTGTAATATAAACTCGATCATCCGAAAGCCTACTAAAAGCGGCCTGGCCCGATTCGCGGCCCAAACTTCGGTCCCCACGTTTCTCAGCACCAAAATCTTCCTCTTGCTCTATTTTTTTGTGGTTTTTGCTCCTTCCACCAGCTAACACCATTTTTTTGGGCTCCGCTTTTTTGTTGAGCACAAAATTATAGGGTTTATCCTGAAAGGTGTAATTTTGGGGGTTTTCAGGGCTTTTTGGGCCATTTTTTGGTCCGGAAAGCCTCAATTTAGGCCCCTAAAGCCTAAAATACACTAGGAAGGCCTGGAAGGCCTAATTAAGCTTCTGAAATTTTAGAATCCCAGAAAAGCCCAGAAAATAGGCTTTTAAGGTCTCCTTAATGACCTTAAGGCTCTAAATTAAACCTTGAATGATGAAAACACATAAATCTACAGTAACCTACAGTAATCATCTTTGAAAAAATATCCACGTGTAAATGTATTTCTTGAGAAAAAAAATTGAAAAACATTTCCTGACTCAAATTTTGTGCTGAAAATGCTGAAATTACCTAAAATTTCTGAAAATCAATGTTTCCAGCATTTTCAGCACAAAATTTCAGCCCAGAAACATATCTATATCAATTTTCCCAAAGTTTGTGCTGAAAATGCTGAAAGTCTACAGTAATTCATAAAAAAATCATCATCAAAATCGTGACTCAAAAAAAAATGATACAAATTTGTACAAATTTTGAAGCTGAAATTTGATCTACAAAAAAATCTACAGTAACCTGTTCATAAACCCCTGGATTACCTACAGTAACCCAAGGTGATTTGATATTTTTCGAGCCAAATTTCGATCTACTTTCTGCAAAATTTATATCAGAGAAATTTGTGCAAACATTAGTGCCACATATCATTTTGGAATCTTTTCGAAAAATATTTCCAATATTTTTGAAACGTACATTTTCCACCCAAATATTTTTGGATAATATTTTCTGATTTTTTCAGAATTTTTGAGGGGATTACTGTAGAGTACACGTGGCAAAATTAAAACTAAAAATTTCAGATATTTTCAGCCATTTTTTGGGGCTCAAAAAGTTTTCGCAAACTTTTTTTTCTTGAGAAAAAAATTTGAAAAATAGTTCCTGACTCAAATTTTGAGCTGAAAATGCTGAAATTACTTAAAATTGCTGAAAATCAATGTTTCCAGCGTTTTCAGCACAAAATTTGGATCTGGAAATGATTTTGAAGTGAAGGTTTTGATCAAGGGGGTTATTTTCAAGAATTTCTGATTCTAGACCCGAAGTTTCTGCTGAAAACGCTGGAAACATTAATTAACAGCAATTTTGAGTAATTTCAGCATTTTCAGCACAAAATTTGGATCTGGAATTGTTTTTGAACTTTTTTCTGGAAAAATTGATCAGGGAAAAAAAGTTTGCGAAAAAAATTTTCAGCCCCAAAAAATGGCTGAAAATATCTGAAATTTTTCGCTTTAATTTTGCCACGTGTACTCTACAGTAATCCCCTCAAAAATTCTGAAAAAATCAGAAAATATCATTCAAAAATATTCGGGTGGGAAATGTACGTTTCAAAAATATTGGAAATATTTTTCGAAAAGATTCCAAAATGATAAGTGGCAAGTATGTTTACACAAATTTCTCTGATATAAATTTTGCAGAAAGTAGATCGAAATTTGGCTCGAAAAATATCAAATCACCTTGGGTTACTGTAGGTAATCCAGGGGTTTATGAACAGGTTACTGTAGATTTTTTTGTAGATCAAATTTAAGCTTCAAAATTTGTATCATTTTTTTTTCAGTCAAGGTTTACGGTAGAGTACTGTATATCAATGAATTACTGTTTTTCAAAGATGATTACTGTAGGTTACTGTAGATTTGCGTGTTTTTATCATTCAAGGTTTAATGTAGAGCCTTAAGGTCATTAAGGAGACCTTAAAAGCCTATTTTCTAGGCATTTCTGGGATTCTGAAATTTCTGGCCAGAAATCGTGTTTTTGGTGGAAAATGACCCAAAAATCAAGTTTTCCGTCCAAAAATCTTTTTTTCTGGCCAAAAATCTTGTTTCCCGATGAAAAATGAGCTAAAAATTATCTTTTGCGTCCAAAAATCTTGTTTTCTGACTAAAATTCATAGTTTCTGTACTAAAATCTTGTTCTCCGTGCAGAAATCTTGTTTTCTCGCTGAAATTTATGGTTTCTGGCTAAAAATCTTGTTTTTAAGTCAAAATTCATATTTTCTGGCTGAAAATCATGTTTTTCTCTTTAAAATGCTTGTTTTCCGTTCAAAAATCAAGTTTTCTGTCCAAAAATCTTGTTTTTTTTAAGAAACTGACTTAAAAATGAAGTTTTCTGGTCAAATGTCTTGTTTTCTGGCCAGAAATCATGTTTTTTAATGGAAAATGATCTAAAAATCAAGTGTTCTGTTCAAAAATCATGTTTTCTGTCCAAAAATCCTGTTTCCTGGCTAAAAATCATGTTTTCCGTCCAAAAATCATGTTTTCTGGCCAGAAATCCTTTTTTCTGGACAAAAAATCAAGTTTTCTTGCATCTAGCTTCTCTGCGTCTCTAACATATCTCCACTGTCTAGCTGTCTAGCTTCTCTAGCGTCTCTCAAGCCTATGTGCTCTCTAGCTTCTCTAGCTCCCTCTGCGTCTCTAACCTATAGTTTCTAGTGTTCTCTAGCTGTCTAACCTGGCTATCTTATTGTTCCTCTGCGTCTCTAACCTTTCTATGCCCTCTATCTGTCTAGCTTCTCTAGCGTCTCTAACCTCTTTATGCTCTCTAGCTGTCCAGCTCCCCCTGCGTCTCTAACCACCCCGGTTTCTCTAGCTTCTCTCACATGTTTTTCTGTCCAAAAATCATGTTTTTTGCTCGAAAATGCACCAAAATTGACCTATTTATACAAAAATCAACAAAAAACCCAAAAAAATCGACAAAAATCCCCAAGAAATGCGGGAATTTGCAAAATTCTGATAAAATTGTGCACTCCTCGCTCGATTTTTCCCCAAATTCTCCTCTCGAAAATTCGGCCAACTTAGCCCATCTTCCATATCAATTTCATAATCAATTTGAGCATCAAAACGCGAATTTTGCGCGGGTTTTTTGAGCGGAGTGTCGTTGCGAGCGAAAATTATCGATTTTTGAGCCGTTTCGTCTTCTTTTCTGCAAAAATTGCGGTTTTTTGAGCCTAAATAAGCCTAGGCCGGCCTTTTTTGGCCTGGCCCACCTTGTAATATAAACTCGATCATCCGAAAGCCTACTGAAAGCGGCCTGGCCCGATTCTCGGCCCAAACTGCGGTCCCCTCTTTTTTCCGCACCAAAATCTTGCTCTTGCTCCATTTTTTTGTGGTTTTTGCTCCTTCCACCAGCCAACACCATTTTTTTGGGCTCCGCTTTTTTGCTGAGCACAAAATTATAGGGTTTATCCTGAAAGGTGTAATTTTGGACGAAAAATGGGGGTTTTCAGGCCTGAAATGGCCATTTTTTGGTCCGGAAAGCCTTAATTTAGGCCCCTAAAGCCTAAAGCCCATCAGGAAGGCCTAATTAAGCTTCTGAAGTTTAAGAATCCCAGGAAAGCCCAGAAAATAGGCTCTAAAGCTCCGAAAATACCTTAAAATGCTCCTAAGGCCTTAATTTAGGTACCTAAAGCCTAAAACCCATCAGAAAGGCCTATTTAGGCTTCCAATGTTTAAGAAGCCCAGAAAATAGGCTTTTAAGGTCTCCTTAATGACCTTAAGGCTCTAAATTAAACCTTGAATGATAAAAACACGCAAATCTACAGTAACCTACAGTAATCATGTTTTAAAAAATATCCACGTGTTATCACAAATGTATTTCTTGAGAAAAAAATTTAAAACTCTGCCTGACCCAAATTTTGGGCTGAAAATGCTGAAATTACTTAGAATTGCTGAAAATCAATGTTTCCAGCATTTTCAGCACAAAATTTGAGGCTATAAACATATCTATATCAATTTTCCCTAAGTTTGTGCTGAAAATGCTGAAAGTCTACAGTAATTCATTGATATACAGTACTCTACCGTAAACCTTGACTGAAAAAAATGATACAAATTTTGAAACTGAAATTTGATCTACAAAAAAATCTACAGTAACATGTTCATAAACCCATGGATTACCTACAGTAACCCAAGGTGATTTGATATTTTTCGAGCCAAATTTCGATTTACTTTCTGCAAAATTTATATCAGAGAAATTTGTGCAAACATTAGTGCCACATATCATTTTGGAATCTTTTCGAAAAATATTTCCAATATTTTTGAAACGTACATTTTCCACCCGGATATTTTTGGATAATATTTTCTGATTTTTCCAGAATTTTTGAGGGGATTACTGTAGAGTACACGTGGCAAAATTAAAACTAAAAATTTCAGATATTTTCAGCCATTTTTTGGGGCTGAAAAAGTTTTTTGCAAACTTTTTTCTTGAGAAAAAATTTGAAAAATAGTTCCTGACTCAAATTTTGAGCTGAAAATGCTGAAATTACTCAAAATTGCTGGAAATCAATGTTTCCAGCCTTTTCAGCATTAAATTTGGATCTGGAAATGATTTTGAAGTGAAGGTTTTGATCAAGGGGGTTATTTTCAAGAATTTAATCAGATAAACATTCTAGACTCAAATTTTCTGCTGTAAATGCTGATTTCCAGCAATTTTGAGTAATTTCAGCATTTTCAGCGCAAAATTTGGATCTGAAAAAGGTTTTTGAACTTTTTTCTGGAAAAATTGATCAGGGAAAAAAAGTTTGCGAAAAAATTTTCAGCCCCAAAAAATGACTGAAAATATCTGCAATTTTTAGCTTTAATTTTGCCACGTGTACTCTACAGTAATCCCCTCAAAAATTCTGAAAAAATCAGAAAATATCATTCAAAAATATTTGGGTGGAAAATGTACGTTTCAAAAATATTGGAAATATTTTTCGAAAAGATTCCAAAATGATAAGTGGCAAGTATGTTTACACAAATTTCTCTGATATAAATTTTGCAGAAAGTAGATCGAAATTTGGCTCGAAAAATATCAAATCACCTTGGGTTACTGTAGGTAATCCAGGGGTTTATGAACAGGTTACTGTAGATTTTTTTGTAGATCAAATTTAAGCTTCAAAATTTGTATCATTTTTTTTTCAGTCAAGGTTTACGGTAGAGTACTGTATATCAATGAATTACTGTTTTTCAAAGATGATTACTGTAGGTTACTGTAGATTTGCGTGTTTTTATCATTCAAGGTTTAATGTAGAGCCTTAAGGTCATTAAGGAGACCTTAAAAGCCTATTTTCTAGGCATTTCTGGGATTCTGAAATTTCTGGCCAGAAATCGTGTTTTTGGTGGAAAATGACCCAAAAATCAAGTTTTCCGTCCAAAAATCTTTTTTTCTGGCCAAAAATCTTGTTTCCCGATGAAAAATGAGCTAAAAATTATCTTTTGCGTCCAAAAATCTTGTTTTCTGACTAAAATTCATAGTTTCTGTACTAAAATCTTGTTCTCCGTGCAGAAATCTTGTTTTCTCGCTGAAATTTATGGTTTCTGGCTAAAAATCTTGTTTTTAAGTCAAAATTCATATTTTCTGGCTGAAAATCATGTTTTTCTCTTTAAAATGCTTGTTTTCCGTTCAAAAATCAAGTTTTCTGTCCAAAAATCTTGTTTTTTTTAAGAAACTGACTTAAAAATGAAGTTTTCTGGTCAAATGTCTTGTTTTCTGGCCAGAAATCATGTTTTTTAATGGAAAATGATCTAAAAATCAAGTGTTCTGTTCAAAAATCATGTTTTCTGTCCAAAAATCCTGTTTCCTGGCTAAAAATCATGTTTTCCGTCCAAAAATCATGTTTTCTGGCCAGAAATCCTTTTTTCTGGACAAAAAATCAAGTTTTCTTGCATCTAGCTTCTCTGCGTCTCTAACATATCTCCACTGTCTAGCTGTCTAGCTTCTCTAGCGTCTCTCAAGCCTATGTGCTCTCTAGCTTCTCTAGCTCCCTCTGCGTCTCTAACCTATAGTTTCTAGTGTTCTCTAGCTGTCTAACCTGGCTATCTTATTGTTCCTCTGCGTCTCTAACCTTTCTATGCCCTCTATCTGTCTAGCTTCTCTAGCGTCTCTAACCTCTTTATGCTCTCTAGCTGTCCAGCTCCCCCTGCGTCTCTAACCACCCCGGTTTCTCTAGCTTCTCTCACATGTTTTTCTGTCCAAAAATCATGTTTTTTGCTCGAAAATGCACCAAAATTGACCTATTTATACAAAAATCAACAAAAAACCCAAAAAAATCGACAAAAATCCCCAAGAAATGCGGGAATTTGCAAAATTCTGATAAAATTGTGCACTCCTCGCTCGATTTTTCCCCAAATTCTCCTCTCGAAAATTCGGCCAACTTAGCCCATCTTCCATATCAATTTCATAATCAATTTGAGCATCAAAACGCGAATTTTGCGCGGGTTTTTTGAGCGGAGTGTCGTTGCGAGCGAAAATTATCGATTTTTGAGCCGTTTCGTCTTCTTTTCTGCAAAAATTGCGGTTTTTTGAGCCTAAATAAGCCTAGGCCGGCCTTTTTGGCCTGGCCCACCTTGTAATATAAACTCGATCATCCGAAAGCCTACTGAAAGCGGCCTGGCCCGATTCTCGGCCCAAACTGCGGTCCCCTCTTTTTTCCGCACCAAAATCTTGCTCTTGCTCCATTTTTTTGTGGTTTTTGCTCCTTCCACCAGCCAACACCATTTTTTTGGGCTCCGCTTTTTTGCTGAGCACAAAATTATAGGGTTTATCCTGAAAGGTGTAATTTTGGACGAAAAATGGGGGTTTTCAGGCCTGAAATGGCCATTTTTTGGTCCGGAAAGCCTTAATTTAGGCCCCTAAAGCCTAAAGCCCATCAGGAAGGCCTAATTAAGCTTCTGAAGTTTAAGAATCCCAGGAAAGCCCAGAAAATAGGCTCTAAAGCTCCGAAAATACCTTAAAATGCTCCTAAGGCCTTAATTTAGGTACCTAAAGCCTAAAACCCATCAGAAAGGCCTATTTAGGCTTCCAATGTTTAAGAAGCCCAGAAAATAGGCTTTTAAGGTCTCCTTAATGACCTTAAGGCTCTAAATTAAACCTTGAATGATAAAAACACGCAAATCTACAGTAACCTACAGTAATCATGTTTTAAAAAATATCCACGTGTTATCACAAATGTATTTCTTGAGAAAAAAAATTTAAAACTCTGCCTGACCCAAATTTTGGGCTGAAAATGCTGAAATTACTTAGAATTGCTGAAAATCAATGTTTCCAGCATTTTCAGCACAAAATTTGAGGCTATAAACATATCTATATCAATTTTCCCTAAGTTTGTGCTGAAAATGCTGAAAGTCTACAGTAATTCATTGATATACAGTACTCTACCGTAAACCTTGACTGAAAAAAATGATACAAATTTTGAAACTGAAATTTGATCTACAAAAAAATCTACAGTAACATGTTCATAAACCCATGGATTACCTACAGTAACCCAAGGTGATTTGATATTTTTCGAGCCAAATTTCGATTTACTTTCTGCAAAATTTATATCAGAGAAATTTGTGCAAACATTAGTGCCACATATCATTTTGGAATCTTTTCGAAAAATATTTCCAATATTTTTGAAACGTACATTTTCCACCCGGATATTTTTGGATAATATTTTCTGATTTTTCCAGAATTTTTGAGGGGATTACTGTAGAGTACACGTGGCAAAATTAAAACTAAAAATTTCAGATATTTTCAGCCATTTTTTGGGGCTGAAAAAAGTTTTTTGCAAACTTTTTTTCTTGAGAAAAAAATTTGAAAAATAGTTCCTGACTCAAATTTTGAGCTGAAAATGCTGAAATTACTCAAAATTGCTGGAAATCAATGTTTCCAGCCTTTTCAGCATTAAATTTGGATCTGGAAATGATTTTGAAGTGAAGGTTTTGATCAAGGGGGTTATTTTCAAGAATTTAATCAGATAAACATTCTAGACTCAAATTTTCTGCTGTAAATGCTGATTTCCAGCAATTTTGAGTAATTTCAGCATTTTCAGCGCAAAATTTGGATCTGAAAAAGGTTTTTGAACTTTTTTCTGGAAAAATTGATCAGGGAAAAAAGTTTGCGAAAAAATTTTCAGCCCCAAAAAATGACTGAAAATATCTGCAATTTTTAGCTTTAATTTTGCCACGTGTACTCTACAGTAATCCCCTCAAAAATTCTGAAAAAATCAGAAAATATCATTCAAAAATATTTGGGTGGAAAATGTACGTTTCAAAAATATTGGAAATATTTTTCGAAAAGATTCCAAAATGATAAGTGGCAAGTATGTTTACACAAATTTCTCTGATATAAATTTTGCAGAAAGTAGATCGAAATTTGGCTCGAAAAATATCAAATCACCTTGGGTTACTGTAGGTAATCCAGGGGTTTATGAACAGGTTACTGTAGATTTTTTTGTAGATCAAATTTAAGCTTCAAAATTTGTATCATTTTTTTTTCAGTCAAGGTTTACGGTAGAGTACTGTATATCAATGAATTACTGTTTTTCAAAGATGATTACTGTAGGTTACTGTAGATTTGCGTGTTTTTATCATTCAAGGTTTAATGTAGAGCCTTAAGGTCATTAAGGAGACCTTAAAAGCCTATTTTCTAGGCATTTCTGGGATTCTGAAATTTCTGGCCAGAAATCGTGTTTTTGGTGGAAAATGACCCAAAAATCAAGTTTTCCGTCCAAAAATCTTTTTTTCTGGCCAAAAATCTTGTTTCCCGATGAAAAATGAGCTAAAAATTATCTTTTGCGTCCAAAAATCTTGTTTTCTGACTAAAATTCATAGTTTCTGTACTAAAATCTTGTTCTCCGTGCAGAAATCTTGTTTTCTCGCTGAAATTTATGGTTTCTGGCTAAAAATCTTGTTTTTAAGTCAAAATTCATATTTTCTGGCTGAAAATCATGTTTTTCTCTTTAAAATGCTTGTTTTCCGTTCAAAAATCAAGTTTTCTGTCCAAAAATCTTGTTTTTTTTAAGAAACTGACTTAAAAATGAAGTTTTCTGGTCAAATGTCTTGTTTTCTGGCCAGAAATCATGTTTTTTAATGGAAAATGATCTAAAAATCAAGTGTTCTGTTCAAAAATCATGTTTTCTGTCCAAAAATCCTGTTTCCTGGCTAAAAATCATGTTTTCCGTCCAAAAATCATGTTTTCTGGCCAGAAATCCTTTTTTCTGGACAAAAAATCAAGTTTTCTTGCATCTAGCTTCTCTGCGTCTCTAACATATCTCCACTGTCTAGCTGTCTAGCTTCTCTAGCGTCTCTCAAGCCTATGTGCTCTCTAGCTTCTCTAGCTCCCTCTGCGTCTCTAACCTATAGTTTCTAGTGTTCTCTAGCTGTCTAACCTGGCTATCTTATTGTTCCTCTGCGTCTCTAACCTTTCTATGCCCTCTATCTGTCTAGCTTCTCTAGCGTCTCTAACCTCTTTATGCTCTCTAGCTGTCCAGCTCCCCCTGCGTCTCTAACCACCCCGGTTTCTCTAGCTTCTCTCACATGTTTTTCTGTCCAAAAATCATGTTTTTTGCTCGAAAATGCACCAAAATTGACCTATTTATACAAAAATCAACAAAAAACCCAAAAAAATCGACAAAAATCCCCAAGAAATGCGGGAATTTGCAAAATTCTGATAAAATTGTGCACTCCTCGCTCGATTTTTCCCCAAATTCTCCTCTCGAAAATTCGGCCAACTTAGCCCATCTTCCATATCAATTTCATAATCAATTTGAGCATCAAAACGCGAATTTTGCGCGGGTTTTTTGAGCGGAGTGTCGTTGCGAGCGAAAATTATCGATTTTTGAGCCGTTTCGTCTTCTTTTCTGCAAAAATTGCGGTTTTTTGAGCCTAAATAAGCCTAGGCCGGCCTTTTTTGGCCTGGCCCACCTTGTAATATAAACTCGATCATCCGAAAGCCTACTGAAAGCGGCCTGGCCCGATTCTCGGCCCAAACTGCGGTCCCCTCTTTTTTCCGCACCAAAATCTTGCTCTTGCTCCATTTTTTTGTGGTTTTTGCTCCTTCCACCAGCCAACACCATTTTTTTGGGCTCCGCTTTTTTGCTGAGCACAAAATTATAGGGTTTATCCTGAAAGGTGTAATTTTGGACGAAAAATGGGGGTTTTCAGGCCTGAAATGGCCATTTTTTGGTCCGGAAAGCCTTAATTTAGGCCCCTAAAGCCTAAAGCCCATCAGGAAGGCCTAATTAAGCTTCTGAAGTTTAAGAATCCCAGGAAAGCCCAGAAAATAGGCTCTAAAGCTCCGAAAATACCTTAAAATGCTCCTAAGGCCTTAATTTAGGTACCTAAAGCCTAAAACCCATCAGAAAGGCCTATTTAGGCTTCCAATGTTTAAGAAGCCCAGAAAATAGGCTTTTAAGGTCTCCTTAATGACCTTAAGGCTCTAAATTAAACCTTGAATGATAAAAACACGCAAATCTACAGTAACCTACAGTAATCATGTTTTAAAAAATATCCACGTGTTATCACAAATGTATTTCTTGAGAAAAAAATTTAAAACTCTGCCTGACCCAAATTTTGGGCTGAAAATGCTGAAATTACTTAGAATTGCTGAAAATCAATGTTTCCAGCATTTTCAGCACAAAATTTGAGGCTATAAACATATCTATATCAATTTTCCCTAAGTTTGTGCTGAAAATGCTGAAAGTCTACAGTAATTCATTGATATACAGTACTCTACCGTAAACCTTGACTGAAAAAAATGATACAAATTTTGAAACTGAAATTTGATCTACAAAAAAATCTACAGTAACATGTTCATAAACCCATGGATTACCTACAGTAACCCAAGGTGATTTGATATTTTTCGAGCCAAATTTCGATTTACTTTCTGCAAAATTTATATCAGAGAAATTTGTGCAAACATTAGTGCCACATATCATTTTGGAATCTTTTCGAAAAATATTTCCAATATTTTTGAAACGTACATTTTCCACCCGGATATTTTTGGATAATATTTTCTGATTTTTCCAGAATTTTTGAGGGGATTACTGTAGAGTACACGTGGCAAAATTAAAACTAAAAATTTCAGATATTTTCAGCCATTTTTTGGGGCTGAAAAAAGTTTTTTGCAAACTTTTTTTCTTGAGAAAAAAATTTGAAAAATAGTTCCTGACTCAAATTTTGAGCTGAAAATGCTGAAATTACTCAAAATTGCTGGAAATCAATGTTTCCAGCCTTTTCAGCATTAAATTTGGATCTGGAAATGATTTTGAAGTGAAGGTTTTGATCAAGGGGGTTATTTTCAAGAATTTAATCAGATAAACATTCTAGACTCAAATTTTCTGCTGTAAATGCTGATTTCCAGCAATTTTGAGTAATTTCAGCATTTTCAGCGCAAAATTTGGATCTGAAAAAGGTTTTTGAACTTTTTTCTGGAAAAATTGATCAGGGAAAAAAAGTTTGCGAAAAAAATTTTCAGCCCCAAAAAATGACTGAAAATATCTGCAATTTTTAGCTTTAATTTTGCCACGTGTACTCTACAGTAATCCCCTCAAAAATTCTGAAAAAATCAGAAAATATCATTCAAAAATATTTGGGTGGAAAATGTACGTTTCAAAAATATTGGAAATATTTTTCGAAAAGATTCCAAAATGATATATGGCATATATGTTTGCACAAATTTCTCTGATATAAATTTTGCAGAAAGTAGATCGAAATTTGGCTCGAAAAATATCAAATCACCTTGGGTTACTGTAGGTAATCCATGGGTTTATGAACAGGTTACTGTAGATTTTTTTGTAGATCAAATTTAAGCTTCAAAATTTGTATCATTTTTTTTTCAGTCAAGGTTTACGGTAGAGTACTGTATATCAATGAATTACTGTTTTTCAAAGATGATTACTGTAGGTTACTGTAGATTTGCGTGTTTTTATCATTCAAGGTTTAATGTAGAGCCTTAAGGTCATTAAGGAGACCTTAAAAGCCTATTTTCTAGGCTTTTCTGGGATTCTGAAATTTCTGGCCAGAAATCGTGTTTTTGGTGGAAAATGACCCAAAAATCAAGTTTTCCGTCCAAAAATCTTTTTTTTCTGTCCAAAAATCACGTTTTCTGGCCAAAAATCTTGTTTCCCGATGAAAAATGAGCTAAAAATTATCTTTCGCGTCCAAAAATCTTGTTTTCTGAGTAAAATTCATAGTTTCTGTACAAAAATCTTGTTTTCCGTGCAGAAATCTTGTTTTCTCGCTGAAATTTATGGTTTCTGGCTAAAAATCTTGTTTTTAAGTCAAAATTCATATTTTCTGGCTGAAAATCATGTTTTTCTCTTTAAAATGCTTGTTTTCCGTTCAAAAATGAAGTTTTCTGGCCAAAAATCTTGTTTTCTGGCCAGAAATCCTGTTTTCTGTCCAAAAATCAAGCTTTCCGTCCAAAAATCATGTTTTCTGGTCAAAAATCAAGTTTTCTGGCCTCTAGCTTCTCTGCGTCTCTAACATATCTCCACTGTCTAGCTGTCTAGCTTCTCTAGCGTCTCTCAAGCCTATGTGCTCTCTAGCGTGTCTAGCTCCCTCTGCGTCTCTAACCCATTTTTCTAGTGTTCTCTAGCTGTCTAACCTGGCTATCTTATTTTTCCTCTGCACTCTCTAGCTGTCTAGCTGTCTGGCTTCTGAATTTGATTTCTCTGCGTCTCTACCCTGCCTATACTCTATGGTTTTTTGATTATATCAATCGATGATGTTCTCTAGTTGTCTAGCTTCTAGCTTTTTAGATTTCTCTGCGTCTCTAACGTCTCTACACCCTCTATCTGCCCAGCTCCCTCTGCGTCTCTGACCAACCACTCCGGTTTCTCTAGCTTCTCCCACATGTTTTTCTGACCAAAAATCGTGTGTTTTGCTCGAAAAATGCACAAAAATTGACCTATTTATACAAAAATCAACAAAAAACCCAAAAAAATCGATAAAAATCCCCAAGAAATGCGGGAATTTGCAAAATTCTGATAAAATTGTGCACTCCTCGCTCGATTTTTCCCCAAATTCTCCTCTCGAAAATTCGGCCAACTTAGCCCATCTTCCATATCAATTTCATAATCAATTTGTGCGTCGAAACGCGAATTTTGCGCGGTTTTTTTGAGCGGAGTGTCGTTGCGAGCGAAAATTATCGATTTTTGAGCAGTTTCGTCTTCTTTTCTGCAAAATTTGCGGTTTTTTGAGCCCAAATAAGCCTAGGCCGGCCTTTTTTGGCCTGGCCCACCTTGTAATATAAACTCGATCATCCGAAAGCCTACTAAAAGCGGCCTGGCCCGATTCGCGGCCCAAACTTCGGTCCCCACGTTTCTCGGCACCAAAATCTTGCTCTTTGTGGTTTTTGCTCCTTCCACCAGCCAACACCATTTTTTTGGGCTCCGCTTTTTTGTTGAGCACAAAATTATAGGGTTTATCCTGAAAGGTGTAATTTTTGCTGTTTTTGGACGAAAAATGGGCTTTTTTAGGCCCGAAACGGCCATTTTTTGGTCCGGAAAGCCTTAATTTAGGCCCCTAAAGCCTAAAACCCACTAGGAAGGCCTAGAAGGCCTATTTAAGCTTCTAATGCCTAAGAATCCCAGAAAATAGGCTTTTTAGGTCTCCTTAATGACCTTAAGGCTCTAAATTAAACCTTGAATGATAAAAACACGCAAATCTACAGTAACCTACAGTAATCATCTTTGAAAAAATATCCACGTGTTATCACAATGGTATTTCTTGAGGAAAAAAATTGAATAACATTGCCTGACTCAAATTTTGGGCTGAAAATGCTGAAATTACTTAGAATTGCTGAAAATCAATAATTCCAGCATTTTCAGCACAAAATTTCAGCCCAGAAACATATATACATATATATATCAATTTTCCCAAAGTTTGTGCTGAAAATGCTGAAAGTCTACAGTAATTCATTGATATACAGTACTCTACCGTAAACCTTGACGGAAAAAAATGATACAAATTTTGAAGCTTAAATTTGATCTACAAAAAAATCTACAGTAACCTGTTCATAAACCCCTGGATTACCTACAGTAACCCAAGGTGATTTGATATTTTTCGAGCCAAATTTCGATCTACTTTCTGCAAAATTTATATCAGAGAAATTTGTGCAAACATTAGTGCCACATATCATTTTGGAATCTTTTCGAAAAATATTTCCAATATTTTTGAAACGTACATTTTCCACCCGGATTTTTTTGGATGATATTTTCTGATTTTTCCAGAATTTTTGAGGGGATTACTGTAGAGTACACGTGGCAAAATTAAAACTAAAAATTTCAGATATTTTCAGCCATTTTTTGGCGCTCAAAAAGTTTTTTGCAAACTTTTTTTCTTGAGAAAAAAATTTGAAAAATAGTTCCTGACTCAAATTTTGAGCTGAAAATGCTGAAATTACCTAAAATTGCTGAAAATCAATGTTTCCAGCGTTTTCAGCACAAAATTTGGATCTGGAAATGATTTTGAAGTGAAGGTTTTGATCAAGGGGGTTATTTTCAAGAATTTCTGATTCTAGACTCGAAGTTTCTGCTGAAAACGCTGGAAACATTAATTAACAGCAATTTTGAGTAATTTCAGCATTTTCAGCACAAAATTTGGATCTGGAATTGTTTTTGAACTTTTTTCTGGAAAAATTGATCAGGGAAAAAAAAGTTTGCGAAAAAAATTTTCAGCCCCAAAAAATGACTGAAAATATCTGAAATAGCTCTAATTTTTAGCTTTAATTTTGCCACGTGTACTCTACAGTAATCCCCTCAAAAATTCTGAAAAAATCAGAAAATATCATTCAAAAATATCCGGGTGGAAAATGTACGTTTCAAAAATATTGGAAATATTTTTCGAAAAGATTCCAAAATGATATGTGGCACTAATGTTTGCACAAATTTCTCTGATATAAATTTTGCAGAAAGTAGATCGAAATTTGGCTCGAAAAATATCAAATCACCTTGGGTTACTGTAGGTAATCCAGGGGTTTATAAACAGGTTACTGTAGATTTTTTTGTAGATCAAATTTAAGCTTTTAAAGGCTTTAGTTTGGTACCTAAATTAGGGCCTTAGGATCATTTTAAGGTATTTTCAGACCTTTAAAGCCTATTTTCTGGGCTTTCCTGAGATTCTGAAGTTTCAGAAGCTTAAAAAGGCATTTCCGATGGATTTTAGGCTTTAGGTACCTAAATTAGGGCCTTAGGACCATTTTTGATACATTGCGGACCAAAAACTGGCCTTCCTTCAGAGCTCTACGAGCTCTAGGCCTTGGCCTACCTTCTCCTCCCCGCCCCCCTGCGGCCTTATCCGACTCCGACTAGTCAACGTGTACTGGGCCCCATCGGGCTGCCAAACTGTGACGTGGCACTGCCACGCGCCCAAATCCCACGTCATCAAAACCGGATTGATTTCCATCGAAAAATCGCCGGTCAACTCGTCGTAGTCAAATAGATAGCGTGCATTGTTCAGCAACACGCGCATCACTGTCTTTCCTGCAAAAAAATTTTTGCCACGTGCACAGGGATTTTTTGCGCACCTGAAACTCGTCGCTTATTGAATGTCGACTCGCCGTGCACATATTTTCGCTCGCCGTCCTCGATTTTTAGCCAAATTGTCTCGTTTAGCGTCCAGACTACCTCGATTCGGACCTGAAATTGGGCTTTTTGGGCTTTTTCGATCTAAAATCAGGCTCTGGGGGCTTTTTTGAGCCTGGAAACGATTCTGGGGGCTTTTTTGAGCCTAGAAATGGTTCTAGAGGCTTTCTAAAGCCTGGAATTGTCCATCGGGGCTTTTTTGGGCCTAGAAATGGTTCTGGGGGCTTTTTGGGCCTGGAATTGGATCTGGGGGCTTTTTTAGGCCTAGATATGGTTCTGGGGGCTTTTTTGGGCCTGGAATTGGATCTGGGGGCTTTTTTGAGCCTAGAAATGGTTCTAGAGGCTTTCTGAAGCCTGGAATTGGATCTGGGGGCTTTTTTGGCCAAAAATTAGGCTCTAGAGGCTTTTTCGGTCTAGAAATGGCCCTATGGGCTTTTTCGAGCCTAGAATTGATCCCAGAAGCTTTGTCTAGCCTAGAAATGGTCCTATGGGCTTTTTTAGGGTTAGAAATGGTTCTAGAGGCTTTTTAGACCAAAAATAGGGCTTTAGAAGCTTGTTAGACCAAAATTAAGGCCTTAGAAGCTTATTAGACCAAGATTAGGGCTTTAGGAGCTTCTTAAGGCCTAGAAATGATTCTGGAAGCTTTATTTGGTCCTAAGAAGCTTTTTCAAGCTCAGAAATCGTTTCAGCAGCATTTTTAGGCTTAGAAATAGCTTCCAGAAGCTTTTTCAGATCTAGAGAAAGTTTTAGGTGGTTTTTAATCTGAAAATTAGGCACTGGGGGCTTTTTTCGGTCTAAAAGTGGTTCTAGAGGCTTTTAAGACCAAAAATTAGGCTTTAGGGGCCTTTTTTAGGCCTCGAAATGGCCCTATGGGCTTTTTTTAGCCTAGAAATGGCCCTGGGGGCTTCTTAGGCTTAGAAAATGCTCCAGAGCTCCAAAAAAACTCACATCTTTATTGCTGGCATCAGCCACGTGTGGACAATTCAATGAAAATTGCTCAAGACGACCCGGATTTTTGGGATTTATAATTGAAGATGAGGCAGAAATGTAGGGATGATGATGGATGTCTGAAACTACGATGCTACGGGATTACGGCTAAGATCTGGGGTGGATTCTGAAGGTCTAGGTTGAGATCTAGGCTGATTTATAGGCCTTATAACCTCTCTAGATCATACCTGAAAATAGGCCCATTCTAGGCTAGATTATGAGCCTAAATCAGGCCTGAAATAGGCTGATCTATAGGCCTAATATAGACCTGAATAAGCCTGAAATATAGGCCCCAATCTAGCCTAGATTATAGGCCCGATCCAGGCCCGATCCAAGCCCCTGAACTCACTTCGACTATCCCTTAATTTGTGTAGATGTCGGTGATGATGATGTTGATGTTTGCTTGAATTCTCCTCTTCCACTGTGAAATCTATGGATGTTCTCACTGGAGTTGGATTTGAGATGAGCAAGATCAGAAGGATGATGTGGAGCTGGAAATTTCGGGAGAGTTAGGCTTATCTGGGCCCTGAAACTAGGCTTATCTGGGCTTTAGAAATCTGGATTTTAGACCTGAATTCTGGACTTATCTGGGCTCAAAACATCTTGTTTTAGGCCTACAGGTACAGGCTTATCTGGGCTTACCAGGATTTTGGGCCTAGAGATATTGGCTTATCTGGGCTCTAGAAATCTGGATGTTCGGCCTTGAAACTAGGCTTGGTTAGGCTGAGAAGATCTAGGATTTTAGACCTGAAACTGGGCTTAATTAGGATCTAGAAATTTGGATTTTCAGACGGAAACTAGGCTTATCTGGGCTCTAGAAATCTGGAATTTTAAAGGAGCATTGCTCATGTTAAACTATTTTTCAAAAAAACGGAATTTTTGAGGAATTGCTCATGTTATAGAAAATAATCTGAAAAAATGCGATTTTTGAAAAATATTGCTCATTTTTTTTTGGATTTTTTGAGCTTTAAATGATCATTACTCATATTAGAGTTGAAATCGAAATTTTTGATGAAAAAATGTAGGATTGCTCATGTTATATGCATTCATTTTCCACTAAAAATTTTGATTATTGCTCATTTTATACAGTAAAATAAGATAATTGCTCATGTTATACTAATTTTCATCAAAAATTGTCAAAATTTACAATTTCTATGTGAAATTGCTCATGCTATACTAGTTTCCATCAAAAATTGTCCAATATGAGCAATAAATTCGGAGCATTGCTCATGTTATACATATTTTCAATGAAAAATTGTCGAAATTCACATTTTTATGGGAAAATTGCTCATGTTATACTATTTTTCATCAAAAATTGTCCAAATCGCTGATTTTATACACATTTTTCATGAAAAAAAATAGGCTAATATGAGCAATGCTCATTTTTATCCCTTTAAAACCAGGATTTTTAGGTTAAAAATTCCAAACACTTAGCCTAACTCTCCCCCTTTTTCAATTTACTTTTAGCACTATATTTTATCGAACCAGATGTGCTAAGATTCTTCCCTTTTTCCCCATAAATTTATAAATAACGATAATTAATAGTAGATGAGAGAAAAGAAGAGAGGGGAAATAATAAATAAATATAATATACATTAGAAATTAGTCTAATTTACACGATGTGTCTCCTCATGTTCCTTTAATCGAGCTAATTTCATTGGCAAAATTCGGATTTTTCATGGGAAATTGAGTATTGCTCATGTTAGAGACGGAAATATTGGATTTTTCATGTAGAATTGCTCATGTTATAGTATTTTTCATAAAAATTACGATTTTTCTGATGAAAATTGCTCATATTAGGTTGTTTTTGATGAAAAATGGAGCATTGCTCATATTAAAATGAAATTAATGAAAAATTTCGTTTTTCAGTAGAAAATTAGCCTATTTTTAACTAAAAATCGAATCATTGCTCATATTATACTGTAAAATCCGCAAATAGCTTATGTTATTCACTAAATTTGGAGCATTGCTCATATGATGCTATTAAAGTAGAGTATTGCTCATGTTATGCAGTAAAATCAGTATATTGCTCATATTATACTATTTTTGACAAGAAAAATTAGTTCATTGCTCATTTTATAGAAGAATTTGCAAATTTGAGCTAAAAATTCGACCCATTGCTCATTTTAGACTATTTTTCATGTTTTTCCACGCAAGATTGCTCATTTTATACTAATTTTCATCAAAAATTCCATAATATGAGCAATAAAAAGCTCATTTTTATGCTCAATTCATCATTTGTCTTCTTCTCCGTCCGGAATTTGCCCTATTTTATTGTATATATACATATACATATATATTTTTTATGAGGTTTCCCCCTATTTTTTCTTTTGAAAAGGGAAAAGGAACCTTTCCTCTTTCCTTTTAGAACAAAAGAATTGGCTTTTTACCTCATCGTGACGCATAATTTGAGCTCATATAATTTTGAGAGGAGTTTTGAAGGTGGAGACGCTGAAAATTTGGGATTTTTGACTGAAAATTTGGGATTTTTGAGAAAAATTGAGATGGTATGATGATTTTTAAGGGAAAAGCTTCAGAAATATGAAAAAATTAGAAAATTTGGATTATTTTGACCAGAAATATGAGAAAATCAAGAAAATGACTGAATTTTTACCAGAAATGTGAAAAATCAAGAAATTTGGGTTATTTGGAGCTTAAAACTGGAATTTTCATGAATTTTTGAAAAATTCTGAATTTTTTGACCCAAAATTCTGAAAATTTTAAGAAATTCTGAAAATTCTGAATTTTTAACGCCAAAATTTCGAATTTTCTTCAAAAACTTTGCCACGTGGATTTTTAGCTTCAAATTTATTGAAATTTCAAAAAATTCTGAATTTTTTAGCTCAAAATTTCGAAATTTTGGGAAATTTGATATTTCGTAATTTTTCTTCTCAAAAAAAAAACAAAAAAAAATTCAAATTTTATACGAAAAATGGAGAAATAAATAAAACAACACACAATTTCGTGAAATAAGGAAGAAAAGAGGCGAAAAAGGGCGGGAAAATTGAATTTTCAAAGAAAATACACTACAAAATGCTTTTTGTTTTGTTTTTGATGTTTGAATGCTCAAAAATGAGCCAAAATTCAAGATTTTAAGCTCAAAAATGCTCAAAATCTGAAATTTTGATGAAAAATGAGCTAGAATTCAGGTTTCTGCCTCAAAAAATGCTCAAAAACCCGATTTCCTGCTCTAGAAAGTTACCTTTGAACTTTTTTCCCCGCAAAAATGAAAAAAACATTTTTTTTTTGAAAAACGCAATTTATGCCTTATGAATAGAAGAGCTAATGATATTGAGGGAAGAAAGCGCGCGCGCAAAAATAGGCCACGCCCACTTTTTTTCCCGCTTTTTTTTTGAGTTAGGACAAGTCTGGGGAATATAAAACAAGGAAAAAAGAAGATGAATTTGAATTGACACTTTTTTTGGGAAGAAGAGTTGTAGAGTTTGATGGATTGAAGAAAGAAAATAGAGGAAATGACCAGTTGACGGGGCGAAAAGTGCACGAGAAATGCGCCAGCAAATTTGGAGCTGCTAGAAATACGTCAGTAAAGAGTTGGAGGAACGGAAATGTGCGAGGAATCTTCTAGGATACTAAAGAGAGCGTCAGTGAGGATTTGGAGCTACGGAAATTGCGTCAGGAATTTTCTAGGCTACTGGGAATGCGTCAAGGCTACCAGTAATGCGCCAGCGAATTTGGAGTTACTAGAAATACGTCAGCAAGCTTCCAGCCTACAAAATTCACGTCAACCACTATTCGAAGCTACTAGAAATGCGTCAGTGAAGAATTGAGGCTACTAGAAAAGCGTCAGTAAGCTTATGAGCTACTGGAAATGCGTCAGCAAGCTTCTGGATCACAAAATTCACGTCAATCACTATTCGAAGCTACCAGAAATACATCATTGAAAGTTTGGAGCTACCTGAAATGCGTCAAGGCTACCAGAACAGCGTCAGTGAATGTTTGAAGCTACTAGAAATGTGTCAGGAATGTGCTAGGCTTCGAAGTCATAAGAAGCATCTGAAGCTACTAGAAAAGCGTCAGCATCGATTCCAACCTACCAGAAATACGTCAGCAAGCTTCTGAGCTACAAAAAAGACGTCAACAAGCTTCTGAGCTACAAAAAAGACGTCAGCAAGCTTCTGAGCTACAAAAAAGACGTCAGCAAATTCAGAAGCTTCTAGAAATGCGTCAAGGCTACAAAAAACACGTCAACACCACAAAATTCAATTTTTTGGCGCGAAAAACAAAAAAAAAGTGACCACTAGTAAAAAAGTGCTAAACTATGCACTTGTTAGAAAAAAACATCTGGCACCATTATTTTTCGCAAACAACTTTTTTTTCTTCAAAAATCTGTTGGCCTTGAAAAATTGACTACACGAAATGCGTCAGCAAAAATAGAGAGCTACAGAAAATGCGCCAGCAAAGTTCTAGGGAATTTTTGAAAATTCAAAATTCCCGCCAAATTTTTCGAAGCGGGAAATTTGAAAATTCAAATATTTTTCTAGTGAACGAAATTTGAACATTCAAATTTCCCGCAAAATTTTTCGAAGCCGCGAATTTGAAAAATTCAAATTTTCTAGTGAATTTCTAGAGGCGGGAATTTTGAAAATTCAAATTTTCTGATGAATTTTTGAAAATTTAAACTTCCCGCCAAATTTTTCGTAGCGGGAAATTCAAAAATTCAAATTTTCTAGTGAACGAAATTCGAAAGTTCAAATTTCCCGGAAAATTTTTCGAAGCGGCGAATTTTAAAAATTCAAATTTTATAGTGAACTTCTGAAGCCGCGAATTTCAAAAATTTAAATTTCACGCCAAATTTTTTGAAGGCGGGAAATTTGAAAATTCAAATTTTCTAGTGAAGCCCAAGTTTTCGAACCGCGAATTTCAAAAATTCAAAAAATTCTTCAAAATTTTGCCTGTCCTTAAATAACCTTGAACATTTTCGGCTATTTTTCGAAAGTGGGTATTAAAATTTGAATTATTATGATATTTATGAGCGAAAAGGAATAATAATGGAAAATATATATATATAGTAATGTAATTTCTTTTTTTTGTTTTCGAACAAAAAAAAGAAAATGGAAATTTTTGGTGGGAATTTTCTCGAATTTCTTTGAATTTTCAAGCTTTTGAAGTGCTCTGGGAACTTTTTTGAATTTTGAAAATTTTTCAAAAAAGTACGATTTTTTGAATTTTTTGAACTTGACGCCTACGAAAATTGAAAAAATCCAGAGAAAATTTGAATTTCCAAATTTCCCGCCTTGAAAAATTGAGCGGGAAATTTGAATTTTTGAATTTCCAGCCAAAATTCGAGCCATCTGGTCACACTACACTTTAATCACAAACCAATAAATAAAAGAACACTTGAGCCATTCAAAAAAGAGCCCACCCAACAAATAATTTGCTCTCATTTCACAATTGAGATGACTAACATGTGCAATAATCCATAGGGGATTTTTGAGCTACAAAAAAGACGCCAGCAACTTTTTCAAGCTACCGAAAAAGCGTCAGCAAAGTAACAGGAGTTTTGAGCTACCAGAAATGCGTCAGCAAAATACTAGAATTTTTTGAGCTACCAGAAAAGACGCCAGCAACTTTTCCAAGCTACCAGAAATGCGTTAGCAACTCCCAGCTACAAAATTTGCGTCAGCAAACCCCTGTGAGCTTCAGAATACAAAACTGTGTGATTTTCGAGCTACCAGAAATGCGTCAGTAAAGATATAGGATTTTTTGAGCTAAAAAAATTGCGTCAACACCGGAATTTTACCTACCAAAAATACGTCAACCTACAAAATTTGCGTCAACAAAACCCCTCAATTTTCATTTTTATTCCAGAAATTCGCCCAAAACCTGCCGAACGTTGACGCATATCGTGCCGATATTCCCTCACTTTTAGGAGTTGGCCGCAAAAAAACGGCAAAATTGCCCAAAAATCTACTGTTCTCCAAGAAAATCTGGAATTCTGGTTGGTTGAAAATCTGAAATTTTCATCTGAAATTATTTTCAGCTCAACCGAAACCGCTGAAAATCAATGAGAATCTGGAAAATTCGGAGATTTCCAGCCCCAATTCATATTTGGTTGGAGTTTTGCCAACTCCAAGTGCACAAAAATCGATTTTGGATTCTTTATTGGTGGGTTTTGGTTTTTGATGAAAATTTGGCGGGAAATTTGAAAAATTCACAAATTTTTGAATTTTTCGAATTTCGCGCCTAGGAAAATTTAGCGCGAAGTTTGAAAATTCAAATTTTTCAGTAATTTTTGAGTTTTCTAGTTTCCCGCCTAAAAAAACCTGAAAAATTTTAATTTTTTAAATTTCCCGCCACTGAAAGAAAGCTGAAAATTTTGAATTTTCAAATTTCCCACACTGAAAAATTAAGCGCGAAATTCAAAAATTCAAATTTTTCAGAAATTTTTGAATTTTCAAAATTCCCGCCTCAAAAAAACTGAAAAAATTTGAGTTTTCTAGTTTATCGCCTCTGAAAATTGAGCGCGAAATTTGAAAATTCAAAATTTTGAATTTCGCGCTCAATTTTACTGGGCGGGAAATTTGAAAAATCATAAAAATTTTGAATTTTCTAGTTTCCCGCCTCGAAAAAATACCGGAAAATTAAAATTTTCAAATTTCCCGCTTCTAAAAATTGAGCGCGGGTTTCGAAAATTCAAATATTTTTAAAAATTAGAATTTTTGAATTTCCCGCCACTGAAGAAATGGGAAATTTGAAAATTCAAGAAATTTCTAAAACTCCTCAAAATAAAATTCCACAAAATTTTAAATTTTCAAAATTCCCGCTTCAAAAAAAATGAAAATTTGAATTTTAAAATTGCCCGCCTCCAAAAAAACCTGAAAAATTTGAATTTTTGAATTTTCTAGTTTCCCGCCACTGAAAAATCAAGCGGAAAATTCAAATTTTCCGAAATGTTTTTTTTTCTAGTTTCCCGCTTCTAAAAAAAGCTGAAAATTTTGAAATTTTAAAATTTCCCGCCACTGAAAATTAAGCGCGAAATTCAAAAGTTCAAAAAAAAATCTCAAATTTTTTCAGCAACACGCCATTTTACACCACTCTAACCTGGACCGCGACACAATCTTTCAATATTCCTCTGCAAATTTTCTCACATTCCTACATTGCTCAGTTTTGGCACAAATTTTGGCGGCAAATTCGAATTTTCCCGAATTTTCGCGCAAATTTCACTTCCTCTCCCACAATCATCGCCGAAATTCGGCGATTTTCAACAAATTTTTCGATTTGAAAATTATCGAAGACGATTTTGACACCGGATATTCGACACGAAGTTTTCATCCCGAATTACCGACACCCAAGAAATTGACACATGAGAAAAAGTTGAATGAGGTAAAACTGGGCATTTTTTGATACCAAATATGCCACGTGGCTTTTTCGCGCCAAAATTTGCTTCAAAATGACACCAAACATGATATATTTTGGTCTACAGTACTCCTGGGTTACTGTAGATCTAGATTTTTTGATCTACATGGAATTTTTGGATTTTTGAGATACAGTACTCTTTGACACGTGGCATTTATATGATTGGGTTACTGTAGGACTAGATTTTTTGATCTACAGGGAATTTTCTAGATTTTTGAGCTACAGTAATCCTTGCTACGTGGCATTTTTCCGGGTTACTGTAGGACTAGATGTTTTTTTGATCTACCAGAAATTTTGAGATTTTTGAGCTACAGTAATCCTTGACACGTGGAATTTATATGATTGGGTTACTGTAGGACTAGAATTATTGATCTACAGAGATTTTTGAGCTACAGTAATCCTTGACACGTGGAATTTATATGATTGGGTTACTGTAGATTTTTTGATCTACCAGAAATTTTGAGATTTTTGAGCTACATTAATCCTTGACACGTGGCAGTTTTTCTGGGTTACTGTAGATCACATAGATTTTTTGATCTACAGGAAATTTCTAGATTTTTGAGCTACAGTACTCTTTGACACGTGGCATGTGAATGATTGGGTTACTGTAGGACTAGATTTTTTGATCTACAGGAAATTTTGAGATTTTTGAGCTACAGTAATCCTTGCCACGTGGAATTTATATGATTGGGTTACTGTAGATTTTTTGATCTACAGGGAATTTCTGGATTTTTGAGCTACAGTAATCTTTGACACGTGGCATTAGAGATCTACAGTATCCTGAAAATTTGCAAATCAAAAACTACAGTACCCTAGATTACTGTAGATCACTCATATTTACAATCAAAATGCGTCAAATTTTCGCGCGCCAAAACCTACAGTACTACTTGCAGCTCAAACTCTTCAACCATCTACAGTACCCCGTCCGAATCGCCCCTCAAAAATCGATAAAAATCGCCGAAAAATGGCCCGAAATCGAGGATTTTCCCGCTTTTGCCTATTTTTTCGATTTGATCGGCAAACATCCGAACGCGAAATCAGCACTGACTGTAATTCAATCGATTTTCCCGGAAACCTGTCTGAAATTGGCTGAAAATCCGATTTTGGAGCTGAAAATTGGTGAAATCGCAGATTTGGACCTGGAATTGATTTTTGCGCAAGTAAAATCGGAACTTGTGGAAATGGCCGGGTTTTTGGCGTTTTGCCAAAATTTGAAAATCAAACGGGCCGTTTGAAAATTTTGTATACTTTTCTTGCTTTATTTTGCCAATATACCTCACTTTTTGAAATAAACTCGGTTAATATGAGCAATGCTGAAAAAATGCGAGTTTTTGACACCAAACACGGTGATCTACGCGAAATTTGGTGAATTTTGAGACCAAACATGGTGTATTTTAGGCCACGCCCCTTTTTGCAAACCTGGCACAGTTTTTGAGCTTTATTTTGTTACTAAATATGATATAGTTTAGGCCACGCCCACAAAACCATGCGGCGCTGCAAAATTTGCGATTTTTTGATACCAAATATGATATTGTTTAGGCCACGCCCACAAAACCATGCCGCAACGAAAATATATCATATTTGGTGTCAAAAAACGGCAAATCTTCCACTGCGGCATGGTTTTGTGGGCGTGGCCTAAATTTTCATTAACATGAGCAATGCAAAAGCTTTATTCAAGTTGTAGTTGATTTGACGCTGGTTACTGTAATCGCAGCATTTTTGAAAATCGGATGTGTTAGATAGAAAAACCAGGAGACCAAATTGACACGCGTGTCGACGAAAAGGGGCCGCGCAATCATGACGTAGGCATAGTACGGTGAGCGTAGAATGTCGAGAGCCTGCAAAATTCGAATGCCACGTGGAATTTGGAGCATTTTGAGCCCGAACATGGGGTATTTTGAGGCCACGCCCACAAAACTGTGCGGCACCGTGTTTGGTATCGAAAATGGGGGATTTTTGAGCTGCGGCATGGTTTTGTGGGCGTGGCTTAGGCTTAGTATGAGCAATGTGCGAAAAATCGCGATTTTTCGACACCAAATACAGTATAGTTTAAGCCACGCCCACAAAACTGTGCGGCACCGTGTTTGGTTTCAAAAATCGCCGATTTTTTGCATGCGGCATGGTTTTGTGGGCGTGGCTTATGCTTAGTATGAGCAATGTGCGAATTCTTGATCCTAAATACAGTATAGTTTAAGCCCCGCCCACAAAACTGTGCCGCACCGTGTTTGGTGTCAAAAATCGCCGATTTTTGCATGCGGCATGGTTTTGTGGGCGTGGCTTAAGCTTACCCGCATTGAAAGCGATAAAACCAGGGGAACACAAATCAGCACCATGGTCACTGTCAGCACTTTTTCCGCCTTCCGCCTCCGCACGCTTCGATCCGACGCGGAATGAGCCGCGGCCAGTTTGGAGCCGCCGCGCAACTTCAGGAGCATATATGTGCTCAGCGCAACTATTAGGAATATGGCGAAAGTTGAGACGCTAATATGAGCAATGGTGGTGAAATTCTGGAATTTTGATGATCTACAGTAATCTAGGCGGGGTACTGTAGTTTTGGAATTCAGGAATTTTGAAAAAAATCGAAATTTTGCGTTAAAAAATCTATGGGTTACTGTAGATCATTTTTTCGAGCAAAAATTTGATCTACAGTAATCCCGGGGGGTACTGTAGTTTTGGAATTTTTGGAATTTTGAAAAAAAAATCGAAATTTTGCACCAGAAAATCTATGGGTTACTGTAGATCACTTTTTCGAGCAAAAATGTTGATCTACAGTAATCCAGGGGGTACTGTAGATATGAGCAATGGTGGTGAAATTCTGGAAATTTTGATGATCTACAGTAATCCAGGCGGGGTACTGTAGTTTTGGAATTTTGGAATTTTGAAAAAAATCGAAATTTTGCGTTAAAAAATCCATGGGTTACTGTAGATCATTTTTTCGAGCTAAAATTTGATCTACAGTAATCCCGGGGGTACTGTAGATCATCTTTTTTGGCACCGAAATTTGATCTACAGTAATCCATGGGGTACTGTAGTTTTGGAATTTTGGAATTTTGAAAAAAGATCAAAATTTGGATCCAGAAAACTCCTGGGTTACTGTAGATCACACTTTTTCGAGCAAAAATTTGCTCTACAGTAATCCCGGCGGGGTACTGTAGTTTTTGAAAAAAAGTTAATGGATGGTTACTGTAGATCACCCTTTCGAGCTAAAATTTGATCTACAGTAATCCCGGCGGGGTACTGTAGTTTTCGATTCTGGAATTTTAGGGCTGATTCACGAACGAAAAAAATGTTAAAAAATGTTTTTTTAACATCGAAAGATCAATTTACGAAAAGTCAAAAAATGTCGAAAAAACATTGTAGGTCAAAATTAGTTTTTCTAGCTTTTCAGCCAAAAAATGATGACCAATCGATATTTTTCAAGCTTCTGGAGTAATTTCTGATGAAAATTGACCTTGGAATTCACTTTCCAGAAGGGTTTGCTGATTTTTCGTAAAATAAAAAAATTTTAAATTTTGATGAATTTCGAAAAAATTCATAAAATAAAGCAAAATAGGGTTCTCGAAGCTTATTTTCATCAGAAATTACTCCAGAAGCTTGAAAAATATCGATTGGTCATCATTTTTTGGCTGAAAAGCTAGAAAAACTAATTTTGACCTACAATGTTTTTTCGACATTTTTTGACTTTTCGTGAATTGATCTTTCGATGTTAAAAAAACATTTTTTTCGTTCGTGAATCAGCCCTTTTGGAATTTTGAAAAAAAATTCGTAGATCAAATTTTGCAAAAAAAATCTACAGTAACCCACAAGGCTTATTTGGTATCAAAAAAATCACATTTTTCCCGCCAAAAAATCTACAGTAACCCCCAGATTTTCCCTACAGTAACCTACATTCTTATAGACCTTGGTGCAATTAATAACAATGGCTCCAAATTGATAGGGTTCATCCAATTGCACACAAATTCCCTCGCCGCCAATCGTCACCCAAAAAGCCGCGACGCCAGCCGCAACGCATGCCGCCGGTACAGTACCCCGCCATATCACCGCATCCAGCCAAAAATCGTGATTTCGCGGCGAGAAAACGATGAAAAATCGCGCCAGGCAGAAGATCAACGTGGCAAACGTGGATAGATAGTAGGTCAGGAATTGGGCGCCCATTAGGAATTCCAGATTTCCCAACTTCCCGCAACTTCCCGTGATTACTGTAGTTGAGGGAAGCCGGATCAGCAGAAAATCGCTGAAAAAATAGCCGAAATTCGAGATTTGCATCAGTAAAAAGAGCCGGAGCACCATTGGATGAAGGCCGTGAGCCCGGATTTTGGGGCCTGGAAAAGCCCGGGCCACTTGGCACATTTTCAAGGTCACCAAAAGGCTTGGGATACTGTAGATGATGGTGATTACGGTGATTATTGTGATATAATCAAAGGAATAGGCGAAATTGTCGTATTCGGTGAGATTGTTGATGATTTTGTTGGTGTAGAATTGGCGGGGTTGTGGAGGGATGAACATGGCTGAAAATCGTGATTTTCAGAAAATTTGGAGCATTTTGAGCCCAAATATGAGGATTTTTGGACTTCTGGGGCTGAAAATTAGGTTTTGGAGCTGAAAATCGTGATTTTTGGAAAATTTAGAGCATTTTGAGCCCAAATATGGGGATTTTTGGACTTTTGGATCACTTTTTGAATTTTAGGCCCAAATTCAGGCTTCTAGACCATTTTAGGCTTAAAAATAGCCATTTCAGAGCTGAAAATCTTGATTTTCGGAGCATTTTGAGCATTTTGAGCCCAAACATAGGGATTTTTGGACTTCTAGGCTAAAAATCAGGCTTTTAGGCCAATTTCTAGGCTTCTATATCAATTTTAAGCCTCTTGGAGCATTTTGAGCCCAAACACGGGGATTTTTAGACTTCTAGGCTATTTTCAGGCTTTCAAAGCTGGAAATCTGGTTTCTAGGCCGAAATCTGAGATTCTAGGCTGTTTTCGAGGCTTTCAGAGCTGAAAATCTGGTTTCTAGGGCTGAAAATCCGATTTCTGGGCTAAAAATCTGGTTTCTAGACCATTTTTTGGCTGAAAAATTGCCACGTCATAGGTTTTGGATCTGAAAATCGTGAAATTCAGAAAATTTGGAGCATTTTGAGCCCAATCATGGGGATTTTTGGACTTCTAGGCTTTTTCGAGGCTTTCAAAGCTGAAAATCTGGTTTCTGGGCTAAAATTCAGGCTTTTAGACCATTTTTAGGCTCAGAAACTCGAAAATCCGGTTTCTAGGCAAAAATTAGACTTTTAGGCCATTTTCAGGCTTTCAGAGCTCAAAATCTGGTTTCTAGGCTAAAAATTAGACTTTTAGGCTATTTTCAGGCTTTCAAAGCTGGAAATCTGGTTTCTAGGCTAAAAATCAGGCTTCTAGGCTTTTTCGAGGCTTTCAGAGCTGAAAATCTGGTTTCTAGGCTAAAATTCAGGCTTCTAGGCTATTTTCAGGCTTTCAGAGCTGAAAATCTGGTTTCTAGGCTAAAAATTAGACTTTTAGGCTATTTTCAGGCTTTCAAAGCTGGAAATCTGGTTTCTAGGCTAAAAATCAGGCTTCTAGGCTTTCAAAGCTGAAAATCCGGTTTCTAGGCCATTTTTTGGGCTTCTAGGCTATTTTTAGGCTCCTTAGGCTTGAAAATTCGAAATTTTTTGCAAAAAAAAAATTCCCAGTGTTTTATTGCTCAATTTTATTTCAAATGAAAAAAATAATTAAATTTCCCCCCGCAAAAAAAATATTTTTGCGTGATTTTTAGAAGTTCAGCGCGAAAAAAAAAATTTAAAAAATAAATTATTACGAATTTTTCTCAGAAAAAAAAAATTAAAGCAAAAAAAATCACACGATTTTTGTTCGAAATGTGCAAAACACCGTGAAATTTTGAGAACTCTTCGAGAAAAATCACGTTTTTTTAAAATTAAAACCAGACTAGAAACGTGGGCCTAATATGAGCAATGTACGAAAAATTGGCCGAATTTTGAATCTAATATGAGCAATAGGCCTTTTTGTGAGTCTAATATGAGCAATGCTTCAAAAAAGCTCAGCCTAACTCCAAAAATAAGCCTAATCTGAGCAATTTCCAGTGAGAATTGGCCTAACATGAGCAATGCTAAGCTCAAGCCTATATAAAAAACAAAACTATGAACCTGATCTAAGCATTGCTCAGAATACCGTGAAAAATTTTGAAATTTGAGAACAATTTTATTTTGAGCAGACTAGAGACTACGATGTAGCCTAATTTCGTGTCTAGTTAACATGAGCAATGATCCAAATAATGTCTAGTTTGAAAGAATGAGTCTAGCATGAGCAATGCTCCAAAAAATGGTCATAATTTTGAAAAATCAAGCTTAACCTGAGCAATGCTATGAAAATACCTAGAAAAATTGATAAGAAGAAAAAACCTAACCTGAGCAATGCTCCAAAAATTGACCTGAATTTGAAGAATTAAGTTTAACCTGAGCAATGCTATAAAAAATCAGTATTTTTCTCAATATCGCTAGTTTAACCTGAGCAATTTTGAGCTATAAAATGAGCAATCTTCTAGAAGATGATCCTAACATGAGCAATGTTATGAAAACAAGTTTAAAATGAGCTATATGAGTATAATATGAGCAATGAGCAAAAAAATCGGGAATTTTTTTTGTAGTGAAAAGTGTGTGGGAACTTGTGGAAAGTACACAGGAAACTGGAATTTTCTGGAAAATTCTAGAAAAAAAAGTCATGAAAAGTTCATTTTGTCACACAAAAAAATACAGAAAATCTGGAATTTTCAGCCCCAATATGGTGGCGGAGGCGGAGGCGGCGGAGGTGGAGGTGGGGGACCCCACGGCGGTGGGGGTCCCCATGGTGGTGGCGGAGGTGGTGGAGGTCCCCAGGGGGGAGGTGGTCCGGGTGGAGGAGGTGGAGGTGGACGCCAGTAGCCGCCACCGTATTGAGCGCTAAAAAATGGAGGGTTTTTGGAGGATTTCTAGGCCATTTTGGGCCTGGCTAGACAAAAAATCAGGCTTTTGGATGATTTTTAGGGGTTCTAGCTTGAAAATTTGGCATTTTTTAAGCTAGGAAGCCCAGAAAAGCCTCTAATCGTCTACGAGAGCCTGAAAGCCCCAATCAAAGGCTCTGAACGGTCCCGGAAGCCTAATGAACGCCTATAACCTTTGGAAAGCCTAAGGAAATCTGGGAAAGCCTGAGGAAATCTTCGAGAAGCCTAAGAAAGTCCAGAAAAGCCTAAAAAAGCCCAGAAAAGCCCAAATTAACCTAAGGACACTTAAGAAAGCCTTCAAAAGCCTTTAGAAGCCTAAGCAAATCTGGGAAAGCCTAAAGAAGCCCAGAAAAGCCTAAGGGAGCCTGGAAAAGCCTAAAATAACCTAAGGACACTTAAGAAAGCCTTCAAAAGCCTTAAGAAGCCTTAAGAAGCTAGAAAAGGTCCAGGAAAGCCTAAGGAAGTCTGAGGAAATCTTCCAGAAGCCTATGAAAGCCCTTGAATTCTTGAAAAGGGCTTAAAAGCCTTAGAAAGCCTTTAAAAGGCTGATGAAGCTCTTGACTGTTTGAAAAATGTTTTCAAAGCCTAGAAAAGCCCTAAAAATCCACATACAACTTTATTAAAGCCTTTAGAAACCCTATAAACTCTTAAAACGTACTTTAAGCCTAGAAAAGCCCCTAAAGCCCCCAAAAAACTCACCAAACACCCGCCAAAATCAGCAAAAATATCAGAAATATCCGATTTGTCTTCATTTCTGTCTTATTTTATCAGTTGACCAAAAAAAATGGGGGCTTTTATACTTTTTTTTTTTGGCTGGCCAAGTACGTGCGCGCGCATGATTATCTTATCAATTATTTCTCATTTTACGATATTTTTGTCTTTGATTTTTTTTATTTGACAAACTGGCTTAGATTAGAGAGATTTAGCGGAAATTGGCAAAAAAAGAGAAAATTGAGTGTTTTTTTGAACTTTCAAGGCTTTTTTAGGCCTAGAAGGGCCTATAGGGCTTTCTTCAGGCTTTTAAGTGCTCTTGGGGCTTTCTTGAGGTTTCAGTAGGCTTTCAAAGGCTTTTTTAGGCTTTCTAAAGGCTTTTCAGGCCTTTTCAGCCCAAAAATCAGAGATTCTCTCTAATTTTCAGACACAAAATACACAATTTTTAATCGAATTAAGAAAATTCTGTGTCTGAAAACTTGTACACTTGAAGAAAGGTCAATGAAATTTTGAAAAATTCGAGTTATGACGTGGCAAACTTGGAACTTTGATCTACAGTATAAGGATTTAGGGGGTACTGTAGCCTTAAAGTTACTGTATTTTTTTCCAGAATATTTTGAGCTACAGTTGGGCTACAATACGGAATTTGGAATTTTTCAATTTGATCTACATTATCTTTTCTCAAGATTACTGTAGGTAAATCTGAAACTACAGTAACCCAGAAAATTTCTCACTTCTTTGTTCCTGTTTTTTTTCCCATCACAAAAATGTGTTGCCATATCTTATCATACAAATTTTTGAACCGGAGACAAAACATAACACGCATTTCCTAGGTCAAACTACAGTACCCCCAAGGTACTGTAGATCATAGAAATCTAGAGAGTACTGTAGAGAAATCAGCAAGAAAAATGTACGTTTTGAAATTTTTGAAAAAATTTTGGGTTTTTAAAGTACTGTAGATCTGGGTTACTGTAGAATTTTTGTGAATCTATGTATAATCTGAGCAATGCTTGAAAACAGATAATCTTTAAAATTTTGTGAAAAAATCTAGAAATCTAAACAAAAATGTTTTTGTACTGTAGAAAATCCACGTGGCTTCTAATATGAGCAATGATTGAGTACAGTAGATAATTAGGTAATTAACTAATTAATTAAGTCAAGACGGGGCGGCTTGACAAGATATTCGGGTGTCTAGGCGCGGCTGCTTGAGGCTATGAGTGGGTCTCAAGGAGCGGCTGCTTGACAACGAGAAATAGGTTCATAGGATCCGCTGCTTGACAAAAATGTTGGGTGTCAAGGCGCGGTTGCTTGAGGCTAGAATGGGTTTCAAGGCGCGGCTGCTTGCCAAGAAATTTGAGTGTCAAGGAATGGCTGCTTGGCTGATCTTGGAATTTCAAACATGAGCAATGGTTCTTGAGAAAAACTTTATTTTACAAATTGGTATTAATTACAGTACACTTAATTAACAAATTAATTAAATCCATTTCCAAATCCTCCTCCAGGATTATTATTGTAGATGATGGTCCGCTCAACGACGACAGTTCTTGGCGGAGGTGGAGGTGGAGGCGGGGGAGGTGGTGGTCCGTAAGGTGGTGGTGGAGGCGGGGGCCGTCCATAAGGCCCTGGAGGTGGGGGTGGAGGTGGCGGAGGTGGGGGCGGCGGGGGCCGCCCGTAATTCGAACCATATCCTCCCACTCCCCACTGCGCCCAGCTTGCACCCACCAAAATCGAGAAAAGCACGAGAATTTGATAGAATTTCATTGGGTTTTGGGAGAAATCTGAAGAAAATCACAGCGTTTTATACAGGGCGCGCGATAAGTTTTCTCTCTTTTTCTCTGCGTCTCTGCGTCTCTCACTCACTCGCTCGCTCTCATTTTGTCGTAAAAAAGGAAGTTCAAGAACAGTTTTTTTTCTCTCATTTTTTTTTCAATCGGGAAATTTAAAAATGACCTTCTGAAATTCGAAAGTGGAATTCAAAACTGGATTTTTTGAAATTCTGGAATTTTCTGACCAAAATTGAAGGCTTCTAGGGGCTTCTGAAGGCTTCTGAAGGCTTCTGAAGGCTTCTGGAGGCTTCTATAGGCTTCTAGGGGCTGCTTCTGAAGGCTTCCAAAGACTTCCCAAGGCTTTTGGAGGCTTCTGAAGGCTTCTCAAGGCTTCCCAAGGCTTCCAAAGGCTTCTGAAATTTTTTCTGAAAATTTTCAAGATCTAGAAGCTTCTGAAATTTTTCTGGAAATTTATTTTATCTAACATGAGCAATGCCTTGAAATTCCACGTGGCAGTTTTCTACAGGCTAATATGAGCAATGTTCTAAAATTCCTAATTTTTAGCTACAGTAGTAGTCCCTGGGTTACTGTAGAATCTACAGTAACCCAGATTCTTTGGGAATTGAATGGATTTGAAAATCAAAATCAATGATCTACAGTCTAGAATTACTGTAGATTGGATTTTAACATGGTACTGTAATCCAAAATAATCTACAGTACCCCGAAGGTACTGTAGATCAAAAATTTACCTACAGTAATCCAGATCTAGGCTTGTTTGGTATCAAAATTCACCATTTTTCGCGCCAAAACCTACAGTAATCCAGGCCTAGGCTTGTTTGGTATCAAAAAACCGCAAATTTTCATTATAAAAATTTTTATTAATTAAATAATTAGCTAATTAGCTAATTAATTAATTAAAAGGTCCACTTCTGGTGATCACAGTCTCCTGAATAATAGTTTCTTGTGGCGGTGGAGGTGGAGGAGGTGGTCCAGGTGGCGGTGGTGGTCCAGGAGGTGGTGGTGGTGGGCCCCAATTTTGAGCTGCGCCAAAATTGGCGCCAAAAACTAGCACCAGAAGTACTGTAGCGTAAAAATAGAGGAAAAATCGCATTTTTTGACCTGAAATACGGTGAAAATCGCCGATTTTTATACGCGGGGAAATCTAGTGATCAGCATCAAAAATTTGATTGATAAAAAAAATTTTCCCCGAAAAAAAAAAAGAAAAAAGTAGTTATTTTGATCACAAGATGAGACACAAAGAGAAAAGGAAATTAGGCGAAATTGATTTCGAAAAAAAAAAAATTTTTTTTGGAAAAAATGAATCATAAATGTTTTACGGTTTACTATGAGCAATGCCTAGATTTTCCTGAATTTAAGATTTTCAGCGATTTTCTTTAATATGAGCAATGCCTAGATTTTTGAAAATTACAATTTCAAACCTAATATGAGCAATTCTAGGTTAATATGAGCAATCTACTTGATCTCAGGAATTTTTGGAATTTTTTAAAATATGAGCAATGCCTAAAAATTTGAAAATTACAAATTATTATTAAATATGAGCAATGCTGGAGAAAAATTTCGGAAAAAAAACTTTAATTTATAATATGAGCAATACCTAGATTTTTGAAAATTCCAGTTTTAAACCTAATATGAGCAATGCTAGGTTTAGTATGAGCAATGCCACGTGGATTTCATAGAGCATTTTTCCTGAAAAATTTAAGATTAATATGAGCAATCTTCTTGATTTCAGGCATTTTTGGGATTTTTTTAAATATGAGCAATGCCTAGATTTTTGAAAATCACAATTTCTTATCTAATATGAGCAATACCTGACTTTTCTTGAATCAAAGCTTTAAGTTTAATATGAGCAATGCTAGAAAAATTTTGGAACAAAAACTTTAATTTATAATATGAGCAATGCCTAGATTTTTGAAAATTACAATATTTTATTTAATATGAGCAATGCTAGAAAAAATTGTGAAAAAAACTTTTAGTTATAATATGAGCAATGCCTAGATTTCTGAAAATTACAATTTCACACCTAATATGAGCAATGCTAGCAGGAGCAATGCTATAGAGAAATTATGGAGAAAAATGGGGGGGGGGGTTAATATGAGCAATCTAGATCAATTTAGGGGGGGGGGATTTTTAGGAATTTTTTTAATATGAGCAATGTCTCTTTGTAGAGTAGAATCCTAACAGTTGGGATCAGCATTTTCTTGCTGGCAGGTTACCTGAATTTAAAAAAATAAAAATAAATTTTTAAATAAAAAAAACAATGTAATCAAAAAACTGACCGAGGGTTACATCCTTCAACAATGTGTCTTTAAAACCTAGCACTAGTTTTGGGATTGCTGTTTCCTCGTTTGATACCTAAATTTTATTCGTTTCGTAATTTTAGGATTAATTCCCTGTTTTTTTCGAGTTTTTCAGCCAAAAATGATGAAAAGTCGGGATTTTCGAAGCTTCTGGAGTGATTTCTAATTAAAATAAGCTTCGAGAACCCTATTTTACCTCATTTTTTGAATTTTTTCGAAATTCATTTTGAAAAAAACCTTCTGAAGGTCAATTTCAATCAGAAATTACTCCAGAAGCTTGGAAAATCTCGATTTGTCATCGTTTTTGACCTACACTTTTCGTGAATTGATCTTTTCGATGTTCAAAAAACGTTTTTTTAAACATTTTTTACGTTCGTAAATCAGCCCTAAGGTCAATTTTAATCAGATATTTTTTCAAATTAAAAAAAAAACTCACGTTTAATCTCGGTCGTTTTTGCACCCAAGGCGCCATCGGTTCTCTGAAATCCGGTGTTGGGGGGCCGTGTTGGCAGTTTGTGTTTCTTGGAATTCTTCTTCTTCTTCTTTATCAGCACTCAATTTTCAACTCATAATGACCCAAATGATGATTCGTTTAAGCGACCTTGCGATTTTATATCAAATAATATCTACAGTAACCCGAATATATCCCGCTGTTCTTCTTCTTTTTCAAAATTTTTTGTTTGTTTGATAAATAATCAGCGGGAGGTCTCTAAAACGCATTTTTCTGATTAATTAGTCTACCCTTTTCTAGGTCGGGTAAAATTTTCCGGATTATTTCAAGGAAAAATCAATTTTTTTGGGGGCTACAGTAACCCGCTGGGTACTGTAGTTTTTTCACCGGGGAAAATTTGCAATTTTTTGAGGTCAAATACTCTGCAGAAATTTTGATCTACCAGAATTTTTGGAATCTTTTATGGCACAATTTTTGGAGGGGTACTGTAGTTCAGATTTCGAGATACTGTAATTCTCCAAATAATCAGCTACAGTAATCCGACCCCAGCTACAGTACCTGTAATCCAAAACCAAAACCCCCGGGGATTACTGTAGTTGGCACAATTTTTTGAACTCCAAAAAAAATTTTTTAGCAATTTTTTTCTTTAATATGAGCAATGCTATTAAAATTCCACGTGGCAAAATGAAATTTACACAGTCTTTTGATATACACAAGAAAAAACTTGTTCCTTTTTGACAGCGAAAAAAGTGAGAGAGTGTGGAGATTTGAGAGAGTGCAGAGAAAAAAGCGAAAAAAATTTGGGACAAATCTTTTTTTTCTTGTATTAAATAAGTTTCCTAATGAAAAACACGGTGTTTTGGGTGATTTTCGGCGTGTTTTCCGCGGGTTTCCGCGCGGAAGACGCGGAAGCGGAAGCGGAAGATCCGCCGCTGAAATGGCGTGACGCGGATGGGCTCGAAATTGAGATCATCAAAAAAATTCCCGAGGAAAATTGTGGGATCAAATCGCAGGGCGGCGATTTGGTGGATCAATTTTATAAATTATCCGATGAGGATGGCACGGAGGTTGGCAGCAATTTCGGGAAGAAACCGTGAGTTTTTGGGGGTACTGTAGGGTTACTGTAGGATTTTTGGCGCGAAAATTTGGAGCATTTTGATACCCAATAAGCCTAGGTTTCTGAAAATTCCAAAAATTGATATTTTTTTAAATCCCCAGATTACTGTAGGTTTCCTGGGGTACTGTAGATCTCCAGGGTTACTGTAGATCTCCTAGGGAGTACTGTAGAATTTTTGGCGGGAAAATTTGGAGCATTTTGATATCTCATAAGCCTAGATTTCTAGAAAATTCGAGAAATTGATCTTTTTTGGTCCCTAGGGTACTGTAGGTTGTCAGGGTTACTGTAGAAAAAAATTTTGAAATTTTCGGACTCTAAAAAGGACTTGGATTACTGTAGAGGAGTACTGTAGATTTTCGTTCCACGTGGCTTTTTTTTTTGGAATTTTTTGAAACATTCTGAAAATTTGGATTTCAAGAGCTACCGTACTCCAGAACAACAGTAACCCTGAGGTAAAATTTCAGCGCGCAAAAACCTACAGTACTTTATTTTAAGGTACAGTAATCCAAGAATCCTGTAGATCAAAAAGTATCAAAATTTTAGCTACAGTACCCCAAATCTAGGCTTATTAGGGCTCAAAATGCTTCAAATTTTTCAATCTACAGTACCCCTGGAGAGCTACAGTACCCCTGAAGAGCTACAGTACCCCTGAAGAGCTACAGTACCCTGGGGACCAAAAAAAGTTCCAAAAAAATGGGAATTTTCAAAACCCAGTCATATTCGGTCTCAAAATGCTCCAAATTTTCTGGCGGTTAATTTTACAGTACCCCTGGAGAGCTACAGTACCCCCACAGTCTACAGTACTCTTTCCAGCTACACCTTCACATTGGGTCGAAACCAAGTGATAGCGGGAATGGATCGAGCGATGCGTGGAATGTGTGTCGGCGAGATGCGACGCGTCGTAATCCCGCCAAAACTCGGGTTTTCCGCGTCCGCGTCCGCGTCCGCTTCCGCGCAGCAGAAAAAATCTCTATTACACCGTGCAGCTGGTCGGCTTGTTCCGCGCAAACCCTGGCGATTTTTGGACCACCGAACACGGCATACAAATCGAGCAGACCCACAAAATCGCGGCTGACATGCCGTGCAGAAAAGCGGAACGCGGTGACAAAATTTGGCAACAATATGTGTTGCGACTTGAGGATAACACATTGGTGGATTCGAGCTATTCGCGAAATGCTCCGTTCGTTTTTCGGCTCTATAATCGGGTGAGTACTGTAGTTGGGGTACTGTAGAATTTTTTGCGCAAAATTTGGAGCATTTTGATATCCAATAAGCCTGGGGTTACTGTTGATTCGAAAAATTCCAAAATTTTGATCTACAAGATTTTTGAGCCAGAATAGGACTTTTTTGGTCCTCAGGGATACTGTAGGTTTTCAGGAGTACTGTACTTTCTCCAGGAGTACTGTAGGTTAAATTTGAAACAAAATGAGCTATAGATTGTTGGTTTTGGAGTACTGTAACTAAAGTTCCAAAAATTTTTTTGATCTACCGGGATTTTTTGGGTTACTGTAGCCTCTCCAGAGGTACTGTAGGTGCATTTTTACCTCTAGAAAATTCTAGAATTCATTTTTTTTTCGAGAAAACCTGAAATTAAATTTTTGCGCACGCGCCTACACTAATTATAGGGGTTCTAAGAATCAAAAAAGTAGAAAACATGTTTTTTTTTCGAAAAAAAAAAGTGTAGTTTGGGCTGAAAATCTGGAATTTTTAGCTGAAAATCGAATTTTAGACCTATAAAACGCTGAAAATCCACCTAAACTATGTCAAGGCGCGGCTCCTTGACACCTCTAAAGCATCTCAAGGCGCCACCCCTATACATAACTATATCACCTCAAGGCGCGGCTGCTTGACTGTCATAATGTGTGTCTAGGAGCGGCTGCTTGACACCTCTCTAATGCATCTCAAGGCGCCACCCCTAGACATCGCTATATCTCCTCAAGGCGCCGCTGCTTGACAGCATAAGCTTACCTCTAGGCTCCATTGCTTGCCAACCCAAACACCCCTCAAGGCGCCACCCCTAGACATCACTATATCACCTCAAGGCGCGGCTGCTTGACAACTCAAAAATGTGTCTAGGAGCGGCTGCTTGTCATTTTCTAGGCTAAAAAACGCTGAAAATCCCGAATTTCCCATCAAAAACCCGATTTTCAGGAAGTGATAGACGGTATGGATATTGCAATGGATGGAATGTGTGAAGGAGAACGGCGTCGAGTTGTCATCCCCTCAGAATACGGTTACGGTGCTCAAGGATCGCCGCCGGAAATTCCAGGAGGCGCGCGACTTTTTTTCGAAATTGTTCTCGAAAAATTGGTGAAACGCGATGAATTATAGCCAATTTTTGCATAAAAAATCTGAAATTTTCACATTTTTTCACCCCAGAAATCAATTTTTGTCCAAAACAGCATTTTTTTGGTCACCAGGTGCATAATGTGATTATTCGACGTAGACAAATAAGAAAACAGCTGATTTTTTAGTCAAGCTACATTTTTCCAGTGAAAATTTAGGCTAACTCGAGGGTTTTCGATGGATTTCAAGGCTATTATGAGCAATGGTGATAATTGTGAGTTTTTTTAGGGGGGACAAGGGGTGACTGCTTGAGAGCAAGATGAGGTTTCAAGGCGCGGATGCTTGAGGCTAGAGTGGGTCTTAAGGAGCGGCTGCTTGACAACAAAACTGAGTGTCAAGGAGCGGTTGCTTGACATGAATACTAGATGTCAAGGAGTCACTGCTTGGCTGATTAAGCTTGCCTAGGCACGATTGCTTGAGAAATTCACTAGATGTCAAGGAGAGACTGCTTGACAGCAAAACTAGATGTTAAGGAGCGGATGCTTGACAGGGAATGATAGGTTTCTAGGAACGGCTGCTTGACAGCAAATCTGATTTTCAAGGAGCTGCTGCTTAACAAGAAATTTACGTGTCAAGGCGCCACTGCTTGACAGATCTTAAGCTTGTATAGGCGCCACTCCTTGGAAGCTCAAGTTGTGTTCTCAAGGCGCCACTGCTTGACAGCTCTTAAGCTTGTATAGGGCTCACCCCTTGCCAGCTAGATATCTTGTCAAGGAGCGGTTGCTTGACAGTTCTACTTCGCCTCAAGGCGCCGCTCCTTGTCATGTTCTGTAACATCAAAAAAGCAGCTGAAATTCTTGTTATTCCCCAAAAAAACACATTAATTAGCTCAAAAATTCGTCGAACTACTAACAGTTGCAAAATTGCTCGAAACCATCGAAATTTTCCTTGTCGAGTTATCGAAAATCGATAAAATAAATTTTCGATAGGGTGCGATGAAGATGAAGCTTGAAATCGGGTTCAGAATTGGGACCATTATAAATAGACAGTACATTGTGTACTGTGGAATGACATTTGTGACAATTTCAAATTGTTGAACCAGATAACATGAGCCACCAATTGCGTAGAGCACTGGGATACAGGCTTGGAAGGTTAGGGCCTGGAAATTTGGGCTTTAGGGGGCTTCGGGGGGCTTAATATCAGCAATTTCTCAATATTCTTCTTTTTAAGCTTCCAAAAATCTTAACATGAGCAATATATAATATGAGCAACGCCTCAAAATTCATATTTTTGGAGTTGCAAAAAAGTTTAACATGAGCAATGGTCCAATTTTTGCAAAATTGAGAAATTTAGCTAATATGAGCAATACGTGGCACATTTTTTAGATTTTTGAATGAGCTTTGAAAATTTTTTTCTAACATGAGCAATACCTATAAATTTGGTTTTTGTGAGATTTTTTAACATGAGCAATGGTTTGATTTTTGTAGTTTGAAAAATCTTAACATGAGCAATGATCAAAAATTTCCAAAATTGGTACTAACATGAGCAATGGCTACAAAATTAGAATTTTGCTAATATGAGCAATGCCTCGAAATTGCTATTTTTAGGGATAAACCTATCCTCAAGACATCGTCTCTTGACAGCGAAAACCTATCCTCAAGGCGCGACTGCTTGAAAGCCTAAAAATGTCGTATAGGCTCCACTGCTTGACAGCAAGCCATGTCCTCAAGGCTCGGCTGCTTGACAGCAAAATCTATCCTCAAGGCGCGACTGCTTGACAGCAAAATTGAAGACTCGGCTGCTTGACAGCTGATACAACCCTCTAGAGGCCGCTGCTTGTGCTAATATGAGCAATGCTCCAAAAACTCACCCTCAACAACTGTATCTGCAATTTGGTGCTCTTGCTGCTCTTCGAGCTCCTAATTCCACCAGCAACCGCTCCCAATTGCTCAATTATCTTCTTGCGCATAAAAATAATGGCCACAGCCATGGGGCCACTCAGACCCACCACGTGGATTATCACATACATCACGGTGAAGTCGAAGATCGACGGATTGATGTGGAGGCTGGTGTGGGCCCGGTCCAGGCCGTCTAGGATTTCCGGATGATATTGGGCCAGGGCTTCTCGGGCTCCTAGGCTTCCCGCGTGTCCCATGAAGATGTTGATGAGTTGGACGACGCTTGGGATTTAGATCATGAAGATCAGCGCCTGGATCTTGAGGCGAGAAACTTCGGAGCGCAGAAGAACGTAGTAGCGATAGCTGAAGGAGATCAGTAGAAGCCAGATACTGTGGGTGTACATGTGAAGCTTGAGAATGTAGAAGGTCCAGCAGATCTGGCCCGCTAATGGGCCGGCCCCCATCAGGCTACACGGGCCCAGAGAGATATAGACAATTGCCAGGCCGCAGGAGATTAGTCTCTGCATCACCAGGAAATTTAGCAAGCAGATGAGGAGATCTGTCACGGCAAAGTTTATGATGAGCAATCCGTAGCTCTGAATTTGTTTGGGTGATTTGGTGAGCACCGCGTACGTCAGCACGGCGTTTAGAATGATGCCGAAGGTGGAGAGAGAGGCGTGGATGCAGCGGAATGTGTTGTCCATTTTGGGGGATGCGGAAGACGCGCGGAAGGCCTGCGGAAGACGCGCGGAAAGTCAGAAATAATGTATGTTTTTGCAAAACCCCAGGGTTTTATAGGGAGAATACAAAATTTTCAGATGAAAATACAAAATTTTTGTGGTTTTGTTTATCGCACGGTGATTCAGAGCCCCCGCGGTTTTTTGGTCTTTGGATTTGGCAAGGCGAAGTTGCTTGACAGCTAAACCTATCCTCAAGGCGTCGTCCCTTGACAGCTAAATATGTGCTTAAGGGTTGACTCCTTGACAGCCTAAAAATGCTGTATAGGCTCGGCTGCTTGACAGCAAATATTGTTCTAAAGGGGTGACTCCTTGACAGCCTAAAAAAAATGTATAGACTTCACTGCTTGACAGTGTTTCTTCACCTCAAGGAACCGCTCCTTGACAGCCTAAAAATGCCGTATAGGTTTCACTGCTTGAGAGTGCTTCTTCACCTCAAGGAACCTCTCCTTGACAACCCAAAAATGCTGTATAGGCTTCTCTGCTTGACAGCAAAACCAATCCTCAAGGCGTCGTCCCTTGGCAGCTACATAGTGTCTAGGGATGGCTGCTTGACAGCCTGAGAATGCCGTATAGGCTCCACTGCTTGACAGTGTTTTTTCACCTCAAGGAACCGCTCCTTGACAACCCAAAAATGCTGTATAGGCTTCACTGCTTGACAGAATTTCTTCACCTCAAGGAGCCGCTGCTCGACGACCCAAAAATGCCGTATAGGCTTCACTGCTTGACAGTGTTTTTTCACCTCAAGGAACCGCTCCTTGACAACCCAAAAATGCTGTATAGGCTTCACTGCTTGACAGAATTTCTTCACCTCAAGGAGCCGCTGCTCGACGACCCAAAAATGCCGTATAGGCTTCACTGCTTGACAGCATTTCTTCACCACAAGGAACCGCTCCTTGACAACCCAAAAATGCTGTATAGGCTTCACTGCTTGACAGCTAAATCTATCCTCAAGGCGCCGTCCCTTGAAACCCTATCTACAACTTCTAGGGGTGGCTCCTTAGTCTTTCGCCCCTTGTTTGTCTCCACTTCCCCTTCTCTGCGTCTCTCAAAGAGCCGTGCTCTCTAATCTTCTAGCAACCTCTAATTAAAATTGAAAACCCCATGATTATTTTCTGAAAATTGAAATAATGAGAGAATTTCAGTTTTCACGAGCTGAAAATCGTCTGAAAATGAGCATTTCAGGCAAAAACCCGACAATCTTCTCAATTTTCCTCTCTGGAGCTCTGGAAAAAATGGACTCCTGGTGTATTTTTCTCTACTTTTTTATAATCACCCTGGGCACGGTGTGTAATATTCTGAGTTTGTGGATTGTGGCGAAAAGTCGCGTTTTTCACGCCAATTTGCAATTTCCGATTTGGTGGACCGCTTTTGCGTGGTTCGAGATTGCGACGAGCAAAATTTTGATTATTTTGTATCAGGTGATGTATTTGGAGGCGGATAATGGTGTTAAGGGTGAGTTAAGGCCTTAGGAAGCCTTGGGAAGCTTAGGAAAGCCTTGGGAAGCCTTGGGAAGCCTTGGGAAGCCTTGGGAAGCCTTGAGAAGCCTTGGGAAGCCTTGGGAGCCCTTGGGAAGCTTTGGGAAGCCTTGGGAAGCCTTGGGAAGCCTTGGGAAGCCTTGGGAAGCCTTGGGAAGCCTTGGGAAGCCTTGGGAAGCCTTGGGAGCCCTTGGGAGCCCTTGGGAGCCCTTGGGAGCCCTTGGGAAGCCTTGGGAGCCCCTTGGGAGCCCTTCGGAAGCCTTCGGAAGCCTTGGGAGCCCTTGGGAAGCCTTGGGAGCCCTTGGGAGCCCTTAGGAAGCCTTGGGAAGCCTTGGGGAGCCTTGGGAAGCCTTGGGAAGCCTTGGGAAGCCTTGGGATGCCTTGGGAAGCCTTGGGAAGCTTAGGAAAGCCTTGGGAAGCCTTGGGAAGCCTTGGGAAGCCTTGGGAAGCCTTGGGAACCCTTGGGAAGCCTTGGGAGCCCTTGGGAGCCCTTGGGAGCCCTTGGGAGCCCTTGGGAGCCCTTGGGAAGCCTTGGGAGCCCCTTGGGAGCCCTTCGGAAGCCTTCGGAAGCCTTGGGAGCCCTTGGGAAGCCTTGGGAGCCCTTGGGAGCCCTTAGGAAGCCTTGGGAAGCCTTGGGAAGCCTTGGGAAGCCTTGGGAAGCCTTGGGAAGCCTTGGGAAGCCTTGGGAAGCCTTGGGAAGCCTTGGGAAGCCTTGGGAAGCCTTGGGAAGCCTTGGGAGCCCTTGGGAGCCCTTGGGAGCCCTTGGGAGCCCTTGGGAGCCCTTGGGAGCCCTTGGGAAGCCTTGGGAGCCCCTTGGGAGCCCTTCGGAAGCCTTGGGAAGCCTTGGGAGCCCTTGGGAAGCCTTGGGAGCCCTTGGGAGCCCTTAGGAAGCCTTGGGAAGCCTTGGGGAGCCTTGGGAGCCCTTGGGAAGCCTTAGAAACCTTAAGGTTGAGCCTAAGGTAAGGATCTAATTAGTTACTTAATTAATTAGTGATCTAATTAACTCCCTAATTAACTAATTTTCAGATTTCCCACCTGAAAACTCTTCTGGAATTATGCTTCTGGCTTGGAGTGCCTCAATGCACTATCATTTCATTTTCTCAGTTTTGGCCGCCCCATTTATTGTGATCATTGAACGTGGCTTTGCCACGTGGTTTATCTAGTGAGTACTGTAGAGTACGGTAGATTTTGGCGCGCGAAAATTTGGAGCATTTTGATATCAAACATGGCTATGTAAATGCGGAGTGTCGTTTGAAGAGAAAACTACGATGATCCGCAGGTACACCTAATGATTTTTTGAAAAACTACGATGCTCCACAGTTACACTGATGATATTTTATTGATTTTTTGAAAAACTACGATGCTCCGCAGTTACACTGATGATTTTTAGTTGATTTTTTGAAGGTGTAAACGCGGAGCATCGTTGAAAACCTCAAATTCGCTAGATTTTCAAGGTGTAAACGCGGAGCATCGTTTGAAACCTCAAAATCGCTCATTTTTCGAGGTGTAAACGCGGAGCATCGTTTGAAACCTCAAATTCGCTAGTTTTCCAAGGTGTAAACGCGGAGCATCGTTTAAAACCTCAAATTCGCTAGATTTTCAAGGTGTAAACGCGGAGCATCGTTTAAAACCTCAAATTCGCTAGTTTTCCAAGGTGTAAACGCGGAGCATCGTTTAAAACCTCAAATTCACTAGATTTTCAAGGTGTAAACGCGGAGTGTCGTTTACAAGGCTTATTTGGTATCAAAATGCGTCAAATTTTCGCGCTAAAAAGCCACGTATCCAATTTTTTGCAGTGACTATGAAAAAAAGCGTCGCGGCTGGATTTTGGTTCTGATTTTGCTGGTTCAAAATTCGTTTTCCGGAGGTCTCACAATTTTGACTCTTCTGAACATCACAAGCTACATTGAGGTGGCGATTTTCGGATTTTCAACTTCAGCCGCCTCGCTGACACTATTTTTGTGGCTGCGAAATTTGAACGTGAAAAAATTGGCGCGTCTGAAAGTGGAGCTGAAATTGGGACAGCTGAGTGCAAAATATCAACTGCGCGAGAATTTGAAGACTTTTCGAATGATTGTCAAGATTTTTGCGTTGGTGCTGATTTTGATGATGATTTTGATAGTTCTCAAAACTTTGCCCGTGGTTTTTTTCGCGGTTGATGATCAGAGGAAATTGTGGTTCAGAAATATTACCGATATGATTGTTCATGCGTGAGTTTTGGGGTTTTTGAGCCTGGGCTTAAAAAATCCACGTTTTTTTGAGCCTAATGAAGCCTAGGACCAGAAAATCCACATTTTTTGAGCCCGAATAAGCCTAGGAACAGAAAATCCTCGTTTTTTTGAGCCCGAACATAAAAATTTGCGATTTTTTAAGCCCAAATAAGCCTAGGCCCAGAAAATTCATGTTTTTTGAGCCTAAACATGAAAATTTGCGATTTTTTGAGCCTAGAAAAGCCTGGGCTTGAAAAATCCACGTTTTTTGAGCCTAATGAAGCCTAGGACCAGAAAATCCACATTTTTTGAGCCTAGATAAGCCTAGGCCCAAAAAATCCACGTTTTTGAGCCAAAAAAAAGCCTAAACCCGGAAAATCCACGTTTTTTGAGCCCAAACATGAAAATATGGGATTTTTTGAGCCTAGATAAGCCTAGGACCAGAAAATCCACGTTTTTTGAGCCTAAACATGAAAATTTGCGATTTTTTGAGCCTAGAAAAAGCCTGGGCTTGAAAAATCCACGTTTTTTGAGCCTAATGAAGCCTAGGACCAGAAAATCCACATTTTTTGAGCCCGAATAAGCCCAGAACCAGAAAATCCACGTTTTTTTGAGCCCAAACATGGAAATTTGGGTTTTTTAAGCCCGGATAAGTCTAGGACCAGAAAATCCACGTTTTTTGAGCCCGAATAGGCCTAGAACCAGAAATTCCACGTTTTTCGAGCCCGAATAAGCCTCTACAGTAACCCAAGCCCTATTTGGGCTCAAAATGCTCCAAGTTTTCACTCAAAAAAATTCCAGAGGTCCAATCTACGTCACAATTTGCATAATTTTCGCCGTTGACGATTATCATCACATTTTTCGTCAAATTTTCGGCTGGAAGACCGCGAAAATCTCGCCGGTTCCGATTTTCGGCGGGCCGAAAATCGAATCGGATTTGTATTTCGAGTTGTTGAAGAAGGCTATGAATAAATGATTTTTTTTTGAAATTTACGATTTTTTTGATACCAAATATGATTGGGTAATTAGTTAATTAATTAAAAATTGTTAGAAAGTCAAAAACAGGATTTTTTGTCAAAATTTCAGCTCAAGAGCTCAAAAACACGATTTCCAGCTATATTTTTGAGCTCTAGAGCATATTTTCTGACTCTAGAACTCGAAAAACTCGAATTGCAGTCAAATTCTAAGCTCTGGGGCTGAAAATTCCAATTTCAGAGCTGCAGAGCTCGAAAGCTCGATTTTCAGCTGTATTTTCAGCTCTAGAGCACATTTTCTAGCTCTAAAACTCAAAAAAATCGATTTTTTTTTGAAAATTTCCTCCAAATTCCCATTAAAAACTCACTTTTACCATTATATCCTCGAATCGATCGATTTCCATCGCAAAAACCAACGTTTTCTATGAAATCCAGTGTTTGTCCATCATTTTCAGCCAAAAACGCACTGAAAAATCAATAATTTCTACGTGAACCCGGAAAAAACAGTGAAAAACGAAGAAAAAAGAAAAAAAAATGAAAAATAGCAAACCGCAAACACGGCGACGCACAACTGCACACAATCAATTTGAAAATTTTCATTTTTTTTTTCTTTTTCAGCGTTTTTTTCGGTTTCACTTGGAAATTATTGGTTTTTTTCAGGATTTTATTGATGAAAAAGATGAACGAAGGGTGGATTTTGGTTTTTGGCGATGAAAATCGAGAAAAATCGATCGATTCGATGATATAATGATAAAAGTGAGTGTTTTATGGGAATTTGGAGGAAATTTTCAACGAGAAACGTTCTGGAGCTAGAAAATGTGCTCTAGAGCTTATAAAATGAGTGGAAATCCTGTTTTTGAGCTCTAGAGCTCTGAAATTGGAATTTTCAGCCCCAGAGCTTAGAATCGGACTGCAAATTGACTTTTTTGAGCTCTAGAGCCAGAAAACATGCTCTAGAGCTCAAAAATATAGCTGGAAATCGTGTTTTTGAGCTCTTTGTGCTCTGGAGCTGAAAATTTGAGTGAAAATCCTGTTTTTGAGTTTCGGAGCTTGATAAATTAGAAGAAATTAAAATCTATAGATGAAAATTCAAATTATCTGTCAAATTTAATGAATTTTTGAATTGACTTGCTCATATATCCTTAATTAGTTAATTAGGTAGATAATTAGCTAATTAAAATGCTAATTAATTATCTTCTAACTAAATATATGTATACCCTTAATTATCTAATTATCAATTAATTAATTAGCTACAAAATTAGTTAATTATTTATCAAACAATGAATAAATTATTAATTACATAATTAAGTCGCTCCTTAAGTAGCTAATTAGCTCCTTAATTAGCTAATTATCTCCCTAATTAGCTAATTAATTATCAGTTGATGCCAAAGTGGTGGCTGGTGTGATTCGAGAAGTTCCAGCAGCATTTGTGTAGGAATTATTTCCGGGTCGCAGTGATTTCCGGAGGCAGATTATGTCTGGAAAAATTTAGATTTAGGGTAAGTTCGAGCGCGGAAGCGCGAGTGTAGACCGCAAGCTTCCGCGAAGCGGCACTATCTTCCGCGCAGCGGCCGGGTCTAGGCTTCAGCCTCAAGCCCAGAGGCTTGGCCTAAGCCTAGAGCTAATCCCGAGCGGCTCTGCCGCGAGTGTAGACCGCAAGCTTCCGCAAAGCGGCACTATCTTCCGCGCAGCGGCCACACCTAGGCTTCGAGGCTCAGGATGAATCTCTAGGCCCCGGATGAAAGCTCTAGGCTCAGGATGAATTTGAGCCTATGGGTTAGGCTTAGGTTTTCTTAAGGTTAAGGCTCTTTTGAATTTTAGCTTCTTAAGGTCTTTAGGTTTCAAGTTGAAAAGCCTAAGCCTAAATTTTTAGGGTAATATCTAGTAGTGTAAGATTTTGGTTAAACCTAAGCCTAAGCCTAGGTTAGGCCTAAGTTAGGCTAAGCCTAAGCCTAGAGCTAGTCCCGAGCGGCGGAGCCGCGAGTCTAAACTGCAAGCTTCCGCGTAGCGGCACTATCTTCCGCGAAGCGGCCGGGTCTAGGCTTCAACTCAAACTCGAGCGCGGAAGCGCGAATATAAACCGCAAGCTTCCGCGCAGCGGCCACCCCTACGCCTCAGCATTTTCCGCAAGCTTCCGCACCCCACTCACTCCACAACGATCTCCGATAATCACTAATCAACATCAGCACAATCATCGGATCAATCCCCGGATATAATTGAGTTATGACAACTTGATAATTCGTATTGGCTCCCAATTCCCAACCCAAAATCGGACACGCAAAAAGGAATCCTGTGGGAAAATACATAAATAGCATGGGAAAAATGGTTTGGACGACGAGCGCGCGAAAAAGTTGGTACTGTAGATGACGTGTCTTGTTGGACACGCCTTTGAAGCTCTTCATTTGTGAGTAGGTTCGGAAGCCACAGTAGAAGAGCACACCGAATGAGCCGAACTGCAAGGGGTACTGTAGGGGGGGGGGTACTGTAGATTTTTAGCGCGAAAATTTGGGTCATTTTGATACCAAATTAGCTTAGGGCCTCAAAAAGTTCCAAAAACTTTTTTTTGAAAATAGTTTTTGAGGTACAGTATCTTCTCAGGGTTACTGTAGGTATCCAAGAGTACTGTAGATTTTCTGGAGCATTTTGAGCCCAAATTTGACTAAGTTTAGTTGGGTTAGGGTACTGTAGGGGTACTGTAGCTGCAGAACTTACGATAACTATAAGGTGTTGAAGGATTCCTAGCAAATTTCGATAGTCCGGATGTCTCTCATTGAACTCGTCTCGATAGAACTGCAAAGGGTACTGTAGTTGGGGTACTGTAGAGAAAATTTGGAGCATTTTGATATCAAATAACCCTAGGCTAGGGGTACTGTAGATATATCATATTGGGTCTCAAAACGCTGCAAATTTTCGCGCGCGAAAATTTCTCTCAGGGTTACTGTAGCGCCAAAAAAAAAACTCACATATTTATAGGGCATATAATCGGCCCACGAGGCATCGATTCCATAGGAATTTTGGCAGATGAATCGGAAGCTTTGCTCGGTTCGAGCATTTTGGGGAAACAGGAAAAATGCCGCGATTTGCCAGCTGAGAGCAATGGATACTGTAGCGGTGATCCAGAGCAAAAACCAGGCTCCCGAGAAATAGTGGAGCAGGTGAGCTCTGAAAAAAACTACGATGCTCCGCTTTTACGCGGGAAAAATTGGACGAAAACTACGATGCTCCGGGATTACCGCTGCTTCAAGCGAAATTTGAGAAAAAACTACGATACTCCGCAGTTACACCTTGAAAAATAGAAGAACTACGATGCTCCGCAGTTACACCTTGAAAAACAAGCAATTTTGCTGGTGTAAAAGCGGAGCATCGTTTAAAAACCCTAATTTACAACCCCGTAAAGGCGGAGCATCGTTTAAACCCAATTTTCAAGCAATTTTGCTGTTGTAAACGCGGAGCATCGTTTGAAACTCACTTGCACGTGGCAATATATCTGTACAAAAACTGTAGGGCAAATAGTGTGAAGCTCATCGCGTAGCAAAAACAATAGGTGGCTGGAAAAACGTATTTGGCGCCAAAATCTACAGTATCCTGATCTACTGAGCGAATTTGGATTCAAAAATCTCCAAATTTCACGGGGAATTGATCTACAGTAGGCCTAGATCTACTACAGTAACCTACTCGACAGCACGCGCGTCACAGTCTTTCCCAAATCGAAATATTTCCTTTGAATCAGGAAAAGTGTGTCGTCGTAGATGTGCAGAAATGGCCTCAAAAACATCTCGACGCACGAGTAGAACATCGTGAACACACAGAACAACATCAGAATGTACTTGTAGGATCCGATTTGACGATTCGAGCGGAAATGGATCAAGAAGATCAGGATTGTGTTGGAGATTAGGGAGAGGGTGAAACCGATTTGACCGGAGATTTGAAGGGCGTGATTCCAGTGGGTGTCGGACATCTGGAAGAGGAAGTTCGGGGAGGGGAAGGGCTGGACCTAGGCTTCTAGGGGCCTATCCTAGAAGCCTAGACGTGGCCGCTGCGCGGAAGCTTGCGGTCTACACTCGCGGCAGAGCCGCTCGGGTTTAGGCTTGGGCTTCTAGGCCTAGGCTTAGAGAATGAGCCTAAGCCCAACCCAGAAGCCTAGGCGTGGCCGCTGCGCGGAAGCTTGCGGTCTACACTCGCGCCAGGGGCGCTCGGGATTAGGCTTGGGCTTCTAGGCTTAGAGACTAGGCCTGAACCTAACCCAGAAGCCTAGGCGTGGCCGCTGCGCGGAAGACAGTGACGCTTCGCGGAAGCTTGCGGTCTACACTCGCGCCAGGGGCGCTCGGGGGAATTTTTGGGGGTCCGAAAATTGCTCAGCTACAGTACCCTCTTCAGAAGAAATCTACTGTAATTTTGATCTGCAAAATTTCTAGGGTTACTGTAGCCTACTACTGTAGGATTAATTTTTTTTTTTGAGAAAAACAAATTTCCTACCGTATCTCTCTACAGTAATCCCGGCACAATTTTCTTTTGATCCACAGAATTTTTGAAAAATGCTTAAAAGCTTACTGTAGTGATTTTCGAGCTACAGTACCATCTACAGTACTCTTGGGAACATTACAAAAATTAAGCCTAAGCTATAGCCTAAGCCTAAAACTGAAGCCTAGGCGTGGCCGCTTCGCGGAAGACAGTGCCGCTGCGCGGAAGCTTGCGGTCTACACTCGCAGCTCCGCTGCTCGGCGGCTCTTTTTAAGGAGCCCAGAGCCAATTGAGCTCCAGATCAGAATACAAATTGATCACTTTTCTTCGAAAAAACAAAAATGTCCAAAACAACACAAAATTTTGGACAGAAAGACTAGAGAATAATTGCAAAGATCTGATTTATGGTAAGTTGCGAGCGGCTCTGCCGCGAGTGTAGACCGCAAGCTTCCGCGTAGCGGCCGGGAATCTTCCGCGAAGCGGCTACGTCTAGGCTTCAGGTTTAGGACGTAGGCTCAGGATGAACCTAGGCCTAAGCCTATTAAAAAAACCTAAGCCTAAGCCTATGCCTATATTCTATGTTGAACTTATAGACCTGCTTAACAATAAGCCTAAGCCTAAAGCCTAAAGCACAGTCTGAATAGAAGCCTAAGCCTAAGCCTAGTTTGATCGATGGGCCTAAGTCTAAGCCTAGTTTGATCTATGGGCCTTATCCCAAGCCTAAACTTTAATCCTAGTCCAAGGCTTCTAAAAGTTGAGCCCCTGATTTAAATCTTTAGCAAGTCCCTAAGCTAAGGTCTTGTTGGAGAAGCCTAAGCCTAGGGTTTCAGCTAAGCCTAAGCCTAGGATTTTAGCTGAGCCTAAGCCTAAGATTTTTATTTTTTTTTTTTGATAACAAAAATGTGAATAGAAAATTAATTGCACCTGGGTCCTAATCAAATCAAAAAAATAATCAAAAACATGTGTTCGGGAGCTCAAAAAATCAAAAATCCCAAAAAAAATTTGAAGCTCAAAAAAATCACGAGCGCAAAATTTGAATGTATTTTCCCAGGCTGGGAAACACAAAGTGCCACGTGGGTTTTTTTTCGGGTACATTTTTAGTGCCGAAAAATTGATCTACGTTTCAAAATTTTTTTTTTCAAATTTCACTAAAAATCTGAAATTTGGAGCATTTTGAGCCCGGAAAATGCTCCAAAAATCCAATTTTTCGATAATTTCACATCCCAGAAGACCAATTTTCAGTCAAAAATCAACATTTCTCTGAAATTTAGGATTTTCAGCCAAAAAATCACCAAAATTTCCAGACAAATAGCTACGACACTCCGCTCGGAACACTCAGCAAACAATTGAAAAAACAAAAACAACTTTCGACACCGTATTTGGTCTTGAGTGGATCCAATGATCAGTGAGTTTTTTGGCGCGAAATTTGAAAATTCAAAAATTATTGATTTTTTTGCAGCTCGAGCCTCAAAAAGGAGTAATTTATTTTATTTTTTGTGATTTTTTGAATGAATAAAATTTTTCATATTTTTTAAAAGTTTTAAACATGGTTCCGTACTAAAATTTTCAGCTGAAAATGCTGAAAATTATCATTTTTGATAATGTTAAGTAATTTCAGCATTTTCAGCACAAAATTTCAGCGCGGAACTATTTTTCAAGCAGATTTGTGCTTCATTTAATTATTCTCAAGAATTTCAAGATTCTAGACTCAAATTTTGTGCTGAAAATGCTGGAAACATTGATTTTCAGCAATTTAAAGTAATTCGAGCATTTTCAGCAAAAAATTTGGATCTGGAAATGTGTTTAATTTTTCTGGAAAAATTGGTCAAGAAAAAAAAGTTTGCGAAAAACTTTTTCAGCCACAAAAAATGGCTGAAAATATCTGAAATTATTTCTTTAATTTTGCCACGTGTACTCTACAGTAATCCCCTCAAAAATTCTGAAAAAATCATAAAATATTATCCAAAAAAATCCGGGTGGAAAATGTACGTTTCAAAAATATTGGAAATATTTTTCAAAAAGATTTCAAAATGATTGCTTACATACCAAGATCACGTTTTTGGAATCACTGAAAGAATATATACTTCAATTAATTACTCTGTTCCTTTCTTTTTCTCTTACTTTTCCATGTTTCGCTTGAATGGATTGCGAAAATTTTTCTAGTATTTCTAGCTTTCGAAAATAAAGTGATGCTCATTGAGCCGCCTTTTTTATAGCCCCAAAAATGTGTTCCGAACTTCAATTTTTCAGCTGAAAATGCTGATAATTTCAGCACAAAATTTCAGCGCGGAACTATTTTTCAAGCAGATTTGTGCTTCATTAATGCTCCATCTAATTTTGTGCTGAAAATGCTGGAAACATTGATTTTCAGCACAAAATTTGAGTCGTCTCAATAAATATTGTTTTTTTTTTGAACTGAAAAAATTTTCACTCGAAAACCACAATAATCGATTGATTTTTCACCAAAAATTTAAAGGAGGTCACTGAAATAATCTGAAAAAGTGGTGTGTAGTTTTGCGTCGCCTTGTGTGTTTGTGCACAGCACACATTTTAATTGACGCGCACGTATTTTTATTTTCCAAAAAAAGTTGTTCGCAGTGTGTTTGTTTGGAAAATGATGGAATGCAACGCAAAAACGTAGAATTCAGTAATATTTCATAGATATATGCGATAATCCTATCAAAATTCAGCTCAAAACAACTAGTTTAAAATATATCACCGCCTAATTTCACAAATTTACGATTCCTGCCGATTTCTAATGAAATTTCATTCAAAATTGATGTTTTTATATAATTCACGTTCTAAATTCACGAACACCACTGATTTAATCCTGCTTCTTCTGGTATTTGTGGGAAATTACCGCAAAAAAAGAGAAAAAACAGTTTGAATCTTATTTTTTCCGCCGTTGTCAATAGAGCGCACAAGCTCGCGTGCCAGAAATGTTCACAGATTTTTTTCTTCTTTTTTCTTTCTCACACACAAAATTTCGATAATTTTTCTCTCAAGCGGAGTAAGAATGATAGACGGAATAGCTTTAGGATGAATAAAACATGCGTTTATCTCAGAGTCCCCCTTTAAAAAAAGTGTGTGCAACAACACTCCGCAAATGACGGCTTGCCCGTTGTTTAGCACTTTGTTGGCTTTTTCTTTTTTTTCAAGTTTTTTAAGTTTAAAAGCTCCAAGGAAATGATTTAAAACTTCGACAAACAGAAAAAAAAGCGAAAAAAAATCAAATTTTCAAACGTCCGCATTTTTTTGTGTGCATTATTGCGTCATCTCACGTGTTTACACATTTCTGTTCATTTCTTGTTTTTTTTGAGGCGGCCATCTGAAAATAGCTGAAATTTGTCTGAAATTGAAGAGTTTTTTGATTTCTAGATGTAATTTGAGTATAGTTGGACAACGGCTCGGCTCAAGCTGCTTCAAAGCGGCTCGGCTCAAGCCGCTTTCAACAAAAAAATTGAAAGCGGCTAATCGGCTATTTTTCAAGCCGTTTTGGTCAGCCGATTAGCCGAATGATTTAGCCGAGCCGCTTTGATTCAAAGCGGCTCGGCTCGGCTTGGAGTGAATTTTTGAAATTATCAGGAAAATGAAGTTAAGATAATTTATTTACGGGTTTTGGGGTTTTTTGGTACGGGGAACATCGTGGTGGGACCCATTTGACCTGAAAGTGACTCTTAAAGGCAGGGTGGGTTCTAGTGGCAACTGAGCTCCTCAAAAACACAAGCGAGTTAAACCTTACGAAATAAAAAAGAAAATGCGCTCTAACGCACAACTCGGTTTTTAAAGTTTCGTGTGTTTGTTTGCAGGCAACACCGTGACGCCTTTTTACTCCAAAATGTTCCCCGTGCTCTAATGACCAATTTTCAAAAACATTATTTAGTGACAACATGCCTTTAACAGTCATTTTTAGACCAAATGGGTCCCACCACGATGTTCCCCGTACCGAAAAACCTAAAATCTAAAGTTTTCAAAAAAAAATTTTTTTTAGTCCCACCCTGCCTTTAAGAGTCACTTTCAGGTCAAATGGGTCCCACCACGATGTTCCCCGTACCAAAAAACCCCAAAACCCGTAAATAAATTATCTTAACTTCATTTTCCTGATAATTTCAAAAATTCACTCCAAGCCGAGCCGAGCCGCTTTGAATCAAAGCGGCTCGGCTAAATCATTCGGCTAATCGGCTGACCAAAACGGCTTGAAAAATAGCCGATTAGCCGCTTTCAATTTTTTTGTTGAAAGCGGCTCGAAGCCGAGCCGATCAAATTCAGCCGTTGTCCAACTATAATCTAAACCAACGCGATAACCATGTTTGAAAACTCCATCCATCACGAAAAGTTCTTGATTGATTGATTGACTCAAAATCAACTCGCTTTCCAACTACAGCGCATCTACGTAGTTTTTTTCAAAAAAAAAATCACTCACCATGCGTTGACCAGCACCGCGAAGACACTTCTAACTGGAAATTGCTTCTCTAGGTGCTCACAAGTACAGTCGAC